TGCAACTTCAAATTTAGCCCCGTTTGAATTTCTGATTTAGGATGCAGTTCACACTCTACTTATGAGTAGGTGTAAAGTTGTTTGTGAATACAAGCTGTCGTGACATTGCATCGGAAGATGGTATATGTTGGAACTGTAAAGACTTTGACTTGCTGTTTTGGGTTGACAAATGTTGCTCAGCATTAATGTAGCCTTTCTAGATGTGCAGGCAACCCAGTATGTGTGTATGTGATGATCCATGTGCTTCCCTTTTCTTTATAGATTGGGGAACACTTTGTCCAAGATCCCAACGTGAATGTCAGATTTTGATATGTAAGACCACAGGATAGTTTTCCACCTCACCTCAACAGAAACCCAGACATTTGCGGATCATGTTTGTTTATGTTTCCTCTTTTCATAGTACAGTTAAAATTTATTTGCCTTTTTAGATTACATCAACTAAAATTGAATTCTGTACTCCTCCACAAGCAGAGATTTGCAGAGTATCACTAAATTAAATATAGTAATATCAGCCAGCGTCTCCATGGTAATTTTACACACTTCAGATTATTATCTCCTTATGATAACGCTTTCTCATAAATGTTGGGAATTTCCCCTTGTGGGACTAATAAAGGAGTATCTTATCTTATATTTTACAATTTTTTTGCGATAAGTCAAGTAACGTGCTGTTATCATCTGATGTTGATCTTTACGTCTGTATAGTGCGACCAAACAAAGGTCCAACAACTTTTTGCCTGTAACTTTATCTATTTATTTATTGTACATTTAATGACATGCATTTGAATATTGTGATGTTTTTGTGTTCCAAGAATAGTTGTGCTTTTATTGTTGTACATTTAGATAAGTGTTTTCAGTTTTCTTTTTAATTTTGTATTTCATTAAATATGTAATTGACCTCTGGTATGTCAAAGTCCACAATCTTGGACTGAAAATTATTTTTTCTCACATTTTGTTTTTAAGAATAACAACTTGGACTGCACAGACTGCACAAACACTGTAAAGTTAAAACTGTTATCTATTCAAAACCAAAGTCATCATCATTGTATAACTTCTTAAATGTAGACTTACTTTGAAAACTTATATAACTTACTTATCAGTCTTATTTTATGAAGCTTAACTTTTTTAAAGGAACTTGATTTAAGTTTTCTTCCGTTATTGTCTGGTATTTCTTATAATATCGGGGTTTGTCAGGCTCATATTGAGGCTAATAAGCCTTTTTTACTGAAAAGAGAAAAGCATCTGGAAAATGTTTAATCAGTTTTGATTTTCTTTTGGTCGTCAACATTGTGCTGCTAATTTATTTAAAGGTGCAGAGGGAATTATGAGACCAGCATCGGCAAGGTGGTTGAAACAGAGTGAAGTTTGGCCAGTTCATCTTATCTCTCTGTCATGACACGAACTTAACTGTATTTTCCATTAAAATGTCAGTTTGCAAAAGGGAAAATTTCTGAGCTTCCATAAATCAGTCAGCTGATGTGTTTTCCTCTCTCAATAAATCAATAGAGATGTAAGAGATTAGTCTTGTGTTGTCCTCATATTTTATCATGAACCTACAAATAAACATTACTCCAGGATGCATAGTATAGGTTATTTCTGTCATCAAAGGCTTTGATATTTGTGAGACACTATTTGTCCCGTATTGATACTGACTTTGCTTTTCTCCTGAATGTTATCAGAATCTTTTGAAGCCCCGGCTGTCGTGAAAGGCAGCAGCTTATCTCACTCGCATGTCTTTCTGTGAGTGTTTTGGTGCAACCACAGCAATCTCTCTGCTGTAATCATGCACCATGACTGAAATCTGAGGATTCCCCTTTTCAGTTCTTTATCCAGCTGAGGGGAGTTCCAGCACAGGAGGAGGTCACAACATTTCACAAATTGTTAATGAAATGTCCAAATCTGTACCATTACAGAAAATATAAAATTATTAATGACAATATTTCGCATACAGTGCCTATTAGAGTTAGGGAAGGTGAACTGATTTGTACTGATTCACAACCAACAACCATGCATGACGGAAGTGCATCATCAGAGCAGTTGCAAGTGGAAACCAAACCGCCTGTGAGCTTCAAATCAAAAGTGTGGGAACATGACAAGTTTTACAAGAGAGACCAACAACTTGACCAGTCTGATGCGCTCATGGACTGTATTAAAACTGGATGCAGCACTGGTGATGTCACATATTTGTTTCTGAAGTCTACCTAACTTTTGGTCCATGAACCTGAGGCAGGCCTTTAGTCTCCTAGCAAATTGTTACAGCGTGCCTGCTGCAACCATTTGCTAGGAGACTAAAGGCGTCAGACAGAAACACATGACTATAAAAAACCACATGATCTTTTCAACCAGGCTGTAAACTTGTTTATTAACAAACAAACAAACAAATAAAAAAACTTTTTGGTTTTGGTTCCTCTTGGTTCTCGGTGTGTCTGCTGTCAGCCCCAGCAGACACACTTCTGCCTTGGCTTACTTCTCAAGGCTGGAGGTTGCCACTTTAATGCACTTTTCATGTGTAGTGCTGTTCTGAAGCTGTGGTTTTTACCCTTTTCAAGTCCTGACCCCATTCAGCAGTAGACTGTTTTTACCTCATGCATCAAAATGTAGTCCGGCAGAGTGCCTGCTGGTTTGGAATGATATGTGGAGGGGGGTCGGGCTGACCTATTTTATTGCTAAGGTTTTAACATATGATAGTAATTTTGGTTCTTTTGCTTTCATATTTTGTTCTCCTTGTTTAATCTAAACCATTTACTTGCTTACTTCTACTTTCTATTATTGCATTCTTTTTGGTAATTATACAAGTCCTTGTTTGAGCTCTCAATCTCTCAATAATAATAATAATAATAATAATACAACTAAAATAATATTAATAATACATCTTATTTATAAACCCCTTTAATGGAAAAAAAAACCTCTTTCACTAAGTCTTCTGGTAGGACTTCTGCCACCGTCTTTCTTTTCTTGCTCTTTTTTGCAAGAGGGGTGGTCACCGTTAATCTGGGTATAGGTAGTTTCTCTGCCATTCCCCAGCGTAGCTGTATCCCTCTCAGCTCTGCTTTACGCATTAAATCAGGGCCAGTGCACGCCGGCGACATGAACGCGCAGAAGGCGAGCACGGGATTTGATTGGTTTAAAAATGTGGGACCCACACGATGTGATTGGTTGGTGTTTTCCCGGTTTTACTCCTGCTGTAGAAAGCGGCTATGTTTCGCTCTTTTTTAAGAACACGTCATGTATTGATTGCCGTCAGAACATAAAGATCATTTTAACCAGAATAACAAAAAGTGTATCTAAATCAGATTACCAACCTTACCTTTAACTACCACCACCTTCAGTCTTCGTACCTGATGTCATAAACACAGTTCTCATTAGTTGATCACCCACAAAAATGCACAAAACATTTAGTTTAATATGATGAATACGCAATGTAAGGTTGTCTCGTGGATATAAAACAGGAACACTATGGATTTTAAGGGACACCTGAAAATGAAACACTATGCGCTGTCTGTCCAGGTAAAGATTTTAGATGTTAAGTGATTGGATGACATAAATACATAATAACTCTCTGAGTTTAATATTCTCTAAACCTCAAATGTTTTCAAGTCTCTCTGCTAAATTCATACCATGTTGGCATTCTTTGAAGACAGCAAAATTCAGCATGACATCCGTTATGGATAAGCATGCCATGGTACATTAACTGATCAGTAACTTTTACAGAGATGAGCTACTATTCAGTACACATTTACAAACTTCATCAAAAATGCAAGTGCAGCTCTAAAATGTGAATGTCCAAAAAAAGTTCAAAATATCTAAAAATATCAGAATATCCTAAAACACCAGTCTAAGACTTTTTTTAATACAGAAATGTAGACCCTCTGAAAAATGATGATCATCTATGCTCTCAGTACCTGGTAGGGGCTCCTTTAAATGAACTGCTGCATCACGGTGACATTTTATATGTCTAACTCTGCTGGGGTGCTACTGAAGTCCAGGTTTCTTTGAGAGCTCCTTCATCTGGTCTATATTGTTACTCTGATGTCCAGAGATCCTCTATTCAGGTCAGGTCACACCAGTTGGTTGGACAATCAAGCACATCAAGTCTTGTCTTATCAGGATAATAAACATGGTATCACCCAGCCCTAGCCAATGCTGTCTCTGTACAGTTATAGGATAGGTGGGGCCTCTTAATTTTTTTATTTTCAGGGAACCTGGTTTTGATAAAAAATTCAAAATAAATCCACTTTGATTTAAATCTAAACTGTGATTTCATTATTTCTGACCCAGGGGTTTGTCTCATCAAATTCACCTTCTTCCTGACCGTCACCTTTGAAAGCATCTGTAGAAAAACCTCAAGAGCACCATCAAGTGGACTTAAAATGCAAATGATTTTACTTTGACACCACCAAAGAGTTTATAGTACAGTTGACAATAATGTAAACAAAATATCAATACTTTAAACTACACAGTTGTCTTACACATAATTTCTCAAAAGTAGATTTTCTCTCCACTCCGACTGTTAGTGAAGATACATACCAGGCTTTTTCTGGTGGACCTCAGGTACAAATGGTCAGTTTTGGCTGGCCTGTCCATGTTTCCGTGCTGAGTCTTAGTTTCATTGTAGGCAGCGAGTCAGAAGTCGGCTGAAATCATGCTTACCACAGCCCCATTATAAACCCTAACCAGGCTGACACAATGACAAAAATAACAGCATCATGATGCCGATTTTTAATAAGTAAAAGTTCCTGCTTTATCTAGTCTACCTTCAAGATGACAAGTAAACACATTTCAAAAGGCTTTTTAAAAACCAGGTTCAGGTCTGTCAACTGTGGTGGGAGCATGGAAGAATGTCAATATCGTACCCAAATAGAAAAAATTGAAGTGTTTCAGGAGTGATTTAACGGTCCAATAACTGCATGTCTACATTGTCTTTTGGTGTAAAGCTGCTGCGCAGATACTTTGCTTTTAGTCTGAATAAATCTGAATAAGACCGCTGACTGCAGGTGTCAGCTTTAAACAACTAACTGTGTCAAAGGGATCAGGAGAAATGAAACAATAAAAAATGCGGTCCTGCCTCCAGGTGCTGAGTTTAGGCAGGTGCACTGTGTCCAGATGTGTGCACCTTTGTCTTGAGTGTCTTTGTATTTACTTTCATATCTGCCCTTCCTCTTTCCAACTGTTTCCTCTCTCTCCTTCTCCTCTGCCCAGCCCTCCCTCAGCTCCTGTCGGCCTGCAGGAGGAGACAGGGACAAGGAGAGGTCGTTTCCTGCAGGTGAGGAAGAGGAAGGGTCTGGGCAGTCCAGCCAGTCTGCAGCAGAGGATCTTGGGTAACCATCTTGCACCGGGGAGCCAGGAAAGGAGAACTTCCAGTAGAGGTCTCCTTTAAAGAGATAGACGGTGCCTAGAGGGAGATGTAAAAGAATCAACACAATTTTTTGTGGCTTTGGAAATTTTTTTTCACAGCTGCTACAAGGACAGAGCATCACACTCTCAATAAAAGCACAAAATCAACAACATCAGGATCTTATAGGAACAAGATCATGAGAGGGAAAGTTTTGATTTATGGCTGTTGAGCCTTAATGTTACTTTAAAGGTCAATATCAAAAGATCAGTCAATGAAGCGAGTGACAGTCCAGATTTCACATAAACGCGGGTTACAGAGACAGACCTATTAATCAGGCTGATGAATGATCTTCATATCAGCAACGGCCCTCACAATTACAGTATGATCTTAGAGAAATGTAAACAGATTTTTTTTCCTCATCACCAGTCAACGGCATATTAAACCCAAAAATAAATAAATAAATAAATAAAAATAACCTGCTATTGTAAAATATGAATTTTGTGATGATGTTTAAAATAATTGTTTGATTTTGCTCCTGACAGAAACATCAATTATGTTCGGGAATTAGCAGCACCTGATGTAGATGTTTTTTTTAATCAATTTATTATAAATCCATCTAAAGTAAATAAGACCACAATAAATATTGAATCTGAATGTGGATGGACTGATTGAATTCTTCACATGACTCTCTTTTTTCTTTTTTAAATTTCAACCCAAACATTTACCATTTTTGATTATTTCAGATAGATGGACAGAGACCCAAAAGTTCAGCAATTTCTTTTTTTCCATTTTGACATGGGCCAAGCTGCTGTGTCGTTATCTGTATCGGCGTATGTCTAATAGGCTGTTTGAAACGTTACAACTCTCCTTTCATCCATTTATTTAGTTTATTCATATGTTTTAGCCTATAAGGTTCAAATGGGACTTCATCTGGTTGGGACACAGGGAATTCCAGATGGTCCAGAAGAGTCACATGCCTGCATAATATCCAACCTTGATTCCTTTATGCTGATTATTTTGGTCTTGATTTTATTGTACATTTATACACATTGTGTTATCTACTCCTACTTTAATTTACTCCTAAAAAAATATAAATACAACCCTCATTGGGACCCCTTAAGTATAGATTCTCCTCATGTGACAAAAAAACAAAAACAAAAAAAAAACATCAGTCCTGTCCTCACCATCACTCTCTGTGGTGATGCCGCTGACTCCCTCCCTCAGCAGTTGAGTCCAGGTGTCCTCTTGCTTTTTCCCCTCAGTGTCTCCCATGTTTCCCCACAGAGGACCCTCCTGTGGGTCCCAGACCAGACCCCACCTTACTGCTTCCTCCTTTTTTTCACTAACATCATTGGCTGCAGTCAAGCCCATCCTGAGGGCAGACAGGGGCTGAGGGTAACCCTCCTGCAGGGACAGATCTCTGAACAGCCAGAACTGTGAACCTGTAGTGAGAATAAGTAACTGAAGAGGTCAGTTTTTACATTTTTATCATCTTCGAATGTACCGTCAAAATATTCAAGCCTCTTGTTAGCAACTATGCTCCAACAGCTGCAGATCAATGAAAAAAAAGTATTTTTCTCCTTTACTGTTTTGAAATTAATATTGAAAAGGTCTCGTGGTTTTCTTTTTTTCTTTTGACAAAGTCACATGACCAATTTGCTTTTCTGTTTTTTAATGCAACGCACTAAAAGCAAGTTTTGGGTTTTCTCCACATTCCTACAATTATTTCTCAATCGGGTCAGACAATTGTGGCAAGACAAAATGGAAGTGACAATAGAATTTTCAGAATAAAAGTCAAAAGGATTGCTTGACTATTGTGGCACAGAGAGTTTTTTTTGTTCACACAGTCTCAGTGGATAATCAACAGGGAACATTTCAAAAATGGTCTGTTGTCCAGCTATCCATCTGTTAGCTCTGTGAACACACAGTCATAAAGTCTCTCCAATACTTCCGCCAGTGTACGGATTTGAAGCCAAAAAGCTCGCTGTATTTCTCCACTTCCTGAAACCACCACTTGTGCAGTAGCGTTGTACACATTTGTCAGGGGGAGTCGCCGAGAGTCGCTTTGATGACGCTCAGCTCAAACAGCGTTTCCCCCGGGTGAGCAATATACGCAATCTTCGTATGCCCATAGGCTGTATTAAGTGTCAATAATAGAAAACATGAACCCCCTAAGAACTTTTAAAGATTGAGCTGCACAGAAAAAAGAGGACTTCAGCATGAACCAGTCTCACAGTAACTACATGTCAACATCACAACCAGGGGGGAGAAAAAATTATATTCTGTGTAATTAATTTCTTAAATTTGTCCACAGCTCCATAGGGATTGCCGGAGGAGGCGGGATTAATGACCTATACTGCAGCCCATCAGCAGAGGGTGCTGTTATTGCGGTGGCTTCACCAAGCGAGGAGGCAGACGGCGTCCATTCTATATACAGTCTATGGTCTGTGCACAAAAGTGGAGACGTTTTCTGTCAGTTAATCAGAGTGTAAAGTGTCAGCTTTCAAACTACTGAGATGTCCACATTTTCTTCCTGATGCCCTCTCCATCAGTGTCAAAAGTACAGCAAAGTAGAAAGTAAAGGACAGCTTGCATTTAAATGTGTAGATTTTAAGGGAAGACAACTCTGCTGTAATGGACTGCAGTTTTCAGTTTTCTAACTGAGCATTACCAACCCTTCAGTGTCTAATTCTATTCACAGATAAGGGTTTAAGATTAACAACAACTGACAATCGTACTGTTGCAGTAGCCTACTGCCAGCTCCAAACCTACATAACCTGCTAAACTGCAGCAGCAGCACTCAGCAGGTGCTCCATGATCAGTGAGTGCTGCTTCTGTGGTCACTGGGAGAGTGGGAAACACAAAACACACAGGCCAACAGACAAACCAAAAACAGCTAGACACTAGATACGCTCAACAGAAAAATCCACTCATGGAGCAGGGATCATGACGGAAAGTTTTTTTTTTGTTGTTATGGTTATTTTGGTTGACTGTGGTATACGTATTTTCTATGTTTGGTCTCATTAAAGTCTATTGTGAGTCATCTTTGTGGAACATTTAATTATACAATTAATGACTCGTCAAAAAACACCTCATAACTGTAAATATAAAATTACGTAAAACCTTTAATGTTTATCAAAATCAAGTAGCCTCCATGCTCAGGGGAGATGAAGTGAAGATACTGTACCACTGATGAAGATGATGGCATGATCAGACTGTCTCTCCAGCACAGCTTGAAGACCAGGAAGGTCAGGAGGAAGACCTCTCCAAAGCCGCCGGACTGAAGCCCCCTGACCTGACACCAAGCCCCCACCATTCACTCGCCACATTGTCAGCCCTGGGCAAGAGGCAGCACACAGAATCACACAATGATATGATTCAAGGGTAATTATTAAAGAGATTTTATTTAAATCTGTCGTTTTCAGACCTTTGAAGAAGAAAGTCTCTCCTCTGATCTTCGCTACAGCGTCGAAACTATTGTTACAGCGATCGATGACAGAGCTGCAGGCGAAGAAATACACCGAGTAATAAAAACAGTTTAATTTATTGGGTTAAATCTGACTTTTTTTAGCCAAGGAGAATAAAATCCAATTATTCACACATTTCTAAAGAGTAATTTTTTTCTACTAGATAAGAACTGAAAAATAAATAAATAAATAAAAACATATATGCTTTTATATACACATGCTTTTTTATTGTGTAGGTAAAAAATTCAGCAAATAAGAATAGATTTCAACTCTGAGAGTAAAATTTTACTCAACAAAAAATTAGATAGCTTTAGTAAAAAAAATCTATCTATCTATCTATCTATCTATCTATCTATCTATCTATCTATCTATCTATCTATCTATCTATATTTATATATATACTACAGGCCAAAAGTTTGGAAGCTAGGCCATTACAGGCCAAACAGTTGGGAGTAACTTCAAGTTTTTGTTCACAATGCTTTTTTTTTAAATCCAGCATGAGTTTTATGCATTTTGGGATGTATTTACTCCATGATCAGATGTTGCTTTCATGGAAATGCACCATTTTACTCCATTTACCTTTAGATATACATTGATGTTAACAGACCATTGCTAAATATATGTCAGCAAAAGATAATAAGGGCTTAGTTTTAGGGTTGAAAACATTTGCAAGAGTCACAACTTCAGTGCTAAAGCAAAAAAACAAATTAATCACAGTTGGATTATTCACTTCAACTTTTTGGCTTTTGAGAGTCTGCATACAAAAATCCTAATAAATCTCAACTGCGTTCAAACTACCGCAAAAATGGCTAGAAAGAAGCAACTGAGTAAAGAAACAAAAGGACAGATTTGTACATTGAGGAAAGAAGGATACACAGAAAGAGAAATTGCAAAATGCCTAAAGGTATTTAACAAAGGAGTCCACTACACTCTGAAGAGACTAGAGGAACATGGAAGTTATAATGATAGAAAAACACCTGGATGAAAGAGAGTTACTACAAAAGCAGAGGATAAACATAGCATTGTCACCAGTAAGAGAGATCGGCTAAAGACAGCACCAAAAATAAGGGAGGAAATCAACATGACAAGGCCGAAAGCCATATCTCTGACAACTGTGAAAAGATGTTTGAGAAAGGCTGATCTGAAGGGTTGTGTATCTGCAAAAAACCGCTACTTCATCCACAGAACAAGAAAAAGAGATATGAGTGGGCAAAAGCTCACAAAAATTGGACTTATGATGACTAGAAACAAGTTTGCACTGTTTGGTTCAAAACGCAGAGTCTATGTCCGCAGACAAACTGGTGAACGTCTGAAAGCACCATGTGTTACACCCACAATTGAGCATGGAGGTGGTAGTTCCATGGTATGGGGATGTTTCGCAGGTGATGGAGTAGGAGATTTGTTTGAAGTAAAGGGTATCATGAAGAAGGAACAGTACCACTCCATCCTCCAGCACCATGCTGTTCTATCTGGACTCAGACTTGTGGCTCATAAGTTTGTTTTGCGGCAAGACAGTGACCCTAAGCACTCTGCCAAGCTCTGTCAGGGTTACCTAGACAAAAAAAGAAGAGGAAGGTGTTCTTTAAGAGATGGTTTGGCCCCCTCAGTCTCCAGACCTTTCTCCAATTGAGATTGTGCGGGATGAATTGGATCGATCAGTCAGAAAAACATGTCCCACGAATCAGCAGTCTCTTTTAATGAACTTAAGAAAGCTTGGAATGCAATCCCTGGAGCATACCTTAGAAAACTTGTGGAACGAATGCCTGGTATATGCCAAGCTGTTGTTAAAGCCAGAGGCGGTTACTTTAAAGAAAGCAAAGTCTAAGCAACAATAAATCAAAGACCTCATAATTATAGTCAAAATGTCTTCTGATAAGTTAATCTTTACACATGTTTATTGTGTTGCAAATTATATATATGAAACTATGATCTTTTTTTGTACAAATCTGATCTTGCTTCCAAACTTTTGGCCTATAGTATATATATATATATATATATATATATATATATATATATATATATATATATATATATATATATATATATATATATATATATATATATATATATATATATATATATATGTATACAGAAACACAAGAACTGAAGACATACATTATATCTATTAGATCTCTTACGTGTATCTGTGATAATGGCGGTCTTGACTTCTTTGGCTCAGCTGAAGCTGTGGATTGAGGCGGGGAGCATCCGTGGCCAGCAGCTGGTTCCTCTTACCTTCAGAAAAACAAAATCCTCGTAAATATGAAGTTAATATTACAGGTAGAGACTCTCACAGCCAACATGACAGGCATGCATTTGGGCTGTGGGGTAAGCTAGAATGCCTGGAGGCAAGAGATATGTGGAGGAAATGCAAACTGAAAAGAGGCAGCAGCACTGACTACTGCATTACAACAGAGGATTAGTGCAACATTAGGGAGCAGATTTAGAAGATGAAAGTCTTAATATCATTAAAATCAAGTCAAAAGTTTATGAGAAGATGGTCACAAGAGAAAGTGACAAAATTAAGAGATTTAGATTAGATTAGAATAGACTAGATATCGCTTTATTCATCCCTCAGTGGGGAAATTAAAATTGTCGACAACAGTAGTACACATAACATGCACATTCACACATACTAGTTACAAAAACAAATAAATAAAGATAATGGAACTGATGTCAAATAGAAAGGGCAGTGCAAGGGAAGAGTTTAAAAGACAAGTATAATATATATATATATATATATATATATATATATATATATATATATATACAACCTATTTACTCTTACTGGAAAGTAAAAACACACTAGGCGGTAGAATATCTGGGACACATCTTCTCTGCATGGCACAAACTCTGTCTTTGCCAAATATCTAAGAAACAAACTCGTTTTTGTCCAAAAATTTGACTGACAACCAAAAGAGGACGAAATTAAAATCAGATAGCAGCTGCTAGATCCTGGTGCAGATGAAAATGAGGTCTCACTGCTAAGCTGCTGCTGATCTGGAGGAAGCATGCATGACATTATGCTAAGGAAGAATGAATGAGGAAGTCCTCTTTAAAACCCACATTTTCTTGCAGTTTCCTGATTTAATCCTCTGAATATTGACAACCCCAGGCTTTCAGTGTCTGAGTTTAAAATCAAGGATAAAACAGGAGCAAACAGAGCTGTCCGTCTGTACTTTTGCATTAAAACAGCAGAGGTCAGCCAAGGCAACAACCCCCAGCTGTTCTGCTTTTTATAAAGCTCCAGCTGCACGTCTGCTCTTAAATCTGAAGATTTTCAGTCAAAATAATGAAGTCTCGCATTTCTCTCTGTCCTAGTCCTGTAATATTACAGTTAGAAATCAGTTTAAAAGTTGTTCTAATAGTTTCAGATCAGCACAACCTGGACTTTGACCTTTTTTATTTTGAGGTAACAAGAAAAATTGAGTCCAGAAAAGAGCCTGAAAAGGTGTGAATGTATTAGATTTTCATATCTTCCATGTTTGAGATGAGCTTTTTCATATGTTTGATGTACCTTGGCTTGGGCTGTAGCTCATTATCTGTACTATTGGGGAGGCAGTTCATCGTGTACTGAATGGTATAGTACTGTATCTGATCTCTTGTCTCCAGTTGTCTATTGCATCGCTAATATTACATCATATTGTGTCAAATCCTATCCTATCATCTTGTATCATAATATATCATATCTTTTTGTATCATATTTTCATATATTGCATTATATGACATTGTATCATCTGTTGTGGTCTGGTATCATATTGTATTGATTTAATTTGCATTGTACCATATTGTATCAAATCACATTGTATCATCTCATACCGTACTGCACTGTACCATACAGTGTTGTATCTTATCGTATCGTATTGTATCGTATCGTATCGTATCGTATCGTATCGTGTCGTATCTTATATCATTGGTAGGCTCTTTCTGTTTGCACTGGGCTGTTGCTTTTTGCATGTTGTCATAGTGTCGTATTGTGTCCTCTTACATCATGTTGTATATTATACCATATTGTACCACGTTGCATAATATAACACAGGATCTTTTCTTTTCTGAAGACACAAAATTTGGTTATATCCAAAAGCTCTAAACCAGTTTGATCCATTTAAAAAAGAAAGAAAGAAAGAAGAAAAAGAGGCCCATGTTAAAGGATCAGTCTAAGGATGGAGCCTATCAAAAGTAATATGATCAGGTTGAGGTCACAGGATTGAAACAGATTAACTTGAAGAATGGGTTCATTTCAAAGAAAAAATAAAGAGTTGAGGGAGTCAGATCAGATTGATTCATTGAACCTCATTTTCACATTGATTCAGCCTCTGGTTCGAGTTGTATGATCCTTTTGTGTAGGATTGGGATTAACTCTCCACCCCTTACAGAGGGATGGAGTCAGACTGAATTGTGGGAGCTTAATGCAAGTAAAACCTCACAACAATAAAACATTTTTACAGGGATGCATTCAATGCATTTTTGAGAAATATTTTTGCACTCAGTTTTCTGTATCTCTACCAGGACAGGGAAGATAAAATATATATCCAGGTTCTGAAATCATGAAAGACTGTGTTCACTTTAAACATGTCACCAAATAACGTTAAGATAAAGTAAACAAATCTGTATTTAACACAGTTGTGAAGATCTAACAGTTTTTGTGGATTTTGGTGCCTTTGTGTCGAGTATGGAGTATGAAATTTTATTTAAGGTATAGGTAATCTGACTTTGTGACATTGTAATAGTCTGTCTCTGGTATATCCAGTGTTATTTTTTATCACTGGAACAAAAATGAGCTGGAAGTCCAAATCTGAACAATTTTGACCTCACATTTTGAACTTCTGAGCCTGTTTAGTGAAATGTCTGTCTTTTCAGACACAGAAAAATTAAAGGTTTTTATTTCACAGACTCAAACCTCACCATAGAGCTGGGTGATGTGCTCCAGATCCTGGGGTCCCAGGCGGAAGTGTAGAGGGTCTCCTGCAGGACCCTGATAGTACGGCCTCATCACTGAGTGCCGAGATGAGGAGTGAGAGAGTCCGAGTGCGTGTCCGAATTCGTGAACCAGCACAGTGAAGAGGTCAGTGCCCTCAGAGGCTGAAGGAGCGAAAAAGAAGAGAATTCAAATATTCAGTTGGGGACATAGAAACTCATATAAAAACTTTAATAATGTAAAATACATAACAATTGATTAACATTTGAGCAATCGTGGCAGAGCCTTATATTTAGATGTACATGTTTCAGAAGAAGTAGAAGTTTTCTAATCACCTGGCTGTCTAAAGGCCCACGCTTCCTCTGCATCCAGGTGAACTCCTCCTGCCCGGGTGGGGTCTGAGGGGAAGAAAGCATGGCCGACTGCACCACCTGCCCCATCAAAGGGATAGCCATCACCATGGTAACCATGCAGAAAGTCTACCTGTAGGTCTGCAGCCTCTGGACTCCCCACCTAAAAAGAAGAAAAAGGACTTCATGTTAAATTTTGGGGGTTTCAGTGATGCAAGGGGTTGTTGTGGAAACCTGCCATACTGACACGGTTTCCTGCCAAAAACTAACTATTAATTCAGTATCAGACACATATAAAGACCTCGTGAAATTCCAGCGGCGTAGGCTCTGACCAGACTCTTAAAGCGTAAAAAACCAGAGAACGAATAGTTTCCCGGGACAGATGAGAGGAAGACGGGTATGAATGCAACCTAAGATCAGAGAGAGAAACCACAGATGACTCAGAGAAAGTTTATGTTTGCATGCACAAAATAGTGACTATAGTGTTAAGCCTTTGTGGTGGTTAACTTTGGACAGGAAACCATGCCCTTGCAGCATATGAACTACCCAAAACTGCACTATGAAGCAAAAAGATCTTGGTGCACATGTCGCTGATCAGCTGACAGTTCAGGCAATTTGTCCTCCTTGTATACAAATAAGCTAAATTCCAGAACACTTCCAGCTTGACAAACTCAATAACAGCTGGACAAAGACAGACCAACACCTTTTTTTTTTTTTGAGAATTGTCATTTCTATGCCCACTATCAGATCTATTTTGATGCTAACACACTAGCATTAACTTCCTGTATCATTCTTCTGTATAGGTCAGAGGTAAAATGGAGATAGGTAGGTTTTGAATATCGTTGCCTTTGATGAAGCAGAAGGCTGTTCAAACTTATGAGGTGGTGCCTCTGGTGGCCTATAATTTTAAGCCCAGACTCAAGTCCCCAAGTTCTTCCTAAAAAACAACCAGGCCTTAACAAAGACATTTAACAGTGACAGACCCCTAAAAGTGATCTGGATAAAACTAGGTAAAACCTTCATTTTATGTTGTTTGAAAACTTTTGAGTTGGATTGAGATAATTTCAGTTCTTATGGCTGTTACTGATCCCTCAGAGAGCTGGATTTAGGCTCGATTAAAGGAAACAAAATGACATAAAAGTTCTCAAAATGTGAGAACTCTTTTGTAAATTTCCATGGACTTTTTCCCATGGAGAAAATGAAGAGTTTATAAAGTTCTGTATGAAGATCACTGGATGAGCCAATACTCCCAAATGAACCATTTCTGAGTTCTGTGTACAGAACAGATGGTTTGTCTCAAGCGACAACCTACAGTTTTGAAAAATTACACCCAAAGTGCTAAAAACCAAGTACCTGCTTGAGGCTGACTGCAGAAGCCCAAGAACATGAGGCCAATTAAGCCCATTTTAAGAGCAAAAGTAAACATGTTTACAGCCTGGTTCAAAAACAGTTTTGTTCTGAATCTGGCTCCCACGACACCCACTGTACAGGGAGTGAACTTTTTTGTAATGAGTTCATTTTGATGATATTAAGGTTATAAGATTGGTGAATCAGAGGAACAGCAGACTTGACACTCAGGCTGGTGCAGCTAAAAAAACTGTTTCTGGTAGGTTTACCTGAATTTAGGTGGAGTCACAACCTAATTTTTGTGACCACAACATGGTACGCTTCAAAAGTGCTGTGCATGCACAAAGACTGTGAGGCCAGCTGGGTCCCAGGTTATAATAGTTTGGTCCTTTTTAGAAGTCTGTCATGAATCAGAGTTATCTGAAGCTGTTTTTTTAGAGACAAAAGTAAGATGTATTACTTCATCCTTGAGCAGCAAACAACTATTTTTTCCAAATCTGGACCATCTTTGATCATAAAAAACAAACACATAGACAAAGACATATGGTTGGTTGTTTGTTTCATAGTAAAGAAGTGAAAGTTTTTCTGACCTCCAGTTGATGTTTCTGCGGTTCCACATGGAGACAGCTCTCCTTCTTCTCCTCCTCCTCCTCCTTATGTTCTTCCCCTCTTGGCTGACCGCCGACTTTGTTAACGCATCCTCGTCTGGAAGTGAGCAGCGTGGACTGTTCATCAGTGCCATTGTGTCCTCGTCTGAACACACCAAAGACCAGAATTATTTTTTTCAAGTTCAAGAAGAAGCAGTCTAAATATCAAATCTTCATCTTTAAACTTTTCAGAGCCCCTGTCTGTGATCCTCACCGACAACTCCAGTGTCCTTGAGGCCTGCAAACCTCTGCATGGCTTTGACAGCATTAGTGACGGCTGTCCATGCCTGCAGCTGACCCGTGGATGGGTCAGGGGGTGGAAGGTAGCCATACTTCATCAACCAGTCCTGTGAGCGGAAATGAACATAGTCATTTCAAATTTAGCATTCATGCTGACCAAACAGTAACCTGTAATGTTGTTGTAATCCGCAAACACAAACTTTGACTGAAACTGTCAGCATTTTGATTTTAGATTACACACTGTTACGAGTGGATGGAGCTCTGTCATTAGAGACAGAGTTCAGAGTTCATTGTTTTCATCTTCAGGAGCTAGCACATGCAAACAGGAAGATATTACAAAGACTTGTCATTTACAGATTGCCACATGCTGCTTTTCTACATTCCCTTTGACAACTGTGAATACTGTCATTGATCCAGGGCTGTTTCCTTCAAGGCAGTTCAGTTTTATGACTTCTTGGTGTAATGACATAAAGAGTGGATAAGAAGGCGGAGTTAAAATGGTCATAATATTGTTGGTATCAGAGTGTTCAGACCAAGGTGGGTGATGACAGTAAAACAACCTGCAGAATACTGAGGTGCTGCCAGAGAGAGGTGTAACTGTATTAAAATGCAGTAGAGGGTTCAAGTGATTTGCAAAGTATTGAATTTGTCTATTTTTATCAGCTAATAAGGTTGTTATAAATTCAATTTTTTAGAAACTGGAACCAGTTTTTTTTGTCTTACCACCAGCTGTGTGCTCTCATCCTCAGTGGGGGTCACAGGGATAGAGGAGGGTCCTGGGGTCACATTAGCAGTGCAGGCTTGTTGCATCCATTCATGCCCCGCCAACAGAAACAGTATCAACGTCCTCATCTTGACTGCATAATTTTGCAGATAATATTTACTTCAGAGAAATCTTCAAGTCTTTTAGAGCCTACGATGATTGTCTCTGCCTTAAAGGAAAATCAGATAGTGAAGTGTGCATTAATAAGACAATATCTGGGTTTGCAATCATTGCTTCAACTTTTAAGACAATGCATAAAAAATACATTTTAGAGGCAAATATTCCAAGTATAAGAAGAAAAGCAGTTGAGCAAAGTCATTTTACTCATGGTCCAGCATTTTGATTACGGCTTAGATAAACAGCTAATGTATGTCCTCTATTCTAAATGATTACATTTTTATTCAAACCTCATAACAACTGTGATCAATTTGACAGAGAAAAGGCATCACAAGAGGCAACGGGCTCTATTTTCGTGCTTCGCCAGAGACGTGGCCCAGGCGCAGCTTAAGTCAGGCCTGCCGCGCCGACAAGGCATGCCCAAGCACAATTGGGTATTTTGGTGAGCGGCGCAGCCGGGCGTAAGTATCCCCCCTTCCTAACTCAGCTCCTCCCAGCGGCGTAAGTCGTAGCAAGGGAGGAGAGAGGGCGTGGAGTGTGTTTAACACAGCCGAGACCTGTTTTCACCAATCACATAAGCTCCTCTCCTCGCCTTTAAATCCACCACCGGCGAGGCATATTACAATTTTCGTGAAGTAGTCAAAGAGATCAAGAGATGTCTGAAGACAGTTATGCCACACGATGGCGACAGAAGGCAGCTCCTCAACAAGTGTCGCTGTAAAAGCTGCAGAGGGCGTCCTTCACACTCTCTCATATGAGCACAGATGGATTTGGTGTGTGTAATGTTGGACCCACTAGTAAGACAAACACCCTTTCCACAAATAAAAACATTCACGTAAAGTTGCATATATTTAAACCTCACGTGACAAAGGTGGGTTGTGCGCACATATCACATCATAAATTCCAAAAATGGCATTAAAATGGGAACCATCTGTGCGTAATGACGTGTCACGCTCCGTGGCCTGGCTCTTTCTTTCATAGATGTTGGCATATAAAATAAACTTGGCCCACAAAACTGAATATTATAATATTCATATGTCGGCTTAAAGTAAATAACTCATCTGAGCACTGAAACAAATCATCTGTTCAGCCGCTGCAGCAGCTGCAGCAGGACGGGGAGAGGACACGGAGACATGTCCAGGTTGAGCTGTGCGAGAAATAAGAGGAAAAGGAAGAAAAAACAGGAGGGAGACGAATTACATATCTTGTTAACTTCATCATGTTTCTATTTACTAGATATTTAATTTAATTTAATGCGGTTTCAGCTGTGTTGATTCGGTTAGGTTGTGTGTCCAAACGAGTGCCATACGCGCTCATCAGATCAGATATAGATCAGAATATATCTATATAGATCTAAATGTATGTGCTGACTCAGATTATTAGTTGTTGATTATTTATTGCACTGAAATGTGCCTGACACTGTGGAAACCTGCCGGTGAGGCATCGGTGACGTATGCTGATACGCCGCCGGTCTAACAAAATACCACTAGACCAGCTGCGCTCCGCCTGCGCTGAAAGCTGACCAGGTTTGAATGGGCGAGCTTTCAGTGCACTTTATACGCCGGTGGTGAGCACGAAAATGTCACTGCGCCCGCTAATTCTGTCGACACCTCCCCCTGCCACGCCACCACGCCCAGCTTGGCGGATCTCGGTGTGCCTCAGTCCACGAAAATCCGCCGCCTCACCAGTGGACACGAAAATAGAGCCCAATGTCATCACACACATATCGAATGAATCTTGGAAAAGGAGTCAGCACATTTCCTTTCTGCCTGTTGACACTGTGGCAAATATGCTAGTCTGTCTCAGGCTGGTCTCCAGAGTGAGGAGTTCATGACACATAGCAGCACAGCAGTGGAATAATAAGTAGATGAATACCTGAACTTTTCCCTGTGAAGTTATCCGCAAAGAGGCTGATAAGAATCTGTTCTGTATGTTATCATCCCTTAATCATGAGTCAAGTCAAGTCAAAGGGTCGATCACCCCTGGTTTTGAGGCGAGTTTTAGACATATCCAGGAGCAGCTGATTGTTTGACCTCTGAGCTCTAGCTGGACTGTTAACATGAAGTAGCTCACCTAAGTAAGGTGGTGCTGATCCATCCAGGGCCTTAAAGTCAGCAACAAAATTTTGAAATCAAGCCCCTGACAGACTGGAAGACACTTATTACCCCACTATTAGGCAAAGACAAGTTGGCACTAAGTATTAATCTTAGAGCCGAAGGAAACCCATTGTGCGTATCCATATTCCAATACAGAAATATAATGTTACAATGTTATATTTAAAACCTGGAGCTGTCCCATCTATAATGACCCTCATGACAGCTGTATGTGACACTGGGAGAACACCTGAAGCAACAGTAGTAAATGTACATGCTAGTATGTCTACATCAGGGGGTAATTTTAAGGCATTAATTGCAAATGCACAGCTTTAGGTTGTTTTATGGCTACAAAGCTGTGTGAAAATTAATCACCCCAGCTGTGTCTACTTTCTATCAGTGCAAAATCAGCTAAAAAGAAGCATTTCAGGTAGAGACTAAACAATGCTGAAATTAGGGTTTTCAGAAATGCTTGCACAAGATAAATAAGGAGATTTCTGAGCTGTAAATAATACCAAGCCACTCTCCAAGGGTCCCAGACTGATGTGATGGCAGGTGAAAATGAATATAATAGGTCTTCTTTGGTTGGCTGGAGAACTATTTAGGAAAACAGCTGATAAAAAATAGTCCCTTAGTTCATATTAGAGTTTTTCTGTTAGCATTTTTCACAAATGCAGGGAATATTAGCAGTAACTGCAGTGCTCATACTCACTTTTCTGTGAATATCTTATTCTCACCGTACCAATGCTGTAACTCTGACAAAGCCCAAACGGTATTGTGGTTTGTTTTTTCTTCATACTGTATCTATTTTCTTTATTCAGTTTAGTTTTATGCTCTTATGATACACTGTAAGTAACATTAAAACGCCATCCATGTTAAAACCTGATGCTATCAGAAACTTCTTTGCAACAAAGTCAATAGGCTAAGACAATAGGTGCTGGAGCCCTTAGCACAGATTGGTTTAATTTGACCTGTGTGATCAGGTTGTATCTGGATCTTGCCATTCAGAATTATTGGCTTATGTCATTGAGTTTTGACCGATCAGATCCGAGTATATAATACAGCTCAGTGATCACTGAGAAAGCTGGGTAATAAATCAAGGTGGAAGAGAAAACATTACAGCCCAGAGTGCAAAACACAGAGTTGAAATAGAAATAGAGCACAGTTCAGGTGAAGAGCTGCAGAAATACGGTTTAAAGAGACAACCAACTCTGTATCATAAAGGTGCAAGTCATCAAAATAATGCGTGTAATCTTTGTATAAGATCACATTAACACTCCTCCATTACACATGAAAACAACAGAGGATGCACCTTTCAGAGAGTCTTTACCTGCTGGTGCATAAAGATATGACAATACAGAAGTGAGTAAAATAGATAGGCTCTGTACACTAAGAGCATATCCTGTCAGATGATTAAATCCCCTCAATACAAAATCAGGACAAACATGACAGCCAAAGTCACAAAGCATGAATGAGTGAACGCCATCAGAGAGTGAAGATGACGGGAAACATCTATACTGTATTCCCAGTGGGAGGGGATGAAACAGCCTCAATCAGAAGATGGAGGGACATTACCATAAAAGGGGGAGGATGGACGGCCAAACAGGACGCTCTGGATGTCAGTGTGTGGATCATTGTCACACAGAAGAGGCTCCGTTTAATTATGTTACAGGGTTTACTATTTCAGTTAAAGCAGGAGGGGGCAGAGAAGAAAGGATGAGAGGGAGGGACGAAAAGAGAAGGAGAGGAGTGTTAGAGTAATGAGGTTAAAGCGGCAGAGAGAGCAGGAAGGTGGACTGTGAAAGGCTAATGAATACAGTCCTTTACTTTTTACTGGTAGTTTTGTTTCATTTATTGCAAACAGAAATCAAACAGTAGATAATTTCATGAATACAGAGACAGATATTCCTTTACTTTCATGTCAAATTAGCCTGGGACCACAAGAAAATATGACATATGACTGTCCTGGTTATTTTTGCAACAACTTATTTGGCCTTTATTACCTTTTTTTTCTGCAGAAATATCCAGCTGTTATTGTGAGTAATACCCGAGAAAATATGGTGATCTGGGGCATTTTATGAAAGTTATAAAGTTAATTTTCTGTGGCAGCAGAGACATCACCTTTATATCAAAAAGTACCACTGTTTTCATCTGCTTATGGTTGTGATTAAGATGACATTATATGGTTAAAAAAAAAAAAAAAGATAACAATTCACAACAATGAGCTGCTTTTTACCTCACATAGGTTAAAAAAATCACTATTTGAAGCACAGCAAAATTTGTTTTTTAAAGTTGAACATATGATGAGATTGAAGCTAATGAATCAAAATAGACTATTTCAGTTTTACTCTTCAGTATATCAGCACTGCAACTGAACTGACAAGTAGATCACTATAAATCAGTAGACCCATAGATCAATACTCAGATTGGATCAAATAAACTCATGTCTTCTAAGTCTGCTTGAAATCCAGGAGTCATGATCAATGACCAGCGAACCTTCAGGGTTCATGTTGCTTTGATTGCTCAGTCCTGCAGGTTTGCCCTCTATAACAGAAAGCATATCAGACCCTACCTGACAGAACAGGCAACGCAGACTCATGTAATATCCCCTAACTCCTTACTGGCAAGCCTCCCTGCATGCACAGTTAAACCTCTGCAGATGAACCAGAATGCAGCAGCACCTCTGGTCTTCAACAAGGCCAAGACAGCTCATGTCACTCCTCTGTTCATCTCCCTTGACTGGCTTCCAGTCACAGCTCTCATCAAATTCACAACTCTAATAATTGCTTACAAAGCAATAACCCAAACTGCTACTGTTTACCTATAGCCCCTCATCCATGTCTACACCCTTTTAGCCCGCTTCGCTCAGGCACAAAAAGGCGCCTAGTACCTCCAGCACATCAGGACCCTAAATCACTTGCCCTACTCTTCTCTTCTGTTGTCCAGAAATGGTGGGATGAATTACCCAACACCATTAAATCCACAGAGTCCCTCTCTTCATTCAAAAGACAGCTAAAGACCCAGCTCTTTAGAGAACACGAGAGACTGGACTCGTCTCCACTGTTGTCCTCAGTGGTTCAATGAGTCTTCCAGCTACAGCTGATTCTCACTGTCCTGCTCCACTTCTGACATTTTTGTGCCCAGCACTTGGTACTTTGGTCATTATTGTTGTGACAAGTTATTGATTATTGGTTATGAGGAGAGGTCTTACATTGATGATTGGTTGCTTCATTGTTGATGTTCATCCAAAAATTAAAAAAAAAAAAAAGCTTCCACACACTTTGTGCATTACCTTTAACGCCTGCGTCTAAGTAGACATGAAATGCACTTTGTAGCTCTTATTATGTTGTTTCTTCTTGTCTAGATCTTTGCTTGTGTTGTTCTTGCTCTCAAATGTACGTCACTTTGGATAAGAGCATCTGCTAAATGAAATTGTAACATTGTAATTTTATAAATCTTAAAACCTGTATACTATCCTTTTCACATTGAAATAACATTGGCAATGCACATTTAGTGTTTCAAAACAATTAAATAAAAATTGAATTTTCACAGATAGATGAATCTCCTTCATAAAAAAAAGGCATTATAAACTTAAAACCTGCCAAACAAGACCATCCTGCTCTGTAGTGTCTTCATTGTTTTCTTGTCGTTACCTACTCAAAACATTTGCTTCATGTTTCATAATTTGTCATTTTACAAACATTGTCATCTTATTTAGGATGGCAACAGTGGAGGAGGCTACCAGAGGACTGAGCAGTCAAAACAAAGAGCAGTTGAGGGCAAAAAGAGACAGTGGCTGAAATTAAGCATTGCAAAAAATATTGTTTGTGCCTGCAGAGCTATAGACTGCAGTTTCAGGGCGGCAATTCTAGGATCACATCTCTGTGATTCTGGTGGTGTTGCAGCAGTTCTGGTTATGGTTAGGGTGACAGTCACAGTAAGACACTGAAATAGTGTCTAACTCAAAAAATGTGGTTCTGAGCAGGATTAGTTGATACTATTGCATACAGGATCTTATGTAGTCAAATTGTGGTTCCACAAATGTGGTCCTAAATCTGCAGCCTCTGAGTCTGCAGACAGGTGCTGCTTGTTTTAAGGCAAACCATTAAAGCTGTTGATTCTTAAGAACAAAACAATCAGCTGAAAGAAGCCCCTACACTAAATTAAAGTAAACAAAGCACAACATTTCTTCGCATCTCTTACCATAATAGACCTTATTTTCACCACACAGTCTTATGATGCAGTTAGATATGATCACCAACATTTACAACAAAATCAAACAAACAAAAAAAAAAAAAACACAGTCCAATATACCTTAAAAATAGATGTACCTTTTCTCTCCTATCAATTAGAGTGTTCTTTCTAATGCTCCTGTAATTTAGTCTTTTTATAAAAGTATCTGTCAATGACAAAGCACCACATTGTCTGATAAAGCCCTAAAGGAATATTTCTCTCTCACTAAACTAAACTTTTGTTTATCAAGAAAAAAAAGAAAAGCGATGGAAATGTCTAAGAACAGTGAGAGTCTAGATAGTTTTTGCTGTCCCTTGAGGGCTCAGTGATAACATTTTATGGGCTGGTTCCTGGATTATATTTCTTCGTTTATTTGAAGTTTACAAGTTTTGACTGAACAAAACAGCCATTGAATTCTCCCCATGACTCATGCAGTGAGAACCTGGACCTATTTGAACAATTCTGTCACAGTAAAAGTTTTGGTTTATGGAGGATTAATTTGAACCATAAACTGATTTCATTTCTTACTGTTGTGTTGTTGTGAAATGAAAGTCTTTTGGGGTGAGGGAGGAGTTTTTATGACCTTGCTTTTTAGTTTAAATCTGCCCTGCAAAGATTTTCAAACCTCAATTTCCCAGGGGACTGAAACACTGTGCAGAAGTCCCATCACTATTTTTGCATTTGTCTGCACTGTAATCCTGTTTATTTGGATTTGACACATGCATTACTGTCCCCATCTGTATCTGAAGTCCAACACCTCTCACTGAAACACATGCATATATAAGACAAACATCACCCAACTTCACATCCAGTCTAAACTACAGCAATCAAGAGGAGTCAAACCACACAGCAAGATGTTTTCATGCTTACCTTCTTCTTCTTCTTCCTCTTCTTCTGCATCCGTCCTCCCTCCTTCTCTCTTTATCTGCCTCTGGATGAACAGATGGGTCCTTTCTCTTCTCTTGCTTCTTCAGTCAAAGCTTGCTTGTAACCCCCGCCCCTTAAACCTCCACCCACCCACCCGCTGACACATGCATGTCGCTGAAAAGCCCCTCTCTCACTCAAGAAAATTTTGATTCAGAGTCACCATTTTCTTGGTCAAACATAAATAAAACAATATGATTTTATTGCACTTAACAGTGAAATTTAAACAATTACTGCGGTCAGCTCTCTCTGGATTTCTGTGTTTAACTCAGTTTGAGGATTAGTCAGTGTCACATAGCAGAGATGGCTTTAGATTTTGTGCGTGTTTGCATGTGTGCAACAGCTGCATATTCCTGTGTATCTTCACTCATGGTAAGGCATTAACATTTTACACACAATCCTCTTAACGCACAGATTAAAAACTAAAAATGAGGAAGAACAGATTTGCTTCTATCTGTCTCCCTGTTTCCTTTTTTCTCATGTGCTTTCTTTGTGTTTAAGCCTTTGGACTGATTCCGACAGACAGTCTAGCCTCTTTTTTTGACAGATATCTTTCTAGTACACTCTTGAGATTTACTGATGAATTAGATGTTGAAGAAGTTGCTATGGAGAGGGATTTCTTTCTTTAAATACTGATCACAGCTCGATAAAAGTGCATGTTCCTCTTTTCCATGCTGCTTCAGCTTCCTGTCAATACTAATAATCTTTCTCTCTCTCTTGAGTTGTGTTTCTATTAGCGTCTGAAGCGTCCCACTGGGATAATTTAGTTCCATCTAATCTGCTCTTTGTCTGCTGGGGGATCACCAAACCTGATTCCTCTGATGCATTTCTACAGGGCAGGCAGATCGAGTGACTGACTGATGCGCCACACGCTCCAGAAAGTGGAAGATAAGTGAGATGAAATATCAGAATTTAAAAATGTATATGCTTTTCTTCTGCAACAAGATATTTCTTAAGTAGTGCTGTTGCTGTCGGTTCAAGTGTTTTGTCCCCCCAGAACTGATTGGTAGATTTTTTGAGATTAAATTACTAAGCATGGGTTTCTCCAGGCTTTAACTCAGAGACAGTGTACAGTGAGGAGGGGTGTATGCAAAATTGATTCTTGATAGTGTGAACAAGACCCTGTTCCACAACAGGCCAGAAACTGAAGACACAAATAAACTGACACTTGGCATTGATCTGAAGATGATTTTATTGATTTAAAAATGATTTAAATGTCCCCAGATTCAATGGTGGGAAGTGCTTCCATGGCTGCTTACAGCTCAAACTGAACATACAGTGTGTAAAAATGGGACAGTTAACCGGTATCTAGACATCAGATTTTAGACTGAAGCTCTCCCCTCCTACTAAACACATTTACAGCCAGGTTCAACAAACAGCTCTGCTCTGAGGAGCTTGGGGCTCCCATGACACCCACTGTAAGGGGAGCGACATGGGGGGGCTGAAGGTCTATCTTTGATGGGTTGACAGAAGTCAGATTAAGTCAGCATTTCCAACATCCACTGATAACTCAGCTTTACAAACAAATGGGCGCCGTCACCGACATTATGTCCAGTTATGATACTGTCATGGTTCTGGTTCTGTGCCACTGTAAAAACATGGCAGTGCAAGATGGTGGCCTCCATGGAAGGGTGCCCCCTCCTGATAGATAGAAGAGACTCATTCGAAGTAATCTAAAACACTATTATTTTTATTTCACACTGATTTAAACATACTTATAGATATATATATCATATACCATTTCTCTCAAGTCCATTGTCGTATCTACAACACACTGTATCTTTAAAATCAATATTTCATTTATGAAGTCTTAACAAAAGCTCACTTCATTGTTTATCAATTTCACAAAATATGCTTTTTGTTGGCATTTTTAACAGATGTAGGAGATAACAGCAACCAATCACTGAGCCTGGGGGCCTCCAAAACCCTGTTTAGTGTGGCTTTGCTTTTCTAGACAAAATAAATAACAATATAATTTTAAATCACAAATCTATTGAATCTATTTTTAATGAGCTTATTACATTCATGTATTTATTTTAGAAATAAGAGAACTCTCTATGATAGCTTTGTGATGCCTTTATAATCCATTTTCTTCCTTCGTATGTAGGTAAAATGCCATCTTCTTTCTATTTCATGAAATTTTAAAGTCAATTATTCGGTCTATTACAGTGTTTAGATCCCACCTTTTCAACTAAATTTATACTGCTACATCTTTTCCTCTAAAAGGTAGAAATTTTGCATTAAAATGAGATTTAACAACAGAATAGTACAGTATTTTTATGCAATCACTCTGTCTTCCTTTTATCAAGTTTTTCTACCTTAAAAATCCTGGAACCTGAATTTCCTGGTTGTATGGAGATGAAATGTTTTCTCCATCACTGTGGCAACAGGCTACTTCCTCACGCATGCAGCTGCTGGGACAGGTCAGAGGTCACTCTGGGGTAATGGGTGATGGATGCTGGGGTGGGGACCTTGTTAATACATGAATAGAGCTGTGTGTCTGGGGCTGTGTGGGGCTCATTTTGTTGTTGTCCATAGCAACAAAAACGCTCTTTCTGGACCTCATGGTGAGTCTGTTGACTTCTCTGGGTGTCTGTCTCTGTCGTTCTGCACCCACAGACTACCTCAGTCATACTTTAACAGAAAATAAAGCTTTAAAGAGCTAAACTCCAGCTACCTGAATCCTGTTTTAGCCTGAAAAGTCTCCTCTTCTGTGGATATTTGATGTGTGGAACCATTAGCATGAACTTAGCAGCCTGTATATTAACTTTAAAAATAGTTGTTGACACGCTGACGCTGGTCTGATGGAGCTGACCTGTAGTGATGGATTATGAGATGGTGGTAAACCGCCAAAGGAGCTTCAGCTGGAGAAGAGGAGTAGTCCACAAAGAAAGCAGTGTTAAACTGAGATTACTAATGTGGACGTCAGAATGAGAGGACAGTGATGACGTTCATGGAGCCTTTGTGTCATTTATAGGATTGATTAATGCTCAGATGACAATACTGTACTGTCAAACTAGATTTAATCATAAGAACTCAGACCCTATTCAGGATAAGGCAACATTTATTTATTCTTTGTAGACTATGTATGATCTAGTATTAGGGTCACATGTAAAGAGAGATTTTTGCAGTACAAGAAAACGAGCTAGAAAAAAAAACAATAACAAAAGTGGAGACAAATAAAGACAGATTTGCAGCAGTACGAAATGACACATAAAAAGTGGAGATGCCGGGGATTGAACCCGGGGCCTCATACATGCAAAGCATGCGCTCTACCACTGAGCTACATCCCCTGTCTGGGCACAAAGGGGGATTATCGTATTATAAATAAATAATTCGGAGTGTAATGAGCCAAAACAATATTGGAAGTAGCGGAAATAAGCATTAAACGATACAGTAAACCATACATGATGACGTAAATTAGCGACAGACACATTAATTTACTCTATCTATTACAGAGTGACGCCGATTAAAATAACTAAGCTGTGTAGACAATCAAAAAGAAAGGATTTCTGGGATTTATGAGGGGAAAATAGTTCAGTTTTCAAAGCAGATTTGGACGATTATGTATGGCCTTTTAATTCACTTTGAGGATGTTAACCCCTCAAGATCCGATAAAAACCAGAGCGAACGAGCTTACTTAGCTTAAGAATGCTTTACAAAATATCGCGAGGTTAGCTGTGACGTGATATATCTTAATATTTAGTTTTTAATCTCCTTACATTCTCCTGAAAGTACCTGTAAGGATGCCTATCCCAGGTTCATACCAGAAAGAATGGAAGGTCCACACGAATGGTCAGTTTGACAAGCTTTACTGGTTGCAGATCTGGGTTACAGCTTCAGCATGCTACAAGTGTAACAAAGAGTGGTCCAAGACCATTCAAGTATATATAGTGGTTCACAATTCTAAACATACTGTTGGTATTTAGCTGACCCTAAGAGAAATCCATGTACGGTCAAAACAAAGGACAACATGTTTCAAAAGCCTTAGATGAACATGTGGAAGGTCCCAAGAAGGAAATATCATGGCAAACATAGTTTGGGGACCTACATGGTGTAAATAATGTGTACAGGGTTCCTAGCTCAGGGATGGTTGGAGGAGGCCCCCCGGCTCCAGCAATCTAACACCAAAGTGTCTGGGGTAGTTGAGTGACACAGCTCCAACACTCTAGAGGCTAGTATGACTAGCTGAAGAAACTCATCCTAACAGTCCTCCCTTTTTTTTTTTTTTTTTTTTTTATTTCCTATGTACTTTTATGTTATTATTTACAGTTATCACCTGACCAGGGTCTCTTAAAACAAAAAGATGGGTTGAATAAACAAATAGAAGAAGGGTCAGCCACCCCAAACCAGCCCACAACGGGCCGTAGGATTTGAGGCTGCCCTCTACCCTAGACCAACGACTGAAGCACCTAAACCCTACAAAACCATGAACCAAAGCCGCGAAAACAAACCTTGTCAACCCACCTAAAGATAAAAAAGACTAGTCCTATATTTTAAGGAGCTATGACACTCAACAGGTCAGTATGAAATTAACCAGTTTCAGGCCTCCCCATCCCTGAATTCTTCAGATGACTCAGATGACGAAGAGGAGGAGAGCCAAGGTCCCTGTACGGAGGGGGAAGGGATACAATCCTTCTCCATCAGGAGTGTAGTCTGCACGAAAGACGTACTGACCATAGAAGAAACAGATTTCATGATTAGTGCACGGAAAATGGGAAAACAACAGCACATCACAACAGCCACAATCAAAATAATGACCATAACTGGACCTGCAATGCCCATAACCCAGGCATAGAAGGAGCTACCTCCAAATAGGGCTGAGATATGATCCCAAGCCTTAAGTCCAGTAGACCCCCCTGTGAGGCGTGCATCTTTATTGGCAGTGACAATTCCCATATAGATGTCTTCCAGATTCTTAATGGCTATCGTCAAATTGCCCATTCCTTCAGAATCAGATGGTAAGTACGTACAACAGCCTTCTCCTACAATGGCACACACACCCCCTTGAGATGCCGTCAATGCATCTAAAGCAACGCGATTATCCGAGGTAAAACGGCGGATCAAGTCTAACTCAGCATATATGGAATTAAAACCCTGCAATGTGGCATTTGCCATTAATGCCAAGTCATGCCTAGTAAGTGCGATAAGATAATGATTCGTATATTGTAATTCCGTGTTCCAAAATAAGGTACTAAAAACCAATTGTGAATGTGTATATATCTGAAAATCATCACGCAATGCATAATAACGTGTGGCCAAGTCAGTGGGGTTTGAGTTCTTCAAATGGATATAACCAGTAACTTCAGACAACTCTCTCCTAGATCTTGTGGAGTTGAAGTGTTGTGGTGCGTATTCAACGGGCTCCACAATGTAGGTTACGTCATGTAACATGCATAGACCACACCTACCCCTGAAACGGGGAGGGAGACTACTCCAAACATTGTTACCACAACACCAATAAAAGCCATATGTATATGGAGTGCCCATCAGAGATAATTGGGCGTAATCAGTATGTGAATTAACAATAAAACGGCACTGGTTAACCTTTAGAAAACCCATATTCTGCCCACCATCAGTGAGGGATTGACCCTCTAGACAAACATCAAAGATGTCGGATGGATCTACCGCTATGGATGATTGATGAGGGGTAATAGACAAGTTCCGAGGTTATGTTCAAAAGATATTTATTGTAAAACCCAGAACACATAAGCAAGGATGGATGATTTTCAGGTACGTTAAATGATGTTGCATGTACATGGAAAATATCGTTTCCATTTTCTTGACTAATAGAAATATTGGAGTATATAACATATTTTACGACCTTGTTAAGAAAGTTCTTGATTTTCTGCACTGAATGCGTTGTCTTACCTAAATGCATTTTAGTAGGTCTGATAACAGGTCGAAACTTGGAAGAGTTAATGTCATGTGTTCTGGTTTTGGGATGCATTTGTATGACATATTGATATGCCATGGTACACCACGAAGGAAGTCCTTTGGGACCCGTGAGTGATTTGGCTACCAGTGCGAAAAGATCTTGAGTAGATACAGGGAGCAGTGAACAAGCATAACAAGAATTTCTTGTGAAAGTTCTAACCCGCTTCTTAAGTGATTGGTACCATAAATTCGATTCAAAAAGCTTCTTATTATCCAGATTCAGTGCTAATTCCTTATATTTAAGATCCTGATTATTGTCTTCAATCGTTGATGATGGGTTTGCATCTGTGTCTATTTGCGAGGGCCATGCAATTACATGTGAATCTTCAGTACCATGGACATTGTTATCAAAATTTATAGTTTTATCTGACCAATATGGGGCACAAACTCCTTGCCAATAAGGGGGTATATAAGTATGAAGATGTTCCCCACACATCCAAACCACGTTGTCTAGTGCTGGGAAAGGGTTAGACGCCATTATATACAGTATGCGTGGACATCCTCGGACTGACCCAAGGATATAATCTATCTTAGAACCAGTTACAGGAGAAACACAAACCGATGGTAGTATTTTTTGAGATGCTTTAAGAATTAAAGGCTTAAAATCCTCATACATGTCAAAATCTAAATGTACATAAAAACCAGGCGTCATAGATTTCCATAAATTATTACAAAAGTTAACTGTGGGATACGATGTCATGGTATGAATAGGAAAAGGTCTTGCATCTATCGTCTCATTATTTTGGGATTGGTATTCGACAAATAGATTTATAGTTTAAGCATTTAATTGTAAATAAGTAACATTGTTTATATTATATGGTTTAGTCGCTCCTGCGGGTGTCAAAGCATAAAACAAACATTGTATTTCATGTTCACTGAGGGGTCGGTTATTAAGAAGACCGACATCTAAGTAGGGTGTGTGCTTTATTGGCTGTTTAGTCATAGCTCGTTTGACATGCATCATGATCCGCTGAACTGCTTGATCACTTTTCCCTTCCTTTTTCAATAGTCCTTCAAAATCCAAATCTAACCCACCTGAAGGTATGGTGCTGCCAATAGTGCCATAAAGGAGGGTATTGCATAATATCAATCCACCGAGAAAAACATATAAGATAACCACAATGTTAACGAGTGGATGCATAGATGTGTAGGTGTAGGTTGCCTTCCTCAATCGGGTTAGGGCAGTCCAGAACCAGGAGCAGTTGACGGGGGAACCGCTGGTGGAGCCGCTTTGAGCCGTGTCGCATGTATCCATTGTGGATGGCCCTTAACCTTGACTGCAGTGCCCGTGGTGAGGAGGACTTGAACCGCAGGTCCGTATCGTGGATCTTTTCCAGTGGGATTCAGGCTGCGGACCAGAACGTAGTCGCCAGGAGAAAAGCTATGGATCGGCTGCTCTGAAGGCGACGGGATGGAATTTATAACCTGCTGAGAATACTTGGCGACAAAAGAGAACAAAAGTTTTACATACTCCTGTTGTGCTTCTTGTAAGCAGGTCAAATTCATGGCAGAGTCTGTAGGGACTTGAAGACATAAAGGAAAAGGCCGACCCATCAAAACCTCATGGGGAGATAAGCCAGTAGTTTTGTTTGGCATAGCCCTTATCGCCAAAAGAACATGGGGAAGAGCCTCAACCCAATTCATTTGTCTACCCTGATGGAATTTGATGATCTTTTCTTTAATTGTTATATTCATGCGTTCGACTTGCCCTGAACTTTGAGGATGGTAGGGGACATGAAAGGTCCATTTGATACCTAAAGTTTGAGCAAGTAGTTTGGTCACCCGTGAGGTGAAAGGGGTGCCATTGTCTGAATCGATAGAAGTGGGAATACCAAATCGTGGTATCACATGTTCCATTAAGCATTTAATCACTGTCTGTGCGTTTTCCTTTCTAGCAGGAAATGCTTCTGGCCATTTAGAGAATCTGTCGACAATAACCAAAAGATACGAATATCCTCGACATCGAGGCATATGTGTAAAGTCAATTTGTAGACACTCAAAAGGACCGGAAGGTTTGGGGAGATGCCCATGTCGTGGAGGATGCGTATTAGGATTACATCTTGCACAGATAAGACAACGTTGGATAAATTGTCGAACTCGTTTTTCCAATCCAATGGTAAAAAACAATCGAGAGATGTAGTTAGTCACCGCTGAATAACTAGAATGTGTAACCCCATGAACAAAAGCTATGAGTGAATCATATGCTAATTCTGGGAGGGCAATTCTTTGATCATGACATTTCCATAAGTTATCGACGTCCTTATAACAGCCCCCCTTCTGCCATCGTGTAATCTCATAAGGTGAGGCTTGCCCTTGAAGTGAAACAAGATCATCCATCGTATAGGGAGGGTCAGAGAGTTGGAGAGAGGGGAAATGAGAGACCATCCAAGGAGAGAGGGGTGCATTAAGGGCTGCATCTTTAGCATATTTGTCGGCTAAATTGTTACCCAGAGCAACTTCCTTGTCAGATTTTGAATGGCCTGTACATTTTACAACTGCGATTTGATCCGGCAACATCATGGCTGCAAGCAATTCTTTGACAAGATTGGCGTGTTGAATTGGTTTACCAGCAGTGGTGACAAATCCTCTGTTCTCCCAGATTTTACTGAAATCATGTGCCACAGAAAAAGCATACTTAGAATCAGTATATATAGTTACACTCTTATCTTTAGCAATTTGGCAGGCTCTAGTTAAAGCTACTAACTCAGCCGCCTGAGCAGAAGAAACTGGTAATTTGTAGGATTCTAGGCAATGGCCTTGATCATCTACAATAGCGTAACCTGAAAGGATAGTTGAATCATCTGGTCTCATTGCAGATCCATCACAATAGAGGACTAACTCACCATTATTCAATGGTGTCTGTTGCAAGTCTGTTCGTACGCTAGATGTTGAATTGATAAGGTCCATGCAATCATGTTCCTTGACATCATCTATGTCCTTATCTCCATGTAATAAGGACTTGAGATGTATGGCAGGGTTAGTATGAGTTGCTGTAGAAATGGTCAGATTCTGCGTTCCCGTCAAAATATGTTCATAATTGCTTCTTCTCTGACTAGTCATATGTTGAGTTGTTATGTTAAGAAGGATGACATTGACCGCATGTGTGGTGTGAAGGGTCAAAGGATACCCCAAAACTATGGTCTGCGCTTTTTCAACCATCATTGCTGCAGCAGCCACGGCTCGTAAGCAGGGGACCATGCCCTGTACAATCAACGGAAGGGATTTGGAGTAATATGCCACTGGTCTCATTCGTTCACCATGCGTTTGTGCTAAAACTGCAGAGGTGACTTCCCCATTGTCTGACACATATAGATGGAAGTCAAGGTTATAGTCCGGAAGTCCCAACGCTGGGGCCGTGCACAGGAGGTACTTGATATGACGAAAGGCATGTTTCATCTCCTCAGTCCAGTTAATAGCTTCAGGTGCATCTTGGAGAGTCGACCTCCTTAACACAGAATCAAAAAAGGCATAATCCGCCAGCCAGGGTCGACAATAGTTCACCAGTCCCAAAAAGGATAACATGTCAGTCTTCATCCGAGGTTTTTGAATATCCATAATGGCCGTCACTCGTTCCGGAGATAAATACCTGCACCCAGCTCGCAGAACATAGCCCAGATAGTTGACCGATTCCTGACAGAATTGGAGCTTTGCGAGGGATGCTCGGTGACCTCCGTCAGCAAGATGTGTCAATAATGCCACAGAATCTTGAATGCATTCTTCTTCAGTCTCTGAGCAAAGAAGGAGGTCATCGGAATACTGTAGAATACAGGATCGACATGGCAAGATTAACTGAGACAAGTGCATATTAACAGCGGCTGAATACACAACAGCTGAATCAACAAATCCCATAGGCAATCTGGTCCAAACGTATTGATCATTTTTATACGTAAACGCGAATAAATCCTGTGTATCTACATGTACAGGGATTGAAAAATAGGCAGAGCATAAATCAATCGCTGTATAGAATTTTGACTTTGCGGGCAACGCTGTTAGAATGGAGTTGACATCAGGCACTACAGGGGCAATAGGAATTACGGCTTCATTAATTTTTCGCAAATCTTGTGTGAATCTATACCTATTAGTTCCAGGTTTAAGAATAGGATTTATCGGGGTGTTGTTTTGGGAGCGTCGTTTAACAATCACCCCTTGTTCCAGAAGACTTCCAATTACCGGTCTTATGCCGTCTTCTTTTTCTTTTGAGAGAGGATACTGTTTAACAAACACTGGGTATTTCTTAGGATTAATTTTAGCCTGATAGGGTGGCACATTCAATAATCCTACATGATTTGCATGCAAAGCCCAAAGTTTAGAAGGTACAGCCGCTAAAATCGAAGGCGGTTGCAATAGGATTTCCGTGTGGTCCATAAGAGAAATCAAGGGTTTGCCCGTTGTTTGCAACAGTTTGATAAAGAAATGCGTAGGTTCAGGACCATAAGACCAGATGATGTAATCCTTATTTTGATCAATTTGATCAGGTGTCCTTTTTAGATAGTCTTGACAGGAAATCAAAAGATGGTCAATATCCCCAAAATCAGTTCGAACAGCACAGATAAAAAAATGAAGAACCCCTTCCTTGTTTTTCCATAACAGTACAAGACCTTTTGGAGACATAAAAAAACGCTGTGGAAGTTCCTCCATGTCGGTAGGTTCAATTACTTCATCAGAAAAGGGCATATTGACCGATTTCAAATGTATGATCAACGCCGCACTAGCAGCCTGACAAGATGCCAATTTCTTGATATTTGTCAAAGTAAACAGGTCAGGGATAAAATCACAATTTGTCAATACACTGGTGGCATTATGTGACACTTCAACAAGATGGGAGAATAGCTGATATGTCTTGTCTGCTGGAATATAGACTTCAATACCATCGGGTGAACACGTAATGACCGCATTCAATTTACTTAATAAATCCCGTCCCAATAAGGACATCGGTGTTGTAGCACTAACAACAAATGAATGTTGCAGTTTGATGTCATCCAAATCAACAGGCAGTGGAACGGACAGGGGCTCTCGTTGTGGGACTCCAGAGATACCGACAGATTGAACAGAGAGGTTACTCAAAGGGCAACTTAAGTCCTTTTTCCTTAAACATGATGTAGTTGCCCCGGTGTCAACTAGAAACTTAATAGGTTTACCAGAAACTTGCATACTTAATTGAGGTGTCTCCGCTGGTTCATCGGAAACATGGAATTGTGGAGTATTTACAATTATGGTAGAGCAATCAAGTCTGTTCATGTCCCACAACTGTCGGTTATATCATTGCTTCCACAATAAGGAAGAAGCCGCCCCTCTGTCCGGAGGACCCTGGGTTGTGGAATGACTTCCAGATATCATCCTTTGTGTATTGGTCTGTGGAGAGAAACCAGAGGTCATATGAGGAGGATAATAGGGAGGCATTTGATTTATAGGCCCATATTGTGAACCTTGGGCCCGTTTTAAGGGACACTGTTTTACCCAATGTCCAACTTCATAACAGTACAGACAACGATCATTTATGTCCATCATTCTTCCTCGTCCCCGTCCTCTCCTCCCTGGGGGAATATATTCACCCCTCGGGTTGACCTGTAAAGTATCCGGTGGATACGGAGAGGGTTCAAATGGCCCTTGCTCTCTGTACCGTCTAACATTTCCTCGGCCTCTGGTCAGTTGTACATGCTGGAATGCATGAACGGATTCTTTTGCGTCGGCACCTAGTTGGACTGCTTGTGTCTTATTTTTGGATGCTGCAAAGAGGCCTATGGCATCAAGTTCTCTAACTTTCTTCAAAAGTCTATTAGGATCATAGGTATAAATATCGGGTGCAGTCACTCTAAGGGTGTACGAAGCATTTTGATCCAATCCGTTTAAAAACATAGAGGCAAAGAAGGGATCCTCTTTTTCCTTAATCTGTAATTTGGCTTGCTCTTTCCAGCATTGTAAAAATCTAGAAGCATATTCAGCTATAGGTTCATTCTGTTTCCGTTTACAATTTAAGACCTGGGTAATATCCCGGTCCTGTGCGGCATTTTTTTCAAGGAATTTAGTAAGTTCAGAAATATGCTCAGTTTTATGGTCTCTGCTTAACCAGGGATACTTTCCCTCAATGGTCTCCTCCCCTTCTACCGGCCCATCATATTGGTACCGTAAGGTATCACATTCCGCAATTAAAGTATCTATTTTGATGTGAGGCATTAGTGTGGCAAGAATGTATCTAACATCTCGTCCGGACAGAGATGTATGCATTAATGCCGTGGTCCACCAATTCATAAAGGCTGTAGGATTATTCAGCGGTGACGGAGCATCTCTAGTAATCCGAGAAATATCAGTGAGAGTCAATGGTTTATCCATGACACGATTATCGACAGTGATGAGTGGTGTCATCAGGTTTACTTCCTCTCTGGCAGAGGATAGGGTTCCCAGCTCATTACTCTTTATGTCACTCAACCGGTGCTCAAGGAATTTACACACGGCCTGTGTCTCAGCATCAGAGATTTTTGAGGTAAAAGCAGTAAACTGCCTGCTACCAATGGGCTTTGTTAAATCAAGTTGAGTCTTAGAATCTGTCTCATATCGGCGTAAAACGGATTTGAAGCAGTCAACTAATGTCTTTGATAAATCATTCAGTGAGATATCATGACCTTTCTTTATTATTTTAAACATGCGTTTAAATTCAGAAGCCATGTATTCTCTGACATACTGGATTTTAGCGCTATGAGCTTTATCTTTGTCCAGCATGAATTTTTTGCTTATACTTTCAAAAGTTTTTTTACAATTTTGGAGGCATTGCTCAATGCACTCGCTCTGAAACTTTCTCATAGCAAGATTCGGCTCCCCTACATCAGCAAACAAGACAGTGGGGCGGATTCGGGGCACTGACCCTGGCTGTTCACTTTCTTCCATTACATGTAGAAAGAGCCAGCTGTCATCATCATCACTGTCATCATTTACATGTGCACTGGGGAGGGTCAAATGTGGAGGCAATGACTCTGGGGAGTTACAAGACAGTGCAACCGGACCGTCACCTTTTTGAAGTTGTAATGGGACAGTCTTCTGTGTCATAGAAAAAACACTCCTTTTCTTTTTCCTTTCTGCTTTACTAATGTTACCAGGAAACTGATTGGCCATGGAGGCCCAAACATGATACACTTCTGTCATGTAATCCATATTCCAGAGAGGATTGGCAATAGCGATATTATCTATCAACAATTCGCGTACAATGTTTAATTTCTTTTTATCAAAACTGCCGTCCTTCGGAAATCGATTATCTGTCCATTCCGCTAAATTTGACAAAAAAGGTTCAACATAGTAAAACCCCAGTTTCATATGCATCCACTCCCTAGCGGACATCAGAGCAACAGGCTTAACTGGAACCGTGTTCGACTGAGGAGCCTCTTTTAACAATTCTTTTATCGCTTTCCTTTCTTTTCTGGGTAAGTCAAGCTCAGATTTATTTTTAATCGTGCCCGGAGGCCCTTTTAATTTGCTGGGTTGTGAACCCATTGTTAGGTAAATGTACAATAATTAGTAAAACTAAGACTACTTGTTAGTATGCAAAGCGTCAAACTGTTTAATTTGTGTGACCATATACAAATCCTTATTTAGGACTTTCAAATGTCGCTCAATGTAAAGAGAAGCTGCTATGGGTCGATATTATTCAATACGTAGATTTTCATATAGCAAATCACCCTACAACTGCCACTGAATAAATCGGGGCCGTCAAGCGGTCAGTCCGTTCAAACAGAGACAGAAGTACCTGTTAATGACTGAATCGGGGCCGTCGTGCGGTCAGTCCGTCAGACTATTAAACAGTAACAACAATAACACAACCGCGTCGTCCAACGACGTCTTCATATAAAAAAACCAGAAGTACCACTCTGCTAATGACTGAACCGGGGCCGTCGAGCGGTCAGTCCGTCAGACACTTAGACAGAAGTACCAATAACACAACCACGTCATCCAAGGACGTCTTCTTATAAAAAACCAGAGGTACCAATTCCATATTTCTCAACATATCATCCAAGGACTTCAATATCTATTCTTGTCTCTCTGGACACCTATATTCACACTATCCATCTACTGCGAGTGGGCCCACCCTAATATTGATTAATATCGACACATCTCAGCGAGCAAATTCAGGGAACTATTAATGTTGTATTAAATTAAATACATTATCCATTCAGACTATCAAAAGTTTAGAAGCCAATTGTAAAAGGGCTACTAGGCATCCCATAGCAGAGGTATCTTTTTTAATGCTCAAATCGGGTAAGCAATACAATCACAAGTGGATTGAATAATTAAAGATGCTTACCTTTTTTAGTGATTAATCCTGTTCGTGACGCCAAATTGTAAGGATGCCTATCCCAGGTTCATACCAGAAAGAATGGAAGGTCCACACGAATGGTCAGTTTGACAAGCTTTACTGGTTGCAGATCTGGGTTACAGCTTCAGCATGCTACAAGTGTAACAAAGAGTGGTCCAAGACCATTCAAGTATATATAGTGGTTCACAATTCTAAACATACTGTTGGTATTTAGCTGACCCTAAGAGAAATCCATGTACGGTCAAAACAAAGGACAACATGTTTCAAAAGCCTTAGATGAACATGTGGAAGGTCCCAAGAAGGAAATATCATGGCAAACATAGTTTGGGGACCTACATGGTGTAAATAATGTGTACAGGGTTCCTAGCTCAGGGATGGTTGGAGGAGGCCCCCCGGCTCCAGCAATCTAACACCAAAGTGTCTGGGGTAGTTGAGTGACACAGCTCCAACACTCTAGAGGCTAGTATGACTAGCTGAAGAAACTCATCCTAACAGTACCCTTCTTTAAACGCTTTTACAAAATCACGATATAGGCTACCGCTCACTCCAGTTGTTCCCTTACGTTAATGGCCGCATGCCTCTTCTTTAAACGAACCAGCAGGTGTCGCTGTTGCATGTTAAAGTTAAATTAATCTCTCTCTTTTGAGTGTAGAGATGTCATCTCGTGTCACCTTTGGTCTCCTGCGGCGGAAAAATATGAACGCAGTCGTGCTTTTGTGTTGTCTCTCAATGACGCAAGGAAAAAGTCTCGGCTGTCAGCCTCTACAGCCTTACATTACATTACCTGCGCTGCGCTGCACCTGAGCCGCTCACATCCACCTGTTAAGGAGAGAGACTAGAGCGGACGGAGTGTGTGAGAGAGAAATGAGGTGAAATGAGGTTTTACTCCGTCAGATTTGGGTGTTTGCTGGCTTTCGTGTGTTTTGTTTCGCTTTCCTGGATAAAATCAATTCCTCACCATGAAGGTAAGCGGCCACCGGAGTTTTTACGAGAACTTATAGTAGGAGTTGAATATTATCAAATCCGAACATGTTCAGCAGGCTATTACCTTTTTTGTACTTTGTATTCACCGCAAAAACCTTAAACTTTACCAAATTTGCCTCATCCCTGGTAAGAAAAGGTAATTACATTTACAGCCTACATTTTACATTCACCTGACAAGCACAGATGGACATCGTATTTAAACCTACTAGTCCAAGGACTGCAAAAGTGTAAACTTAAAAGAAAATTTGCGTGCTTCATTGACAACCATTTTTTTGCTCCTCAAAATCAATTAATTGTTTTTGGCTTTGAATCTCTTGAAATCGAATGTTGATATTGAATGTCCGGCCTGTGTAGTTAATATGAAGTACTGTGATAAATTAATCCCATGAACATTTTTAACCTGTTCTTATCAAGTTATTTTTAGAAATTGGGACAGGTATCCAAGGTTTCCGCCATCCTTCTTACATTACTGTCTACTGTCACTTCTACTTTTTTGTCATTGTAACAGTTTAAGTGCAGTGTACAGAGTACGTTTCTGACATGACACTGGAAAACTTAAAGCTCCTGTAAAAAGCTGTCTGACATTAATAAAACCGATTAAAATTGAAACTGATACCTTTAAATGATATAGAAAAGCAAATGGTACCATCAGCAACAAAACAGACTATTTTTATTTTCACAAATGTTCATGCCAGAAAACAATGGGAGGGGGTAGGTGTCAGCCAAGCAGCTGAGGCAGCAACTGTTTTAAGTTTTCACATGAAGTATTCATAAATAATACCGTGGATGCTTAAGTATGCAGAGGAGAGTGCCAAAATTGACAAAATATAAAATTTCCTGGCAAGAGCTTAAGGTTCAGAGAGCCAAGTATGATTTGTGCTTTTTTTTATTCATTAAAAGTATTTTAATCATACCAAAAGTTTTACCAGCACAGACAGACTTTTGGATTGGAATTTGATCTATTTTTGTATTTAGAAAGCTGAATGCAACAACTTAAAGCTTCTGTAAAGAACTTTCACTTTGTGCCGATATACCTAGCCTGGCTGGGCCATCCAGTTGCGTGAATCACTTGCCGGTCCTTCCCACAACAGTCTGCACTTCGGCCAATTGGGAGCGTGTATTAGAAATCAGAAAATAACCGGGTCAATCAGTGACTGTGTTTCCACTGTTCCTCGGACAACAGGGAAAGGCAGCCCCTAATTGGTCCATGTGTAGATGGTGATGTCTAACACATGCTGCGGGACTTTTCAAAGCGCTGTTAATTCACAACGCTGTTAATTCACAACGCTGTTAATTCTGCAGTTCACTTTGCAAAGTCGGCAGAAATCGTTTAGATCTGCAGAAGACGTTGGATATAAACAATTTCTGCCGTGGAAGAAACACAGTGGAAAACACAGTCACTGATTTACCTGGTTATTTTCTGATTTCTAATACACGCTCCCATTAGGCCAAAGTCCAGACTGTTGTGGGAAGGAACAGCAAGTGATTCACGCAGCTTGATGGCCCAGCCAGGCTACGATATACCTGGTGAGGACAAAGATGTACCCTTAGTGTCTTTTTAAATGTTGGTCCTGCTCATTTGTAATTAGTGTAATTATCCTGCTGTCTTTCAACAGTCAAAGAAATGACTCAGTGTTGCTTTGCACAGTGTAAAAAAATAAGCTATTTTTGCTTGTGAGGTGTTAATGTCCTTAACTGACACCAACCCTAGAGCAGCAGCGTCAGGCTTAAAAGATAACAGCAAAGACATTGTCAGCATCGACACATTTATGATCTTGTATTGTATTTAAAAATGTGTCAGTGCTAATTACAGCTTGATTTATTACCCTTAAAAAGGCTCACCCTCAGTTTGCAGGAGAAGTAGGTATTAGATGGAGATGTCTCTTATTCTAGTATCAGCTCCTCTGATTGGGCAGGTAATTTGTTAGAGAAACAGGTTGAACCACATATAAGAGATTTCTGTATACAGATTCTGATGGAATCATGCAAAAGCCCGGAGGCCACCAGCAGCTATATAACATCGATTTAGCTTTAGATCAAGTCTTTGACCTGATATCTACATGTAGGTACAGCTAAGGATTTGCTGTCAGGATGTGCATCATCTTTCAGCTCCAGTTCTGTTTTTGCCTAGTAGATTGTTAGAGCGTTAACAACCTGCAAGATATGCAAAGTGAAGCCCTGGCCTGGGTGCTATCATTGCTTACTGCCAACTATGCTCAAAGTCCTAGAAAGTTTTGCATCTCTCTCAGGGGCAATGAGTTGATGGCAGATGGGTTCAGAGAGTGTACTCATCTAAATGTCAAGTTAAAAACCTATTGACTAACTGTGAAACTGATTTCTGTGGTCATAGACAGGGGAAACTGGCCTGTGATGGTAAATTTTTCTTTGAGTTAAAGACACAGTAACCACAGGTTGTTTTTTTTTAAACTAAAAATCATGTAAAACTGTTAAAGTGGTATACAGACAGGAAGTAAAGAGTTGGAAAAAAATGCCCCAAACCTCCTCAGCACAGTTTGCTCTGGGATACTATCATCTGTGGACCCATGGAAGTTTGGGAATTACCCCCTGTTGACAATGTTTTTTAGGGATGGGACTCAAGAACAAGTTTCAGATAAGAGCCAGTTTCAACTCATTTGAGTCATCAACATCATTTGTCCTTGTGGTTCCCTCATCAGTGCCTCACTATTAGCTCTGTGTGCTTATCACGTTTAACATAAACATGCTCAAAAGCATCTCAGAATGAAAAAAGTATGAAACGCAGATGTGTAGGACATACCACTGTTGTGCTTACTATATAAAAGCCAGAATGGTTTACAGTAAAATGTACAGTAAAATCCACTTGCACCATGAGACCTGCAGCTTTTTGGTGATAAACCCTGTGTGCTTCTGTGGTGTCCAGTGATTTACAGAGAAGTTGTGTATTTTCAAAGACTGTCCAGACCCAGTCCCCCCAAAACAAAGGTAATCTAAGAACAAGAAGAAATGTATTGATCCCCGAAGAGAAATTCAATTCTGGGAGGATTTATGTTCAAATTTTAGTAAAATAGTGCAGATTCACTTATTGGCTGACTATGATAGACAAGCGTGAGTTTTTGTTTTGGTCCGTCAACCAATCAGAGGGTGTATCTGCAATCAGCTGACCCAAAATGTCAGCCAGTCACCCAATGAGCAGCCAGACTGAGAGACATCATAGCCTGCTCACTGCACAGAAATAAAAAAGGACTGTTTCAGATAGAGTAATCCTACAATCCTAAGTGTTTTTACAATCATTTTACAAAAAAACATTTTGTCTAAAAGATGTTGAGAGCATCAATTTACATTGCCTTATGTAATGTGACTATTTTATTACTTTTTTATAATCTTAATTGCGGTCTGTACTTCTGTAATAAGATTTGGTCTCCTGTCAAATGTCATGAATAGGGGGTCATCTTATAATCCGAATCAATACAGGTGACATTTTAAAACTCTCGCCAGTATATACCCACCTTTGTTTTTCCTATTACTGACCTCTTTTCGGCTTTGTGCATCTGTAAATGAATGTTATATCTTTGTGGAGTAGAAACAAATGAAAAACACTGAGCACAGTGGAAAGAAAAGGATTTATTTTGATGGTTGAAGTGCAACTTTCAACTTATATGGAAACATTTGCTATCCTTATTACTTGTTATGCTTTAATTTACGGTAGCTTAATGCAATACCAGAGCAGTTTATAGGGAGAAGAAGAAGAACTTTATTGATATCCGAAGGGAAATTCAATTGTCTGTTGTCTCACGTAAAATGTCTATAAAATTAATCTATTATTTACATAAGAGTTATACAGTCTGATGGCTGTTGGTACAAAAGATCCTCTGAATCTTCTGTCCTGCAGCGAAGAGAGAGGAGCCGTCCACCACCATTGGCCCTTTGGTCCATCAAGGTGTTGTGAAGTGGGTGATCCGTGTTCTTTAGAATAGTCTCCACCTTCCTCAGTGTAGATCTCTCCACCACATCCTCCACTGAGTCCAGCTTGAGTCCTACCACAGAACCAGCCTTTTTCACCAGTTTGTTAAGTTTATGTGAAACATGCTGACAGTACCTCAGCCAGCGACAAGAATGTGTGGTATTTTGTTTCTATTTTTGTTGTTCCGTCTATCTGGAAGCAAGGGATGTTAATTTTTTTTTTGATTTGATTTAATAATTTTATTTAAGTGTCATACACCAAAATTGGTGTCCAGCCCCATGGGCTTATTAGACACTGTTCAACAAACTCAAAACACAATGTATCCAAGACAGCCACGCAACATAATATACAACAACAATAACATCAAAAATCCATTAAGAATTGTAACACAAACAATGAGGATAATGAAAGAGAAACAAAAAAGTTCATCCTACAGGGTACAAAATACTTTGCCGCATATGCCAAGCCTTTTTAACAAATTTTGCCAAAACAAAAACATCCTTTTCAAACAACCAACCCAAAATCTCACCTTCACTCTTCCAAAATAAATCAGGATTTTTAAACTGAATTGATTAAAAAATGACAGTCCTTAAGTCAACATATAAGGGACAATTGAAAACAAAATGAAATTCATCCTCAACCACCTGTAAATCACAGAATTCACACAAACGTGCTTCTTCCGGTAAGCCTTTAAATCGTCCCACTTCTACTGCCAGAGGCAAGGTACCTGTTCTCAACTGAGCACAGAGAGATCTCTGTCTTCTCTTTAAATTAAGGAAAATATAAGGTTCTGTAAATGTTAAAGTTTGGTGTTTAGTTGTCTGAAAACTTAACAGCCCAGAATGAAAAAGTAGCCCTCAGACAGATTGCCTGAGTTGCTGTCTATGTTGAAACAAAATAGAATATGAAACCTCACAACTTATTCCCCTTAGTAGAGATTTTGCAACAAATGTCTGCCTGCCGAAACCTCACAGCCCCATGTATCTGTGTTAGTACATAGCACACGGACATTTACAGATCCTTTTTACTCATAACAACAAATTAAATCCTCATATTTAAAGGTTTACATCTTTTCTTGTCAGGTGAGTGTGGCTTAAATGTATTTAACAAGCAGACAAATACAAAAGACAAATACGCTCCGTGTACGAGTGTCTTAAGATACACTTAAACTGCTGCAAACAGACTGTGATAACAACAACACAATATAAATTAAACAGAAAAATGAATGACTGTGATATAAAATGCTGGTCTGCTGAGATGTGTTGACACACTAAGAGCAAGCTGAGAGTAGGAAAATGTATGCTGGTATAGAGTCAAATCTAGGATTAAAAAAACAAAACAGTGTGAAACAACACTAGTTAAAACTGGGACAACAGAATAACACTGACAGCAACCACACACAGGTAAGGTTTGTAATTAATAATATGAGGTGTGACACCTCAGTAAATGCGTTAACCGAGGCAGACATCCTCTCTCTCTCTTTCTTTCTCTCTCTCTCTCTCTCTTTATATATATATATATATATATATGTATTGATAGTACCTGCTCTTTTTGTTTTTCTTGTTTAATTGAGCCTGTTATCTCAGGTTTAGGTCCAACGAAAGACATTGTGAAAATCCCCCCCTTACTGACTGATGTGAAAGAGATGTTTTTTACGTATCCTGAAATGAAAGTCCTAGGGGTGACAAAACACTGAAACAAACACAAAATATAAATTATTCTTTCTGCATTCTGAAAAAGTTACACCAGCGTAAAACCATACGTATTTAAGCATGTTGAAATCTGTCATAAAACTTCTTTCCATGTTCATAACAGTCCGCACATGATCTAAATTTGCTCCATAAGACCACAAACGGCCATGAAAGTATGAGGGCTGTGACTGTTTTAAATGTTCTAATGAATAAAGTGCACATGTGGTTGTGTTTTTACAGGAATAGTAAGGGGTTTTTAATGGAGAGGGGTTAGTCTTTTTTCATCACACCACTTCATCACAGGATTGTTTTCAGGATATCGTTGTTGCCCTCATAGATTCTTAGATTGGTACCATCATACTGAGCTGAACTTCTGTACAGTCATGTTCAAATTAGGAGGCTGAGGTCAACCAGCATCTTTAAGGACTTCTCCTCTCTTTAGTCTCCTGTCAAGTGGCTTGTGTCCATGATATTTATGTCTGTCCATTAGCTCCTGATGTCAAACTTAGGACATTTTTATTCGCTTGTTACTCCAGAGGAAGTGAAGTGATAACACAGCAGCCTAAATTACATCAGCATTTAAGCTTTATACTTTGAATATGACCTCTGAGGAAAATATCTACCTTGTGAACACTGTACATTGTTGCAGAATAATAACTACTTGTCTGCATTTGCTTCCAGGTTCGGCAATACAGCTGGACCTGCAGACCCTGTACGAGCGTTTGTTGGCGGCCGAGCAGCTGGGTGTGGAGGTCAGAAAGGATCTCAGCAACATGCTTGAAGAGCTGAGGAACATGTCCAAAGCTGCAAACAACACCCATCACACTGTGAACAACACCAATGACATCAGCACAGGTACTGATGGGCAGCAGTGTGCAGGAGGTGTTAAACTTCAAAACCTTGTGAGAGTAGCTTGAACAGTGCTACTGAAGAAACACTTTAATACAGACAAATAAAGCAGTGTAGTTCAATTGCTGTACAAGAGCTAAATATCAGTGCTGCATTGACACAAGTATACCAAATGCAGAGGTGATCATAATCACAAATAAGATCTCTTTTCTGGAAATACACTGCTGATGTTCAGTCTGTTCGTATCTAGAGTGAGAACAGGGTTTATCCCTAAATCAGAAGCACAGTAATAGGAGAAAATACTGCACTCTTTTCTACTTGTACTCTTTTTTTACTTAAACTGACAGTCTGTTACAGCTCCAACATGATCATCAGATGTAACTGCACCTTGTCAAAGTGCGCCCTCGAAAAGTGCCTCTTGTTGCAGCTGAAAGGCTCAGAGTTTTATTCAAAGTATATTTACATTAATATAAACCCAGTCTTACAACGATAAACCATTGTGTTATGTAATGTATCTTTTATTTAACTTTAATTTAAAACTATTACTATCACTCTTATCTTATCATTTTATCTTGCAAAACACTGTTTTTTCTATCTTTACCTGTTTAGGAAAAAGAAAAACTGGTATGATGGGTAACCAGAGCCTAATTTAGTCATCTGGCTCATTTGTAATCAAACAATCTCAAACCAGAACTGATTGAAGCTGCACAGACTTTACATACTGAGAACTGAGAGCTCAGTCAAATTTTGACTTGAACTGAAAATCTTCTCCTGAACAACTTTCTCTGGAGCTTTGCAGGAGAAAAATTACAAAATCTTGACAACTGGATTTTTGGTTAATAAAAAACCTTCTTCAAATTATTCATAACTTTAATAACTTTCAGTTGGAAATGCAAGTGGATGAAAACCAGGCTATTTTGAAGTAGAAGATTTTGTCATTGTGCCAATATGTATTAACTTTGAAACCTCAATTGTGTGAAGCTTGTGTTTAAATGTTCATCTGTACCCAGATGATGTTTTCTTTTTTTTATCCTAACTTACTATTTTAATCATTTATTCTCAAAAAAGCCTTTAAACAAGAAAACGAGCGTCTGCTATGAACACTTCCACACTTAATGTATATTGTACACGTCCTTGACAAATAGCCTATAAATTAATGACAAATGACCATGAAGGCATCTGGTGATCAGATGTAACTTTCTGCTAAGTAAGCGCAAGGCCACAATGCTTGAAAATGTTCTAGTTCAGAGGTGCACAAATTGACCTAAAGTTATAACAAAACTGAAAAGTAGAGGACCCAGGACTAAACCCCGGGGTACCTTATGAGTTTTATTTTCCTGTAAGTTTTAAATTTGTCGAGTAAGACTGAAAATTGTGCTTAAAACCCGAATAATACAGAAGGAAAAAATATTAAACCTTTCAAGTTTTATTTAACCATCAATTTGCCTGTTTGAGACCAGGCACACCAAAAACATGCAGTCAACAAAAGATGTAGTTGTACCCAGTTTTGTCCTCCTTACCGATGGCATTCAAAGCTTTTTGTGTTTTCGCATTTAATTGACATTTTTTGAAGTGTTTTAAAATTTTATTTCAAAAAGTGTAGAAAGTTCCAGAAAAGACTTGGGGCTCTATTTTTGTGCCCCTCGGCGGTGCAGCGAAGGGTGGTGCCCCTCCCTGCAGTGGTATATTTTTGTCTGGCGGAGCCTGGCGCACAGCCAGTTTGGTATTTTGGTAGACTGAGGCGCACAAAGGTGCGCCAAGCTGGGCGTGGTGGCACGGTAGGGGGAGGTGTCGGCAGAATCAGCTGCCGCAGTGACATTTTATGTTCCACCGGCAGCGTAGAAAAGGCGCTGAAAGATCGCCGATTCAAACCTGGTCAGCTTTCAGCGCAGGCGGAGCACAGCTGGTCTAGTGGTATTTTGGTAGACCGGTGGTGTATTAGCATACGTCACCGATGCCTCACAGGCAGGTTTCCACAGTGTCAGGCACATTTCAGTGCAATAAATAATCATCAACAACTAATATTCTGAGTCAGCAAATACATATAGATCTATAAATATAATCTAATTTATATCTGATCTGATAAACGCGTTTGGACAATCAACCTGACAGAATTAACACAGCTGAAACTGCATTAAATTAAATGTGAAATCAAAATGTGCTTGGACACGCCTTACTGGTGCAGCGCTCGTGATTAACAACACGCCTGCGCCACGCCGCCAGCGAGGCACGAAAGTAGAGTCCTGAGACTTGGATGAACACAGGAAGTTTCTATGTTTTAGGTTGATTTCTTGACTTTTTAGTTGCTGTTCCAACCCATCCTGTAACTTTTCAGCGTGTTTGATTTTTTGGAGTATTAGACAGATACTTGGTTCTTCCATTGAAATACATAACTTTCTTTACTTTTCTTTTAGTGACAGAAAGAAGGAGGCAAGAACACAGCGATTTACATACACAGGCGATCCTGCAGCCCAACATTTATGCCTTCTTGCCTCATCTTGCAAAACATCCAGAAAGTCTCACACCAAACATCTTGCTGGGACAGGGGCGCCGAGGAGGTATGGATCACCATAACATACACACCTCCAAAAAACAGTCATATTTTCTTCTGAGTTAATTCCTTAGGAGTCTTTTTAAGTAAATATTAGTGATGTTTGATACCACAGATTTCCTTTCTGATCCAATACTGAGTAAAATTAAGCCATGGTATCGGCGATACGGATCTGATACTGATACTTGTGCAAGTATACCTAATATGTCTGGTAAATCATTTAGATAAGATCTCTACAGTTAAGTTACTTTCCAATGTGTTCCTGTTAATTATATACATTACCTCATATGAAGTATCAAAAGTATTTGGATTTGAAAATCGATTTTAGAGCACAAAGAGCTGGTATCAGAAGTATTGATATTTCAGTATTGATCTGCACATCACTAGTAAATATTTGTTTTGAGAATTTATAATATCAGCAAGTCAGTTTAAGAATTTCTAGCAATTGAAGTGAGTGGTCTAAATAAAATGATACCAGGCTGAACATGTTATAGATCAGCTGATTCTGCTCACCTCAACACACTTTGACCACATATTAACACAGGCTGATTCTACACAGTAGGGCTGTGTTGAGGAAACAGTGACAGTGGACGACCTTTGAACACTGAGAGCAGGAAATGCTTTTGATTACAGACTAGTGAGGACTAGAAATACTTGTCTTCACTACCTGCCAGACTCTCTTTGAATACCAGCTAACGAAGGATTGCATGTTTTAGTCAGGCATTGTCTTCAAAGGTCATATACAATGAAAACATAGTTTTCCTCTATATTCTTAACCCTTTAACTTCCACACTAAGACATGCATATGCAAAAAAAAAACATGTTAGTAGAATTGTGTTGATTAATTAATCAATATTTCATGTTTCATGTTTCAGAACAACAAATCAAGAAGTTTGTTATGTCGGACATGAATGGATTTCTTTCAAAACCTATCTGTACATAATTTTGATATCATTCAAATGTAAACAATGAACCATAAACAGAAATTAGAAACAGCTGTGTGCCTGCTACAATGCCCATAAAACGTGTTGCAGTCCATTATTTCTGAAAGATAAGAAGAAACAAACCACAATTACTGCAACAAATACAATAACCCCTGTCTTTACAGATGCCTATCTAACAAGCTTTGAATAATTGGCTTTCATAGGCTAACATTCTGATAAAAATTAATGTCTGTATAGCTTAGAAATAGAATGACCAGCAACAGTTAGAAAATGAGAAATTAGTGACTTGAGTGAGGCTGCTTACACTGGCAACTTAACCGAACGGTCAGCCATGTTTTCAAAGATATACATTTTATTGTCTGATTTATGTCCTTGAACTAAAGCATGCTTGTTAGGGTGTCTAGAAATTACATCTGATAAGTTTTTAAACTTTCACATGCACTACTTATCCAAACAGCAGTACTCCCTATTGGATGTAATTGATGCCCCACCACTATTCAATGAGGTGAATCATGATAACCAGCCAAAAATAGGTTTTTAGAGTTTTTACCCCAGTCATTCGGTTAGGGTCAACTGCACTGTTGTAATGGAAGTCAAAAGCCTACCTATTCCGATAACAGTGCTTCTACAAGAGAATTTACACTTTTGGTGATGTAACAAAGCAGCTAATTGGCATAAAAAGTCGCACCCATGAATTGGTCGCTTTATCAGACAACTGCAAGGCAGCCAGTCAGAGCAGTGCATCATAGTCATAGAATCATCACCAGCCTGGATCAGATAGATCAGTGGATTTTTTTCAAGTCAAATCAAAACTTTGCTTGTAATATACCAAGGACATGTTGCACCAAGTGGAAAACACTGTTATATGAAACAGGGGCTGCAGATTTACTGACCTTTGTGCACCGTAAACTGACTTGACTGAACTTTTTTAACAACAGATCTCATTTAACAACCATGTACAAACTGCCTTTTGTAGTTTTTGAGAAGAAGCTCCATTCCCTGATGTTTTATGATGTCCCAGTGTTATATCTTCCGAGAGATGCTCCTGAGGGCTCACAGACCAGTTCAATGCTGCTGTTTGTTTGTCATGTTTGTCTTTTCTCAGTGTCCATCGTGATGGGCGTTCCCACAGTGAAGCGTGAAAAGGAGAGTTACCTGGTCAGCACACTCAGCTCTCTGCTCTACAGCCTGACACCATCAGAGAAGAGCGACATCCTTATCATCATCTTTGTGGCTGAGGTAACGTCCACACAGAGGAATCCGGTGCTGATCCCAGCTGACAGGTCGGCAGACTGAAGGCTGGTTAGAAGCATCAGGAAAGATCTTACACAGTACATGGAGAAGGAGGAGATATTCACTTAGCTGTCTTGGAGTCATGACAGGGTTTTAGATTTACACTGTCTACAAGCTGGATATTTGCATGGTTTTATCCAGCATGAGAAACCATAATTAGTTCATAAAATCACTTTCTTGTAGAAGCCTTTCAAACTGTTTCATTTGATTTCAGTGATGTTGTGATAAACCCCTAAGAGAGTGGAGCTGATGAGCAGAATCAGCTGATCTATAACATGTTCAGCCTAGGATGTGGGATCTCAGATTAGCACAAAGCACTACAGATTATCACTACAGATTAGCACTGCAGTAAGGAATAGAAGGAGCAACGAAGTGTCTAGATCAAAAGAGAAGCAAAAATGTCACCGTCCAGTTATGGCTACAAAATAATCTCTATCATTTCTCAGTTCGTTACACCAACAGGAGTAATGCCTCTGTCTCTGTAAAGTCTGAGTTTCACTAAAAATCATAAATTAAACCACGGCTCACATCACCAGCATGAATAAAAAGATAAACCTGTTTCCCTGTGCACTGCCGGCATGATTAATTCACAGTTTGACTCTGTGTATGATTCATCTGTTAGTTTAGATGTCAGCTGTCCTGCCTTAAAAATCAACAGAATCTAAGATATACAGGTTGGATCCATCTTTCTGATGCATTCATAGTAGTCGGGAAATCTTTATGCTGAATGGCTGTAGTGACAGAGTCAGACAGATTTCTGGCTGTTTGATTTTCAGCAGACTGCCATCTGCACTTATTGTAAATAAGTCATTGTCAGATTGGTGCTGGTTAAAGTTGGGATGTATTTTTGAGAGATTATATTGCAACTGCTTTTGCTCTCCATACAGACTGTTTTACTGCCTACTGATGCAAAATGTATAACAAGACTGAATACTACTCAGACTGAAAATGATACCAGAAAACTTGGAAATAGTAATGTCTGATCCTGTGTTTACAGGCTCTGTATTTATATGTAAATGGAGAACAGAGAAATACTAGAAATGACATTGCACATATTCTAAATTAGGGAACAGAGTCTGACTAAGCAGTTGAAATTGCCTACATAAAACCCCCTAGAGCTCTGAAAGTAAGAGTCACAAAATCACTGCATTGACAAGGTGGCAATAAGAGAAAAAGAATGCAATCACAATTTTGTGCTCATTCCTAGTAACCTGATAAGCTGTTTTTATTTGACCGGTTTGGCAGCTAAACTAAAATGATCAAATTCATCAGCCATGATAGGATGTTCATTCAAGATTAGATCAGATCTAAAAATATTTTTTACTTCTATCTGGCTAAATCCAAAGATGTTTGAGTATATTTTCATGTATACATCAAAGTCATGGGTATTATTGTAAAAGTTAAAGAGTTGAACCAGGTGTAGTTGCCAGATTAGAAATAAGCAGCCTACACTGTATGATGAATGTATTAATTTCAGTCTTGATTTATTTGCAGCCTTGGTTTTTAGCTCCATAACTTTCATATTTTCATAATTTCTTCTTTAACAGTGAGACCAAAGCAGGCAGCCAGCAGACTTTCATTTTAGTGCAATGTGTTTAATAATGGCCCCCTTTCATGTACATACACCACCAAGAGATTCTAAAACAGGAAGCCTGAGTTGACAGAGACACTCACAACCAGCGTCATGATGTCTGCTATCTGTAACTGGGACTTCAGGTTTTGTGGTTAGCTGATGTTTAACTGGTTTCATGCACCCACCTGATCAAAGACACCACCCCTCTGTATAAACTGATGAAAGTGATGATTTCTTTTCTCAGAGACTATCTGTCTGTATAAACTAACCACATCAGAAATCCCCCGTACGACACTCACTCTCTCTTTTTATCGCTCTCTCTTTTCTTTACAGTCAGACTTGGATTACGTCAGAGGAGTAGCAGAGATCATATCCAAAAAGTGAGTGCCTGTAGTTTTCCTACCATGTGGCAGTTTCACTTTGTATCAGTGCAGCAGTTTACTGTGGTTTCCTTTCTCTCCTCAGTGTGGCTTTTTGTGTCTTTGCTCAAGAAGATTTTTTAAAGGGTTTGTTCAGGTTGAAACAGAATCTTATTTCTTTATTAATTTATGTAAACTTACACCAGTACTATTATCATCCTGTATCAAAAAGCCACACAGCACAAGCATTACACCCTTCTCATCTGAACAACCCATTCGTCACAGGTTTACCTGGTTTACTCCCTTGTCCTTTACTGGGTTTCACTTTTAATCATGCTGGAAATTTTCTATTGGTTTAGAAGTGTCATCACAGAATGAGCAACTTCCCTTAAAATGCATCTTTAAAGACAAAATATCACTGGGGTTTCTATTTCTCTGGTATTTCTTCCTTTTGAGGTCAGAGCTGGATTCAAAACATTTGTGTTTTTTTATAGGGTTTCATTTCATCTCACCATGAGGTCCAGGTTTTTAGACCTGTGAAAGCGTGCACATGACAAGAGTTTATAAAAAGAAATAATTCCTCAAAGCTCATTGATACAGAGATTGTCTGAAAGGAAAGATTTCTAATCATATCAAGAAGAAAAACTTTCAAAGATCCATCTGTTTTTTGTGACATTGGTATTAAAATGACAGAACTCTTATTTCAGCTGCTGAACACCTCATCTTTCAAGTAGGTGTCTTTTCTATGTGGTTCAAACATCAGAGTTTAAGTACTGAACTACTATTAAAACCCTTTTGAATTTGTAATAAAACATCGATTTGAGATGTTTCAGAGCTAGGAAACTATGTGCATCACAACTGCTCAGTGATCCATAGGTTGTTTCCACCAGCTGTGATCTACTTACTGATCTCCTGAAATCTACCCCCTTCATGGTAGAAGCGCAGTTTCAGTTTAAATTTAGCTAACATGGCCAGTCTGAGGTTAGGTAAAGTCTTATATTTTGCTAAATAAGCGTATTGAAACTGTAGGGGGAGGTGTACTTGGGTGACCTTTCAGGTTGGGCTCATCTTTTTTGTAAATGTGATACAAATGCCCCCACAGCATACAAACACGTTTTTCCTCTTCTTCTCTTCCTGACTGACGCTCTGAGGCAGACTATTTTCTGCTGAAGAATGTGGTCGGACTGTATGGACCTTATAAACAACAGACTGAGATATTTGATCTGTTGACACACAGCCAAGCACAGTGGAGTGAATCCTTAAAGTGTGGAGAACTGGTGGTAATTGCACATGTTATCATGACAGTAATCACACCTCCGAATAGCCTGATAATAATGTATCTGAACATAAAGACATAAAGTCTTTAAACATATTTCTATCTTTACAATAATCAGGGGTTGCAGTACATCAGTCAGGAGCCACCTGGCACTCAAACATGCTGTGCCATAACACACCACCGATTTCTTTGTTTTTTTTTGTATGTGTTTATTTTAACCTTAACTGGCTGAGCTGGTATTTCTGGTTTGCTCCAGGAAGTAAGTTGGATCTAGACTGTGAAACTTTTGTCACATTTGTCAGGATTTGCATTCCAGTCTTTTCTAAGGTAACACTAAAAGAGTCATCTCAAAAGGCAGTTCACGTAGTTTAAATAGATTGAGTTCATGTTAATTTAAAAAAAGGCTGCCTCATATTATTGTTCTGTAGAGCCTCCTCAGCATTAATCCCTGATCCTCAATCGCTGACATTTCCTGAAATAATTAAATCGCCACATCCTACTATAAAGATATTAACTTTAAAGACAAAAGAAAAATGACTATGTCCCACCAATCAAATGTGGAGAAAAATACCAGAGGCTTTGAAAATCCAAAAACTCGCATCTAACTCTAATTTGTTGGCAGAATATTTGTCTAAAGGTTCCAACACTCTATCAAACCCTGTGTCATAAATACAAATGTGCTTGAGATGGTTTTTACATACTCTTAAATAAAAGAGCCAAGAGTGAAGAAACACTCGACAAACACAAAAAGCTTCAGTTCATTGTTCATCAAATATGAGTATGTTCAGTGGATGTGTTCCTTTCAGTGTGTCCATGAACAACGATATTGGCAGGTCAAGAGTGCCCCTCTTTAACACCTTCAGGGTGAGAGTGCCAAACACAGCTCTGTGCAGAAGAGTCTGGGGAAACATGGCACACCTTGGTCACAATAAAAACTAAAATATATGAGTTTATTTCATTTTTCCTTCTTTGACGTTAAACTATGAGTCATATATGCATGAAGTTATACACAAAACTGGATTTTGGTGCATTTTTCCATTCTTAATTAAATTCTGATTATTTATGTAACATATTTATATTACTGGTCAGATTTAGGGTGAACTTCTGTTCCTTTGCAGTTTTCCAAAAGATGTGCAGACTGGATTGTTGGAGGTCGTCGCTCCCTCACAGTACTACTACCCCAACTTCACAAGCCTTAAGGAGACGTTTGGAGACTCAAAGGACAGAGTCAAGTATGTCTACCTTTATCTGTCTCTCTAAGTATTTGTCAATACGAATTCAAAACAGTACCCTCTATTTAGAAGTGTCAGATACAAACAGAGAGGGTGGTTTTGGTTTTTGGAATTGAAAGGGTTCCGGTTCCGTTTTTAGTATATTTGCAAGCAGAACACAATCCATTTTAGATTTTTACCTGTACAAATTTGGGTTAAACAAGGTTCTGTTTGCTTTCTGTATTTGTTCCCAGGTGGCGAACGAAACAGAACTTGGACTTCAGCTTCCTAATGCTCTATGCTCAAGACAAAGGAACCTATTATGTTCAGGTAGAGATCAAAGGTCACTTTGAGTCAAATAACTATCAAAAATCCTAAAGTACTGGGACTTGACTTCCCCTAGTATACAACTGAATAAATTCCTGACTTAAAAGAGAATATCAAAAATGTGTGTGTGTTTTTGTTTTTTTTATATATATTCTCTAGTTAGAGGACGATGTTGTTGCAAAGTCTGACTACCTCAGCACCATGAAGAACTTTGCCGACAAGGAAACCTCCAAAGACTTGCTCTACCTAGAGTTTTCCCAGCTCGGATTCATCGGTGTGTGTCTGAACTATTAAATCCTTAATTGCTTGAGTATTTTATAGAAACTAATTACTACCTGTGTGAATCTGTCTGTTTTATCTTCCAGGAAAGATGTTTCGAACCCGTGACCTCCCCATGATCTCAGAGTTCTTTCTGATGTTTCACAGAGACAAACCCATTGACTGGCTTTTAGATCACATCCTGTGGGTCAAAGCCTGTAACCCCGAGAAAGACGCAGTAAGTATTTTACCTCAGAAAAGTTAAAGATTATCTAATGATCTTCACGTGTTGGATATTAATTACAAAGCAAAGGGGTCTCTGGGGTCCCTCAATTCACAGGTTCTTGAGGAAATGGGCTGAGGCAGAAATCTGAAATGTGTAGAGCCTGTTCATTCTCTTTAATGAAGTTTATATGACTGCAGCCCTATGAACACAGCAGTATGTCTCCTGTTGTGTCCTATGCAGAAAGACTGTAATACGCAGAAGGAATTACTCAAGAAGAGGTACAAGCCCTCCCTCTTCCAGCACGTCGGCGTGCACTCGTCTCTGTCTGGGAAACTTCAGCCTCTAAAAGTGAGTGCAAGCGCATAGATCACAGACATCACATTATACACTTTTTATTTCCAGTTTGACTGATTTTTAAAGGAAATAAATTAATAATTATGCACAATACTATCAGCATGATATCCGTGCCGGCAGATAGTAGCATCAAAAGTTGGTTATTGGTATTTGCAGATATGAACATTTCCACTGATCTACAAACCCCAATTCAGTTGTGATACCAAGACTACAATAATTAGCAAATAGTTTTCCACATATATTCACTTGAATCCACTACAAAGACAAGATATTTAATGTTCAAACTGATCAACTTGACTGTTTCTTACAAATATTCACTCATTATGAATTTGGTGTCTGCAACACGTTCCAAAAAAGTTGGGAACATTAACAGGCAGAAACCTCGAGCAGAACCAGACTCATGTTAGACAGTCATCTGCTGAGACTGAGCTGGGTTTAACGTGAGGAAGTTAGGTCTCTGTGACATGGGAGCAGGTTTTTTTTCACTTAATCACAAAGTTGAAGTAGTATTTACATCAGGAAAAAACAGTGAGTAAAAGATGTGTGAATGTTTGAGGTTACTGGGGATGATTAAAAGAGTTTACACCTATAAGACAAATACACCAGAGTTATTAAATCAAATAGGCTAATACAATTAAGTACATATATTACTGCGAGGACACACAGGTGCACCGGATTTATCTTAAGATCAGTAATGTTTAATGGAAACATGCAGGTTAAGTAGTTCTGCTCATGTCTGTAATTGAACTTATTTGTCTTTTTTATTTCCATGTGTGCTTGTATCTGGTACCTGTCAGGATAAAGACTTTGGGACCCAGGCCTTGTTTAGAGCTCACAAAAACCCTCCTGCAGAACTGAGCACCAGCCTGATTCACTACCAGCAGCACAGCCTGGATAGAGCGTATGGAGGAGTGGATTTCTTCTGGGCGACAGCACCCATCAAAAATGACTACATACTCTTCAACTTCTCCCTGCCAATCAACATTACCCGGTCTGTCTGATTTTCATATTTAAGCTTTTGGAAAGGTTTTGGTGGTGGGGCGAGCTGAAGTGTTGTTGGTTTTTTTTGTTGGGTTTTTTTTGCGTCCTTCTCCATCACAGCTCCTAAAGCTAAGCTGCTACGTTATATTTAGCTGCTCAGTTTTCCGAGGTCTTCTAATGGGAGGGGACGAGTCGGAACTACGGGAGAGGGGTGTGTGGAATACAGCGAGGTGATTGGATGGAGAGGCGGAGCAGGAGATTTACCAATAGGAGCTGTCCAGGACAGATGGCCCGTATTGGTCAATGTTTTTGCAGCCCTGCACCTGTTTGGGTGAACAGATTTTTCTTTTTTCTCTTAACTTTGTAGAGATCGCACCATAGGACCATGATCGCCATAAACGAGGTTCATAATAATTACCAATCTCTCCAATCGTCAACCATGTCTTTTATGTAAAAGGTTTTGTTAAAGGACAGATGAAAAACCTCAATCTTCAGTATTTACTTTTCAATGCTAAAAAAACAAGCACAGAAAACTAAATAAACTCACACTGTTGAGTCTGAATAAACCCACACCCACTTAGCACATAGCTCTGTCACTGATGTGTGGTTTTCTACAATCCGGTGTTCAAATTATTTTTTTTAATGACATTTAACAAGCAATGCTTCTGTGATGAAGTGGGTGATCATTTAAACTCAGCTGTTTACCTGTGCTCTTTAGACTTACTCCTCCTTGGACCAACAAAGTGAGGATACTTACCCCCCACCCTGCTGACATATTTTGAGGTTTGGAGTTACTAATGTACCTTAGGCTAAAATATGAGTGCAGGAACGTTGCATTTTTGTCAGAGTCTAAGTGTTGAATTTTGTATATAGGACTGTAAAGAGTCCTGTAAAGTTGGTGATTTTATTCTTGTTTTAATGATAAAACACAGCAGCAATAGGTTATTGGTTGCTACACATTGTTTAAATACATAATTACACATGTTTTAGCTCATCCAGATCTTTCACAACCTTAATTTCACTCCTATTAAGATGACACACATTTTTATCCAGACTGTATGAATTTCTTGATTCTGATTGGTCAAAATCTCCCCAAACTAGGGAGGCAGGATACTGGAATTTTGCTGATATCCAGTATGTCGACATATGTACAGACTCACATGTACCCACCTTATTTTTCATCACAAAGAACACCAAATCTCTCCTATAATAGAGTTTATTTGCCTGTTACTCTTATTATGACAGTCCATTTGTTAAAGAAACACACATAAAACACAGGCAGCATTTGATTCTTCTGCATCTGTAATGTGTTTTCTGCCTGTTTACAACACTTAACATGTTGGCACATATTGGCCTTTAACTGGGGGGTCTATGAGTTGAATACACATCATCTTTGATATGGAACACGGAATTAGGAAAATGACAACACAAAAAAAGAACTTTATTTATCTGTAAAAAGAAATCCATTCTTCGGGGGTCTCATGTCATCTACTGTTTTCGATGAATTAAAAAGTCTGATTGCTGTACTGATGAATTCACCATATTTACCATCCATTAGGCTAACAATGTCATTTTTGTAGAGAAATGGTCCATGTATTATCCGTCCATTCAATTATTCCATTTGATCTAGTAAACAAAAAACAAAAAAACGAGTCAATATTTTGTTTATTTGTAATTCTGTGTAACCAAAAAAATAAAAGATGAATGTTTGTTTTCGTATTTTCAATTCAAAACAGAATTTGTAATAGAGATGGAAACAAAAACAAAACAATAAATCTACTTTTCGTTTTTGGGTTATTGATGTCCCAATTTCCCACGGTGCCTTTCTACTGTTCACGCATGCGCATTGCAGAACAAAGTAGCCAACAACGTGGACCAAAAACATGGTAGAGAAAGGCTAATCTTGTTGGCATATTTAAAGCCGCCAGGAGGGTCACGCTGAAGGAGGAAGATATGACTGTAGAAAAAATTACAACCAGAGCTCTGTTACAACGGAAGATTTTGGCGCTCGAACCACTCTGTCGCATCCTTGGCCATGGTAACTGTCGCTGAGGATCATGGGAAGGCCAGTGTATTCTCCATGCATGTATGCTCTAAACAGGTGCACTCAAAATCAATAATTGTAAATAAGATTTATGAGTTCGCTTTTGTTTCCTTCTCAATTACATATTCTGTTGTGAGCTAAAAAAAACGAAAACAAACACTATTTTTTAAATTTTTTGGTTATACAGAAAAACAAACAAACAAAATATTGACTCGTTTTTCATTTTTCGTTTACTAGTTTGAATGGAATAATTGAATGGACGGATAATACATGGACCTGAAATACATCACAGACGGCTGTCTCTATGCAGTTTGCTTTTTTTTTTTTTAATCAATGTGACTGAGATAATTGCTGTCATCTCTGCTGCTTAGAGTTGCTTTGTGAGCTCTCATCCTGATGGCATGAAATTCAGTTCACCAAGTAGCTGGATGAAGAGGGAAAGATCATTTCAATTTGGAGTCGATTGCTGACCAATGTGACAAATGTCAGTTTATAACCACCCTTCTTCCTGGGGCGATTGAGCGCCTGTAATGGTACAGATGCCGTGCACTCTTGGTTCATAACCAATAATCAGGATACTGAGAGTGAGCTCTAACTAGGCTTCTACTTTGTAGGCTTTAACTCACTGCAGGGCAGCCTACAGTAACCCTGGTTCAAAGAAACATAAACCCAACACAATGAAGTCTGTTACAGCACAGTTTGTAATTGAAGGGCTGAATCACAGCTGTCTGATTTATGCCAACATAACATTAGTAGACGATGTATGATTGGAGACAGTTGATGTCTTCATCACCAAGAGTTTAGAGAGACAATGCTTATTTATGCTCAATCACAGCTGGTAAAAAAATATAAGTGTGTTTGCGCTGTCAGGCTTTTTGCAGAAAGGGAGAAATAATAAAAATAATGAATGCATAACCGTTCATATACATTTATGCAAACCGGTGCACATGAGGAACAAACCCTTTGGGCTCTATTTTCGTTTCCGCCGGTGATGGAGCCCGGCGTACAGCCAGTTTGGTATTTTCGTAATGAGGCGCACCGAGTTCCGCCAAGCTGGGGGTGGTGGCGCGGCAGGGGGAGGTGTCGACAGAATCAGCTGGTGCAGTGACATTTTTGTGCTCACCAGTGGTGTATGAAGTGCGCTGAAAGCTCGCTGATTCAAACCTGGTCAGCTTTCAGCGCAGGCGGAGAGCAGCTGGTCTAGTGGTATTTTGGTAGACCAGCGTCACAGATGCTAAATCAATATATTCTGATCAATATCTGATCTGATGAGCGTGTTTGGCACGCTTTTGGACACACAACCTGACCAAATCACCACAGCTGAAAACGCATTAAATTAAATTAAATATGATGAAGTTAACAAGATATTTAATTAGTCTCCCCCCTATTTCTTTCTTCCTCTTCTTCCTCTTCCTCTTATTTCTCGTGCAGCTCGACCTGGACATGTCTCCGTGTCCTCTCCCCGTCCTGCTGCTGCTGCGGCGGCTGAACAGATGATTTGTTTCAGTGATCAGATGAGTTATTTACTTTAAGCCTACATACGAATATTATATAATTCAGTTTTGTGAGCCAAATTTATTTTATATGCTAACATCTATGAAAGAAAGAGCCAGGCCACGGAGCGTGATGCGTCCTTTACACACTGATGGTTCCGATTTTAATGCCATTATTGGAATTTATGTTGTGATCTGTGTGCACAACCCACCTTTGTCACGTGAGGTTTGAATATATGCAACTTTATGTGAGTGTCTTTATTTGCGGAAAAGTATGTTGGACCAGTGGGTCCAAAATTACACACACCAAATCCATCCGTGCTCGTATGAGAGAGTGTGGAGGACGCCCTCTGCAGCACTTACAGTGACACTTGTTGAGAAGCTGCCTTCTGTCACCATCGTGTGGCATTACTGTCTTCAGACATCTCTTGATCTCTTTGACAACTTTACAAAAATTGTAATACGCCTTGCCGTTGGCGGATTTAAAGGTGAGGAGAGGAGTGGTCCTGATTGGTGAAAACAGGTCTCAGCTGTGTTAAACCCACTCCACGCCTTCTCTCCTCCCTCCCTACGACTTACGCCGCTGGAAGGAGCTGAGTTAGGGAGGGGGGATACTTACAGTTGATGCAGTTAACAAGTATGAACAGTTTCAGCAGAATGCATGAAGACATATCAATCCTCACCAGTGCTACAAATATCTAAACTAATAAAAGCCTGAATGGTTCATTATAAAGAGTTGTTTGGGTGCAGACAGAGCTGGCTCTTATTGTTAAGCTGAGCTGAATGATCTAGATCACTAAAAAATGATGCCTTCCTATCAGTTGAAACTTTTTCACTGGTGCAACTGGTTACTAATTTTTGTGATCCTGTCCAATAAGTTGACAGATAGAGAGAGAGTCAAACACACCCTCAGCTAACACTTCTTATTCTTAAGCCCCCCATGTGTCAAACCTGTGCTGTTTTCTCTTCTGCAGGTACCTGTTTCGCAGTGGAAGTATTGAAAAGAGTGGAGATAAATTGTACAACACAACTGTGGAAGTGTTACCTGGCAATGTGAGTGACCTTCCTCTTTGTATGTCTGTCTGTGTGTTATTTAGTTCCTCTACTGTCGTCAGGCAAGGCTTGGTTTTCATCTCAGGTGTTGGTGCCTCAAGAAAGATTGGCAGGACAACATGAAACACAAGCTATCTGTTATCACTCCAGCTTTTCTCTGCTCTGTGTGTGTGTGTGTGATTGTGTGAACCGACACTTCTGTCATGCCAAAGGTGAAAAGTGGTCATGCTGTGTGTGACTTTTAAGTAAAGTTAGACCTGCGTTTGAGTTCATACTAAATGTTGGACTTCAGATTCTGGGCTTTATGCCATCGTTTTAGCTAAAGTGCTGTAAAGGTTTAATTGTCAATTTTGCCTCCTTATCTGAAGCTGGTTTCATACAGCTTTAAAAATCAAAGACTGTGTTGCTGATAAAAAAAAAGACTTTATCTCTTCAGATTTGAGAGAGGGAGCTGATCTTTAAAACGTGACTCAGTATTTCTTTGTTGTACCGCATCATAACCTGAACTGACAAGACCTTTGTGTTGTGTACTTTGACATTTTAGTAGAGAGAGTGTATGTATTACTGTACTGTATTGTATATAGTGTGTGTATTACTGCAGAACCTGGCAACAGGACAGAAACAATACAGTTCACATTATGCTAAAAGGGGGTGAGGCAAAAACCAAGAAGGGACAACCTTAAGTTAAGTTAAAAAAGTGTGACTAACAAGAGTCTTTAAAGGGACACCGAGGACTTTCAGTGCTTATAGAGTCAGAGTCTGCAAGGACCAGCTGGTGTAGCTGCAAAATACAGTGTATATCTTGCTGATCAAAACACACCTGAATCATGAGCTCCCTCAGGCGGGTCTAGTCCAAAGCAGAACAGATTTTTGTGATGGTATGAAGCAGACACTCAGTCGTGGAAAGTCATTGCCCTTTTTTCTCTATTCTTCTGATGTGGTGCTCTGATGGATCATATTGTCAAACCTTGTTTTATAGCATCAAATAAGTCATTAAAAGTTCACGTTGTTGTCTAATTTTGGCTAACAGAGCATGACAAGCACACAGATGTAACCATCTTCTCTGTAAACTGTCTGTATCTTCCCATTTTTATCATAAACTCTGATAAATGCTCCCTGATCACACCCCTGATGCCTCATCAGTCCAGGATTGTCACATATCCAAAGTTATTCCCTTATTGGACAAACATGGACACTCCTCTGTATATATGGACATGGAAAGTAAATATAGACTTTCACAAGCAGACAAATAAAACAAGTGATGAAAAGCATGCAGCTCTTAAAATTAAACTGTACAGCAAAGCAACTTACTTTAAAAGCCAATAGTTTCCACAGACTGCTAGTTTTCTGGTCTTTATCTTCATGTGTTTCTGTGACACCCAGGGGCTTTACTATCCCACTGTGAGGATCAGTGTGTTTGGTGCTATGCTCACATTGTTTGGGAAAGGTGAGTCAAATTATGACAGATTGTCATAATTTACCGAATGACACTCAGTGACAACCTTTAGAAAAAGTGTGGGAACCTGGACGGGGAATTCTTAGCTGTCAGACCTTTGTTGAAACCAAGAATCGCAAAAGTGAGGTCTTCATGTAGGTCCTTTTGTTTTATCTGGACTTTGATTAAATAATGAGTCTCTTGTTTCTGAACTTATAATTTGCTCACACCTTTGTTCACTCCCACACAAATTTACAACAACACAGTCATGCCATTGGTCATTAGATCAAGTCATTGGTCTAACAAACTTCATACATTGTGAGAAAACTAGGACGTGTCAGCTGTGTCACCTGGAAGGTGAGGCTGTAAATGCTTTTCTTCAGATGTCACCAGACAAGTTTTAAATGCTTGAGTTGTTGCAGCTGGAGAATTGCTTTGTAATTTGGTTCAGTGTTTCAATGAAAGACTAAAGAGATTTACAGCTTCCTGAAAACAAAGCAGCCAAACCTGCTTTACAGAGCTTCCACAAAATAGTAATGAATATGCAGGTCAGCAGGCTGGCAAAGTGTTGAAGACCAACCCATGCTTTGTTAGGTTTTTGTGTAACAATTACCACAACAATTTGTTACACAATCACCAAACGTCCTGTGAAGACTAGTCACCAAGTCTGCTTTGGATGTGGAACCACAAAGGCTCATTGTGCCAAATATGAGAACAGGTACAATACAGAAATCAGTCCTGTACAGGGTCCAGTGTGGTTGTATGATTATCACATTATCCAAAAGTAGACAGAAATTCAAGAACAATACCAATTTTGATTTTGTGTTTTCTGCTTAAAGGGGGGATATCATGCTTTTCCAAATTTACAACAAAAACACAGACCTCATAATTTACTCTGGAGTTCTTTATGATAGATGTGACACAGTTGATAAACACCTTTTTTTTTCCTGAAGTGGGTTAGCAACATAAAAAAAACTAACAAAAAAACAAAACAAACTGTGATGCATAATGGCACTTTTCCGCTAAGTTTGTGAAGCATTCAACCCTTAGCACTGTGTGAATTACAAATGTGTTTTTGGCTTGGTATAGTGAATTAATTCCTCACTTCACTAAAATATAAATGAATTATTTTACAAACCTGCTTTACAAAAAGGCCCGGTACCTGAAGTACAGCCAAAGTTAATCAAAGACCCAGTCTTTACTCAAGGATTAACAGTCTACTCAGGATTTCACCATAAAAAAATAAAAATTAAAAATAAAAAAAAGGAAAAGTTGCATAAGGCTGTGGGACATTTTTTTTTTTTACCTGCAGCCCTGCCTCTCTCTAAAACCTCCTAAAACAGTAACTTTGGTTGACGTGATTTTCATGCTTTTGCATTCAGATTTGATTTGATCAGTGGAGTCACCCAAAAGTAGATTCATTTATAAACATGATCACTGAGACTGGAATGGATGACTATGGGCAATGAACGTCGTACTTGTTGCTTAATGCCACATGTATTAGTTTAAGTTATTTCTGTTTCTAAAAGTCACCTGTTTTCCTCTCTCTGCTGATTTATTTGTTGTAAAAGATATTTGGGATGTTTACAGGACTGTTCCTTTTAAAAAGGAGGTTATATGATTTAAATAAATAACCTAAGGCTCTGTGACACAGTCTGAAGAGGCTTCAGTGGCTCTGTGCCATCCAATCTTTCAGTTTTGCTGTTGTACATCAATAACATCAATAAGGCCTGGAATGTCAAAAGGAAGTTGGCTGGAAATATTTCCATGTTCTGACAACAGCTGCTGCTTCATTGGAAGAAATCCACACCATTCATAGATATCTTTGGTTTGATGATTTTGAATGTTTCACTTCCCTGAATTTCTGCTCTGTTTTCCTCATGCAGGCCTTCGCAAAGGGTCAGATCAAATCTGTGGACGGCTTAACTTCCCCCTACCAGCAATCTGATAAGGGCTTCACTGTCGTCGGTAAATATGCCACCTGAGCACATAAAAAAAAAGAATGTTGACTCTTTTATCAAACAAACACACACACACACACACACACACACACACACTGAAGCATCAGTCATGTAACATGGATTATGTTAAGTTTAGATGATTAATCTGTTTTGAAAAGGGTAGTAAAGGGCGAGGCTTGTTTGATCACATTCCTCTGAAGCTACAGATGTTTGGTTTCACACACCTGAAGGCTGAAGTGCGATGGCTGCTCATGAAAGAGGACAGATAAAGCTTGTGTTGTGGAAAATCCAACATAAACTCAGTAAAACAATGCACAGGAGACAGGATGAGATCTGAAGAACAGCCTGGGCGTCTTTTATTGTACAGATGTAGAAATCAGTACAGATGACAAACAGAGTCTCGACCAAGACAGAGGGATGCTTTCTCTTCTACTCCCTTTTATGATGTTAGGTGCGGGCGTGTGTGTGTGTGTGTGTGTGTGTGTGTGTGTGTGTGTGGGGGGGGGGGGACATCCTCAAACACATGTTTGAGGAAAAAAAAATGGACTGGCACATTCAACAAGTGAAAAGGGGTAAATGTAAGTCAGAACATAATGAAAATAATTCACTTAACAATGGTAGGGTCGATTCTATCCTTACAAAATATGGGAAGACAATATAAATTACCTATATAACTGCACTCATTATATAATGCAAATAAGGTTGCTTAAAAGTTGGTGGGGACAATTTGAGCACCCTGAAAAGTTGGTTGTGTTATGTCTCTACCCTCCCTATGCAAACCTACGCCCTTGTTGTTTAGACTCATCTTATCTCTGGCAGAGATTAAATGTTCCAACAGACAGATAGTTCTGGTAGCTGCAAGACAGCCTTGCTTACAAACCTCAGAGTCATGAGGCTGCATAAGCAGGCCAACCTAGATTATTTGTAACTCCTTATTAAAAGATAGTTACTCTATATTTCTTAACCTAAATATATGAAGAGATTCTTCTACACTCGTCCGGAAGACTCAAACCTGTTCCTTAAACATGTTTGCCCTTTAATAGATTTCAAATTGATATTTCTTCATCTGTGATATTTACACAAACACATTTTGTGTCAATACTTAACACTGTGTCACACATTCACACCACTTTATCCCTTTTTAAAACTCTTACTTTCACTGAATTCAATGCAAGAGTTCGCTTATATAAAGTATTTTCACTCACTTAACTTTTACTGGGTTTAGAATCTGGTGAAACTCACCTCCTGCAGTTTAACACTCCAGAAACTTCAAGACCTGTCATCAGAGAGAAGCAGGGTTAGGTCCGTTTAAATGTGGCGGTATTAGACTCTTGCAATCTCAGTGTTCATATGATAAAATAATAATAAAAAATTAAAAAAAACAGTTTAAACACTATTTTTGCAGGCAGGTAAGAAAATAATGAATGTGTGTCTGTATGTTTGATTCAGGTGCGTTTGAGAATGGGTTGGCCGAAGGTGAGATTGAAGAATCCCTGCGGCCGATCTCTGCTCTCCGTCTGGTCGTCCACTCCCACGCTGCTGTCTGGGCTTTGCTGAGTGAGGTACGACATGAGTGTGTGTGTTCATATGTGTGTTCTCCATTGTAGACTATGTTCATGTTGTTAGGTATTTTTCATTATCCTCTGTAACGTCTGAGCTGTCACACAGAAGCGTTTGAATATTCAGATCTCTTAAAAAAAAAAAGGGTAGGCAGAAGTTTTCCATTTCTGAAACCATGTCAGGTGATTTCCAGACATGCTTACATGAGTTTGTACCAGTACAGCCACATGTTTTTCATACTTGGGGAGGAAGGTTTGTTTAACTATACATAACCCTGAAGGAACTAAAGGGAGTTTACATGACACCTCCCTTTATACCTCTGCCTTATTATTGCAAACACATTCATAACTGAATTGTTATCATAGTACTATGTACTATGGATTTTAAATAAATCATTGGAGAGAGGCAGATGTTGTGCTATAGATTGCTTAATATGGCTAGTTTTGCCTAAAATACTAAATATTACTCTAAAAAAAAAGATACAATGCTAAAACAGTAGTTAAAGGCTGTTTTTTTAAGCTTTACACGCATGAGCAATAGGCAAAATGTGCTGCTAGAAAAGATGACGTCAGCCATCTGAGGGCAAATGCCAATATGTACAAATGCCAGTAATAGACTAAATCGATAAATCGGTCTATTCCTAGTTTGCAGTCCTCTTACAACCTGCATTAGTTGAGCCCAGCCAAAAGTAACTCTTAAGTTTGCATTGGATGTGAATAAAGTTACATGTGAAGTTGATGTTAAGATGTGAGTTCTTGTTGGGCATGATTGGCACCAAAGGAGCACTAAATCCTATGCACGACATTTGCTTAGTCTTGGAGCAAGTTATTCCTACAAATTAAAGAAGTAAACACAAAACATTCATGTGATCAAATACGCACAAATGAAGCAAGGAAATTAATTTTAATTTCATCTGGTGTGAACACAACATATTAGCCACACCCGACATTTTACAATATTCTGCAAACCTGAATCAGAACTGGGTTTATTGCAGAACACATAGGTGATTTGTCTTGGTGTTTTGGTGCCAAGACAATGAATAACAGAAATAAAGATATCCATCCGTCCATTCTCTTCCCCTCATCCTGAGCTAGGTCACACATCCCTCATCACAGCAATGCTTTCCATGGTGTTCCCAAGCCAGGTGGGATATATAAACCCTTCAGTGCAGTCTGGGTTTGACCCAAAGTCTGGGTTTGACCTTCCCAGAAGACCTCTAAAGAGAGGCGTTCAGGAGGACCAGCCTTCTCAGATACCCACACCACCTCAATTTACTCTGTCTGATGCAAAAGGGGTATTGACTCTACTCTGAGCTCCCCCTGAATGTCAGAGCTCCGGACCCTAAATCTCAGGCTGAGCAAAAAAAAAAGCAGTATACACACATTTAAAACAAAGAAACAAAAAAACATTCAAAGAAAACATTCAAAGTACTCTAACAGTATTGACCTATATCTAAACCATACATTTACAAAATGTGCCATAAAAAGCTGTACATGTGTGCAGGACAGTGCAGATTGATATTAGTGCGAAATCTATCCGTACAAGAACAAACAACACAGGGTGCAGTGTTACAGACAATGTCCAGAGAGTATCAAAGCAATGAAATAATCTGATCATACTGTGACTTTAAATTAGAGAAGAGAGAGTGTGTCAGATGAGGAAGAGGATTGGGTCAATTTGGCCGCCCAACACAGGATTATGTTGGGCAACCAAAGAGTAAATGGTAGCACATATTACATGAAGTTCAGAGCTGGATTTAACTCTGATGCTAAGACTGTAAGAAGGGGAGATGGATGGCTTTGTTTGTTCATATACTGACATTTGCCATGTCCCTGTCATGAGCTGTAGATCCGTGACAGGCCCTCATGTTTGTTTTTTATGTTAGTTGAGGTTCAGGCTGAAATCTAAAGGAGAGGAACTATTTCCACCAGGGACCATGAACTCGAATCACAATGATTTCACAAAGTTAAAATTCCATCGTTTCCCAGTTTGGGATCAATAAAGTAATTTTGAATGCTTCACCTCACAGAACTTTAGTAGGAATCCATTCATACCTTAGGACCTCGTTTTTGTGTGTGTGTGTGTGTGTGTGTGTCATAAAACAGCTAAGGAGTAAATGACATTTACTCTTTTCCTTCTCTATTAGATTCACATTGAAGTTGGACCACCACGCTGAGGAGGAACCCAAACACACTGCACTCAGCCCAGAATCTGGACTAAAAGCTCCCCCTGCTGGACACAGACTTACACTGCAGTACCTGTTGAATTTATTGTTTTAAATAAGGATCACATGAAGTGCCCAAACCGACCATGACTGTGCAATGAGAAAATCATCTTTGGGGTTAAATTCAAACACAAATGCTTCACCTGAAGTCATCAGGTCTGGGACAGACTAATTTCCTGAACGACCCTGTTACACGCTCAGGAATGATTTTTTAACCCTTGTCTTCTCTCAGAGATTGTTCAGATTTTCTCAATACCATTATTTATTAACTAATATATTTTTAGCCACTTTTGCATTCTGTATTTGTCATATCAAATAAAGAAAAATACACAAAAGAACTTCAGCTCTGAAATGTTTAATATCAGCGTCATTCTTTTTTTACCTGTGGTTTCATTTATTGCAACCTAAAATGTAATAACCAACCCAAAATGTAACAAGAGACTGTGCCCAAAACATTTTTTTGACCCAACTGTAACAACTTGTTACATTTGGTTTTATTCCTTTTTTAAAAATTACATATCAGGCTCTGACAGGGTGGCGTCAGATTCATGTCATGTTTGCTGTTTTTGGCCATTATTACAGTGAACAGCTCCACTTCAAAACCTGGATTTATCCTACTTTGGAGACACGTTAGAGAGAGTATGTTTTAATCATTAAAGACACAGATGCAGTTAAATAAGCGTCTGTCCAGGGGCGTGTCTGGACTTAAAGACTAAAGGGGCTGAGCCCAGACCACCCCTCTCTCCCCCACCATACAGAAAGAAGGAAATAAAAGAAATACAGTCTAAACAACTAAATGCAGCAAAAACTAACAATGCTTCATGAAGTCTGCAGGTTGACATCAGAGATACATCTGCAGAAATATCAATGCAAATTACAAACTCAAACATCAAATTCCTACTTTGTTTCATACAACTTCAACAGTTGGTAATTTTTGCCTCTGCTCAGAGAGCAGCAGAACAATCATTTATTTTCCTTATGTTATATTAAGGTTTTGTTGAAAGAAAATAATGTAGAATCAAATTCTCAATGCCATCAAGTATAAAAGTGCTGTCCCATTGCGCTCAAATCTCTTTGAGCCTTTATGAACTCAATCACTTTCTAGGTGACATCAGAACTCCAGGTTAAGGGAAAATATGAAGCACTGAGATTCAGCAATACATTGTTTTATTTCTTGACTTGTTTTGAGGATCGTTCCTCTATATTAACTTGGTAGATAAGCAGGGACTGCGCAGCAGTACTGCATTATAGGATAGTCTGAACTAAATCATCTAGCTAGGTAATTACAATCTCTGATTGACTAGTTAACCCACTTTAAAAACAGAAATGACAAAAACGTAACGACTCCTTACTTATTGACTAAAAGGAGACTTTGTGCGACTAAAACTAGCCTAAAACAACGATGGTTTAAACAGACTAAAACTAAAAAGCATTTCCATCAAAAGACTAAATCTAAAATAGCTGCCAAAATTAACACTGCCAATCCCAAATACCAAAAAGCAGGAAGCAAAGCAGAACATCACTTGTCCTTGCGAGCATCCTTAGTGACTCTGTAAGCGTGTGAAATATGAAACAAGAGGAAAGAGACATTACTGACAAACATTTCATCAAAAAGGATCATCACTTTATTAAAACTGTTCAAATTAGCGACAAATAAACAAACAGTAACATGTAAACAAAGTTCAAATGTAAGATGGATTCTTTCATATTTCTGTATCAACAACAGTATGCATATTGGTAAGTGGTTAAAGGAGGAGTTTAACTGTTAGCACATGTTATTATCTTGACACATGATGCTGGCTTTCAACTACAAGAGAGTAGTTAAAATGGTCTTTACACTCATCATGCAAATACGCAGCAACAAAAAGTGACATAAAAACAGACACAAACTGGGCCTATAGACCCCTCTCTTTAGAGAGATTATGAGCAATAAAAACATTTAAGATCTGCAGCAATGGCAACAATACTGAATAATAAATAAGTCAAAGAAGCAAAAGGGGTTTGTGACCCTCATTGACAAAACCAAATTCTCCTCTGCTCTGCTTCATGTCTTCTCCTGCCGCTAAAATCTGAAGCAGTAACTTATGAGGAGAAAAAGGATGTTTAACGTAAACATTTTAACTCTAGTTTTTTATTTGTTTAGTTTGGAGGACAGGGGTGGGGTAAAGGTTAGGATAGTGGAGTGGCAAAATCACCAGTTCAAAACGTCTCTGTGAGCTGATCAACATCCAAAACCACCACTGAGTTAATTAGTCTCTGCATGACCTGAACCCTGGTGCTGAAATGAAACTTTGATTGCAATATGATTTGGAGGAACAGGAAACTGGCCAAAATAAGAGCACATGGTAAAGCTCCCAGTAGTTCAGTGCTGCTTAGAGTGTGGGATTAGCTTTTAGCATGGAGCCATGGGGCCAGAGCTTTGCTTACAATAAGGTGATGGAGACAGGAATGGTTGTTGACGTGCAGCTTACTGCTTTTTGTGTTGCTACATAAATTTGACAATAGTTAAAATACTTGATTTTTTCTGATGGTTTTATTATACTCAATGTAGCTGAACTTTTACTGATATAACATCTGATGTTGGTTTTCAAAGAGTAGGAGAGTAAAATAACTCTTATGATATTTATTTGTTGATCAGAGGGTCATCACCCACCTGAAAGTTGTCTCTTGCATGTTGCTGTTGAGTGCCAGTAAAATGACTCAACTTGAGGGTGGCTTTGTACTGCAAGACACACTCTGTTAACTCAGTCATTTCAGCCAATTTAATCACAAAGACTTTTCTACCACTCTGATGCGATCTCAATCCTTTCTTGAAGCCATTTCTTCTTTATTCTGTGACGCCTTTTGATTAATTACTGCTGGACTGCTTCAAAGAATTCTGCAGGTAAACTAAAACAAAGCACATACTGACTTTTGTTGCAGTGTCTAAGAAACCTAAAGAGAAGATGCTAATTCACCTCACAGCTGTATGTTGAGAACTGGTGGATTATTTTGGGGAAGAACAACCACACACATGTGAACACCTGGTCAAGAGCTACTCAAGGTTCAGAAAGCCATTTCATAGATTTAGATCTGAAATCAAGACAGTTGTATCTTTAAATGTGTGAGAAAACCAGTAGATGCATTTCTGCTGGAAAGAGAAAAACTGTCAGTCTTCTTGATCAAACTGACTTCCAGGGTCTAAATAGAGAGCTGACTGCCGCCTACTGGACAAATTAAGGAATGACACATGTATGCAGTCTGAGGGACGTGTGAGGCTTTAGGCATGTTTACACCTGAAATTAGGCAGCATGTGTCTGCAGACCCAGAGGCTGCAGATTCAGGACCCTTTCCATAGCTATCTTAATAACACTCCTGAGATGTGGTCCCAGAATTATGGTCCTAAGACTGCAGCCTATGGTTCTGCAGACATAAAGTACTGGTGAAACTAATGGCTGACCAAAAGAGAGCGCATTGGAAAAACAAGTGTGGCTGCAGGCAGGACTCTTGACAGCTCACACCTCAGACGAGGACTTGACTTTATGGGAAACACAAACTTGCATGGCTGACCTTGTAATCACCGCTCTATTAATGACATGCGTTGTATATAATGTTTTCTATATGACGTCTATATAAAGTCTTAATATCCTGAACGATACAGTCACACATTTGATTGACTTTTCTTCTTCAACATGATTTTTCTCCTTCTTACAATTTCTTACATGACTGACAGTAAATACTGACATCAAACGTGTGAGTTCTGTTTCAAAACTCTGCAAGTTGGTGTTTGTTTATCAAAAATAGTGTTTCTAGAAATGCATCAATCAACACTGACGAGTAATTCTTAGACAGCTAAGCGCCATATTTCAGGTAAACATTGAAATCACAGCAGTAGTTTCATAAGAGGAAAGAATCGATGCTGGATTTTTATACCAAACAACGCCAATCTCTGGCTCTCCAGTGTCATCTTATTCAAACTTTGTGGGCCGAGCTGATGTACGGAAACGTGATAGAAATGTCACCATACACTGGTGAGTGCAGAGCTGCACCTTCTCTCAAATACTTGACATCTATAGATATATTTGACATTTATAGAAATTTAGGGGATTTAATCTGTGTAATTTTACAAAAAGAAAAGACTGTAGATGACCAGTTTGCTCAATAATGATAATAATTTAAATCTGTAAACATTAGATGTTTGTGTTGGATGTCTTTTGAGCATTAGTTTACAAATCTTTGTTTCCCCAGAGACTGATTTTCCTGAGTGATCTTTGTAGTTGAAATACCGGCTTTATTTGGGTTTAAATTAATTCACCTTTCGCCAGTGACGGTAGTTTTGTTGCAGATTTTGCTCTACCTAAGTTTATATTCAACATAAAGCCTTATTATCTCGGGAAAACAGACTGTAACAGACGAGTAGTAGTAAAAATTATGATGAGCAGATAGGGTTTTCCTGTGCCCTCAGTCAGCGAGTTAAAAAGTTTGAATTTTGGACCATTATACTTTTTTGAATTGATCCTTTTTGTGTTTAAATTGAACATCTTAATTCAAATAGAGGAAAAAATAGGATCCTATTCAACACCATAAGGATGCATCCTAATTTCAGGTGTGAACAGAGTTTGAAGGTATCCATAAAGAGATAGAGGATACTTGAGGTTAAAGTTCAGAGTGCAATCATCCAGGGCTGTCTGGGTTTAGGTCTAGGAATGTGTGTGTTTGTATAAATGTGATTGCATGAGTGTGTGTGTGAGTGTGCATAAGGGAGGGGGTTCTGGGTCAGACTCTCCATTTCTCCTTACTTTCTTTTGCTTTTGGTGTCGGTGGTCTGGAAGACACTAGAGGCCGACATGAGGTTCTCAATGTACTGACCCAGAACCTGGTTCTCTGACTTCAGCTTCAGGTTCTCCTCTTTGACAGCGTCCACTCTGGCAGATAGATCTGAACAAAAAACACAGACTTAAGCTTAAAAAATATCATAATAAATGAAAAATGATGATAATTATGATAAATTATCATTATGATAACCACTTGTTACAATCAAGGTATGGTTGTAACAGATGACAATGATGATAAAGAGAAGAATAGAAAAAATGCAAAATAGGACACTTCACTTCTCATGTAAAGTTGATGATGCAACTCTGGTTTGATTCAAGTCTTACCAGCCACAGTGGTGCAACAATAAGCTACTGTAGACTAAAACCAATGATAAAATTGATTACCTAATGTCAAGTGTTTTTCAAGCTGTGAGTGGATACAACATCATTTCCCAACACTGAATTACTGAGGAGAAAGCCATCATATATCCTCAGTCTCTTACTGCAGACAGTTACTGATGCAAAGCAACAACCAGAAAGGGTCAGGTTAAGTAAGTGTTGTTTAATAACAGTGCTTGATGCAACACTCTTGCATCCAACAAGCTGAAAATCAAACTTTTTTGGTCATCCAGGGATAGTGCTATCAGGATAACTGCAAAAACGAAACACTGAGGTAATAACAGGTCAACTGTGCAGCATGGTGGGCTATTTTACCTCACTTCACTTTAACTCACTTAATGCAGAAACAATAGCAACTACAAGGGTACCTAAACTGAATGTAATTTTTCTCCTTTAGTGGCATTTTGGCTTTCAGACAAATACAGCAGGAAAACCAGCCAGTATACAAACTCTGCTCGAAGATCCATGTGAAATGAAATATGGTGAATGCAAGCACTCATCAGGCAAGTTACCATTCACCTATCAAGGTGAAGCTGCTGCCCCTTCAGAACAGTCAAGCAGCTCATGTCAGCTGACAGCTTGAAGTTGCCAAACATAACAGTGAAAGTGACAGACATAGACGCCTTGCATGCGCTGTCAGTATCTGGTGTAAAAGATGACGTCGTATTTCACAGCGGAAGAACCAGCCCAAAACTCTCTCAGAAAACCTATTTTCAATCAACTGAAGTCAGCATTGCTGTTAGAACCGGGTTAAAACAGGTTATCAGGTTAAATCAGGTTAAAACAATACTAAAGGAGGTTGAAGAAGTATGTTTCATCTTGCAAAAACAACAATCTGAGCGTTATGTGTCTGTGGGTGCATGCATCTGTGGGCACCTTCTAAAGTGTGCTGAAGCTCCAGCACCTGGTTGATGAGTCTCGTCTTCTCTTCCAGCTCAGCCTGGTTCTCCATGTCACCTAGAGAGATGGGAACAGACATTTAGACAATGTACACTAATAAAAATTTCAACTCACAGTAGGATTTGTCATGTTAGATTTGCAATACAGGGTGTGCTGACTGAGTAACTGAGTAAATGTTCATGTTTTAAAGAAAAGACTGCCTCATAAAATGTTATGTTGCCCTTTTTTACTACCTAATCTTATATGCTGTTTCATTCCTTATTTTGAAACAAGGCAAAAGGTACTTCTACTAGACAGTAAATTAACAAAATAAACTGAAAACAGAAAAAAAAAATCAATAGCAATAAATGCTAGATTTATTAGCAATCCACAAAGAAGCACCAGCCTTTGCTTGTAAATCAGAGTCTGACTTCAGATACGTGTAGCAAATAATCTTTCATGAGCTGAGGAGGAATTGTGAGCATGCATCTGTGTCTTTGTGTGTTAAATCACCATCGTCTGAGCTCATGGTGAAGTACTCGTCTTCCCTTTTGGAATGCAGGGCTGCGATTTCCAAGGACACTGCATAACAGAGAAAATGTGAAATATTGAAGTGATTGATATAGCCTAATATTTTTTTTTAACAATAGAAATATATCTAATCAAAAGGAATGCAGTATGCATGTACATAAATAAAATAACTTCCAATCGTGTAAATGCTTGAAACATTATCTCCAACTAGACTCCTATGAACTTTTCTGCTTACATACGCCGTTATGTGTATTAGTGAGTAATATGAGACACGCCAATTTCAACTGTATCATTTTAGTTGTGTACACAAAACACAATTCAGAGCTACGCCGAATTTACCTTAGAAACATAATGATTCACGTAAAATATGGTCAGTTTATTTGTACTACCTGTAAAATTGCCGAAAGAAAATAAACGATATTTCAGGGGGAGTTTTGCATTACGATTTGCAAGCAAGTGATGCGGAGTAATTGAATTACGTCACACAAAACGTGATTCAAAATAATTAGACAAAATACTAATTTTGATCCGAAACCACGCTAATAAGAGCTTAATTCACCCAAACAAAGCTGCATTGTTGATTTCTTGCTTGAAATACGCGGTCCTATTGGCGTGTTAGCTCTCATGAGCACAGGTGACAGAGTATAACAAACCCTGAGCCTAGCCTGCGGCTAACTAGCAGTCACCATGCTAACATACACTAGCAGGGTGCGCTTGAGCTATAACTGCCACAAATAATCAGCTGAATGTACAACATGTCGGGCATACCTATCGATGTAAAAATAATAATAATAATGTTCCTCAGAAGAAAAGCAGAGCAACGACACAGAAATCCACCGGTTACACAGGCGTTAAATCCCACAGCTACTGTTCTGTTCTGTTATGTTCAGCTCACGCAGTTACAGCCTCCTTCCACTAGAGGGCGAGAGGGCGCAAGGAGTGAGCAAGAGCTGCTTGAATTGTATCATCTAAAAAATTTTTATTCTTTATGCCGATTTAAAAAGATTTTTCAAGTTAATAAAAGCATGTAATGACTTCACTCTATGTGTGAATTAGTATAAAGTACCATCACATGAAAATAGGCTTCTTTTTACTCAAGTAAAAAGGTATTTTGGCTCAGAGCTGATGTGATATTTTTATTTTTTTAAGTTCAAAATTCAATATCTTTATGGCCTTTTTGATGCCTTATAATGGGCTTTGTCAAATAACAATGATCAACTTTAGGGTTTTTTTTTTTAAACAGGGGGACAAAGTGCTTTACAGATCTAGTTACTGCTCTAAAATATTGATATGATAGGAGTATATATAGACTATTTTTAGTAGCCTTCTAAAGAAAATCGACTGAATTTAATTGAAGTAAAGGCTTCAGTGGAAACTATAATGAAACACAAGGTTTCCAGTTTTTGTTGGGTTACCTATGAGACATAAGCCTACGTAGGCTTAGTACTAAGCTATAGTTTTCAAAAAGTTGTCGTTTTGTACCGAAATAAGGAAGGTTTTTTAAGTAAACAGCATTTTAAATCTCCATGGTAAGCTGTAACGATGTAAAAACTTTAGATCAATACAAGCCAAAGAGAGCGGTCATTTCTGAAGATCAAATCTGAAGAGAACAACACGAAAAACTTGTGGCTTACGAACTTACAACTTTTGACGGCTTCATCGAAAAATAAAACCTCACCAGACGACTAAGGACTCCGACAAACACCTGTAACCAACACCTGAACAAAGAGGACAACATCTCCGACAAACACCTTCGACCAACACCTGAACAAAGAGGACAACATCTACGACATGGAGACCGTAAGATTTCATGACAATATTATCATACAAACTTGTGCTACTGTCGAGACTTTCGTGATGGTTAAGCGATGCATCGACAAGGATTAAATGTGTGCATGGATATTTACAGTGTTTATGACTTTAATGTGACAGGCATTATCAAAAATAGAAAAATTGCATTTCCTTGCAGAAAATGCGTGGAAATGCTGAGTGCTGAAAGCTGAAAAAGCAATGCTAAACTGCTAATAAAACATGGAGAAAGGTTTAAATGTAAACTTGGTTAAAGAGCTGGAGAAAGAAAAATAGAAGTTGGATGAAAGTGAAAATTGTTTAAGTACAAATAGTATGAATGTGCTTCATAAATTAAAATTGCATTCATGCTGAATAAGGCTAGAAAAACTGTCTGAAATTGCAAAGAAAATTGGATAAGGAAGAAAATTACCTTAAAACACAGAAAAGTAAGAAGTGGCATAAGTTGAAGTTGAAGTACTAGAAGAAGTATGATAATAGGTAGTTGTACTAGTGATATTAGTAGTCATGTAAGCAGTAGAAGTAGTTTTAGAATAGAAGAAGTAGAAGTCAAAGCAGTAGAGCTTGTAGTAGAGGTGAGAGTAGAAGTAAAAAAAATATTAAGAGAAGCAAGAGCAGTGGAGGTAGAAGTGAAGATACAAGTTAAAGTGATATAAGTAGTAATTGTAGTGGTAGAACTGGGATTTTGTTTGAAGAATTAAAACATACATAAATAATGAGAATGATTTTGAAGTTGGAAAAATTTAAAATAATTAGAAGTCCTAAAGTGTTAAACAGGTTTGAAGTATCAGAAAGGTTTGAATCAGTTTGAATGAGTTTGGATTTGTCTGACAAACTTAATAATGCATGAATAATGAGAATAATTTTAAAGTGGGGAAAAGTTAAATGAATAAAATCCTGAGTACGCCCCATAATATCTTCAATGAGCTGAATTTTTGAAGCCCAGAATGGTTTCTGTAGCTCAAAGTTTGTGGGTGGAGATAGGTGGTGATGCAGACACATATTAACTGTGTGTACATGCAGGTCTTTTAGACACAGACACACACACACACACACACACACACACACACACACACACACACACACACACACACACACACACACACACACACACACATTGTCAGACTGTGTGTATGTGTGTGTCTCGTTAATGATTTTATCCTAAACAGCTGTGAGATCAAAGGCATTAACTGACCTACTGTTTGAATGAGAAGCTGCCTCTGGACTTCTTCACATAGCACAATTTTCTTAAATCCCAGAATGAAAATAAGAACATCGTACAATCCTCCGCCGTTCATGAACACAATGATCTGTTTTTCATGTCTGTACTCCGAAAAATGTGGCCACAACAGCGAGTTAAAAGTCGAGACGTTCGGATAGTTATCTTAAAAGTGATGCATTGACATCACATGAAAGTCCTGCCCACCATGTCAAAGACTCTACGTGCTTAAGAGCAGAAAAGCTCATGTTATTGTGAGAAATCTCTATAAGAGATTTTTTATGTCTTCTTGGCTATTTAAAGCTGTCAGTCTGAAACTTATTTGACAGTTTCTTTTATACTAACCAATGCTTTCTTATTTCTTCTTTAAATCTGCACAGAAGAGTCAACCCACTCCTGTAAGTGGAGAAGCTCCGAGAATTGCGGGCTCGAGTTTCAACAGGAGGTAAGAAACACGTTAAACTTATGATGACAGTAAAATGCAAACTCAAATTTATAGGGGTGTGATATTAAACAGTAGTTTACCAATGTGTCTCTAAAACAATCTTTTACCTCTTTTGCATTTAATATGTAGAGTGTAACATTTGAAACATGACGGAGACCTCCCAGCAGATTATAATCTGAGATTTTGATTTTGGACTCACACTGTGTTTCATACTCTTTTTGTCACAAGACACATGTATTTATGTGATACATTTCAGTGGTTATTTTAACTGAATAAGACAATTCAAAGGCTTCACATCAGACATTTACTGATCAATTAATCAGTCAGACAAAGGAAATGTGTAAAAACACTAAATGAAATAAAGAAGTTTTATCATTGTTTGCTCTTACTGCGAGTCTCTAGTCAAAAACTAGTAAAGTCAGGTCAGATAGATAAGATACTCCTTTATTAGTCCCACAAGGGGAAATTCCCAGTAAGGGAAACAAAGACCATTTTAATTTACTGTGTTTGAAATTGAAGGAAAAACACGTTTTGTATGAGGCCTTTCCCGGATAATATGCATTAAAAAAGCTTTGTTTTAAAAACGCTGTGTCAACTTAAAGAGATTCAGCACTTAGGTTTTTAATGAATAAGTGTGAACAAAGAGGGGGTTCATTTATCAATAACAACAACACAAAAACAGGGAATAACCTTCAGGTATTTTAAACCACTGTGAGTGTGCTGTATTATTTTTGATACATAAAGACACTTTTTCAGTTTGACTCTGATACTTCCTCAAAGACCATCCAGTGTGTGTTTATTGTATTTTATCGTCTGAATATCACCATGGTTTGAGTCTGTGTGACTGTCATGTGTCTCTGCAGATATTTCTGTTTATGGATTTGTTTTGTTCATTAAAATAACCAACCTGTGTTTCTGTGTTGACCAGTGTCACTGCGTCAGAGGCTTCTGACGCAGAAAACTGCTGCCCAACGAACTTTTGGCTGCACAGGCTGTTTGGTCAACCTCTGGTATGTTTCAGAGCTGTTAAAATAAGATCATTTTATAAGTGTGACATTTAAAATCAGACACTACAAATATTTGACACAGTGGGTTTTCATTTTTATATTTGTTGTTACTCCACAGAAAAAAATCAGAAGTCTAATCAGCCATCAGCGGAGGTGAGTAAACTGCTCCAACAATCAGCTGTTTATTTGTGCAGCCACAAAAGTTTCTGATAAATGTTGACTAGTGACTGCAGACTCCTTTAAAAACATCAGTACAGGTTGTTAAAACAAATGTCACCACACGGTAATGGTGTATGCTTGTGTCTGCAGAGATGTCACCTCCAATGGTCTGGCTGGCTCCACAGCACCCCCACCTGGGGAGAAAATCAAGAAACCAAAGGCGAAGAAATGGAGTTGTTCTTGGTTTTTTAAGTGCTGTAGTGTAAGTAAAGCATAGGATAACCAGTCTGGACTTCAGTGTTGTTATAAGCATTAGTTTTGGTTTATCTTTCAGTTGATTCTGTTACTGACAAATCAAAATTATTTTTACTCCATTAGAGAGAAAAGCGTGTGTCTCCTCTCTCTGATCCTAAAGATCAGCGAAAGCCTCCTCGGGAACTCCAGAGAAGGTAACAAACTCATTTTGTTCACAGGATGGATCAATTTTGGTGTCACCTGATGAGTTAAATCATCACGTGACACAAATCAGGTGTTATCAATTCTTTCTTAAAGCTCCCGTGAGGAATTTTTGGTTTGTGTTGCTTCTTATGCTTCTTTTCATAACCTCTCTTTCAAATTGTGTTAAGTCTTGTTTTCAAACAAAAAATCTCCCTGCTCAATTTTAAAAGTCATTGGTCATCTTCACCTGAGATATTTTTGAAAAAGCCTTTTTAAAAAGCTTCAATTTAGCTAAATCATCCGACACCCTGACAACATTTTCTAACCTCACAAATAACTTTGTAGAGATGAACAAACCCTTCAAAGGTGGTCTGATTTGCTTTTTAAGGCCACACAGAGGCATCCCTATCAATATCAGTCAGTTATAATCTGATCAAAATTCCCCACAGTAGCTTTAACATGAAGTCACTTGTACATGAAAATCAGTAAATCTGCTAAATATGTCCTGACACATTATTTTTTTCCCCTTGAAACACACTCACAGTCTGTTCCTCAGTCTATGAATCATTTATTTATATATTAAGAAGCGCTGTAATGCTGTAGAATAGCCAACTTGATTTTTTGACTTTAAATTTCAATGAAAAGAGCAGTTTAATACACACTTTCTGTACCAGATTTAATGTGGAGGTTGATATCTCAATAAAGAAAGTTATGGTTTGAGTTAGCTTGAGGTTATCGCTTTCATCCCCTTTTTAACTTTATGTTCTTACTTGGGACATGTTTTGATTGGCATTGAAAGTCAGTAAGGATTATTGGCAGTGCTGGTAATGTGAATTAAAAACTCTGAGTGTTCTGTTGGTCAAATCTCGTCTCCTTAAATTCAATCCCACTTCGATCTCAATACTGATTTTTGCTAAAATAACCTTCTTTTCCATGGATGAGGTCAACTGTAAAATATGATTCAGTACAAGTAGATAACTAGCCCCACATACTTGTAGCTCTTTGCTGTTCATTGTTATTTACAGTTTGTTTTTGTCTCACTGCAGCACTGACGAGGTTTCCCAGAGCAGAGTGCCACAGCAGGTCAACCTTGGGTTAGTACACGTGATTTTCTGGATTCATCACTTAAATCCATGCAGCTACATTTTGATAAAAGCAATCCTTAGTTTGTGTCTGGAGCTGTAATATTAAGATATGATTCCATTTGTTGTGTTTGTGTGTCAGATTTCCAAATCCAGCCCAGAACTGTTACATGAACTCCAGCCTCCAGAGCTTGCTCACGCTCACACAGTTTGTGAGGGACATCAGGAGCCAGGAGGAGGTCTGGAGTCTGATCCCAGAGGCCCAGCTGATGAGGTGTAGTATCTGTAAACACACACACACACGCACGCACGCACGCACGCACGCACGCGCACACACACACACACACACACACACACACACACACACACACACACACACACACACAGTTAACTGTTTAGAATAAGTGTAAAAGATGACTAAAGTAGAGGGTTGTTTTATGCCAGACTGCATGACTAAGAGTGGTACACACCGCAGATAACCGCTTTTTTTGGTCCTCAGGATATGAGAAATATTAAACTTTTGTCTTTTTTTAAATGAATAATCTGGTTTATTGTGCTAATGAACTGGCATTTAATGATTAATTATTAATAATAGGTATTAATATACAGGACTGAAACTGAGGAAAAGATAAAAATAATAAATAATAAAAACGTATGAAATATGTCAATGTCAGATCATTTAAATGTATTTAAAGTATTGTAATTAAATGGGTTTTTAAATCTGACATATTAAAAAAAAATTAACATACCCCAAATCATTTTAACTGGTGATCACAAAAATGTCCCAATCTGAGTTCGATTGTTTTTTTTAATGTTAGCTCATAGTGTAAAATGTTGGATAACAATGCATTGTGTATGTAGACTGGCATAGGGTTAAAATTCTGGAAATTATTCATCATTTGATATTTATAAACAGAGTTGAAGCTGGTGAAATAAATGTGATTCATTATAAGTTAAAAACAATATTTATGCATAATTTTATGTCAGTTTTTGGCTTTGAACTTATTTTTTGTCCTGTACTGTAAAACTAGATTTTTTTTAAAGTCTAAAAATGATTCAACATTTAATATAAAAGAACAGTTAATCTGCTTGCAAGATTTGACCCATTAAAAGAAGAGATAATATCCATGTTAAACTATTTCATGACAGATTTTTTGCCAAGGATAAGTTAATTTCAGGATGTCAGGAACTTTTTGTTGCTGAGACATGAGGCTTCAGTTTATCCGCAAATCTTTAAATCAAACTAAAACAAGCTCCTCTCTGTTCCTCTGCAGTTATTTCATGGATATTGTTCGTCTCCGTGACGTGGGTGACGCTCACCAAAAACTTAGGGCTCTGTGTGAGTTTAAGAGGCTTCTCTCTATCCAGGCCCCAGAGTTTGCGGACCACCATCAGAAAGTAAGTCAGCTCGTTTTCTTTAAAGTTTCACTAGCTGCTCCTTGTCTGCTTATCCAATCAAACCTGTGTCTCTGTTTGCTCAGGATGCCCATGAGTTTCTGACTGCAGTTCTGGATCAGATGAAGGACCTGGATGCGCCACTGAGACAAGTTGCCTCTATCCTGGGGAGGTCCTACAGGCGTCCTGTGGAAAGGAACCTGGTGTTCAGGATGCAGAATACTCGAAAATGCAAGAGGTAAAAACATACAGATGGTTGCAGGACAAATTTACCTCCAGTTTGACTCATTTGTTTAATTTTTTGCTCATTTTTATCAAGTCAGGTCAAATCTACAGTAATCTTTTCTTTTATCTTTACATTTTCTTTTCACAACATGTATAACTACAGTATATAATCATATGTATTGTCCTTTTAACGTGCAGATGTGGCTCTGCCTCAGTGAGAGAGGAGGAATTCTTGAATCTCCCTCTGGACCTGATTCCTGGGGGTTCAGTGCAGCAGATGCTGCAGGAATTCGAGAAGGTAAAGAAGCTGGACTTCTTTAATCAACATCTATATTGTCTGATATGAAGCCACTCAAATGTTTCACTCTGCGGTTATTTTTGGTTGTTGTTTTTCCATGTTTACTGTACACAGTATCTGACAGCATGTTTTCTCTGCAGGAGACAGACTTGGAGTTCAACTGCGAGTGTGGAGGCACAACTTCAGCACAATGCTCCACCTTCACAACCCTGCCGAAGTGGGTGACGTTACATCCATCACAGACTCCCTGTTTCCCCCTGTTGCAGACACATGCACAGATTATTTTCTGTTTATTTCTCCTCAGTACTTTCATGCTCAGATATTCCCTCAGTTTAATAATCCTGTGGTCATTCCCTCTCTGCTGCTCTCCACAGTTTCTTGGTGCTCCAACTGAAAAGGTTTAACTTCACTGAGTCCTATGAGCTTGTGAAATGTCACGACCCAGTGGACCTCACCAGGGAACTGATTGTGACATCTAGCCAGGTAAGACACTTATGCGCCAAAGTGTAAGAGTGTAGAAGTGTGTGTGTGTGTGTGTGTGTGTGTGTGTGTGTGTGTGTGTGTGTTTGTGTGTGTGTGTGTGTGTGTGCTTGTTTCTAACAGTTGTTCTGTGTGTTTGCTCTCAGGCTAAGAGCTGGTACAGTCTGGTTAGTGTCATCAGTCATTTAGGCAGCGAAGGGAACGCAGGTAAAACATTCACTCAGTGAGGGTCAGATCAGCCAGTGCAGTCTTCTGTTAGGTCCTCAGATACATAACAGATAGATAAATGCCAAAAAAATGCTGGAATGTTTAAAGTCTCAGGAATATCAAAATAACATTAGCCTTCAAACCATGTCTTTGTAAGAAAGATAAAACGTTATGAAGTAACTGGATCGGTCTCATTCAGCAGAAAGTGCAGCCTGCTCTTGGATCTTGGTAACATTTTCCATCATTTTACTTTCAAAGAACTAATGAACTCCTAAAAATGTTTGAAGAAACTTGTTATAAACCAATTTTTATGATTTATAATCACATAATTTAACACGTAAGCTAAAGCACCAGAATTAGAATTAGAAGTATACTTTTATTTTCAGTGACGTGCGGTCAGGGGAGGCAGGTGAGGCAGTGCCTCACCAGCCATCATGGAAAGAAAGAAAATATATAATCATAAAGTAATTTAAATTGTTATATTCATCCGGTGGTTTGTACTAAAAAATATTTATTTTTCATGTAGCTTCACCAATTTCGATTTTTATTTGTTCAAAATCGCTGAATTTTCTTATTTTCCCATTCAAATGCTTGGAAGCGATGCCGGTGAGGCAGCAGCGAGCTCTGCCTCACCTTGGATTGCGCAACCCCTGGCTCTGCGCTGGCTGCTAAGCGGAGAGAGCATGTTGCTGTACGGCGTCAATAAAATGGTTTAAACAAATTTAATATGTGAACTTATTTCCAATAATTTAGCTTATGTATATAATGTACAATGCTTTTTGTCACCAACTGTGTTTGTGTAACGTGTTTCGTGTAATGAGCGATTATAAACGGCAGAGAACAGGTTCGAGGTGAGGCAGGCAGTTCTCTTGCCTCATGGCAGGGGGTGCTCAAGATCCCAGACGTTCGTCTTGTTCACTCCTCAACTGCCGAGTAAGTGACAGCGAGCTAGGCTAAACGATTCGGGAAGCAAGTCAAGTGCAGCGATAGATTATAATAGAGATAGTGATTTTTTTCCTCTCGCTTATCCCGACTTTCGACATGGATGACTACATTACAACACTAAAAAAGTTTTCTCAAGTGGACTTTTATCTCCTGGACAGCTTCTCAACTTTTTGGCCGAGAAGGATCTTGTTGTAACTGTTCCTAAGGCGACAAAGTTGCTCCAGCTCGTGCTCACGGTGCCAGCTACTACAGCGTCAGTGGAGCGGTCATTCTCAGCCCTGAAGAGACTGAAAACATACAGCAGGAACAGGACGGATCAAGGAAGGCTTTCTTCCCTGGCAGTGATCTCCATTGAGACAGAGAGACTTTTAAAACTGAAGGAAGATAAGGAGGACTTCTATCGCAAAGTGACGGATGTTTTTGTGCAGAAGGAGCGACGCATGGACTTCATTTATACGTAAAGGTAAGACAGTAATAACATTTATTTTGTTTTGTTTTTTAAGGAAATGTGTGTTTTGTGAGCTACAGTTTGTATGTGTAAGGATGCAGAAGTGAAACATAACCTGTAAACTGCTGTCAATCTATGCATCTATTTGCAAATCTGATTCTGATGACGTCAGTGCCTCACCAGCTATGAACCTCACCGCACGTCACTGTTTATTTTTAGAAATGCAGCCAAATAAAAGTGAAAGTCGCGGGCACAAAAAAAACTACAGTAAAGTACAGAAACTTCAAAATTATACTCAAGTACTATATTTAAGTAATACTACGTACTTACTGTACAACACTGTTCTAGACTTTGCAATTCATTGTATTAAAAATTCAGAGAGCCTACTAACTGTTAAAGTTTATGAAATGACACAAGGCAGAACAACTTTTGATGGTGAGATCACTTGATTTACTCTTTGAAAGCTGAGATCCCAGAGTCTGCTGTGTCTGCAGACATGGGGTCCCTCTACAGATTTGTCTTTAAGCCATCATGCAGCGTTACCTTGAATGTTCAGAGAAAATACTGAGACATCTGAGAAAATCTGTGTGATCAGTTTTACAAGAGAATAACCTTTTGACATTAAGCAAAGTTATGAAATTAACTCTACTCAGGTTCTTTAGTCAAACCTGCTCTGCGCTCGGTATGGTCCACTACTGCCCCCTGTGGCCGACTGCAATAATACCCAATTGTCACTATAATGTACAAATGTAGGCTGCTGTTATTAATCAAGTTTTCCTGCAGTGCATTTTGACTATTTCACCCTGACTTTGTTGGAGTTTTGATCAAATGTTTTCTCACAGTAATGGATAATTTTTATTCCATGACCGTCTTTACATCAACACATAAAACAAACAACAAACATCACGAAAGACTCACATGTTTATGGCTATAATTCTGTTCAGCTGGGTTTATCCAGAAATCTTGTCTGAAATTTGCTCCAACATTTGATGCACACTCTTCTTCCTCTCCTGTTAGGACACTACATCAGCAGCGGGCTGCACCCTGATATGGATCCTGAGACTGCGGGTGATCTTTGGCTAAATTATAATGACTCCTAGGTCACCCGTATGACAAGAGAGAATTTATGCCAAAGATTAAAGGAGTCAGCATATCTCCTCTTCTACGAGAAGATGGTGAGAAAAAAATTGTTAAACATAGATTATAATTAAATAAGCTGAATTCTCCAAACAGAGATCACTGACTGTCTTTATGTTTGTTTTAGAACAAGCCTCTGTTGCAGACTTCAGATTTTATAATTTGTCTGTTTTTCTGTCTCAGGTCTGAGTGGAGCAGTACAGCCTCGTCCAGAACCAGGATGAGTCCACTCCAAGGCTGTTACTGAGGAAGGTCCCATCGATGGACGGCCCTCCACGTCTCTCCTCCCCCAAGCTCAACCAGGAGCCTGAGGACCCAGAGGAACTCTCCAGACGGAGACGACGGTGGATGGCCCCACTGAGGACCACTCAGGAGGAACCTGCGCTCCCTTCATCCACCAAGCTCATCTCCACCGGTCCTGAGCCCAAGTGGAAGAAGAATCTTCAGCGCCTCATGAAGATCAGGTTCCAGTGGTGTAACGTGACTCACAAGAGGCCCGCTGGACTGATGAAAAACAACCGTCCAAGCAAGAGTCCTTTTGGGGGTCACGTTGTGCCGTAGTTAGGTTATAGAATAAGTTGTGTAGTTATAAGTTAAGTTAGAGTAAGTTAAGTTGTTTAGTTATAAGGTAAGTTAGAATAAGTTAAGTTGTTTAGTGATAAGTTAAGTTAGAATAAGTTGTTTAGTTATAAGTTAAGTTAGAGTAAGTTACGTTGTTTAGTTATAAGTTAAGTTAGAATAAGTTAAGTTGTTTAGTTATAAGTTAAGTTAGAGTAAGTTAAGTTGTTTAATTAAGATAAGTTAGAATAAGTTAAGTTGTTTAATTAAGATAAGTTAGAGTAAGTTGAGTTTTAGTTATGATAAGTTAGAGTAAGTTAAGTTTTCTCTTCCAAAAAAACAAATAAGGTCGTTCAGTAATTCGGTATTAGTTAGCATTCAGCTCCTCAGCAGCATCTCCTCTCCTCCTCCAATGAAAGCCTCCGGCATCCAGCTCTGCTATAAAGTCAATGACAACGAATCCCTCACTCCGCTCCAGCTCCTCCATCTCACACTGGCTCTTAAAAAAACAAATAAGGTTGTTCAGTAATTCGGTATTAGTTAGCCTTCAGCTCCTCAGCAGCATCTCCTCTCCTCCTCCAATAAAAGCCTCCGGCATCCTGCTCTGCATTTAAGTCAACGACAACGAATCCCTCACTCCGCTCCAGCTCCTCCTCTCACTTGCTCCTAAAAAAACAAAAAAGCTTCAATTAAAGGCAGAAAAAACGACTTCACCTTGGACTCATTGGGCAGAACTTCAAAAGTCCTTGGTTGTGTTGTGTGGTTATTTATTTTGATGTTATGTGTTGGGATGTTTTGTGTAGTGGCGCAGTTTTAGTATAGTGTCTTGTGATGTGTTGTTTTGTTTCATGGGTTGTGTTGTCATGCATGTGTTTATGTTGTGATGTCTTGTTTTTTAATGTGTTGTGTCGTCATGTTTGATGTTATGTGTCGTTATGTGCTCTGTTACCTCGTGTTGTTTTCTGCTGTGTGTTGTGTTGTGTCCTCGCGTGTGTGTTTGTGTCGTGATGTGTTGTGTTTTGTCATGTCCTTTCGTGTGACCTCTTTACTTGATTTATTCACTTAGTGGGAAAGTGAGTCTAAAGGTGAGTTTGGTTCCTCCAGAGTCATTGTTAACATGAAAAAAAGTCAGTGTAGGACCCATTTTCTGTTTGTTTTTTTTTAGGAAAAGGACCTCAATCGAGAAGAAACCCCCAGAAGAGCCGAGCACGAGACAGAAGACGCAGGAGGACCAAACATACGGGAGACAGGCCCATGAAGAGAGAGACGAAGAAAAGATGAATGACGGATGTACTGTGTGTTTCTGGGAATTTGAAGGTAAATAACTCTATAACTACTTAAAAGGTTCGGCTTTTAAGAAAAAAAATAGACAATTTTAACTGAAGGGCTGAAATTCATGTTTGTTTCAGGTAACTTCAAAGAGTCAAACGCCTAAAATGACTCAAGAGGAGGCCAAAGATGACGACCAACTCAGTGATGCAGAAGGAGATTGGATGAACAAGACGACATGGAGAAGTAAAGTAAGTAAAGTTTGATGAATGTGTTTGTTTCATTAAACTGTTGTCTTTGTGTGCTGCTCTATTGACCTGCATTTTCTTCATCTTTCATCTCCTTATATTTACACATGTGGACAAAATTGTTGGTACCCCTCAGTTAAAGAAGGAAAAACCCACAATTCTCACTGAAATCACTTGAAACCTACAAAAGTAACAATAAATAAAAATTTATTGAAAATTAAATAATCAAAATCAGCCATTACGTTTGAAATGTTGATTAACATAATTATTTAAAAAAAACAAACTAATGAAATAGGGCTGGACAAAAATGATGGTACCTCTATAAAAGATTGAAAACTATTTGACCAGAGTGACATGATTAACTCAGGTGTGTCCTTTAATTGACATCACACGTGTTTCCAAACTCATAATCAGTCAGTCTGCCTATTTAAAGGGAGACAAGTAGTCACTCTGCTGTTTGGTGAAAAGGTGTGTACCACACTGAACATGGACAACAGAAAGCGAAGGAGAGAATTGTCCCAGGACATCCGAAAATAAATTATAGACAAACATCTTAAAGGTGCAGGCTATAAGACCATCTCTAAACAGCTTGAAGTTCCTGTGACAACAGTGGCTCATATTATTCAGAAGTTCAAGACCCACGGGACAGTAGCCAACCTCCCTGGACGTGGCCGCAAGAGGAAAATTGATGACAGATTGAAGAGACAGATCGTTCGAATTGTATCCAAAGAGCCCAGGACAACCTCCAAAGAAATTAAAGGTGAACTCCAAGGCCAAGGTACATCAGTGTCAGATCGCACCATTCGTCGTTGTTTGAGCCAAAGTGGACTTCATGGGAGACGACCAAGGAGGACACCACTGCTGAAAAAAAATCATAAAAAAGCGAGACTGGAATTTGCAAAAATGCATGTTGACAAGCCACAAAGCTTCTGGGAGAATGTCCTTTGGACAGATGAGACCAAACTGGAGCTTTTTGGTAAGGCACATCAACTCTATGTTCATAGACTCAAAAACCAAGCATACGAAGAAAAGAACACTGTCCCTACGGTGAAACATGGAGGAGGCTCAGCAATGTTTTGGGGCTGCTTTGCTGCATCTGGCACAGGGTGTCTTGAATGTGTGCAAGGTAAAATGAAATCTGACGACTATCAAGGCATTCTGGAGAGAAATGTGCTGCCTAGTGTCAGAAAGCTTGGTCTCAGTCGCAGGTCATGGGTCTTCCAACAGGACAACGATCCAAAACACACAGCCAAAAACACCCAAGAATGGCTGAGAGAAAAGCGTCGGACTATTCTAAAGTGGCCTTCCATGAGCCCAGATCTGAATCCCATTGAACATCTGTGGAAGGAGCTGAAACATGCCATTTGGAGAAGACACCCATCAAACCTGAGACAACTGGAGCAGTTTGCTCATGAGGAGTGGGCCAAAATACCTGTTGACAGCTGCAGAACGCTCATTGACAAATACAGAAATCGTTTAATTGCAGTGATTGCCTCAAAAGGTTGTGCAACAAAATATTAAGTTATGGGTACCATCATTTTTGTCCAGCCCTATTTCATTAGTTTGTTTTTTTTAAATAATTATGTTAATCAACAATTCAAAAGTAATGGCTGATTTTGATTATTTAATTTTCAATAAATTTTTATTTATTGTTACTTTTGTAGGTTTCAAGTGATTTCAGTGAGAATTGTGGGTTTTTCCTTCTTTAACTGAGGGGTACCAACAATTTTGTCCACGTGTGTATCTCTATACAATAGACACACGCAAGGATGAGAGTGAAGATGATAAGCAGCCGAAAGAAGAAGATAAGATGAGAACAGCAGCAAAGATGGTGAACATGGACAAGAGTTTCAGGGCATGAAGGTAGACTGACTGCATCCTTTGTTCTTTTCTTTCAGAATGTAATTACTTCTTAAAGATTGGTCTCTACATACTTTGGTGGATATCTGTTAAAGGATATTGTATTTTAATATTTCTGTCTTTTCATTATAGTTGAACAAGTGTAAGAGTGGCCTCCTAACACAGCAGTTATCCAGCTGGTGACTGAAAAGGACAGAAGAAACTCTGGAAGGAGAGCAGCCATGTTGACACGGAGGCTGCACACTCTCAAAATAAATGTGTTAAAATCATACACATTTTTTGTGTTATTATATTTTAACATTTGTTCTGTTATATTTACACATCCTGTGTTATTATCCTAGACACACTTTTGAGTTAATGCTATTTTAACACATAAAATAGTTATCATGTGAATTATCAATGCCTTGCCATGTTTCTACTGACAGTTAGTGTGTGGGTACGTGTGTGCGTGTATGTGTGTGTGTGGGGGGGGCTGCTGTGCATGCCTGTATGTGCTTGTTTGACATGCCATGTCTGTATTTTAGGTGTTCCATTGTTGCACTGATGGTTTAAGAATGAAATGTTTACAAAATGTTTAATGTTTATACTCAGTGTTTGCACTATGTTTTGCTCTCAAGATTGCACTAAAGTCTTACAAAGTCCAAGATTTTGCACTGCTGCCTGAACCAAATAAATTTTATAAAAGTGACTTGAGATTCAAGCAATTGTTTATTGTTTTTAGTGACCAGGTTTCATAATTTAGCAGATAATCACAGTAGCTCAGGAAGTAAGAGCGGTTGTCCAATAACTGGAAGTTTGGCGGTTCGATTCCCCCCTATCCCAAGTCTGTCTGTTGTGTCTTTGGGCAAGACACTTAACCCACCTTGCTCCCGGTGTGTGTCCTCCACTGGTGTATGAGTGTGAGTGTTGTGTGGTGGTGGTCGGAGAGGCCATAGGCGCGAAATGGCAGCCAAGTTTCCGTCAGTCTGCCCCAGGGCAGCTGTGACTACTAAGGTAGTTTACCACCACCAAAGTGTGACTGTGTGAGCGAATGAATGATGTATCCAATGTAAAGCAATTTGTAAATTATATAAAAATAAAACACTTTTGTGTCAAGAATACATAACGCAGCTATGTGTAAATTGCATGAAAATATGACACAGCTCTGTGTTGTCTTTGTGTAAACCCAACACAGTTGATGTGTTGACACATTTAACACACAACATGTGTAAAATCTGTCAACACAAAGTCATGTGTCAAAACAACACATGATGAGTTACTTTTGACACATTCGTTTTGAGAGTGCAACACATTTTGCACATGCAAATAAATTGTGACATTTTAGTTTAAACCATGTCTTAAGTTGTGTTTTCGAAAGATGAAAGTTCTTGAACCCTTTGCACACACTTACAGCCTGTCTCCTCACAGCATTTTAAATTATTTGTATTGGATACCATATCATATGTGCAGAGAAGAAGAAAAGAAGAGTTCAGAAAAACACAAGATTTGTAAAATATTAAGACTGATGAGGCTGTAAAACCAAGTTCTTAAATACAAACTGATTTATTCTCAAGTGGTTTGTTACAGCCACTAGAGGACGCTTTATGTTTAGTGCTGAGTATGCTTTTCAACAGTCTTTATTATTATGTCAGCACTGTGGGTCAGCTCAGGTGAAAAGAAAAACTCGTCATAGTTCTCAGGTGTGTTAGGGGTAAAAAAAACTGTGGCTGAAACCACAACAGGAGTTACTAAAAGAAAGAAGGAAAGAAAGGAGGGAGGACGGATGGCTGGAAGGAAGGGGGGTAAAAAAAAAAGCCTAAACACTTATAATCATTTTTACTCAAGCTACTTTTGAGTTGTGTTAGTAATCAGAAGGCATGAATCCTGTCTCTTCTGCTGATTATTCAACACCTTTACTGGCCAAACTTCAAAATGATTTATAACCAAAGAAAGAAAAGAACTGGAAGAAAGAAGGACAGAAAGAAAAAAAATATGATCAACTTTACCTATCAAATACTGTAAACTAGATGTCTTCAACCCAGTTAAACATTTTGTGATAGAAAGGTAATTAATTAATTGTTTGGTAAACTGCTTTGGCAGAAGTATCAGGCACTACTCGTGATAATAAAAACAATTCAAACATGGATTTAGGGAGGAAGAAAGAAGAAAGAAATGTTTAAAAGAAAGGGAAAAAGAGGAGGGAAAAAAGAAAAAAATGGAAGATAAAAAATGAAGCAACTTTGCCCTCATGATCATTGTTTTTATCAGAGCTATTTCTGAGTTACATGAATGATCCTGAGTCTGTGTCTTCTGCCACTCAGCGAAAACATAAAAAGAAAGAAAGACCTTTTAATCGTGTTTTATTTATTAACAGTATTGTGTGACGGATAAAAAAGTCTCTTTTATGCAGCTGACATCCTTATTCACATATCTGTATGCAAGTGGAGTTATAAATCAGTTCTATGTCATACCAACATCACTGTAGGATAAGATTCATTCTAATCTTATATCATGAGTCTCAGTCTTATCTTAATGTACCATAAGCAGAGCACCTTTCAGCATTCAGAAAGTTAGAGTGGCACAGAAGAAACCTTCTCACTATGAAGGCAGAAAACCTGGAGCAGACCCAGACCCCTGCGAAAAAGCCATAAGATAGAGACAAAAACAGAGGAGAAATGGTTCAGAGCTCCTCAGCATCCCTGGCTCTACCAGAGAGTTATCTTGAACACATAGAGTTAAGTCAATTGTTTTTCTGATTGGAGCAGCTGGTCACCAACCCAGACCCTCGTGTCCCGGTGTAGCGGCAGGCTGCCCTTCAACACATGCAGAAAAACTTGGATATCTACGAAGTGCAGGCTGCACGAGCCGCTCAGCAGGTATGATTTATTGGAAAGTTATAAATGCTTAGTAGCGACTCATAAAAAAGGTTACTTATTCCTCTACTAAAAATCAATGAGCCACCATATGCCAGGTTTTTTCTATTGTGTAACCAGTAAGTGTATTATTCAATAAAAGGGTCATACCTTATATGACAGCAAATGACTGTGCATTCAGAATCCTGGCATGTTTTTTTCAGTCGTGTCTTCTCTGGTCTTTATCAGGGTGCCCAGATCCTGGTGTTTCCAGAAGATGGTCTACATGGGTTTAACTTCACCCGCACATCCATAGTAGGTTATCTCGAAACAATTCCTGACCCCCAGCAGGAGAGCTGGAACCCCTGCACAGAGCCGGAGAAACACGACAACACTGAGGTGCACAGATATACACTCATGTTTGATGTCTATCTTGTTTTAAAGATACCCACGGGCAGCCAACACTGGTCTGTTATCATGAATTACATTTCAGAATGGTTGTTTTACAGGTTCTCCAGCGGTTGAGCTGTATGGCTCGTCGGAATAACATCTACATTGTAGCTAATATGCCTGACCGGCAGCCCTGCCCCCTGTCTACAGATCCCACCTCCTCCTGTCCATCTGATGGACGCTGGCAGTTCAACACCAATATTGTCTTTAGGTGAAATTGAGATCTTAAAATAGAGACATCTGGCTAAACTCCAGCAAATGCATCAACACATGAATTCCTAATTTCATTATCTTCTAGGTCTGATGGCCTGCTGGTGGCACGCTACCATAAATACAACCTTTTCCATGAGGAGTCCTTTGACACTCCACCACAGCCTGAGATCATCACATTTGATTCTCCTTTTGCTGGAAAATTTGGCCTGCTGATATGCTTTGACATCCTATTTTACAAGCCCACTATAGCACTGGTGGAAAAGGTAAAACCACTCACAATTGTGTATTTAGCTCTATGTCCCTGTGTCGGATCTCTTTTTTAAAAGCAGACTCTCTTCCCGCTTCTTTTAGGGTGTTCGTCAGCTGATCTTCCCTACAGCTTGGTTTAACACCCTCCCCCTGCTTGACTCTGTCCAGTACCTTCGATCATTAAGCCGAAGCACCAATGTCACCCTGCTAGCAGCCAACCTCCGCCTTGATAATAAGAACATGGCTGGGAGTGGTATCTACACACCTTTTTCATTTATCTACCATCACTCAAAGAGGGGAGACCCAGAGGAGGGCAAGCTGCTGGTGGCCAGGGTGCCAGTCTTAGACCCAGAGTGGTCGGGGCAGAGGGTGGCCACAGAGGAGGAGAAATTGGAGTCTGAGTCCACTTCATCCCCTGTTACAGACTCTGGATTCTGTCACAGTGAGAGCTGCTCTGATGCATCTTCAGTCCCTTCATCATCAGTCACATTCACATCATTCATGATTGCTGACCCGTTCACATTTGAACTCCTAAATGAAAAAGAGGGTAGGGTGAAGGTGTGCAATGGCTCCTTTTACTGTCACCTGCAGTACAAGCGAATTTCACAGGGTGACAGTGAGGAGCTGTATGCATTTGGTGCGTTTGCTGGGCTGCACACTTTGGATGGAGACCTATCCCTGCAGGTATGAACTAAAGGGTTTATGGATATAGACACTGTCCTTTACAACATGTCTCACCTGTATCCTTCCTTCTGCAGGTGTGTGCACTTGTCCATTGTGCAGGGTCGGACCCAAGCTCCTGTGGACAGGGAGTAGAAGAAGCTGAGACCAAACTGGACTTTGTGATGGAGGGGGAGTTTGGAACCAGATATGTGTACCCATCAGTTTTGGCGAGTCAAATGGTTATAGAGGAAGTAAAGCATTTTGACAAATCTGCAGATGGAAGAGTGACTTTAAAACACTCAGACATGACTGCTGGACTGGTGACCGCCTGTCTGTACGGACGGATGTATCACCTGGACCACGAATAAAATGCTATTGAAAAGGTTTGATGAAATATTGTAGCTTAATAAAAAAAATAATGTACACAGTCGTAAAATTGTTTTATCTAGTGTAACAAATCAGCTGTGCTGATCACACACTACAGTGAATTGGAAATGAATTGTTTGATTTTTTTTTAAAGAACTCAAAATAAATCTTTATGATCATTTGGTTTTCCTCTGTGTTTCAGTGGTATCAATCCTAAATATCGCTTGTTTCTTTGAAGATTTTATCTGACATTTTATTTTGTCCCTAGCTATGTTTGCAGTTTTCACCTGAATTTAGACACCCGTGTGCTAAAATTTTACATGGTGTGTGCTATATCCAGATCATAAAAACAAATAAGGCTGCTTTATGTCATTATTTTAGAGAAAAAGGGATATTATTTTTATTCTGAATATTCCTTTAAAGCTAAGACACCAATCTTTGAACACAGAAAAACTGGGAAGAATGTTTTCTTTTACAAATTGTAGTTCATCTTTTAATTCTAACATGATTTTTTTTGTTAACTATATAAAAAAAGAACTTTTTTTCCCCCGGAAATGTTTTAGTTAATTCTGAGATATAATTCTTGTTAATTCAGGAAACAAGAGCAGTTTTATCCTCAAATAAATGCAGTACGCCTCTGTGTTGAAGAACTCTACATTTCTGTCAAACATTAATCTCAAATATACCTCAAGGTAGGTTAAAAAAAATGTTAAAAATAACTTTGACTGCATTAATCAGGTAAAAAGTTGAGATATTATGGCGTTTCCGGGTTAAAATTGTGTAATTTCCTGTGGTTTTAGTCAACATCAAAGCTGCTCTGGCGCTGTTCAACGGTGCGGTCTCTGAAATGGGACACAGCCACAGTGTGAGGTACTGTCAAAAATTTCGAGATGGACTGTTAATTTAGATTTCCTCCATCTCCTTTCAGCACTCCTGCAATTATGTTTGAGTTGTTTCAGACTTCCTGCAACCTTTTAGGTCCTGCTTCAAAAAATACAATGTAATAGTTTTCAACTTTTATTGAAACCGCTACCTTTTATCACCGTGAGTTTCATTTCAAGCTGTTCATTTCGAGGGAGAGGGACCATAATCTCACCATCACCACAGTGCTGAGTGACCAGGGGGGTATTCCAGAAAGCGGGTTATGTGAAAAACTCTGAGTAAGTTAACCCTGAGATGAGGGAAACTCTGAGTTGTCCGTTCCAGAAAGAGAGGTAACTTAAACACTGGGTCAGTTACTGCGGTAACTTACTCTGTGAACATAACCTGCTCGCTGACAGGTTTAATATAAGAGACCCAGAGTTTCTACATGTCTCCTCCCACACAAAGAAAGCGGTTGAACATGGATTGTCCATTCCTTGAAAATCCGATCGACATCGAAGCCAGAATAATGCGCAATGGTTTACGTCGCGAGAGACTCTTCCGACCCAGATTAGACGTTTTATCATTTCCAGAAGAATTTCTTTTCGAACGCTACCGCTTTTCTTTGAACAGTATAATTTATCTAAATAACCTTCTCCGGCCGTGTATTAAGTGTACATGTCAAACTCCAAATTCCACTTTAGAATGTAAATGAATGGGCACTGCCAGTAGCTATATATTAAGACACACTTCAGGATGCCCCTCTGGATCTCTCCCTGTGGCAGCAGACAGTGTTTCTTCATCCTCCTCCTCCTCCTCCCCCTCCTGTAATGCAGGAAAATATACTGTTTCAGAATACTTTGAACTACCATCTGAGGAATCTGAGTATGGAAGACTTACAGCTACAGGGTTTGTTTCTGTCGGAGGCTGAAGCAGGCAGATGACACCATCCACAACTGTTGGGTGGGTGGATATATATTTGTTAAAAAGTAGGCTATATATATTTATATATTAGTTTTATTTTTTAAAGACATAAGTGTATACTTGCATCTGATGTAGGGACTTGTGTCCTGGGGGGTGACAGGTTCGGATGAGCTTCCCCCGGGGATGCCTTCAGCCACAGGGCGACCCCTGTTTTGGCTGAGGGCCAGCTCCTCAGCCTCGGTCAGATGTAGTGGAGGTGGCCCTCCACCCGTTTTTCGGGCCTCTGCCTTCTTTCTGTTGGCTGAGCACAAGTCAATGTTTATTTTAAAATAGTATTTTAATCAGTGTTGGTGTAGGCTACAGCGTCACATTTTAAATGACTTCAATAGGTCTAAAATATAAATGTGTTTGTATCAAGTGTTAATCCACGAAGTGTAGAATTAAGTGAGAGGACGTTGAAAAACTACATTTTGTTTGGGGTTTAAATTATTATTTGAAGTAGCCGCTGAATTAATATTTTAGTTTAAATTAATATTGACTTTGTCTAATAGCCAAAGTCCATTTAAAATAATTAAATTAAAACCAAAGTGAGGTGCAATCACAGCCTAGGAAAATATGCCTTACCTTTTTGAATTATGTTTTTATGTTTCATTTTGAGCTGCTGCCAAGTCCTTTTTTCTCCCGTTGGATTGCACCTAAATGAAAATCTGATTTCATTCCTACTTATATTCATAACTATTGACTATGCTTCGATCTTATATGTTACGTCAGTGGAGTAGTACATTCAAACTTACGCATCGACTCGCGCAGCAATTTTCTCCCATGCCGTCTCTCTCTCCTTCGCTGCTGCAGCCGTGTTGGATTTGCGGCGAAAAATGTTCTCATACTCGCCGTAGGCCAGCATAAGGACCTCCAACTCCACCGGGGAGAAATAAATTGACCGTTTTTGCTCTGTTGTCACGGTGACTCGTGGTATCGGGGCTCCATTGATGATGGCTTATTATAGTGGTTGTGCACGCGCGTAACTCCAGGTTATCATACTCAGAGTTGATTGAACTAATTCAGATCAGCTGTTCTGGAACCAGATACTCAGAGTCTCCCATCTCAGAGTAAGTCAACTCAGAGTTCAGGGATAGACTCAGAGTATGTTGAACCTGCTTTCTGGAATACCCCCCAGGGATCCGTTTCACGTAGCAGGTTTAGTGGAAACTCCGAGTTTGTTAACCCTGAAATCAGGGAAACTCTGAGTTTTCCGTTTCACAAAGGAGGGTTAGCTAAACCAGGGAGAGAGGGGTAACTCTAACCTGTTTCACAAAGAGAGGTAACTCAACCTCGCGGTCAGTTACCACAGTAACAGACTCCGTGAACCTAACCTGCTCGGGAGCAGGTTTAACTCAGTAAACCCAGAGTTTCAGGTGAGACATCGGCATTTTCTCATTTTGATCATGTTTTACATTGTCAAGTAAGTATTAAGTGACAGTTTGATCCCTTAAAAATGCTCTTTTCACACTCAAAACTGAATTTTACTCTCTTATTATGTTCCGTTAAATGATTAAGAATATTAAACTAACACAAAAGCGGGTGGTGGTCCAGCAGCCCCACCTTTAACGGAGGCAGAGGAGCTGCCCCCCCCGTTCGACGATCGCGCCCCCCACAGACACACACACACACACACACACACACGCACACCAGTCCGACGATCGCTGCTACGAGGTGGGGGTTTCGATCGTCGAGGGGGGGGGCAGCTCCTCTGCCTCCGTTAAAGGTGGGGCTGCTGGGCCACCACCCGTTTTTCTGGCATCTGCCCTCTTTCTGTTTGCTGAGTGAAAGTCTAATATTGAGTGTAGTGTGTGTTAGTTTAATATATGTACATATACATACTGAGAGTTAGTTTAATATTCCTAATCATTTAACGGAACATCATAAGAGAGTAAAATTCATTTTTGAGTGTGAAAAGAGCATTTTCTAAGGGATCAAACTGCCACTTAATACTTACTTGACAATGTAAAACATGATCAAAATGATTCAAGCAGTTTCCCTGCAACAGTCTGTCATTGTGATTGCACGAGACTAGATTTAAAGTTACGCATTGACGCGAGCAGCGATTTCCTCCCATGCCCTCTCCCTCTCCCTTGCAGCTGCTGCTGTATTGCACTTTCTTTTACAAACGTGCTGAAATTCGCTGTTGGCTTGCTGCTGCCCCCTCCTTCTCCCTGTTTCCATTGGTTGATCATTGAATCTGCGCTCCACAGATGCTGGCTGTTTAGGTCTGGCGTGCACGTGCTTAACTCCAGGTCAAACTACTCGGAGTTGTTAAAACCGTCTCAAATCAGGTATTGTGAAACCGGAAACTCAGAGTTTCCTAACTCAGAGTAGATCAACTCAGAGTTAAGGATTTAACTCAGAGTTTGTTGAACCACCTACGTGAAACGGACCCCAGTTTCAAGGGTTTGGATAGACAAAGGACTAGTCCAACAGAAACACAAGGGGGAAACTAAGGTGACTACAAACTTAACATATACCAAACTCAGACAAAACACCATCAATTTATCCAAACCAACTTATTTACAGAAAAAAAGACTCTGTACTGACTGAAAGAATAAAGTCAAAAGTTTGATAAAGAATTTTAAGTCCAAGCTTCCCCTTGCTTCCCCCTTGATGGTCTGTCCCACTTCCTGTGGGTAAAGCTTAAGAGGCCATCTTGGAGCAGCAGACAGCCTTTTCTCAGGTAAGATTAAGCAAAGACAAACAAAAAGGTAAGTATTACTTTGAAATGACATAAATTCAAGTTAAATCATGATGTAGAAAACTTAACCAATGGCACATTTTGGTAACTTAATTCTGTGCACCCAAATTAGAAAACAACTGCCATAAATGCAATAAAAGTGAATTTATTTCAACAACAAAAGTGTGTAATGTGTTTTTTTTTTTTTTTAAATGAAACAAATATACTGTGTTAAAACCCAAAGACAAATACATACTCTCACGAGGTGGTGGTTGAGGCCACCCCAACGCCAAACCAAACTGAAAACCTATCTAAAACTAAAACTTAACTAAAACGGATCTACACAGTGAACAAAAAAAAAAAAAGAGTGAGACATGTTATGAGGGCACATTATTATTATACCTGAGAAGAATTTAGGTATTTGCACTTTTGATATAAATATAAATGTATATTACCTGTCAATGTTCCACATTAAGGTAACATTGAGTTATTGTCAATGAGTTGTGATGAAAAAAATCTGGATTGCTGGGAGCAGGCCTGGCTAAACATTTAGACTGCAGCAGGAAGGACTTGGTATCTCTCTGTCACACACCGCGGCTGCAGAAGTCTGTCACTGAAGGAACTTCCCAGTGTTGTTACAGTGTTCTGGAGGAGGTGGGAAATATCCCACTGAGCAAAAGACGTATATTAGACGTCTAGTCTAAATTTATACTTCATTTCAACGTCGGGATTTGGTCTATTTCTAGACGTGATTTATACTCCGCCCTCAACTTTATTTTCGATAACTTTTTATGCAATAAACAACTGTTATGTGCATAACTGACCTCTAAATACTGGATTAAATTACTTATGATACCATGAAGAGATATGCAGCATAGAATAGATGTAGACGTCATTTACACGTATAAATTTATACTTCATTTCAACGTCTGGATTCATCTTTTTTTAGACGTGATTTAGATGTAAAAATGTATACGTCATTTCAACGTCTACATATAGACCGAATCTAGACAACCGATTTTAATCCACAATTCAAGAGTTGATTATTTAAAATGATAACTGAACGTTGCAGAACTGATATCAATCTATGGGACTACTGTCATACTCCAGAGTGTGACCAGTGTTTTCGCCATATCCGGTCAAAACGCATATACGGCAAAAAAAACAAAAAAAAAACAACTTTGGATCTTAAAGCCTGGGTCCTGCTGAGTACTAGACAACAAAGTTGGTCGCTGAAATTCAATTTAATTATTAGATTTCATGTGTTTTATCCGTCTTGGTAACACCGGCTGCCGCCGTGACAATAATCCAGCCACCTTATAGGTGGAGCACGCTCACGTGACCCACTGTGCAACCACTTCAGGTAGATTCTTATTCCACCAAGAGCGAAGTAGTCCCTGATAAAAGTTATCGGCATAGCCGCAAGAACACGAGATGAGTGACAAAAAGTATTTGGTATCTCTGCAAGAGCCCAGCTTCCCAGCGTTCATTTCAGTGAACCGGATCATTCCGGGTCGTTCAGTAAAAAGACCCGTTCATTTTGGTCAATCGGTCGTTAGTCAGTCCGCTCGTTCATGTTGTTCACGTTCGAACGAACGTGATGAGCGAACGGACTGACTGCACTTCAGACTCAACAGCGCAACAACCATAGACTGTATATAAGATGGACAGAGTCTGCCTCCTCGCTGGGTGAAGCCACTCCGAGAACAGCACCCTCTGATGGTGGGCTGCAGTACAGATCATAAATCCCGCCTCCACCAGCAGAGCTTATGGAGTTGTGGACAAACTTTAGAAATGTATTACACAGAACATAAATTTTTCTCCCCCCTGCTTGTGATGTTGACATGTAGTTACAGTAAGACTGGTTTGTGCCCAAGTCCTTTTTTTCTGTACAGCTCTGTTTTTAAAAGTTATTAGGGGGTTCATGTTTTCTATGATTGACACCTGGTATAGCCTATGGGCGTTCACGGATAGCGTAGCTCTTCCAGGGGATACGCTGTTTGAGCCGAGCGTCATCACAGCGACTCTCGGCGACTGCGCAGCCGAATGCGCACAACGCTACTGCACAGCTCTGGTTTCAAGGAAGTGGAGAAAAACCCGGAATTACCGAGAGCTTTTTGGCTTCAAATCCGTATACAGGCGGAAGGCGGAACCACATTGTCCATCTTATATACAGTCCATGGCAACAACATGTGATCTTGAAATCTGAAGCATTACACCCCTCCGAATCCGACGTTGCGAGCGTCTCAGCTCCCCGGTCCGACGTTACGACCCCCCGCGGTCCGACGCTGTGACCGCTGCACTCCCCACTTCCCACCCCCCGGTCCAACGCTGCGATCGCGCTGCACTCCTTGTAATATAAAATTATAGTAGGAATAACAAAATATATAAGGTTTTTTAATGGCTTTTATTATTTTGAGGTGCATTAAAAACAATAATAAAAAGTACAAAATGTCAACAGACAGTGCAAATGCGTATTAATAGTTGTCTCTCTGCCTCTGGCTGCAGCAGCAGCTGTGTGCCTTTGTGTGTGTGTGTGTGTGTGTGTGTGTGTGTGTGTGTGTGTGTGTGTGTGTGTGTGTGTGTGTGTGTGTGTGACTGTCCCGCTCGCTCGGGCTCGGCTGTCGGCTCGTGCGGCGGCCAGTCAACTCGGTCTTTCGTTCAACACGTTCATCCGTCTGGGTCTTTCGTTCAACTCGGTCTTTCAGTCAACTCGTTCATCCGTCTGGTGCTGCGTCGGAATTGCCCGCTCGCATACTACATGCTACTGCTAGATCCTACTCCTACATACTAAACACGTTGGCCCAATTCGGACACACTAGACGAGCGGTGGGGAAAGACGACCCCCGCAGGCAGAGAGTAGGTACTGCGCCCGTTTTAGACTGAATGGTAATTGTGCAAGTGATGGATGCTGCTGTATTATATTCTTGCACTGCTTTAGAAATTCACAAAGTAGCTTTTCCATTACTTTTAGCCTTCATTCACTCACGTGGTGATCGTTTGTTCAATGAGATCTGCCTGATTACTGCAGCTGTGCAGTTTAATGATGGAATAAGTGAGCTTTACCTCCATGATGTCGCCACATATTTGCTCATAAAATGATTACTTGGGCAAATATGACACCATGACATGACAAAGAGATACAACCGCACATTTTTTAGGACAGTGTGTGAAGTTACATGAAACTTACATCTGTACTGCTGCGGTCCCGCCTGCTGCTGCTGCTGCTGCTGCTCCGACGTGGTGCGCGCTGCTGTGGCCAGCCGGCGTTCGCGACACATTTAAATAGACAGAGCAGCTGGTGGCGCTAGCATCACATGAGCTTCTTCAACTTTTAAGAGGACGAAGAAGAAGCCCGCGGTGCATTTTGGGTCAGTAGCATGCCCGTAGGATGCACCGAGACCAACCTACAATGTGGGCGTGTCTAGTATCTGAAGTAGTATCTGAAGTAGCATGCTACTCGCTCCGGTGGCCAATTCGGACATGCTAGATACTACTTCGACTACTACTTGGCAATTCGGACGCAGCTCCGGTCTTTCAGTCAGCTCAGTAGTACTGCTGCTGCTTCTCTAAGCCCCACCCACACACAGAACGAGGCGCGACGATAGGATAGGACAGGCAAGCACGGAGATAGTCCCTCTTCAGCCAATCAAAAGAACTGAACGGACTGAACGGGTCATTTAGGGGTGGAGAACTAGTTCATTTCGTTCACCAAAAAGAACTAGTTCTTTTGATCCGTTCGTTCAAGACCAACACACCACTACACTCGACCTCACGACCGTCGGACTACACTAGAAGTTCCAGTCGTTCCAGAGTTCGAGAATTATACTTTCAGCTGAGAAGAGGTGGGTGCTGAAGGAGATATTATAGAAAATGTTTATTTTTGCAAGCTTTAGTCCCCCCAAACTCGAGTTCGCATGTAGCCTGGTTGCTACTACGAGGGCTAGCTTGTGGCTAGTTTAGCGAGCATCAAATAGTCCATGCTAACCTGTGTTGTCATGAAAGTAAATAAGGGCCTGCTCTCTCTGTTGGAGCCAAGTTTAAAAGCTGCTAGTTAGGCTATCCATTTAAATTAGAAAATGAAGCCTATTTTGATGCCAGTACTGTTGTTTTTGTTTATCCAGTGGTATTTTTTTATATAATTAAATTTGTGTTTAACTGTAATTGTCATAGATTGTGTTTTCACGATGTGTGGTAGAAATGGGACGCATTAGTTGAATTATTCCAATATTATTTTGTTAATGCATTAGCAGTGCTATAGGAAATGCTAATAGTAAAAATCTAAAAGTACCGGTATCGACATATTTTTTACCAAGAGCAAAAGGTATTCATTGTGCATTATGTCCTGCTTCACAAGTTGCCAATTGTACTAAAAACACAAAACAATTTTATAAAGGTTGATCTACAAGCTCACACTGTTATTAACATTATTGTTTTTCTACTTTCTTTTTTCCATGTGTTTTCTTTCCAGCCAAATTGAATATGGCCTCTAATTATTTGAAAGAGTGGCGGAGAAAAAGAGCTAGGGAGGGTGATTTCATGGATGAATATTTGAATTGGATTCAAGGTAAGGATTTATCAGGTTTAGCAGTGGTTTTTAAGTAGGGTGGGGGCTATTTTAAAATAGTGCAACAGCATATGATTTTGTGTTTAACAGCCAAAGTTAAGCACCACACTCATCATCCATTTATTGTCTCGTTCTCTGATTTTGCAGCGAGGAAGAGGGTTTATTCCTACCCAATGCCTGAGGAAAGTAAGAGTGGCATAACTACAGTACAAAATGTTGTTATGTAATGTATTGTAATTATTGAATTGAATGTTACTAAATCATATCTTTTCACTAAGAGTTCCAGCGGGTGGTCATGGAAACACTTTTGGAAATCCGCGATGAATTGAAATCGCTCAAGCAGAAGGGGGACATTAAAGATGAGGGTGAGCAGATACGTCAGTTGCCGTTAAGGACTTTGGAGGAGGTTCAGCGCATGTCGTTGGAAATCAGTAGGCACCCCAGCATAAAACGTTTACTGGTAAGTCAAATAGAGATGCTAAAAATTATAGAAATCTATACATTAGACACTCTTGATAATTTGATTATATCATACAGATAAAACAACTGTCACACCTTGGGGGGAAGGACATTAAGACCTGCACACGCAGGATCCTGGACAGGTATGAATATGACAGCAAGACAATGTTATTAATATAATCATGTATTGTTGGTGTTTATCAAGTCTTTCTAGTAAATTGCAAGAGTAAGCAGTATTAAGGTGCGTTCACACAGGCACTTGCGCAGCGGCGACTAGGGTTTCTCTGACGTTTTAGGGACTTGTTACGCAAATAAAGAGCAGCGCTGGACACAGTATCCGACGAGATCGAGGGGAAACCTAGAGTGGGCGTGACGTAATGCGCAACGCAAATGACGGTGGCAAAAGGACACGTTTAAGGACACGCGACAGGACAAGTTGCGTTGCCTGTCCGGTGTGAACGCACCTTAAGAGATTTATTTGTCTTTGATATCCATTTCAGAATTTTACACAATGACGTGCAAAGGAACTACAACCTCCTGGGTAGAGGACGCCAGGGGAAAAAAAGCTTAAAGAAAACTGCTTTCTTCACAGTTGTTCTTGGTAAATGAATATATCTCTGCAAGTTATTACTTATTCTTGGTCATGTTACTGACTCATTTAAAGCCTGAAGCTGTAAAAAAGTGAAGAATCCTTCCGGACAATACTAGATAATTTCTACACTTACTATGATTTAAGTTTCTTTTGTTTTTTTTCTTTTTGCAGAGTCTGTTCGCACTAACTTCCCGACGGCAACAGAGGAACTGGTCGCAACATCGATTGGGGACCATTTGAAACAGGCACCAGCTCGATGTGGTGGGAGGGGCACCACCACAACACCACCCTGCTAATTTTTTAAAAAAATATATCTTAAAATTGTTAATATTTATAGTTCATTTCAGTATTAGTATTAGTTAAATTTTTCTTTATGTTGTTGTTCTTGTTCTTTATACTTTGTAGCTATGTTTTTATATAGATACATAGATTTTTTTCTTTTTTAAATGTTCGTTTTACTAGATGTGGAATTAAAAAATTGTTTTTCCCACTCCATGACTGTAATGGTTATATGCTGAGTAAAATATGTACTGTGATTTCAATTACAGTGGACTGATGGTTGCCAAATGTCGATCAGTGTTAAATTATGAATGAGCATGACTGTAGAAGCTAAATATTCTACAAGGTCCAGAAAGAGAAGCAACATTGCCGAAATAGAACATCCTGGGAGTACGTGTATCAAGGTAAGCAGCAGGTAACTTTTGGTGTAGAGAATCTGGCTCTACAGATGCTGTTTCCTGTGAATATTTTCATCAATTTACATATATCAGATGCTTATGGTAATATGCATTGTTGATATTCAGTAAATTTATTAAAATATTTACAAGACACGATTGTGCCTTTGGACGTCCGTTGGACCTGAAGTCTAAAAATGGTTTAACAGTGGTATAGAAATGAAAGTTTAATATAGTCGTTCGGTCGGCGCCGTAGGCTGACCGGGGACCCGCGGGCTCCAGCGGCCGCTGCTGCCGGGACCGTCCGCGCGCGGGGAGGCTCGCCCGGTCCCCGCTGGGTCGGCCGATTTGGACCAGATGTCTAATAAACGTTTAATCAACGTGTATGTCTATACCTGGGTTTATATTTGGTAGAAGCATGAACGTCTAACATAAAGACGTTTAAATGAAAACGTCTATTGTCATTTCAACATTATAGACGGAACAATGTAGAACGAACACGTTTTAACAACGTATAAATTTCGACGTTGAAAAAACTTTCATTTCTATACCTCTGTTATACCAAATTAAGACTAGACGTCTAGTCTAAATTTAGACGTATAATCAACCTCCTTGTCCTTGAGAGAGAGATAGCATCAATAAAGATGTTTAAAAAAAAAAAAGACCACCATAAAGTCACCAATTTACCCAACATAGATCAGCTGTGTCAGTTATTCAATTGTTTGTATATTATCAGAAGAGATATATTGTTTTTGAACTGGTATCATTGCAGAAGCAGAGGTATTTATTGTGTATCTAAGGTTTGGAATATTGTTTTTGCTGTTGTGGGATGTTATGTGTTAACATTCGTAAACAATCCATACAAAAACAATCCATATTTCCGTTGGGAGGTATGGCTTGTCTGTTAAGAAAATGTAAGCATTGTGGAAATGTGTTCACTGACTGCATATTGTGTGAAAATGACATGAAATGTGTGAATGGTATGGCCACAAAAGACCGATGCTGTGCTAATTGTGTTTAGGGTTTTGAAAATGTGACATCTGGTTTGACAAACACTTGTTAGAGACAAAAAAAAAACTAAAATCCACAAAGAACTGAGGTTGAAGTCCTCTTTTTAAACACTAGATGGCATCATTGATGCATTACTGCAGGCGGACCTCACTTTATCTCCTTTCGTACTTTTACAGATGTAGACCCTTTCAAAATAATACAAAACTTAATTCAAAATATTTCAAGGAATACACAATAAATCAATTTCAGACATTTTTTAAGAGGCTATTGCATTTTTTTCTTTTGATATTTGGAAAAATCATATTCGAGGGTAACTCAAAGAAGAGAGACTTTTTGAGGTGGTGTGGACTCACGGTGGTCCAGACCATTACAGCCCAATGCAGAGTGAGTGAACATTTCTGGAGACAGCATTTTATCAAGGGGAGAAAAACACAGTAGATACACTGTACTGAAAGACAGACTCTTTACTATGACTAATTACATGTGGTCGGCCGTTGTCAAGGCAACGGAACAGTCATCCAGGGCAGCCTCAGAAACAAACAGGAAGTAAAATGAGAACCAAGAGCAGCAACTGAAACTGAAACAGCAGTTAGGGCTGTTCTTATGCAGAATGAGTGTATTTAAACAGTGTGAAACAGACACCTGCTCCAACAGAAGACACTAGCACTTAAAAAGTATTTTCCATTCTGTACACAAACCCTTTTTATTCTTTTGCAGTACTAACATGTACAAACCTGCAAACATCAGCGCCAAATGACTGTCTTATCTAACCCGAGCTGTGACTCTGTTTTCCTCCAGTAAGAACAGGCAGCAGGCCTTTGTCTCTCTGCGTCATAAAAGCAGACTCTGATCTTTATGAGTGCTGTTACAACATACTGTACATTCCCCTTTAATGTGTCATAAAACAAAGAAAAAACAACACTTGGAATAATTAAAAAAGACCATCTTTATTCGGATTTACATGCTGATTGACAAACTCTTCATAATGTACAGAGCAGACACAGTGGTTACACAATGCAGGGAGAATCTTGCGCTGCTTTGCAAAAGCTGAGTAGTTCTTTCTTTTTGACTGTATGGTGGTTAATCTTTATTGGTATGTGCAGAGAACAGGACTGAGACACACCAGGGTATTCAGTGAATATGAGTCAGAAAAACACATGGGCCAAAATAAGACAATACTATCATCACCTTCCTCATACCACTCTTCATTCTGGCTGCAGTGACGTCTCTTTTTTCCACACAATGCAGCAGAGTGGTGTCAACATCTAAGTGCACTTAAAGTATTCCTTACAGGACCTTTATTTCACAATAAAAAAGGCAAAGGCTTTGGGATGGTGTCAGTTAAAAAAAAGAGTCTAAATATTTCATGATCTTGGATTAATATTTTGATTTGATGAAAGGTCAACAAACGCTTCAATATACAAAACATAAAACCACCATCTTTACACAAACTGTTGTGAAAACCTGGTATGGATCATGCTGGTTGGATTCAGAGCAAAACTGAAGAGTCACAAGCCACATGGCAGTTTCACAATCTGCATCTGATTTGAGTTCATTGCAACCACAGTCATTAAAAAAAAAAGAAAAGTTTTTCACATGAGTTTTTCAGTTTTTAACGCAGGTGAAAAAAGCTCACACATGAGTTCATGGTTAAAAAGGCAGGATTTCTTTTAGCTGTTGACAGAATGTATTGGCAGACACTGCTGGAACTACTGCAGCCCACTGAGAACTATCATGACGTGTAGACAGTAATAGAAGCTTTGTGTCAGTATGCAACGAAAGTTTCTATAAAGAAGGCACGTAAAAGACATACAAGCACAAACCCTTTGATTCAGTGGAAATCACGTTTATGATAATAATGTGCATCCAGTGTTAATATCTCCAGTGCTTTGGTTCCTTGTCGTAGAGGTTTCCTTTTAATGTCCTGCTGTTTTCCTACAGGAACCTTTACAGCTGATCTCACTGGATCTCTGCTACAGGCAGGCTGGGAGTGAGGACTGTGCTTTAGCCTGTTAGCTGCAATGCTTTCTGATGCTTTGGACAAAAATTTTAATGGAGGTGCAGGGATACAGAGGGACTTGTTTCATACTCTGGTAAGTTGTGTTGTCAGATCAGGAGTTGAATAGGAGCAGTTTGAGAGCCCACTGTGCAACTTAGCATGGCTGCAGTACTAAATTCAAGAAAAGCGTGTCTAGTCTTATTTCTGGTGAAAATGTCACAATCAACTTCTTAGAAGCTACACTGACCTGACAAGCCCAGTTAAACATCTTATTTCAAGACTTCACAACAAAATAAGATCAACTAATGAAACCTTAAAATGTGATGAAGGTAAATTAAGCTTTCATGAATTAGGATGTTCTTATTTCAACAACTTTAATAAAGGTTGATGTCTAACTCAACAAAAGCCACTCAGATCTGCATGTGACTCGTAAAATCTTCAATAACACATGGCTTATTAAAATCTGCAACATAATCTGGAGGTGCGACAATGTCGCTTGATTAGTTTTGACATTTGCAGCATGGCCTGGCTGTTCATTTGGTTTGTCATTATTAAAATAAAAAGCCTTTGCAGAATAGAAAAAACAGACAGCACAAATCTGAATATCTGCTACACACAAACATTTGTGCGTGTCCATAGTGAGGGGTGAAGAAGTCACAGAGTTGTAGCAGCTACTGGTCAATGTTCCTCAATTTAAAGCAGTTTCTTAGTTTCTCAATGTTAGGCCACTAAGCAAAAAGGTTAAGTCTTGATCACATCAAATATTGATTCTTTTGGCAACCTAAAAGTATCTTTTGGCATCACAAAGTCTGACATGACTTGGATTCAAACTCCGGTGCCTGTAGTCAGTATGTGATGACAACATGGGCCCATGATGAAATTACTTACATGTGTTTCAACAGATTTCAATGTTTTTTTTTCAATGAACTAAAACTCCAACTCATGACTCAACATCCTGAACAGGGTGTCAGATCAGAATTTTCTTCTCTTTTCCCAGAACTAAAACTTAAACAGAAATAGTGACACACTAAGAGAATTTTATATCAGTGATTTTTTTGTTGTGAAGCCCGGCTCTGATACTTCAAATTGCACCTGGAAATGGAAAGATTTGGAAAAACTTCCTTTTGTTATGTTTTTTATGCTTTTAAAATCATACTACTCTAATATCTGCTCTGTGAAGAATTTAAAAAATTAACGGTAATACTTTCAATGAACCCGCCTCTTACAATACATCATAAGCACATTTATAAAGCTTTATTAGTGCATCTTTAAAGTATAGTGCCCTTTAAAAGTATTATTTATGATGTATTACAACACTTTTAACACATTAAAATTCTCAAATGTTCATCAAGAAAAAAAAGTTCATAAAGAATCTATTTTGTGTATCATTAAAAAGATTTAGCCTGCTGATACTCACAGCAGCTCTGTAAGTAAAGTGACAGCACTGTACGAGGTCATTAATGACTATATCATCCTATAACACATTTTTAAGAACTCACACAGAATTTTGTGGCTGCAATAAAAGTGTCAGACAAAAATACTACACAAAAAGAATACATTTTTATACTTATGATTTGTTGTATGAAGGTATAATTTTCTTATCACAAGACATAATAACACGTCTCTTTCTCAAAGCTCAAGCTGAATGCTTTTTATCAGTCATAAGGATTGTCATTAAGATGCATTAAAAAGGCTTTATCAATGTGCTACTAATGATTTATGAGTGGTGGGTTCATAAGATGTAACCAAAGTAGACCAGACTGTAAGAACAAGGGGGATTTAAAAACAACGAAGTCCTCTGGGATGTATCTGAAGCCCACACTTCCCTATTCAGAATTAAGAGGCCATAGCATCTTATTGAAACTCCAGGAAGCTACCGCATGTCACTAGCAGAGTAAAGCACAAATAGTTTGATCCAACTGCACTCTAGAAAAGGCACATATCTTCAATAAGACCCCCCCAAAAAAACGAACAAAAAAAAACATACACACTCATTGACAAGAACACACACACACAGGTGTGGTCTGTAAGGTGCTGAAGCAGCTTGCAGGCATACATAAATGATCTATGTACATTATAAACAGCAGGAGGCAGAAGAGAGGAGAAGACAGGCTTACATGGTTCACAGTCTGTCTGTCTGTCTGTCTGTCAGTGAGTCGGTCATTCACTCTGTCTGTTCATCTGTCTGTGATGATGGGTACATTATCCTGAGAACTCCAGACTACAGACAGATACACACACACTCACTCACTCTCACTCTCTCTCACACACACACACACACACACACACACACACACACACACACACACACACACACACACACACACACACACACACACACACACCTGCTTTCTTCTACAGGGCCAATCAGGACTTTACAATGATTGTCAATCTTGATCTTGATAACACAGTCTTGGGTTCATTTGCAACAACATGGCAGCAAATCTGGTTCACTAACAGATGAAAAATTTCAGAAAAGTTTGCATGTGGCTCTCTGTTATTATTCACACACATTCCTTTGAAGAATGAAAACACCTTGTTCTTTACATTTGGAATTGAGTGCAACATGGAGAACACTTGAGCTTAACTTTTAACACTTCATGGAGAGGACTTTACAAACTAAAATAATCAAGACTACATGGTGAAGTCTATTTTTTTTTTTTTTTAAAACATCTTTATGCTCTAATAGATTGGGACTCATCAAGGACTGATTCAATGTTAAATGAATGAGAAACATGGCTAGTAGAAGGTAAATTACCATTATTATTTTAATCATACATATTATCGTTATTAGTTTAAGTAGTGGTACATGCTCTCAAAAGTATAAGAGCCCATGCTGAACACCATTCCTGACTTTTCATTGCACAGTGGGTCTATAATAGGACATAATTGCAGCCTAGAGGAAGGACATAACTGTAAACCTACCACAGGGAAATACTTATAAAATAGTTTTCATCCACAAGTTGTACATCTAGAGAAACAAAAAGAGCACAACTTGAACTTTTCTTTGGCAAAATGTTAAATGTTTGCTCAAGTGTTAGGCACTAGGTAAACTGTTGATCAGTAACACCTGAATGTTTCTGGGAAGTCAAAGGTCAGATGTAGTATAAGGGGTACATAAAAGCTATCTCTATTCACACTAAATTTACAGCTGACTGACCCTTCAATCCATAAAGATGCAGAAGCAACTAATCTGGGCTTGTTTTGTCACTTGGGAAAAGTAAGTGTCACCAATTCAAAGGAAAAGTGGGTCAAGTCATTTCCCACACAGAAGCCATGATAAAATGACAGGGTTCTCAATGATACAACTAATTAGACATCACCTGGACTGATTTCTCTCATTCCTATGCTCTGAATGCAGTGATGACTCACCGTCATCTGGGGTTAGAGGTCAGGAGGATGTGATGTCAGAAGTTTTCATTATGACACTTGCACGCATCTCATGCGCGTGGCCGCTGTTTACAGACACAAGAGAGTTCTGGCTGAAGGCGGGCATCCAGCCGTCTGTGTGGTAGCTGATAAGCGGGGCGGGGTCCTGAGTGCTGGTGACCTTGAAGTTTGGCTTGCTAGCACTGACAAAGGTGGCCATGCCGGGGAGGGGGTACGTTGGAAGCCTGAGAACTGATGTGCTGTAGTCCCACCTCCGGACTGCAGTGACACTCTGAGTTACAGAGAAAACACACAAGAAAAAGAGGGTCACGGCATGAACAGAAACAGGCCACAGTCAGACAGTGACGCGGTTTCCATCTGACATCTTTTTTGTGCATCTTCTAATTCAGAGCAGAGATATTTACAGATTAAAGGACGACCAATTAATGTTTTTTCAATGGCTGATACTGATACTGATATTGAGAAAGCAGGTTGGGCAATATTATGCAAATATCTCTGTTTTTTTTTTGTTTTGTTTTGTTTTTGTGAGAAAATAGTGCAGACAGGTCAGAAAAATATTTGACTTTGTAAAATATCTCCACAAGGGTTTGGGGATTTTTCTCCCTCAATATCAAACTGTTTACAAAGACAAAAAGACAAATACTGAATATACTTGGTTATCTAAATCAGTAACATGCTGTAGATTAACTCTCAACAAAGTGCTTAAAAAAAAACTAATAAATGTGTTTTTTTTTAAAGATCTGTGTGATATCGGCCTTGTGAGAGACGATGTCAGTGTGATGCTTTTTTTTTATTAAAAAATACCAATAACTGGTCTCTCATGCCATCACGTGACATCTGTTGATGATGCCAGTTCATGCTAATGAAATCTATATAATGTACCATGTATCCAATATGATTCATTCAGGGTATTTTCCTGTAGGACTGTTGAAAATGCATTTGTCCACCAAACGAATGACAATGGTTATGGTGTACAACAGTGAATTCTGACTAATTAAAACACACACACACACACACAGACACACACAGACACACACAGACACGGAACAAAATGAACTCCAGAACAAATAAAATGGATTTCATAGGGCTCTACATAAATCCAAAGTCCATGGTACTTTTTCCACTTACAAGATAACACCCATGCAAAAAAAAAAAAAGCTTAATAAACAACTCCCTGGACTGTTGGCTTCAAAGCTGTTGTATATTGAAAAAGTGAGGTCAAGGTACTAATTGTTCTCAAAAGTAACCAAAACTGCTCTAAATTGCTATTTCTGAGTTTTTTTCAACAACAAAAATTTAAATTGATTTAAAAAAAATATAGAAGTAAAACAGTTTTTAGTCTGCTTTACAACTGGTAGGAGGTGTGATTATGTGGTGTAGATTTATTTATTTGTGTGTGTGTGTGTGTGTGTGTGTGTGTGTGTGTGTATTTTATATAAGTAAAACCAACTACAAAGGCAACCCTCATATTCAAATTGTTAATGTTTGACAGCCTTAGTTCCTGAAAAGGCCCTCCCTTTTTTTCAGTCTCTCGCAACATTACAGGAGGAAGGAACACACACACACACACACACACACACACACACACACACACACACACACACACACACACACAGTTTCAGCAGTAAAGTTGAAGCAGGTAAAAACCTGTTTATCTCTGGATCAGAGCAGTTAATCATTAATTCATGACTCTCTCTTCTGTGGTTAACAGCTCTGTTTGGGCGACTCACCTCTTTCGCGTCTTCTGTGTCACTGTCTGTGTCGCTGCCTGTACAAGGAAACACACAGATGCATACAACATGTGTTAACATTAAGGAAATAGAATTTTGCAATGTCATCAGAAACGACAGTTACGCTTTGGAGGAAGAAAACAGATAAAGGGAAAGTTGGGAGAGCAGGAGAAAGAGGAAGAGTTCATTTACACCTTGAGTTTAAGCAGACAAATAGAACCAAGCTTACAGCCACTACTGTCTTAATTCAGTTAGATGAAACAAAAACCTAAAAATGACCCAATTTTCTTATTGTAAATGGAAACAAAGCTTTCACTTCAACCCTGACTCTCACTGTTGGTAACTTCTGATGGATGACGAGTGAAAGAAAAACACAAACAGAGAGATGAAATGATTGGACCTGTAAACTGGTAGTGCCTGAATGACTGGTTAAATAGAAGGAAGACTCATCAGATAACCACAATCATAACCATGCAGTCGCACACCTCTGCCAGCCAGTCAAGTTTCAGTTTAAATTCACCAGAAGTTTCATTAGTCTGAGTGTTGCAGCAGTAACAGTGATCATTTTGAGTCGGTCTAGAGAAACATTTCACACCAGAATTATTTACAAGATTAAATATCTCTAAAGACCACATCTCTCTCTCTCTCTCTCTCAGACCTTTGACCATCAAGTAGAGGTATGTGCCAAATTTAAAGATATCCTCCCCACATGCACTCCTAAGATACTCGCTTCAGAAGACAAGGGTGCCAGCTCTAAAATGTCTGTATGGGGGGGGCCCTGATAGTGTTCCAGTAAGTTTATCAGCCACCTTCACAGTTAAAAACAAACTTCATTTCCTAAATTTATTCTGAAAGGCGTTTAAGCAAAACTACACATGTTTAAGTTATTAACCTTTGAAAAAGTTCAACAAACAAAAAAAAAAACTGTTTTGAGTGATCGCAGTGGCTGTTGCATTTGACCCACAATCTTTATCAGTTCACCCGCCACTCGAAGTGGACACTTGTGCCATGAAAAGATACTCCCACCAGGCATTTCTGAGATATGATCAACAAGTGGGGCTAAACCTCATGTTGCAATCACCTGAACCACCAAATATCGTAAGACCAAATCTGCAGATACACCACGTTAAGTCTTTCTGTGATAACTCGTTAAACCAGCATGGACATACTAAACATACTTCATCTGATCACATGATGTCTCTGTCAAAGCTGTCCCAAGTGTAGAGGTGTAAACACATGCATAATTTACATCCTTCTGCTTGTATCGAGTTTCTTTTTGACACCACTGCATTTTGTTGCCGCCACTAACTTTAATTTGTCCCTCAAAAATTTTAGATCACATCATATTCTCACAAAAGTTATTCTGTTTGAAACCACAAAACTAGCGACAGCCTGAACATGTCACAGCAGGGTGTTTTAGACACTCAGCTGATTTGGTCTATGATGTTCTCCACCAAAGGACAAATACACCAGAAGATATTTGTGCAGAACAGGGAGACACTTCTGGTGATTGATAATGAACCCCAAAGAATACAAACTGTTAAAAGTCAGGAAATTCAAAAGCTAGATTAAGCTGTCACCATCTCCATGAGTTACATCCTGTAAGCTCTCCCTTTATATCTAAAGGAACCACTTTGTCGTCAGATGGTTGTTCTATGCAACAGTGGTCAAAGTTGTGGTTTTAACTTTAAAACAACTACTTTACAAATCCTGAACCACGAAACTGACCTACTATTGCTCTTTGTCATAACCAAATGTGTTTGCTTGTACCTGTGTGTGTGTGTGTGTGTGTTTTGTCTCACCACAGCATGATGACACAGGAGAGATCTGAAGCGGATATGAGTGGGAGGAGCTAACAGTATGCTCCTCGTTCTCTGTGGTCACTTCAATCGTCTGGCAGACGAATGGCAGCTGCTCACTGGTGATCACATGGTCGTATACTGAACTGTGAATGGCTGTGAAGAGACAGATGGACAGGGCTGAAATTAACATTTTGACTGAATGAATACTTGAGCTACTTAATACTCAGCTAGTGAGGTTAAGTTAGCAACAGCTCAGCTTGCAGCCTACAAAACCATGCCAATGAGTACTGGAGAGTATACAAGAATTATTCTGTTTGCTTCAGGGTTATTTTAATGTGTCCACAGTTTCTATGTCCCAGTTCATTTTTTGCCTGGATAGCTGAGATATATACAAACACTGTCATGAACACTGAACGAAGCCGAATGTAAGGACAAGCAAGGTATCTACAAACTCTTTGGTGTCTCTGATTCCCTAAAGACATCAAAGAGAAGATCTGGCGAAACAAACATTTGCAGGTGATGGAGTAGGAGATTTGTTTGAAGTAAAGGGTATCCTGAAGAAGGAACAGTACCACTCCATCCTCCAGCACCATCCTGTTCCATCTGGACTAAGACTTGTGGGTCATAAGTTTATTTTGCAGCAAGACAATGACCCTAAGCACTCTGCCAAGCTCTGTCAGGGTTAACTAGACAAAAAAAAAGAGGAAGGTGTTCTTCAAAAGATGGTTTGGCCCCCTCAGTCTCCAGACCTTTCTCCAATTGAGCTTCTGCAGGATGAATTGGATCGATCAGTCAGAAAAACATGTCCCACGAATCAGCAGTCTCTTTTTCATGAACTTAAGAAAGCTTGGAATGCAATCGCTGGAACATACCTTAAAAAACTTGTGGAACGAATGCCTAGTATATGTCAAGCTGTTGTTGAAGCCGAGGAGGTTACTTTAAAGAAAGCAAAGTCTAAGCAACAATAACTCAAATACCTAATAATTATAGTCAAAATGTCTTCTGATAAGTTACTCTTTACACAAGTCATGTTTATTGTGTTGCAAATTATATATATGAAACTATGATCTTTTTTTGTACAAATCTGATCTTGCTTCCAAACTTTTGGCCTGTAGTGTATATAATAATATCTTTATAATATTTACCTCTGACAAAAAAAGTTTGTGATCTTTTACATTTGCATCAATAAAATACCACAAATTTAGAAACTGCTGTTAAAATCTACAGATTGCAAAAAAAAAAAATTCCCCATACAGCCCTATCCTATAGCATTTACATGGATTTAAGTGTGTTTATTCTTAACTGGTGAGCAACAGACATCAGTCTGTCACCCAGTAATGCTTGTAGTTGAATTCAGTTGTTTGACTGACAGACACCTTGCAGTGTATCTAACAGAAACATGAACTTCCAACCCTTTAAACTATTTCAGGACTTTTAGGAACCTGCTGTTCACTCATGCACTTTTACAGCTGGAGGTTTTTCTCTGCTGAATGTGCTCTTACAACTCAATATCCTCTGTGGTTTAGGTGGAGAAGGGGGGTGGCAGGGCAGATCGTGAAGGAAGATGTTTCCATGATGGAAACATTTTCTTGGTTTATATCAAAACAACATGTTAAGGATGATTCTGCTAGGCAAACAAAACAGAAAACAAAGGTGAGAGCTAAGGCAAGTAGTAAAGACTACAAAGCATGAACCCTGCTCAACTTGAACATCATCTGCCCGCCTACTTGCTCAAGGTGAATTTTCCAGACTATGACTCTGGGTTCATACATGCAGCTCACCAGGATTCAGTCAGGAAATTTTCAGAAGTACGCTGCATGGTTTGTTAACCCCTCCTATAGCATTAAGGCCAGTTTTAAACAGATCTAAAGCCAAGTGGGACTTAAATAATCTAGAATTCTCAATAGTAACAAAAACTGCAGGAATACCTGAGGCACTGTCTGTTAATGTTGGCTCCACAACTTCTTGTTTGACGGATTCTTGTCTGGTGGAGTCAATTACTCCAACATCAGAGGGGGTCCTGTCTGGAGACGGAGATGCTGCCTGAGAGAGAGAGAGACAAACATTTTTATACATGACACACTGATAAAATTAGGTGTGTGTACAGGTGTTTTGTGTTCTTCACTAAAGGACAGGTGTGTATCTATTTTTTCTTTAAATTAAACAGTCTTCATACGATCACACTGTACTTAATTTATGCTTTTTATTTCTTTTCTGATATTTCTGACTTCCATTTCTAATTCTTTATCACTATTTTCTTTAATCTTTACCCTTTTGAATAAAAAACCAAGTGACATTGAAACTTGTCAAAAATCATCAAATGCTGCTTATAAATTGAGTTTGATTTTTTAACCATGGAGACAGATTTTTCTAAATGCTATTCAAGTCATTCAATCATCAATCTTTGTTAACTATGAACATTATATTAAAACAAAAACACATCATATTTATCATTATATAGTTTCAGCAGGCATTGTTAATCTGATTGTGGAATTTTGGATGTGCATTGTATTCATAGGGGAGTTTTGAAGTAAACTAACCATAGTTTGTTTTGAAATAGTCAGTTGTGTTTAGACCAAGGTTGTACAGACTTGAGGATAGTCTGTAGACAGGTCTATTGTGAGTCTATGTTTTCCTTATCTTTTCTGCCAATTCTGCAACTTTAACAAGTAGCTATTGTTTTGCAAGCGCCTTGTTTGGGCAGACAGGACCACATAGCTGAGGAAGGCTTGGTAATTGCTCCTACAACCTGGAAATGTCTCTGTCATGTGGTAACAGCAGCCAGAGTAGATTGTTAATGTTAGCTAATTGGGAAATTGCCAGTGCAGTACTGAGTAAGACTTCCAGTAATCCTTTGGCATGAACAGAGGTACCAGCATTTCTCTGTTTGGTGAAATATGAGATACCTAGTGTGCTACCAAACTATCACTATCAGACAGACTCATTATTTGAGATTGTGTAGTCATTTACATTGAGGAGAAAAATTAAGTTTGTTATGTCAAAAAGTGTCATTTCAATTTTTTTTTTTTTTTTTTATCTTAAAGAAATTTCTGTTATGTGTCCACACAAGCCCAGACCCTTTATTGTGAATGTGTTCTCTGTTAAGAGGTTTAAGGGGTTTGTACCTCTTTATCTACCTTGACTTTCCCTTCCTTGTCTGCCTTCTTCTTCCCTACAAGGATAAAACAGAGTCGTTTCAAAAATGGGTTAACAGTCCAGACTTTGACTTAAGGGTCAACTGAAAGAGTTAAAACAAAAACATAATCCAGGTGAAACATTCTTCATTCTACAAAGCAGTTCACCTTTCTTCAAGCTCCTCTCCGCAGAGGAGAGCATCTTGTACACTCTGAAGGCATTGGTTCCCTTTTTGATGCTTTTGTCCTTCACCTCCTCGATGTCTGGCAGGCTGTTCATGGCACAGCGGAAATTAGCTTTCCACGTCTTTGGATCTGGCCTGTCTGTGCCAGGCTGGTACTTCCCTAAACGTAGACAGACAAAGGAGATAGCCTTCTCCATCAGCATCATTTGATTTCTGTGTTTAAAAGTTTCTGTACCAACTTTAATATCCTACTCAATTACAATACGATCTGACTAACAAACCTTTTTTCATCAAACCGGAGTGTAAAATATTTGTAAAACACAATGTAGGACTAAGGACACATATTCACATAGTTTCTTGGCAATTAATTCAAGAGTAACTGAGGATCACGAGTGAGTAAAAATCTCTTTCAAAACATGTGAAACAAATATGAGCAAATAATCAGGAACTTGTATTACAAACACCTTTACAGATTATTTCACTTCAAGAGCACCTGGTGAAAGCAGACATACAGTGTGTGGGATTTTTCTTCACATTATTGTGACGCACACCGCTGACCCTCAGGTTAGCGTAAGTTCTGCTTTTTGTCTTTGCTCTTTCGTGTTGTAGAATTTTCTATTTCTTTTACTCTGGAGACATTTTCAATGGTGTGGTTGTTACAGACGTGGACATCAAATACTCTTAAATGAAAAAACCAGTGTGTACTGGCTTCTCTGTGTTACCTGTATGTATGGCCCATCTCATGAAGAGCGGCGCATCTTTCTCCAAGTCCCAGCCGTGGCGAGCAGCGTGCATCCACGGGATCTGGAATATTCTCTTCTCCTACAGATAGAAACATTTTGTTAACTCTTGAGTTGCTAATAAAGCATCCCTCCTGTGTTGACTGCATCTGTGTGTATGATAGGATCCCTACACACTCACTTCGTTAACCCATTTCAGCCCTGGTATTTGGCAAGAGTTGATTTGTTCCTCCAGCCACGGCCGCATCCTCATTCTCTCCACTGGCATCTTGTCCTGTCAGCACACAGATTCAGACACAAACGTATTATGGATAGCAGCATATCACTGTAAGTAGGAATCCCGACAACTTGAAATAATGATGGTAGAAAATGCAACACAAGGACACACCGCTAACTGATCATAGCCTGATAAACAACAAACTGGGAAATGAAGAACAGCTTCAAGTGTACAGTATGCAAAGCCTGAGGTTTGTTTGAATGAAAGAATGAATGAAACCTATATAATTTTACCAATTTCTAGGGCATTTTAGGAGGGTCTGTTTTGGTTCGTTTGTTTTCACTTTTCCGTTTCATTCTCAGCCTTATAGCTGCAACTTTTCAAAGATGAAATACTACTTAACTTTATTATTCAATATTCAAACAGGATTCAGAAAAAAAAACTACTGAGAAACAGACTTGTAATTTAAAGAAAGAGCACAAAGTCAAATGTAGCAACAAAAATGGGAACAGTAAATTTAAAGTAGGGGTTTAAGTATCTTAAGTATTAGTACTTTAGACAATAGAATATAAAGTGCCGACTGCATTTTCTAAATTTTCCCCCATATGAACAGTACCTCTACTTCAGGAACTCTAAACTACAGTATGTTATCAGTACTGTGCAGGCAAGACACATGTGAAATATAAGGCTATGTGGTCTTTTTAAACTTCCCTGTGTGAAAGGAAGTAACCACTTCAGGAGGTTTTTCCACCATTCTTCATTGTTAGAAGACAGAGGGTGCAGCAGAATCTGTTTTGTAGGTTGTAAAGATAAAATTCTTGCTCAAGTTCATTGTTGATTTTGTGTTTCAAGGAAAATGTGTCATAAAACCCTGTTGATAAATTAAACTGTCAAATCATGACTAAAACAGCGGCAAAGTTGTCCACTGCTATCTACCATCTCATGTGGAGCTTTTCCATCAAATTTGATTAATTTTGGAGCTTTACACAGAAGAAATAGAGATGTACAAGTTAACAAGTAAGACACTTTGTTATTTAAAAACAGCAAGAGCTATCTTCACTCACTCAGCCCTCATTTAATGAGCTGGACCTGATGTGATAAAAGTCTGATTGCCTGACACGCCCCACACACACTACAGTGAGCCAACATAGCAACTCCTGACATGACAATGAGGTCCCTAACAGGTCAAACAGGGTGACACGGCACAGCACATCACAGCAAGTACTACAAATTCTCCCCTCTGAGCCACAGAGTTGAAACTTCTAGGTGTATCCGGTTTACAGTTAAGTGAAACTCTTCTTGACTTCAGTACAACTTCATCACTTTGAACATTAAAAACTAAAGTGAGTAAATCACTTTAGATAGTCGGCTTAATGGATAGTCATAAATTATAGGGGTTAACAGGAAAGGACTAAACATAACCCTGAACCAAATAAATGACTTAAAAAATACCACATACACAACACGTGTTGCATAAAGACTCATCTTGTTGAATTAGAAACCCCTTGACAAACAATTCAATGCTTAAACACGGATTGAATAAAATTCTGAAATCAGAAAACAAATTTAATATTTATGGCTAAGATGTAAGACTCTTCCACATGATGATGTGCTGTTTTTATTTGCCCAATGAGGGATCTTTACTGTCCACAAAGTATAAAAATGTGATAATGCACAGTAGGTTCTTATGAAATTCAAAAATAAGTTGCAAAGCAGGACAACAGCTGCACTATAACTTGAACTCAAGTTCTCCAGTCACTCTTCTTACTGTTCTTAGTTTTACTAACACATGCTGGGGCTTTTGAATGCAACACGTTAACAACTCAGTCTATTTCTTCCCTTATTAGTTTGGCGACTAGAACAATATACTAAAAACCGAACATGATCAAAATATTACCCCTTTACCTAGCTAGCATGTAATTCAATGTTATTAAAAGCTAGATTTCAGCCATATGGTGACGAGTGTTCTTGGCTCTTGTGTGTGAGATTAAAGTTTGATTTGGCAGTGGGGTTCATGAAACACGGTTTGTTTGTTTTCCTGTCCGCCAGCGTGCCGACCAAAAAAAATCTAGCGAGTCAAAAGTGAAAATAAATACCAAACCTTGTCCACAAACACGGAGAAAAACTACAAAAGTACTTTCACTTACACAGCGAGCTCGGGATCCGTCATGTCGTCCTGTGGGGAGTCAGAGTCTAAGGAACAGCGTTAAATGCGGAAATAAGACGTTACCTGTTCAGTTTGGACGGCCTGGAGCTTCACAGTCCTGCTGTCACAACAAACACGGGCAGCACAAGTTGGACAACTTCAAGTATCTGTAGTTTGAAGTTGAAAAAGGAAAGTGAGGCCGTCCTTTTTCTGTTTCCAAGTCCAGACCGAAAGCAAAACAAGGGCTGACTCGGGAAGTGGGGGCTCGAGCTGGAAATCCCCCTGCTCTCGTGCTCTCGCTTTTGGTCGATCCCGAGCGGCGTCGCGGAAGTTTGTCGGCCGCGTGCGCGCTCCCTAAATAAAACACCACGAAGAGGACTCACTCCTGTTTTTATTTTCATGGTGCCAAAACACATTGACTACAACAAACGATAATAATAATAATAATAATAATAATAATAATAATAATAATAATAATAATAATAATAATAATAAGAGGAAGAAGAAAGTTTTTAAAAAGCCTTCGCACATCCTAACGCACCTGCCTTGTTATCCCGAGATGATGTAAATCGAGTGGAATATATAAACATGAACGCATCCATTATTTTGTGTTTTATATTTGTTTTATTTCTCTTTTTATATGTTAGTTTAACATGTGACACTGCCTTTAATTGGGCTATATAAGTTAAGTGACGAGTGACATCTTCCGTCTGCACTGCTACATCGGGCTGTTCAAATAATGTCATCCCTCAGTGTAAACCAAATTGCAACAACAAGACAAGATTGTTTACGCAATTTTTCAAACCCAATCATTTTTGTCTACTGAAAGCGTGCTTTGAATTCCCCACTTCGTCATTTTATTTAGCAATACAAACTCCTTACAAACCTATTATATTTGAGACTGGAACTCAGTCGATATTCCACTTTTGAATAACTCGACAGACAAGACAGCTGGATAAGTAAAGTTATTTGCGTTAAGAATGTCAATTGTAGTGAACAATTACACTTTAACGCAGACCTTTGGGAGCTCCACTCGTCACAGTGGCTGCCCTTGTAAGCATAGACGATCTTTGATGTAGATTTCATTTTCACTTCCTCTCCCCTCTCCTACCCTTCCTTTCACAACCCTTTCTGCGCGGACTGTGCAAGAAACGAAACTGCGAACTTAAATCAACAGTCAGTGGAGCCAACCCACAGCCATGAGGAAAGTGCAGCCTTTCACCCTGTTTGCCTGCGTTGAACTCACGTAAAAGAGTCGTGGGGTTCAAAATATGAACTAAATGCATTTCTTTGAATGATAAATGGACTATGTTTATATCTCTCTTTTGCATTATGCCCTACATGTCACATTCACTCATAGTATGGGGTTCTATGCATAAAGCCCATCAATTTTTTTTTTTCATCAAAGTGAAAACAGCCTTAAGCCCAACAAAGAAAATGAAGTTGGAACAGCACTGTGTATTACTATCCCCAAACCAAAAAACATGCAAACCGTGCCAGGAGTTAATTTTAAACAGGTAAACTGGGTCAGGTCACTGCTCTGGACCTTTTTGCATTAAATAAAGGTTATCTCTTTCCCAAACACACACACAAAAAGGGACCTGTGCACATAAAAAAGAGCTTACTGTGAGTGGATCAGACAAAAACAAGGAATATAAGACAAAGACAATCCAGAATGATAATTGGAGGTTTGAATCTTAACCCCCCAAATTCACAGAGGCGAGACTCAAATATGACACAAGCGGCTTCATCTATAACCAGTGGCTACGAATCAAACTTTTACTGAATCATCCTGAATCCCGATCTGCCTACCAAGAGTGAAATGTATCCAGGAATGACTCTTTGAACTGCTGATTCATAAGGATGCTTTCAAAGCTTCACCTTATGGCTCTCTGGCTCCCTCTCCTGGTTGATTTTTTTTATGTTGGCATCCTTATAAATTGCCGACCATTCACAAGAAACAGTTTAGGACATTATTCAAACAAACAACAACAACAACAACAAAATCTCCAAAGCAGCTACGTTGCCTTCAGTAATCCTGTTTACATGTAATGGTAAAAGAAAGGCAAATTGGAAGGATGATATGACAAAGATTGCTAAGTCATGTCCTATAAATTAAAGCAATTGTTTTCAAGAAAAAAAAATCTTGAAATACTTGAAATATATTTTTCAACAAACAAGATGTGTCAAAAAGTCTTTTAATGTGTCTTATAAAGGTGGGTAAATGGTGACTTTTTAAATTAGTCTCTGCTCATCTCCTCTTGTTTTGCTTAAACACAATCCAGCCTTTTTATATTGCCACCTTCTGGCACACATTCTCAAGAATGAACAAAAATGTTATGTTTGCACAGAAGCTTATGATAGGTGATATGTCTACTTTAACATTGTATGCACAAATGGACCAAGCACATATACACTCACATACACCCACTTGAAAACTGGTAGAATCCCCTTTTGCCTTCAGGGCTGCCTTAATTCTTAATGGCAGACTTCAGACTAAGTGCTGGAAACCTTCCTCAGAGATTTTTGTCTAAAGTAACATGAGAGCATCACGCAGGTGCTGCAGATTTGCCAGCTGCACATCCATGATGTGAATCGCCCCTTCCACCACATCCCACAGGGGCTTGAGATCTGGGGACTGTAGAGGCCACTGGAGTACAGCGAACTCATTGTCATGTTCAAGAAACAAGTTTGAGATGATTTGAGCCTTGTGACATGGTGCATCATCCTGCAGGAGGTATCCATCAGAAGATGGGTACACTGTGGTCCTAAAGGGATGGACATGGTCAGCAACAAAATCCAGGTGGGCTGTGGGGTTTAAACAATGCTCAATTAGTAATAAGGGGGCCAAAGTGGGCCAAGAAAATATCCCCCACACCATAAGACCATTAACAGCAGCCTGAACCATTGATACAAGGCAAGATGGATCTATGCTGTCATGTTTACGCCAAATTCTGAAGTGGCCGGTGAGTGTTTAGGACTGTTTAGAGTTTTATGGAAATAAGGATCAATCAAAAAAGCCAGGTATAGAAACAAATATGGGGAGAAACAGATATGACAGCTACTGGCAACTCATTAATTTTACAATTATGTTTAAGACTCACAATGAGGAGATAACATGGGTAAAGGTGTCAATGTTTTTTTGCAATTACTTACACCCTTACGTAATTCCAGTGCTGAATAGAAACCTGAATTAAACATGAAACTTTCACAAGGTATTTTACAAGGAAACATTATCTGAATCTGAATCAGCTTTATTGGTCAATTTGTGTGCACATGCAAGGATTTTAAATCAGGTAAACGTTGCCCTCTATGAACAAAATTAAACAAGAAATGTTACAAAAATTACAAGATTTTGTAACAACTTGCTTAATACCTTAAACCAATTTTTTTTTACCATCTGAACATTTTTTATGGTGACGTGTCTCTTCTCTTACTTTTCACATTGACATTAAAAAAAAGCATTTTAAACATTAAAAAAACAAAAAAAACCAAACAAAAAAACAACTCAAACTTCAGTTGATGGTAAATAGCACCGAGGTAAATGCTGGTGTTGTTTTAATTCAATGTTGATTGTTTTAAATACATTTCTCCCCCAGTAAAATGTTTTTGATGCAGAGAAGAGGATCATCTGGTCCGACATTGTTGGATAAAAAAGTGGAGCATATTAGCGAGCTGCTGTTACCGCTTCTCCCACAGCCTACTGTACTGGGGGTGTGAGGAAGCTGCTGCGGCCCGCAAGGACTAGGGAAAAGGTAAACTGAGGTTAATGCTGGCGTGGTTTTGAAGACATTTTTATCTACGTTTTAGACCATGAGATGTTTTTCTTGCGGAGCACAGGGTGCTCTGGTCTGATCTTGTCGGGGAAAAAGCGGAAGTAGGCTACAATTGCACAAAATACTCAATGGCCCTTATAGCTCAGCTTTAACAGTGATGTACATGCAATTTTTTATCTCTGATAATTCTAATGTGATTAGAGGAGGGAAAAAGACCGCTCATAAGGACACAGTCACATTGAACCAGTTGTACAATTATTACGGTTTTTAAAAGAAAACAAGTCGTGTAGTAAAACAGTTTTGTTGTGTTTAGGTGTTGACAGACCCATGAAAGTTTGTACCATCATAAACCAGTGACACCTCCTTTAACCGCTTTTTTAACACCCGCCCTTCTAGAATATACATATTAAAAAAAGGCCCCTGTGTCTTGCACTATGAATGGGACACTGTCAACGTGACTGAATGATTTTAATAACGTCTATGGGCTTAACATCAGTCCTAATAAAATGTTCCCTTTACTCTTAGTGTTTACTATGCATTGAGGTTCTCCCTGCAGTCACATTTGAACCACAATCCACCCTGTTTTACATACATTATGCATTAGGCATAACAGTGCATAAATTACTATATGAATTAAGTATGATAGGTTAGATTAATAACAAAAACAAAGTTAAAGTAGTGATATATCTTAACCTAGACAGGAAAGTAAAAGTCTTTGGTCAGCATTGAGACAATACAAGGGATCTGCTTCTTGCCACTAAATCCAGGGAGGTTGGAGGAAGACTCAAAGTGTGTGGCTACTTTGCGGTTGACTCTGGTCATGATCTGCATTAGTTCCAGCTTCCCGCTCCAGTGCAGCAACATCTCGCACAAGGCCTGAATGAACCATGAGCCATTGGAGGTGTTTCTCCAGGAGTAGTACCCTGCAAGACAAAATGAACTATTGTTTCACGGCCATGTGAAGTGTTTGAGTGTGCTTGGTTCATTTCACATCAGTATTTCATAGCAACAACAGTCAGTGATTGCTTCAGAGAAATCTACAGGATCATAGATGGAACAGGAGAAACACCAAACTGAACACAGAACAGGTTATAGCAATATTTAAGCATTGGTAAATGGAACAGAAAATGTCAGAGACTCTGACAGCAAAAACGCTAATTCATGCAACAGTTCATCTTTTTTTACTTCACCAGCAGCAGAAATGTTAAGTTTAATGTGAGTGATTATAGCTTAGTTAGCTCATGTTAAGCAGGTGTCACAGATAGCAGCCTCAGCTAAATGAGTACGACTATTTTCAATTAAAGTAACAAAATACTTTCAAGTAAATAAAACCATTTCCTAATACTGGCAAATATCTGGTGTTAAATAATTGATGTGTCAAATAGGCAGCTGCATGAAAAGCAGGATATGTGGTGTTATAAGGGGTTGCTACAGCAGATTGGAACCCCCTCTAAGTGTTACAAGGCCCCTGGTCAGAGTATCTATTCTGCTAAAACAGTGCTGTCACTATACACTATAACTTCTTTTACACTCTTATAGAGAGTGTAATTACCATCTCATGTTAAATAAGCACGTAAATACCATAACTACTGGTATAAATAAGCTTTTGTCAATGACATTAAAAACCAATAAAGATTAGTTGTTTTTTTTTTTAAAGGTCTAAAGGTACACTGATCAAAAACAAAATAAGGGCAGCACTTAAATCATGCAACCCAGGTCTCTCCAGGAGTAGTACCCTGCAAGACAAAATGAACTATTGTTTCACGGCCATGTGAAGTGTTTGAGTGTGCTTGGTTCATTTTACAGCAGTATTTCATAGCAACAACAGTCAGTGATTGTTTCAGAGAAATCTACAGGATCATAGATGGAACAGGAGAAACACCAAACTGAACACAGAACAGGTTATAGCAATATTTAAGCATTGGTAAATGGAACAGAAAATGTCAGAGACTCTGACAGCAAAAACGCTAATTCATGCAACAGTTCATCTTTTTTTACTTCACCAGCAGCAGAAATGTTAAGTTTAATGTGAGTGATTATAGCTTAGTTAGCTCATTTTAAGCAGGTGTCACAGATAGCAGCCTCAGCTAAATGAGTACGACTATTTTCAATTAAAGTAACAAAATACTTTCAAGTAAATAAAACCATTTCCTAATACTGGCAAATATCTGGTGTTAAATAATTGATGTGTCAAATAGGCAGCTGCATGAAAAGCAGGATATGTGGTGCTATAAGGGGTTGCTACAGCAGATTGGTCAGAGTATCTATTCTGCTAAAACAGTGCTGTCACTATACACGATAACTTATTTTACACTCTTACAGAGAGTGTAATTACCATCTCATGTTAAATAAGCATGTAAATACCATAATTACTGGTATAAATAAGCTTTTGTCAATGACATTAAAAACCAATAAAGATGAGTTTTTTTTTTTTTTTTTAAAGGTCTAAAGGTACACTGATCAAAAACAAAATAAGGGCAGCACTTAAATCATGCAACCCAGGTCTCTCCAGGAGTAGTACCCTGCAAGACAAAATGAACTATTGTTTCACGGCCATGTGAAGTGTTTGAGTGTGCTTGGTTCATTTTACAGCAGTATTTCATAGCAACAACAGTCAGTGATTGTTTCAGAGAAATCTACAGGATCATAGATGGAACAGGAGAAACACCAAACTGAACACAGAACAGGTTATAGCAATATTTAAGCATTGGTAAATGGAACAGAAAATGAGATCACAGGATGATCCAACGTCTGTCAGACAGTTCATCTTTTTTTACTTCACCAGCAGCAGAAATGTTAAGTTTAATGTGAGTGATTATAGCTTAGTTAGCTCATTTTAAGCAGGTGTCACAGATAGCAGCCTCAGCTAAATGAGTACGACTATTTTCAATTAAAGTAACAAAATACTTTCAAGTAAATAAAACCATTTCCTAATACTGGCAAATATCTGGTGTTAAATAATTGATACATGATGTCCCAGAAGTGCTGGATTGGATTCAGGTCTGGATGGGCAGTGGGTGACAGCCAATAGCAGCAATATATTCTTCTCCCAGAAATTGCTAACAGACCCCACATGAGGCCAGTTCTACTGCTCTTACAGAGAGTGTAATTACCATCTCATGTTAAATAAGCATGTAAATACCATAATTACTGGTATAAATAAGCTTTTGTCAATGACATTAAAAACCAATAAAGATGAGTTTTTTTTTTTTTTTAGTTTCAGACAGTGTGGTCAGAAACATGCAGCACTTAAATCATGCAACCCAGGTCTGGGTGACTAAAATATTCCAGTTGAAAGTCTTTACTGATGACAGATTGCCATAAACTGAGAACAAAATAATGTAAGACAATCAAACCAAAATCATGAACCCCCTGAGGACTGGGTTCAGAATAATTCTCAAAATCAAAATGGAAAAAATGAGATCACAGGATGATCTCCTGCTGTCCTGGTCTATCTCCTAGTATCTCCTTCATGCTCTCCACACTGTGCTGGGAGACATAGCAAACCTTTCGGCCTTTGCCTCGTTGGATGTGCCATCCTGGAGGATCTGCACTACCTTAGAACCTCCTGTGGCTGCAGATACCTCCTCATGCTACCACTTCCAGAGAGGACGGTGGAAAAATGCAAAACTAGCCAAGAATTGTGCAGAAAGGATGAGGAGAGGGAAATGGTCTGTGGTCACCACCTGTAAAACCACTTAATAACAGGGGCTGTCTTACTGATTGCCTCTCCTATCTACCTGTTATCTGTGCCATTTACAAAACAACAGGTGAAACTGAGTCACAATCATTAGCCTATGTCTTCCTGGCTGCAGAGGTGATGATCATGTGTTCCCTTTATGTTTTTTTGGTGATGTATTTTCCAAGCATTAGTTACCTGGAGCAGTTGAAAAAGCATACAGGAAATCAGCCTCCACAGGAATCCTCTCTGATGTTTGTTCCGCTTTGCTGTCAGTCTCAATCGTGGTTCCCTCATCCAGTTCTGAGCCACGGCATGCCTATGTCATGAAATCCAGAAAAAGAAGTTGTGACTATGTTAGCAGAAGGACAGCGTGGTAGTTCCAAATGTCTTAAACGGGTTATTGTGAGTTACTATTAAGTGTTCATTAGTTAGACTTTTCTTTGAGTTCAAATGTTTAACTTTGACCAAAAAGTAACTACTGAGAGCTCCTCTGAAATCCCACATGTATTATTTCCCAGCTTTTTCATTAATTATCTTGCTGTGTTACACACTGGATTTTGATTGGCCAAAACCCTCTTGACCACAGTTATTTATTCTTAATAGAAAAGACAACGCTAGAGACAATCTGATTACACACATCACATTTCAAATCAACCTAAGGGAAGGAGTAACAGAACATCTAGGATACTGTTTCAATGTCGTGCTGACAGTGAGACATGAATGTAATTTTCAAGTAGCATCTGTAGATAATGTAGAGGATTTTTTTGATACTACTTTGAGATTATTTGGCTTTAAATAGTTGACAATGGCTGATCAGTTACTGGCAGATAAAAAAGAGAAGTGCACTCATTTAAAATCCAGTGAACAATGTTGTAACTCAGCGTTGAAGCTCAGTAAAAGAGACATCAACCAAATTGAGCAACACAAACACAAACAGCTCCAGGAGCAACATACTGTGGGTATTGGTGAGAAGACATCACTGAGGTTTTAAAGTTCAGGATAAGGACACCTAATCAAGGTTTAATTGTTATTTTCTCTGGAAGTTATACTGCAATGTGAATGTTTAGCTACTCCAAAGTCTTACTTAACAGTTAGGATTTTAAATTTGGTTGGTTAAAATAAAAATATATATTATCTAATAATTACTGATTTCAAATAGTTTTAGCTGTAGTTTTTATGCTGAACAGCCGATCAGATTTTAGGTAATTTGTAAACAGTTTAAATCCAAACAGTCTGTCAAAAATAACAATTTAAAAAACTAGAAACAAACACAGACATATGCTGCAAGTATTGAACTCACTTGTATGAAGAAGAGCTTTGGTTTTCCCACCAAACTCTTGCAGCGATCTCCTTTAAAGCACTTTGTCAAATTTTCAATTTTTTCAAATCCGTCAGTGCCGTATATCCCACCCTCCTCTCCATGACTTAGCAACACGCACACAAATGATGCTTTATTGCTGTGGTCCATCTGGGATACTAGACACACAAACAAGAACAGACAGATGCAATTTAACTACCAGTCAACATACTTTTTACTCAACTATTAACAGTGGTGACCATAGACTGTATATACTTTGGACAACTTTGTTCCGCCCTCCATCACTGTACGAATTTGAAGCTAAATTGCTCTTGGTATTTCTGGGATTTTCTCCACTTCCTGTAACCACCACTTGCGCAGTAGCGTTGAACACATTCAGCGGGATAGTCGCTGTGATGACGCTCTGCTCAAAGAGCGCATCTCCCAGGTGAGCTATGCAATCCTCATACACCCATAGGCTTTATCAAGTGTCAATCATAGAAAACATGAACCCCCTAATAACTTTTGAAAATGGAGCTGAGCAGAAAAAAAGAGGACTTGAGCACAAACCAGTCTTACTGTAACTACATGTCAACATCACAACCAGGGGGGAGAAAAATGTATATTCTGTGTAATAAATTTCTAAAGTTTGTCCACAGCTTCACAGGGATTGCTGAAGGAGGCAGGATTTATGACCTATACTGCAGCCTGTCACCAGAGGGTGCTGTTCTCAGGGTGGCTTCACCCAGCGAGGAGGCAGACAGCGTCCATTCTATATACAATCTATGGTGGTGACTCATTGGTGGTTTTAGCTTTCAGACAGCAAGAATCTGGACTGGATAATCCCTTGGATGCTTTCAAAACTCTCACAAGAAGAATTAAGTTTGACAGTTAAAGACAAACCACACAATATGCTGCCGTCAAGTAGTTGATGAATGCTTTTGTGGGGACATGGTTTTTTATAAACGCAGCAGCAGAAACTGGATAAAATACAATGGACCTCGCATGACTGTGAAGAGAAGTAGACGTGATTTTGAGAAACCTCTGCTTACCACTTAACATCAGTTGTTTTATCTGGGCCACAGTCTGATCGTTGACAAATTTGATCTCATAACCCAGAGCAGAGAAGCATTTTACAGCAGTGGCTGCATCCACATCAGTTCCATTACGAGTACTCATATCTATGGAAATAAACAAAAGCCAATGTTACAGACTTTCAAGATCAGCCTCTGGTGAAAAGGTGTTTCAGTGTGTCATACCTCTGTTAAAAAAATCTGGCTCATGACAGCAATATGAACAAAGATAAAAAAAGGTGTCACTTTGATTCAATTGCCATCAAGAAGCGAAAAGGGACTAAAACAATGAAATCACGATACAGGGCTGTTAAAAATGAATACATTTACTTTGACAGGACTGTTTCATGATGGGAAAAGTGAAGACCTTTTAAAATGACTGTACTGAACATAGTTTAGATTGAACATTACCAGAAAAATCTCAGGACCTCAAGAGAATAAGACCAGTGATAAGATTAGCATTTGGACACCACATCACATATTACTTTACATGAAAATCAAATGTTCCTTATGTATGAAATATGATTTTATACATTAGGAACACTTATAATTCAATTAGTTTTAATATTGCTCACCTTGAGGAACATTTGCTTCATTTTTGATCTAGACATAACCAGAACTTTCCGCACTGACACTTCTAAGTTTTTGAAACTCGTGATCGCTAATATTGGGGCTTTGTTTTAAAGTCACGTGCAGAGAGAAAGGAGAGACAGGCTCGATAGGCTAGGTCTTAGTGATAGGCTTTTTTAGCAGTTTTCATTTTGATTTGCAACAGTAGAAAAGGCACAGGCCCTATTAAATTGAATGGCTCTGATTTAGAGCCATGATTCAGTATTCCAGTGAGCCATGACAGTGTGACAGAAAAATAAACACTTTTCAATAAGCCATACATGACCATATGCATTACAATTATATTCAGAATTATTATTATTATTGAATCAGGACAACATTTGTCTATGTAACCATGAAATGAAATGGACACGTGTACATGGGTGTGCTTACTTGTGCGGGGATTGAAGTTCTTGTTGTTGATGATCAGACAGGTCCCTATGGAGGGATAGTCCATCCTGTATTGATAAGGGTCCTGGTCTGCTGCTTTAGTGCTGCTGGTGGGTAAAGAATCTGTTTCCTCTGAGGTCTTTGAACTGACTTCAGCCTCCACATCCTTCCTAAAAATTTAAAGACACACAAAAACAGCCAACAGCTTGTTTATTTGGACATGCCAAACAAAGTCAAGCAGCTGAGTGGTAGAAGATTGGGACAAACAAGTTTCACTTGATAGCCTCTGCAAGACGACATCTTCCAGTGTTACAGTCATCTAGTAATATATTTAAGAGCAAACACAACACAAGCAAGAACTACTGTAGACAGAGGGAAACATCAGTAAGTACCAAAAACTGCTGTAAGTGCAATTGGGCATACAGTGCTGTCGAGTATAAGCAAGGCAATGGACATTTCTTATTTCTCTTTTTTTTTGGAATGTATACCCACCATCAATCCATAGATAAAACTGAATCACCAAACCAAATGAAGTTTCAATGACCTGTCATCATTGTCGCCATCTTTCATCCTCATTATCATCATCATTTGAAAAAGCATTAGATACTTCATATGAATGTTACAATCCTGTTCCTTGTGAAGTTTGGACATTGTGTAAAACATGAATAAAAAAAGACAAGTGTCAGACACTTCTGAGGAAGGCAGATGTTTCTGTCGAAACATGTCAAGGTACATGAAAAGATTACATGTCTGAGATAAAGGAGAAAAAGAAAACGATTTCTAAAAACTGAAGACATAATGAACATCATTCAACTAAAATCCTTTTCCCCCTAAATTCAATGTTCAAACTGATAAACTTATTTTTTTTTCTGTAAATATTCACTCATTTTGGATTTGATGCAGTAACTCGTTCCTAAAAAGCTGGTTCAGGGTCATGCTTCTCTGTGTTACATCATCTTTCCTTAAACAACACTCAGTAAGTCTGTGTGAACTGAGGACACTGACTTCTTTCACAGTCTTGATTCATGGACCACTTCAGATGATCTTCAGACTTGGGTCTCTGTTATCATATTTTGTGCTTCATAGTGCTCCACACATGTTCCATGGGAGACAGGTCTGGACTGAAGGGAGGCCAGTCTAGTACCTGGACTCTTTGACACTAAAGCCACACTGTTGTAACTAGCAGATTGTGTCCTGACACTGTCTTGCTGAAATCAGCAGGAACGTCCCTAAAAAAGGCGGCGCTCTGATGGCAGCAGCTGTTGCACATAAACCTGTACCTTTCATTATTAATGGAGATGTGAAAATTTACAGGAGGACACCAAACATCTTGTCGTTGTCGTGTATTCAATTGAATTTAGGTGGAAAAGGATTTACAGATCATTGTACTCTGTTATAATTATGTTTTACACAATGTCTCAACTTGCTTAATTAGAAATTGAAACTAATTAATTGAAGACAGTTTTAAGGATATCATTAAACTGAGATACTAGTTGAAGAACAGTCTGCATCAGTATTCAGAACCCTGAAATTGACCTCAGTTTTTACTAATGCTGATCTTTGTTTGATGAAGTTGTTAGTCTTGCTCTTTCTGGTGTTTTGTGTGATCTAATGAGTTAGTTTATGTCTCTATGTAACTGTATTAGTGCTTTTTCTACTTTTGGCTTTGCTGGACCTGTCAGGTTGGGACAAACTGCACCTTCTTCTTTGTTGTAATACCCGTCCAGCTGTGCCTTAGTTTTGTGTCAGAACTGATAACAGCAAAGCAGCTCATATCTAAATGAAAATGTATGGCTCTGTTTTTCATGTTGGAAACAGACTAATGGGTACATATGTACAGTCAGAAAGTCATCAGTGTGTGTAATACTCACTTCTTTGAAAAAAACTTGAGGGCATCCACTGTGTCTCCACTGCTCGGTGTGACACTGTCACCGTTTGGCTCAGCCATGTTGCTACAAATATGGATAATAGAAGATGATGTTGAAGGTTATTAAACTCAAATTTGCATCTCTCTTGGTCAACATCTCCCACACATGCATTTATGGAAAGGTTTATTCAGTTAATAACAACATGATGAGTAACCCCATCATGTAATAAATCATGTGAACTTTGGAACCATTGATTGGGGAACCATTGGGTTAATTTCTCATGTGTTCACACTGACTTACTTTGCACACAATGGTGATTATTTTATGGTTTCTCGACAGTTACTTATCCGTCATGTGGTCCAGAAGGAAATGCTTGTTTTAAACATTGTCCTGTACAGCAATGACAATTGCCTTTGACCTTTAGAAATGCAGTTTTGTGGGAAATCTTAAATTATTTACTGTGCCATGGAAAGTCTTTTAGAGGTTTGTTTTCATAGGTATCAGGTGTTTTAACAGTGATATATGTGCTTTGTCCAGAGTAACCTGTCATTTTTGATGTTTTGAGCTGCTGAAATGAATCTTTGCCTTGCACATTGTGTGTGTCAGCAGGAATTTGAGACAACACACGAAGTTATACGAGCTATCTTACAAAGTTCAGTATCATATTTCCAAGAAGCAATTACACAGAAATCTAGTGTGATTAACTTAGTGTGATTAAGCAACTTTACAAAGGATTTTTAAAAACTATCTTGTCGAAAACGTGTTTAAATTTACACTTCACATCTGTTTGAACATGAACAAAAAGTGAAAGGTACATGATAACTAAAAATGAAACTGCGTTTATGGCAAACTATTCTCACTTATTCAGAGGTCACGCGAATGAAGAAAAAAAATAATGTCCAGTAAACATGACAATATATCACAAATGTAAGTTTGAGTGTGCAGCTGTGTACTCTCTTGCGGTAATAGTAACAGGAGTACTCAATATATTGGTAACTTGAACATCACAGAGGGCTTCTCTCAACACTGAGGCTGAAAACAGTCAAAACAAACTGTAACCTATTATATTCAGCTGTAGATGTGCAAATGTGGCTTTAGCACATGAGAACCTCAAAGCAATCATTTCCATGTGTGAACTGAAGTGTCAAACACCCCTTACACCTCAGCTTCTTTTCACCAAAACAAACAATAATGGAGTGGACTTTTCAAGGCCTTCAGTCAAAACAGTGATATAAACAGAAAATTAACTGTAACCCCTGGTTACTGTGCATTGTTCCAGTTGTTTGATTCAAACAAAACGGCAAATGGTAAAATATTGAACTGTTTGTAAAATACAGGTATGAATGATGCTGATGAAACATGTTGAACTCTGTTTCACTATACACTACTTTCTTTCCTGCTGATCAACTATCTGTGACTCTTGGCTGAAACTCTGACTCATTGAAGGAGGAATATGTGTGATCTTCTTTGGCTCAAGTAATCTGGCAAATGGGGACCAATGATATATGCCATCATGAAACTGCCTTCACACAAGGTAAACCACCATGGTTTTTAAATTGACCACAAGAATCAGTTCTTTGTGGAAGTGGTTCACACAAGTTTCAACAAGACAGCGGGCTGTTATAAAAAGTCATAAACCCTTCCTTACAGAATATTCACCTGCGTCCAAACTAACTCCCCTTTGCCTATCAGTGTTCAAGAGTTTAGGAGCGCTTGTTTCAGTGTTTGGACATGCCTCAGAGTGAAACTCTTAACAGGAACTGATCACCTAATGTAGGTCAGTGTGGCCTTGACATACTATCATAATCACGTCTATTCTACTTGTTTTATGTCATAACGACTTCAGGTTATGAGTGTCCAACGCAAAACTGAAAACAGGAGGATCAATCCGGTCACATCAAGTCCCAACGGGAAAAAAATGTAAAGGTTATCAAATACAGAAAAAAGTTTGCCATTTACAGTAAATATAACCGCAGTCAACTCAGACTCAAGAAGTGAGTCCATTGAATGACTAACCCAGTGTAACCTGCATTAGAAAACTCGTTTTTCAGGTGGTACCTGAAGCTGAAATGATTAAGCTGAATCATGTCAGTCATATCAAACGCACGATTGAAAAATAAACCTGGGGTTTCCGAGTTCCAAATGAAACAAACACATTCTTCCAAAAAGACCTACCTTTGTAAGAAGCTTGTTCCTCAATATGTTAGGTGTTGGCCGGTGCTCTTCCTTCTTCACTTACTACAGCGACTCAAAGTCCTGTGGATAGTCTTAACCAATCAGGGCTGTAGTTTTTTAGTGGGCGGGGCAAACCGCAGTACGTCAAGCACCATCAAATCCACAGTACTGCTGTCAACAGTGATCTTCATTCCTATGCATGTGTGAGAAAACCTGATAACTGAGGGTTAAAAGGCAGAAGCTGCTGCTGTTGTTCCTCCTCTAGTTCACTATCGCTGAATGTCACCACTCAAGCAGAGACACACCTCTGACAACTGCAGAAAAAAAGTTCTCTTTCCGCCCAGACTCACAGCGTTGTGGTTCATTTTCCAGTCGTCATTGTTGTGAAAGTCCCAATGGTCTTAGTGCTGTGGTCGGACATTTTTGTCCACATCATACCTGGTTGTGATTCGTAGTCCAATCCTCTCACCCGTCAGATCGTCAACCGGACAGAACAAAAGACTGTAATCTCAAACAAACACGAGATGAGTGCTTTATACACCGATGTCTCTTAAGTGGTATTAGGCAATTTCTCAAGTATCATGCAAAATGCATTCAATTTTACTTTTCCAAATATGTGACGTTTGTTTTTTTTTTATGACAAGCTTGAAACAAAGCATAATAAATCTTTCCACTATACTCGTTCATTAGATTGTACATGCATAAAACACTGTAGTAAGATGCTGCAGATGTTTCAGAAGTCTGTGATGTCTACAGTATTCTGTTCTACTCTGCACGGGAGGAAGTATCAAACAGATTCAAGACGTCTAAACAAACTGGTGAAAAGGGCCACATGGCTCTGTGGTAAGACTCAAGCTGTACTCAGTGGAGGATGTGGTGGAGAGATCTACACTGAGGAAGGTGGAGACTATTCTAAAGAACATGGATCACCCACTTCACAACACCTTGATGGACCAAAGAGCCAATGGTAGTGGATGGCTCCTCTCTCTTCACTGCAGGACAGAAAGATTCAGAAGATCTTTTGTACCAACAGCCATCAGGCTTTATAACTCTTGTGTAAATAGTAGATAACTTTTTAGAGACCAGTTTTAAGGAATGGCAAATGAGACGACAGACAATTGAATTTCCCTTCAGGGATAAAATGAAGTTCTTATTCTTATTAATAGTTTTTGCAGCAAAAAAAGAAAAGAAAAAGAAAAAACTGCATCTAGACAAATCACAGCACTACATTAAACTTAATTGTAGTCAAAGTCCATAGCCTTAGAGATCCTTTTCATTTGTAAATGCTATAAATATAGAAAGTACTGTAGCTACTGAAGTGTTCTTTTGTTTAACTCATTCAGTTTTATTGAAATGAGAAAAAAAATAGTATTACAAAGAACTTGTTGTCATTGACATTCAACAAATTATTAACAGTGCCAACATTTTTAACAAATGGAAAAATGTGACTCAGCTCTAACTTCACATCTTTCTTTGAGCAGTTACAGATCAGTTCTCAGCTCTGTTCCTCTTTTTCTAGCTCCTTCATGATTACGCTCTGCTGCTTCTATCGTCCTGGTTTTCCAACTGCACAGCTGGTAAGCTGGACTTCCCATACTGGACAGGAGGAGGAGGGGAGGAATGTTTTTTATCATCAGTTGGATAAAGACCATTTGTGATGCTCAAGTTTAACTGATGACAAAGATCCAAAAATAAGGAAAATGTGTGTGAGTGTGTGCACCTACCGTCTCTTTTGCCTTTGGGTGTTCACGTCTGAAGTCCAGGTAAAGTTTATTGAGCTCTCTGAGATCATGCAAGAATGCTTGGCCTTTCCTCAGATCAGCCAACCTGAGTTCAAGTTCACATTTCTCCTTTTCCAGTAAAGACTTCTGCCTCTCGGCCCTGAATGGACAGACAGTAGAGGCCATGGTGAGTATTTGGACATCACCATCATGACACAAAGAATGACTTTTTAAGAGGGGAAGACTGATGCATGTTTTATCTCTGATGACACAATAGCGATCAAATATATCTGCATATCTGCATCTGGCTGGAAATGTTTTGGTTCTTTTAATGCCTTATTTGTAGTAGAGGATAGTTTAACCTAATGGCCCTAAAGTAACACTGGTGGTGAAACAAGACTGTAAAAATAAAAATGTTGTTTGAACCCTTGAATTGCTCTGCCACTCACCTCATAAGCTCATATTTGGCATCCAACAGAGTCTGTCTCTTTTTCTGGATCAATGAAGCCACCTGGAACACACAGACACAAACACCAAAATTAAAGAAGAGCTTTGAATACAGACAACAAGAGGAAAATACAAAGAGTATGCAGCCCCACTGACAGACCCATAATGCTTTATTTTAGCACAGCAGTCAGTCATCTCTCAAATGGAAGATTGTCAGTTGTACCCATGCTCCCACAGTCATGTGCCATGTGTGCAAGAGATTGGTTATTATAGGCACCTTACCAAGCATCCTCTGCAATCAGTGTATGAATGTGTTGTTGATGGGTGAATAAATGTGACAGGTGGTGTAAAAGCCTTTGGAGTGGTAAGAAGATGACAAAAGCACGCCATAATCACAGACTGTCAATTTACCATCAGTCCATCTATCTGCAAGCCAGAAAGCTGACAATAACAGTGCTTACAAACTGATGCTAATCTGGTACGCTGAACTGCAATATCATTGAGTGTTTGCAAACTTAGACTTGCCAATGCCTCATAAAATTAAACCTAGTTCATCAAACTGTAGGTTGGGTTGTTAAGTTTGTACATAGTGGCTTTTAGTAAAAACAAAAGCTCACTGAAATTTACCTTATCATTCTCTCTTTTTACAGCCCGGAACTCCTTGTAGGAAGTGATCTAGGGAAGACATAAAAAAACAGGAGTAAAATGATTCTTCCAGTGTCTTATGATTCCATTAGCATGGTACATTTCTAGGATCAACCTAATACCAATTGCAGAATTGCAGAAAAGCTTTACATGATTTTCAGATCAAAAAAATCTTTCAGTTTCTCAGCCTAGTGTACGAAAATATCATTGTTGTAACCTCCATCAGAAACGCTTTGTTTTAGCTGCTGTCTCTTTAAGGTCACTGAGAGATGATTTGGTGTTCAAATCCATTTTTAAACAGGAAAAAACAGTCCCTTTAAGCATCTGATTCAAATGTGTTTTCTTAATTCAGTTCATGTTTCACTTATTTATTAAAATTTGTCCAATTGCATTTTTTTTAAGTTTTTTTTTTGGCGATTTTGCCTTTGTAGATAGCACAGGGTGAAATGTGGGGAGATAGAGAGGGAGGGGGAGGACATGCAGCACATGGTCGGGGCCGGACTCAAACCTGTGACCGCTGCATGGGGTGTGATAACCCACTCAGCCATCTGCACACTCTGTCATATTGTATTTTTGACATGATTTTTATATTGAACTATATAAGGGCATGCATGAAAATATCAATAAATTATTTACTAATTAATCATCTTAAAGATTCATTTGTAAATTATTTTAATAACTCATCTTTTTATTTGTTTTAAGTTTATGAATTCCTTTTGTAATCGTCTGTCTGCTTTGTACATTTTCTGTGACCCTTGTGGTCCTCCAGATTAAAAACATAACTCTCCAGTTTTGAGGGGGTAGAGATAATGTATATAATCTGTGCCACAAATAACTCTCTAAAATAAAAACTTCATGCTGAAATTTGAAGAAAAATGGTTTGAAAATGTCTAAGCCTGAATTTAGGGGATATGTGCAAACAAAACTTGATTTGAACCCTGAATTATCTGTAACATCTTAGTTATCTAGAAGCCTCAGATCCCCGGTCACACAGTTCAGATCTGGTTTTCTTCCTCTGGCTGTCGAGTTTGATCGATTCAAAAATAATCCTGAAGAAAACAGACTCTGTGAGATGAGCGATTTGGATGACGTGGAGACAGAGTTTCATTTCTTATAAAACCCTAAAAACTACAATGACCTGAGAAAGTCATTGTTTTCTGAAGTCGCTCCCAGAGGCCTGAAATAATGTGGCCGGATGAGCAAAACCTGGACTGAATGTTTAAATTTGATGTGTTTAAGCTGCTAATCTTGTTTTAAAAGCCTGAAAAGAAAGCAAGATAGCCTCATTAATGAGTGAAGATTTTTATGTGGCATTTGGATTGAATGAACTCCTCGTGTCATGTAAACCCACGTGGGCTCGGCATATTAATATATGTAACACACAGTACTGAAACTTCAGCCAATATGACTGGAGGCTTATTTTTGAGAACTGATATATTTTTACTCCTGTGGGCCTGAGCAGCAGGCTATTACATGTGAGGTTATAAATCAGCAGATAAAATAACAGTATGATTAATTCATACTTGAAGCCGGGGTAGAAAACTGTACAGGCACCAGTCAAACCAGCTAGATTTTTGAGCATGTGCACAAGCACTGCCTAACCTAAACACTGATATTAATTCTCTAGTCTGAGCTAAGTGGATGTACTCAGTGTATGTCCAAGCATTGTTATATGTAGTTTCCCACATAGGCCTGAGTGCCATAAGGACTGCCCAGCGTCCTGGTACTTTCTAGCATCACAACCAAAGAGAAAAAGAAAATCTGACCCTTTCTATGAGCTGCTGTTTAACGTTGGTGGAGAATGCATCAATGGACTGTCTGGCTGCTGTAGACTCCACTGACTCCCTGAAAGAAAATACAAAGACTGAAAACATTTTCATATAAAAGTACTGACTGTTTCACAAGGATTAGACAGCAGGCTACTGCATGAAGAAACACTTAGAGTTACCTGTACTCTTCGCAGAAATCAGAAAATGTGTCCAGTACCACCTCCAGCTCAGTTCCTCTCTGACGTTGTTGTTTTTTGCTTCTCTTCTTATCTGCTTTAGCCTCTTCTGATTCTTCATTTGCACTACCTTCAATGGAAAAAGAATGTTTTTTTAGACCTTGTAAAAACCGTTGACAATAAAAAAGAAGCACCGGATCCCTTATAGAATGCCACTGAATGTTCCAACTGGATTTAGACTATATGAGAACAATGGTGATGCTCAGTAACACCAGTTTGGAGTCCCTGATAAAATCTTGATCAGCTTTACTTAGTTTATACCTAAAGACAATAAACAGCTTCATACAGTGCAGAATTCATCTGCAAAGTGCAGGCTGTCTCACTTAAACTGTTGTCTATAATTTACATTTTATATTGCACAAAAATTCAAAAGCAATAAGCTGTATTTTCTTTTTACTGGCAACCTCTGGACACAGCAAAACTTTTGGTCAATAGCTAGTTCTCTACAAATCCTGTGAAATCCAAAAATATATGTTTGGAAAGTAAAAGGCTAGTTCACGATTTTTAAGTTGGCCTGTATTAGGTAGTCGTCAGAAGGAATTATCAGCAGCCACAGGAGTAAAACCTCCACAACATTCGTGTTTTCTGAGTGCATCCAAAGCTTTTGATAGAATTAACTGTGGTTAACTGTTCCAAAACAACAGGAGTGGCAGGCTCCTCCTTATCTGAAACAGATATTCTATTTCTGGTATTTACATCAGTCTGCACTGCAGTAACAGTAACTCAGGGTTTGTTGTGGATATTTAACAGTCAAAAGAGTCTCATAATGACTGTGAAAGTTAAAGACAATCAGAAGCTGCTTTTCCTTTCTTTCTTTCTCTCTGACCAAGTTCTTGGTGTGATGGATTGAGATGTTACTATCGCCAGCCAGTAATCTGAATTACTTGGTGAATAAAATTTCATGAAAACAAGGTACAAAAAATACAAACTTTCACAATGTGTTAATGACTTATTTACAACAGACCTATGAGTCTGCCAAAATGAAAGGCTTTTAGTCCGTAATACCTGCTCCACTGGCTCCCGGGTTTGAATGTACAGTCATGAAAGTGCTGTCGATGCCTTCTGGTAGCTTGAAGCAGGACATGCTTTTCTTTTTATAAACATTAAACTCTCTGAATAACCTTTGACCTGTGTGCTCCTTTCTCATACCTGATGAACTCTCTTCAAAACTGACATCTTCAGATGAAGACTTTCTGGTTCCACCAAAACTGTACTGTTTGGCCTTTTTTGGACTTTGGTTCTGAAATAAATGGCATAAAAAAGATTGAAAATAATAATAATAATGAACAAGTAAATTAAAGTTTTAAGTCACAGTGTAAGTTATATTTGTCTTAATGGAAGGCTATTTTTGTTTTAGCCATTTAAACAAGCCTAACTTCTGCATGTGGGAGGGCTGGTCTCTTTTTAATGTGTTATTGTATGCTACTGGATGCCTGCAATTTCCCTCAAGATCAATTAAGTGAGTAAGTAAGTCAGACCATCAGTCTATCCATCTATTATTCAACCATCCATCCATGCATGCATGCATCCATTCACTGACTTCATACGTAATGTTATCAACTGTTGATCTTTTGGGGGTCCCCTGAGCTCTCTTGTCTTGTGGGTTCCTGTGGACTTTTGTTGCAGAGAGTCTTCTGCTGAGGACCTTCCTCTCAGCTGCTTCTGCTATAGCTATTAATAGCAGTTTCACTATTATTATGATAATACAAACCTTCATTCCAGAACTGTGTAACTTTAACCACTTTCATTGACACTATCACTCCCATCCCTACTATCATCATCATGATTATAAATGCTGACTGAGACCAGTTAACCTTAACAACCTTTGCCATAAACATTTATCAGTCCATCATCATTCATTTGCAGGTCCTACAAACTGTGCACATACTTCTATCACCACAATTTGCAGTCACCTTAAGTTTGTGTGAGATGTCATTGCTGTCTCTCTTTCTCTCTCTGCATCTTCTTCTGCCCCCCTTTCTAAGCCCAACATGGTCATGGCAGATGGCTTTTCAACACTAGTCTGGTTCTGCTTAAGGTTTCTGTCAGTCAAGTGATGTTTTTCTTTGCCATTGTAACTTGCTAACCAAATGCTAAAGAGTACTGTGGTTATGATGGTATAATATAAGACTGTGGATGTGAGGTGGGACTTTGATCCTATCCTATCCTGATTTTAGGGGTCTTTGACAAAAATGGCAGAAAGTGCTACATGTCTTGTGAAAATATTGGTTGTGAATTGGTGTTATACAAATTAAGACTGATAAATACATAAAACCGATGAAAAGTTGATCTGCTTTAAAAGGTGAACAACTTGTGCTAAGAGTTATCCCGTTAGGGGACTTACGGAGCATCGTACTGCTGATAGCAACAACTCTTAAGACATTAGTTTTGACATTCACACCTGTGCCACAGGGTCATGAGATGATCCACTCCCTGATGTACTCTCTTTCTTCTTATCTTTCTTCATCTGCCGTTTGTTCACTTTCCTTTGTGGAGGACAGAGAAAGACAAACATGGAAATGGGAAGACGCTTAACTCCAAAACACCACAGTAGAAGAAAGGGGAAAAAACACATGCCGTGCCATATAGCAAGGTCTTTGAGCTTTCCTGTCCACAGATCCATTTCCTGAATAATCTCTGCCCCCTCTGAGGTAAACATTGAGATATTTTACATCACATCACGTGATTTGAGTCAAAGGTATGAACTTCTAAGCAACAAATGACTGTCTAACATCAGTCTGGTTCTGCTCGAGGTTTCTGCCTGTTGGAGGAAGTTCTTCCTCTCCACTGTAACTCTCTAAATACTGTTTAGTGTTTTAATCATGAGGTTGAAGATGGGATGGGAGTGGGTCTGATCTTACAGAGTAGGGGTCTGATCTCATCTTTGCATTGGGTCTCTGTAAATAGAGTCTGGTCTAGACCAGCTTTGTTGTTGAGCATCTTGGGATAACACTTGTTGTGAATTGATGCTATATAAATAAATATTGATTGTTTTTTTTTTTAAATAGTTTACTATACTTGATCAGTGTCATTCCCAATCATATACATAGGAGAAATATATTTTGGTCAATTACATTTCCAGATGCCAAAAGACAGGGTTAGTCATTCCTAGAACCATGAAAAGTTTGTAAAAAGGCCCCCTCTTGTGGATGATTTTTGTGTGACGTGTCATGTTTAAATGTAACAAGTGATGACACAGTCTATTACTTCATTACTCTGCAGGTGTAATTAGAGTCTAAAACTGCATCATGTCCTCCTCGATAAAAAGCATAAAATCATCTCAGAGTAGAAAATGACCTCTTCATGTGACCTCACCTTGCTGCAGATGTCGGTGTTGCACTCCTCCTCTTGGAGGGCTTCTCCTCAACCAAACGCCTGACACTGCTGGCTGTTGGGGTAAGTTCCTGAAGCACGCCACGTGTGTTTGGTTTTGTCTTGCCTGTATCTGAGTCGTCTCTCTGTCCCTCAGGCGCACCCTTCCCCTTCTTTCTTTTTGCTTCTTTCTCAGGCCTGTTAAACACAGAGATTGGTTGCAGTAAAAACATGATGCCCTACTGTTAGCGTGAAAACTGGATAGGGAATAAACGTTTCTGATCATACCTGCCAACAGCATTTCCTCCAGAACTCTTCTTACGTCTCTTCTTCTCTTCTTCCTTTCCATTCTCTGCATCCTGCTCTGTGTTCTTCCTTTTCGCAGCAGCTCCAGTCTTTGACGATTTCCCTTTGTCTCTCTGACCCTTTGGGATATTCAAATTCTCCTCGATGGCAGTGCTGTGCAGAGGGTTATCTAGACAACACAAGAGGTCTGTGGTCATCCCGAGAGTAGAGATTTGAAAATTTAAATTGAAGAAAAATGTAGACATCAGGACAGAATGGAAGACACACAAGAGAAATCCTATGGAAAACGTTGCACTGAAATGTGCCAGAACAAATTCTTTAGTTCAATAATGCAGAGTGACTCTGAAATGGTAAGATGAGGACAGCTAACAATATACAGCACCACCGTGATCGGACTGACTGAGATAGTGTACCAGCTGAGAACCGCACTCATCTCCATTTACAACATATATAACCATTGGGAGCTCCCGGAAGTGGACAACTGGACATCGGCACTGTGCTTGAAAAGGGAAGCCAATGCACTTTTGTAAATGGACAGTATGGGAGCCTCCTCTGATTTCAAAAAAGGCTGATCATTAGTAATGAGCTGATTTCATATCACAGTCTGGTATCTTGGTCTCAGATGCTGCATTGTTATTTTCAAATCTTCATTATCCTTTAAGAAGGAAATGAAAAGCAGGTTGAACAGTACAGCAGGGATAGTGAATGCCGTTGTAGACAAGTCAATCTGAAACCCCAAAATAGAATTATCACCCTCCCATGAAATGCGCAAAGGTAGGTACATGTCCATTAATCATGGCTTATCGGTAATCCTTTCTTATCTGAATTTGAAAAGACCTTCAATAATGTTAAATTTAATCCTCTTCAGCATTCTCATTTATTGTGTTCCCTCCCTTCACTACCCTGGGGTTGTTTACATTGTGGCTTTTCTGGCACCATCTAGTGGCTGCTGCCACCACACCTTTTTGTTCCCAGGTCTAACCTTTCGTATCTCCTCAGGTGTGGCTTATTTGGTGACTGGTGGTGCCTGGTATTTAAGGAGGAGCCCTTCCCATTATTTTCTCGCTTCCCTTATTTTTTTAATCTGAAGAAATCCTGTGGGTCTGTACAAATGTTGTCTAAAGCCCTTTAATAGTGCCATTTAATGATGCTATGTTTATGCTGTAACGTCTCGCCTTTAATGTGAATTAAGCTGTGATGGTGAATCGAATTGTCCCATCACAGTGCCAGCATTAGAGGTGGTAACAGAGATACTTCAGGGGCAAGACTGTGAGTTGATGTAACTTGCAGGGCAGAGCAGCACTGTGTGTTTGTGGTTGTCTGTGTGTGCATGTGTGTCCGAGTGCAGGTGTAAAGCACATGAAGCTTCTTTCTTGTGCATTGAAACACAGTTGTGACAAAATCTGAAATCACACTGTGGGACATCTTTGTCACTGTTGGCTCAATATGAGAGTACGATCACAGTGGAGCTGCATTATGGTGCTGCCATGGATTCATAAAGTGAGAGGGGCTTATGATTAGGACTCACCATAGGTTTTCTGCAGTCCCTCCATGAAGCTGTCTTTCTCTATTGCTGACAGGTTGAAGGACTCCATATTAGACACAGCTGAATCAATCAGGTTTTCTACACAACAGGAAACATCAAACAAGTGTTAGGCCAGGATGTTTCAGCAGATACTGCATATATTAAAATCACAACACCCATTAGCAGCTTAAACTGACTCACAAGATTTTATTGACTCCAATCATTTATTTTTTTATTATTAAAAGACATAAAGCCTATCACTTTACTTTTTTCATTTAGTTTTTATTGAATATTTCTTTGATACAGTTGGTACTAACTATAAACTGAACACCACTGCGTAGGAGCTCATATATGAAGGAGAAAGAGAGATTACACAGCACATACGTTCTTACAGTTTTCACATACGTTCACAAAAGCTATCAAAGCAAGGTCTCTTCAAAAACACCAATCAGGGATCTTAAATGTAATGTAATTCTTTCCATTAAGTATATCTTAATAAATAAACCAATGTATGCATTTATCAGCGGTGTATAGTGTTGTATAAAAGTAGTTTCCTTTAAAAAATGTCTTCTGTTTTTGCCAAACAGAGTTGAACATCAGGCAAATATAATGTGAGTAAATACAAAATGCAGTTTTTAAAGGATTTTTATTGATAGGGGAAAAAGCTGTCCAAACCAACCTGGCCGTACAGTATGTCAGAAGGTCCCCCTCCCTTGTTGAATTATGAATTAACTGCGATTTCACGAGTAACACCCACCGCCAGGCCTGTAGAGTCAAAAAATCCATTAAACACAAACTGACAATAAGAGATCGGCTAAAAGATCGGGACCTGCACAAACAGGTAAGAAACACACTGATAGAGGAGACCAGTGCAGCACAGAGGGGCCTTTCAGCCAACGACCCTGCGTCAGTGCGGAGAGGCCCTAAGGACATGACCATCGTCGTGTTACAGATTATATAGTTGAGATGTAGAAAAGAAGAAGAGCTCACCTGTTTGGGAGCTTACTTTAGACATCTGTCCATACTCAAACTGAAACGGGTCCCCGCGAAAACTGTTTGAACATCCGGGCTTCCTGGCGACAGTACCATTTAGGATACACGGGGGTGGACAGAGGTACTTTGTCTTACAGCTTATAGGCTAAACGGCCGAAGTAAGTTTTGTTTATCATCATTTTAACAGCAATTATCACTGTATCTGAACCTAATTTAATACAAGTATATATTTACCAGGAGCTAAGCTGTACACTGAATATACTGAACCTGGACCCCGGCTTATATCCCCGGCTAAAACACTGGTCCTACGGCGAGAATAAGGGTTCATGATTCATGCACGTTTTTTTCATGTCCGCGTCAAGAACGCAAACCAATTATTAAAAAATACATGAGAACAAACTTATACGAATAAATAAAGTAGAATAAATAATGAGAACATTTGTGGGCTATTGAACTTTGGAGACACTGGCATGAACAGCTGATGACGTGTTTATTGTATAATATAGTCTACTGCCTGTTATGAATCAAATGTACATTATAAAACACATTAAAATATCTTGCCTCACGAATGCAAAATGAATAAAATATTCCTGCAATAAAAATAAAAGGACTAACTGAAACTCAACCTTTTAATTGTTTTGTTTTGTTTGGTTGGTTCACACAAAAATAATAAAAACAAAAGAAGGGAAAAAAATACCACAGTTATTTTAATCATCTTTTATTAAAGTCTTTGCAATAGAGATTTGAGTTGAGGCAAACAAATATTACAAAACCACTGTTAAAACCATGCCATAAGATTAAAGCCATATACATTCAAGACTTCCTTCAGTTGAAATTTCCCTTCAAAATAATTATATTTTTAATAGTATTTTCCTTCAACAAATGTTTTTTTCTTCATGTTATCTTTGTGAATATATTATAGTGTTGACAATCTTTATACACCCTGAGCCACACAATCAAAAGGATTTCCTTCAAGTAGTATTTCCCTCCCGTATTATAAAAATCTATAATTGAGTTCATTAAAAAATGTCTTCCCTTAATGTTGTAGTCATAAATAAATTTGAACAACAGTTATTCATGTCCTGAATGTTCCTTAGTGCCACAACAGCCTGTGGACAGCCAGCTTTCCTTAAAACAACTCTTCATATGGCTCATGGCCGGCTCCCACAGAAATCAAAGCTTATTCATAAAAAGATTCAAGGATTCAACCATGAAAATAATCTATCAACTGCTGATTTCCTACTTTCTAATGTAATCTTCATACAACACAGAGAAAAACTCATTCTGCAAATGAAAAACAACAACAACAAAATAAAAACTCATCAAAGACACTTACATTTTGAAGTTTGGATTAGTTCATTCATATGGCTGTTTATCCAAATAAATCCCTCATTCAATTCCTGTTTGTGGTAAATTGTTCCCTCATTGCCCTGGATGTTTGAAAGGCGTGTGTGTGTGTGTGTGTGTGTGTGTGTGTGTGTGTGTGTGTGTGTGTCGCACGCATGTGTGACTGAGGTACTGTGTTTGGTTTCTGGCACAGAAGTCCTGAGATAAATGATGCTACACAGTTGCACTTTAACGTTCCCTTCAAGAAAACAATGTGTCAAATGATTAAAACCAAATCTCTTAAACACTTTTTGCACATAGTAAAGGCAAAATAGATCATCAATAGATGCTTTTTGAGGCTAAAATCAACCTTGGACCCTCAGATGTTTTATATTCTTTGCTACAGATCTGATAGGCTGTTTGTGTTGTTCTAAATGCTCTGAATCAAACCTATTAAACCTACAACCTCCTATGCCTGCTGATCCGTGTGCCTCACAGGCTGACGATTCTCTTGGTCTCTTAGGACTTCTTCATTTAGGTGTAGTCAAGCTTCTCCTTCTTTCTCCTCCCCTTCATTCTGCACCTTTGGTAGATCTTCTGTACAAGATCTTCTTCTTTGCTTTTGCTCCTGTCCTTTATAATTTGATCCCCGCGTACAGCTCATCAATCTGGGATCTAAAGTATGATCTCAGTTCGTTCCTTTTGGCCTTCAGTGTCGGAGTGAGTAGGCCGTTCTCGATTGAGAACTGCTCGCTGTGAATGCAGATGGCCTTCACCTGCAGGACACACACATGTTGGTAGATTGTGTTAAACAGCATCACATGCCTCAGAGAAGAGGTCTACAAGACAACTTAGATGTGTTCAGATACTTTAAAACTTAGCTGTATTATGACCCAGTTTCATACCTGCTCAAAGGACTTCAGACCACCTTCCTTGCCCAGTCGCACCAAGTCCTCCAAGATGGCTGCTTTGACCTCCTGTAGAAAAACAAGAAAAGAGGAACTTCAGAAAAACTACAACACTGTAAACATTAGGCGTACAACTTTGGCTGTGAATTTAGCCATGTCACACATATGCACTATTAACGGTGGGAGGGAAGGTGGGGTCACTGCAGTCAGGAAATAAAAATAATAATAATAATAATAATAATAATAATAAAACTTTATTTTTACAGCAAAAAAAGGGGGGGGGGCACAAAACAGGATAGTAAATACAAAGATTATTTTTATAATGATATTAAAGTCATAACAAAATAATAATGATGGTAATAGTAATGATAAAATAAAATAACAAAAGTGAGCAAGAAAAAACAATAAAATTAAAAAAAGGTCTAATAGGTTAGATAAGAAAAGATTATAAGTATAACAAAGGCTAAAAAGAAAGTCAAGGTATAAAAGATAAAAGAAAAAAGAGAATAGACGGCATCACATAAAAGCAAGTCTGTAAAAGTGAGTTTTTTAAATAAAGATCATCTTCATGTACCTTTGTAGCCCTATTTGTTCATTTCTTTCTCAGAAATACAAATATGAAAAATTACCTTTTTTTCTTTTCAGTTTATGCATAACCTTTCTCCCAAAGAAACCCTAACCCTGATTACTCACACATGCATAGACAAAGATAAGAAAAAGAGGACTTACCGCTCTGTTACACAGCTCCTCGTAGCTGCCCTCCAGTCCCAGGTTCCTCTTGGTCCAGCCAGAAAGGAAGTCTGGGTCTGGGACCACCACTGCTACCAGACAAGCCTAGAGACAAACACAGTAAATACAGGAACAATGTTTTGACAATGTGAAAGGCTATATTGAGGAATAACTTCTAAAATGTCGCTCATAGAGTCCAATCCTCCACCTACTTGCAGACTGTCTCCATGCACAAAGACTTGTGCCACTGCGTCACTCCTCGTGTAGATATTCTCTATCTTTTCAGGAGCGATGTACTCCCCCTGTGCTAGCTTAAAGATATGCTTCTTCCTGTCCACAATCTTCAGTGTGCCATTCTGTGGTCACATCAACACAGGGTTAGTGTTATCCGAGTATTTATGAAATGTGTAGTGGTTTACAAAGATGCACAAATGTATACAACCCACAACATGTTCTTCCTTCAGCTCAAAAAACTCAAGTGTGACGACCTAGGAATGTGAAGTGAGGAGAAACAATAACTTAACCTACAGGAAGCCATTTTCCAATGTCTCCAGTGTGAAGCCAACCATCTGCATCAACTGTCTCTGCAGTCTTCTCCGGGTCCTTCAGATAACCCTGGAACACGTTAGGACCTTTGACACACACCTGAACACAAAACAAAAACATGGTCATAAACAACAAACACCAGGACAAGAGCATCTGTCATGTGAGTGTTTTGTTTGTTTGTTTATTTGCTGTTTTGTTTTTCACCTCTCCTTCCCCGTTTGCAGCCAGGTAGTTCATCTCTGCCACATCCACCAGTTTGATTAAGTTACAGGGTAGAGGAGCTCCAACATGACCTATTTATTTCAACTCAAGTTTAGTTTTTGCACTCAGTGTGTAAGCAATTCACCACTTCACCAATACCACACACTACAAACCACACGCTGTACTGTTTAACAAGTACAGCGTACAAATTACAAATTAATATTTCAGTGATTGAAAAGGCTTCAAGAAAAAGAAAACAGTCGGATGCTCTGATTTCAATGGACTGACAGTTAAAGCAGATGTGACACATAAAGGCTGTTGTTTGATTCTGATCCTGGGAACATAGTAAAAATATCACAGATGGCCTAAAGGGTCTTTATACTTCATAGCATCGATGAATCAGATACAAAACCAAACTGTTATCATTTTTAAATCTATTGATAGTTCGATCTTAAGTCTGTACTGTGGTTAAAGCAGCTGTAAAATGAAAGCATTATTACTCATTATTACCTGCAGTCCAGTCTCCAGGCGAGGTAATAGAGCACCCTGCAGTACACTCTGTTTGACCATAGCCTTCATAGAACTGAAAACAAGGAAATCTGGATTATTGTCTTTATTGATGTGACTATCATTACCACTGCTGCTGCTACAGGAGATTATACACAAACTGGAGACAGAGCAGTGAGGCTGAGAACATGTCAAGGCTGCAGATAAGATAGAAGCTACATTTCTACACCTGTTGTTGGAAATAAAGCGCTTCAGTGCTGTAGCTCAGGATGTAGTTTGAATGTTACCTGACAGCCAACTGCAGCCCTGAGGAAGCTGAGGACAGTAGGAGAGATGGGAGCAGCTCCGGTTAACATGAGACGCACGCGGCCTCCCATGCTGGCCTGTAGGGGGCAGCACACTCACAGTTTATTTTACCAGCCACATCCGAAACATAAAAGGTCCCATTCATCAAACATTAGTGAATGTAAGTGAGAGTTAGCTGGCATGGCGCACCTGTACTTTGCGGAAGATGAGTCGATCCCAAATGCTGTCTCTCCTCACAATACCTCTCATGATCTCTGCCTCCTTCCTTCTGTAAGCGAATCCCAGCAGCCAGCGCTTCAGAGTGGTGTTGGCCTGTCCAAAGATCTGCAATGGCACACAGACAAGCCAAAAACACCTGAGGATGACTTGCAGTGGTTATTAGAAGGAGTGTCATTAACACTCTCAGAGGTTATTAGGGTTGCTGTTCGAAGTAAATGAGTTTGCTGCTTTTTTTCCAGCAGTAACTTTGAGGATGTGAAAAAAGTACAGGAAATGCCCTCAGACGCATCCAGTTTTACAGATGTGGGGCAATGGCATGAGGTAGAGAAGACAGATTAGATAAAGTAAAACAGCATTTTCCTGAAGTGATGGTATCATGCCTTTTCATTTCATACAGTACATATATCAAGATTAAATGTTGGATGTACATACTAAACACAGAGAAAGTTTCAGTGAGGTGATTGTGTGCTGGAGTAATCACATGATGAGACTGCAGCCTGCTTTGCAAATTTCTCTGCCCAGATTTGGGGTCCAAAACATAATTCCTGATTTTGTAAGATGTAACTTTAAATAAACAAACAAAAGCTGCAACAGTAGAGGGGGCTTTTGAAGCGCTAGGGGATCTTAAAAAGACAGAAGCTGGACTGAAGCCTTTCAGACTAAGACTTAAAAGGTTTTTTTTAAAGAGACCAGCTTGATGTAAGTCAATGATTTTATGAGCTGTAAATTATGTACAACTACCAAAAAGCTATCTGAAGGACAAAACGCTGGAAAATAAGTATTACACTCCCTCTTTAAGCATATGTTGCACACTTACATGACATAAACATGCAATTTGAGCACTTCATACACAACCCCCCTCTACAAAGTGTCTGCAAGAACAGCCATCATGTTGTTATGAAGTCAGATGGACTTTTCATGTGAAGTCATGAAACAATTAGATGAGTTTTCTTCTATCATTGCAAAAAGAAAAAAAAAAGTTACAACATGAAGCTTTTAGGATGACCTGCTGTACTTTACATCTCATGTCTCAGGACACGACTGTTGCACAAGAGCCGACTGTTTATGCTACATTCATTCAAAATAGAGGTCATCTTCTTTCAGCAACACTTTATATGAGCCCACCTCTATAATGCACTCTTAACACATTTACAAAACCCCTTTTCTTGCATGTATAGGGATTTATCAGAACCATTATAGGCATCAAAACAACATAGAGCAATGTTTCTGAAGTGTTATTAGCAGTGAGGGTAATGCTTTTAATAATCCATGATACCGTAGCCCTTTAATGCCTGACACCACAAATTATGGCCAGAAAATTAAATTTTTTTTTAAGCTGAAATGTTTATTTCACTTACTACTGAAAACCACAAATATCAAAATGTCCTAAAAATTTAACAAATATATTTATTTATCTCATTTGATACATTAGATGTTTTTGGAAAATAATAAACTACAAGAGGACATTTTAACATTTATCGGACTGTATTCTGGAGTTTTTTAGTAATTTGTTGATCGTATTGATTTGATAGAAGTATATAAAAGTATGTATCAAATATGATACAAAAGGCATTAAAGGGTTAATGCAAAAGAAAACGAAGTTATAGAAATATATTCTTGTGGTGAAGTTTTTGTGTCTGACACTTAACCTATAATCACAAAATTCTGCTTTTCAGCTCTTATAAATGTGTTATAGAGTCATGTATTGACCTCATGCAGTGCTGTCACTTGACTTGCAGAGCTCTGAGTCAGGCTTAAGCCTGCTATGAGTATTAATATGATGTTTTCTGAACTGAGAATCAGAGAAACTTTTGAATGATACACAGAAGAAGTTCTTTATGAACTTTAATTACCAGGTAAAGTTATGAGAGTTATAACGTGTTTATTGCTGTTTATTGCTAACAGGGTTACGGTGTTTCAAAGCATGTGTACTACCCACCTACCTTATCATACATCCTGTTGAGAAGTCGAGGAACCACAGGGAACACAGTCGGTTTAAGGGTGGTCAGGTCATCGGACAACAAACGGATATCACCCTGGAAATAGCCAATACTGGCTCCATGCACTATCATGACTCCCTGTCAGAATTATGGGAAGGTGATAGAGGTAGAGAGTTAATCAGTAATCATGAGTTTGTCATCAAATAGGTGGACATTAAGGTATTCTAAAGAGTACTAATCAGTCGTAAACAAAGAGTGACCAAGGGAATTAATGGTGAAGACAATACCTGGACTACTCTTTCAAACATATGAGCCAAGGGCAGGAAGGAAATGTGGACATCTCTGTGAGACATTGGACAGCGGACCTAAAACATACCAGTACCGAGGAACACAAACATGCAGACAAAAGGACACACAGGAACACAAACACACACCAAAGGAGGGGACCGGGACAAAGACACAGGGAAACACACACAAACACAGGAAGAGAGATCATTCAGAATCTGTGTTTTTACCTCTACAACTCTCTCAAACATGTGGGCCAGAGGCAGAAAGGACAGCATGACATCATCTGAGGTGGTCTGAACATGAGACTAAAAGCAAGAGGGTAATTTAACAACAGTAACCTCTTCTTTCAAACAATTTACATTCTGGTATCTGTTTTCTTCACTCCTTTGAAAATCTGTTGGAAGCAGACCAGCATTAATAACTGAATGTATATTTCAGTCGGCACATGTTTATGATGCAACTAAACTTCTGCTAGATGTAAACTGTTGTATCAAAATATCACGTGAAAGACGTGGCGTTCAACAAAGAAAATTCTAAATGAGATTTAAAGAGACAGTTTTTTCGTAGCGGGGCTATATGAGACACTTGTCAATGGGAAGTTAGAACCCACAGAGATCCTGGTCAACTTGGTCTCTTTATTGGAAAACCATAGGGAAAAAATATCCAAGTAAAATGGACAAAAAAAAAACAAAAAACAAAGTGAATGAGGTCCTCTACACCCCAGAATTTAGCTGATTTTGAGACCTAAATACCAGTGTTGGTGAAAGTGTTTGCTATATCTTCACATTTCCCTCTGCAGTTTGCCATCACATGGGCCCATTGGTTGAAGAATCATTTTGTACACACTTTCAGTTTGTGATAAGAACCTCAAGCAACCCCTACCTTAAAAACTCTGAACTATCCCTTTATTTTCAATCATCTCTACTATCTACCTCCTGATTTCACACAGCTCAGTGTTTTTTTACTCCAGCCTCACCTCTGCCACTTTGATGAAGGCTGAGCAGTTGGACACAATATTCCTATGAGTCAGCATGGCTCCTTTTGGGTTTCCTGAAAGAAAACAGCAGGCACGCACATCTTCTGGTTTAGTTGTTTTTTGTAGAATTTTCTGATATTTTTAGAGATTGTATTGGGGCTGTGATTCTGTCTTTGCGTTTACTCATGTGTGAGTATCTAATAATGTTACCTGTTGTTCCACTGGTAAAGCAGATGACAGCCATGTCCTCTGGTCTTGGAGGCTGGAGGGGGTGAGGTTAAAATAAGAGCAGTGCCACACAAGGCTAAACACCACTATCATTGTTCTAAGGCTGAAGAAAGGCTCTGAAGTATTCCCATTCTACATATGTTTTCACAGAGACAGCTCTCCTTCTCACATACTGTTGTATGTTAACCTGTTTGGTTATTACAAATGCACAAAAGAGTGAGAACAAGATCTAAAATGATAAAGAAAATGAAGTTGTAAAATGAAGAATATAATAAAAAATGTATGAACATTTACTTTGGAGGAAAATAACTTGAACCAATGCCACCCTGAGAGGTTAAACTCAAATTTAGGTTTTATTCATGACTGAAAACTATCTTTTAACATGTCCGCACGACATTCACATACAAGTCGGGATTCTGGAAAAAAACAAAAACAGTTGAAGAGACTGAGTCCATTATAAATAAAGGTAGGCCAGTGGGCAGCCTGTGCACACTTCTGCAGCGACTGATAGTCCTAAAAAGTTCAGTTTTTCTTCGTAAATTACTTCCTGATCCACTTCAATCTTGTCAACTGAATAGTTTATTCTCATAAATAAAGTTTTTCTTCTTGTAAATTCACACATTCATTTTTAAAATTTCAGATTTTTTTAATACTAAATGTGGCCCTTATTCTCCATCGTACATATGCACATTTGCACCTCAAGGTTTCTGATGACTCGGTTTGAATGTGTTTAAATATTCTCTACCTTCCAGATCCATTACTCTGTAGCGCTGTAGCATTGGGCGTATTTTCCAAGTTCTTGAGCTAGGTTCAAGTTCGGTTTGTGTTCAATCTCTTTTTGTATTTTGGTAAAGGTTAAATATAAACTAGCATCCTGTAGCATCAATAAATGAATTATCTGAGAGGTTTAGAGAGAAATTTAACAGGCCAGTGTCTACTCACCACAGGTGGGCGATGGTTGGCCTTCCCAAGAGCCTGTGCAACAGGGAATAAAATCAAATACAGAATAAAAGAAGGAAAGAGTCAGTAAGGACATGCGGAAGCTGATCACTCTTTTTGAGCATGTTCAAAAACTTTGAAAACAAGTTTTACTTTTAGAAAGTAACTTAGTTCTTTAATTTCTCTTAAGGGTCTACAAGGGATGTGATAGCCTTAAGCCCCAAACCTTAGAGAATGGACTGAGATAGTCAAAGAAATCTGTGTGATGCAGAGGATTAGCTTAGAGGAGCAGCCTTTACCAAGAAGTGGGAAATAAGGGGAAAGGGTACCTCCTTTTGTGATTCTCTTTGAACATTAGTAGACCTCTGTATGTGGATTATCTTCTAGCTAAGGTAGCCCTCCAGGAGTTCTTCTCTGTTTTGGCATGTTGATATTGTTGTTTGTGTCTGTATATGATGTCTAAGTGACTCAAGAGAAGTTGAAGTAACAGAATCAGGAGAGTTGTGGACAAAATCTCTGTGCTGACCTCCATCTCCTGCATGCTGAGAATGTGGATCCCGGCCTGCTGACCCCGGCTAACAAGGTCTTCACTTGGGGTCTCCATCAGCACGATGGTTTTCACACAGTGTTCCCTGTCCTTCACACATTCAAGGACCAGGTTGACTTTATCCACCACATCACACACGATGGTGGCGATGGCAGCTGAGGAAAAAATACAAAACACATGCAGAGAGTTCAGAGCAGCCACAGCTGCAGCTATTCATCAACAAAAACAAGAGCAGGAAAGGCTGTGTCTGCGGCCCTTACCTTTGTCGATGATGTAGGTGATGGCTTCTGTTCCCAGTGTGTCGTAAAGAGGGACTGACACCAGGGAATAGGTGTAACACGCCAGCTCACTGATGGTCCACTTAACACAAACACATACAGTTCATATGTACAGTCAAAACATCATAAAACACAGCAAAGACTGTAGATGTGAGGTTTATGCTCTCCTGCTGTTACATCATGCGTTACGTCATTAATGTAGCTCTTTCTGAGTTTATAATTAGATATAAATGATGACTAACAGAAACCTGACTTTTCAAAGTCCAATATCAGCCTGCAAGGCCACAATGTGAGGCACCAGCTAAAATCAGTCTGCAGCTCTTGGAGATGGATTATCATCTGTTGTGCAGGAGGTGAACGCTGTGGGGTCACATGGGTCACTGTGTGTCATGCTCACCAGACAGCTGGTCAGCAGGAGGCAAAGATGAAAAGCAGCTGCCTTACTTTTTTTTACATGATTTTTTGTTTGTTTGTTTTAAATATAGTTATAAATGCTGGTTTGTTTCCACAAGTGAGTTTTGTTTTTCAATGCCTAGATTGAGTTTATTTAGCTTTATATGTTTTGTTATATTTGTGATACTTGTCAGGGCCAGAAAAGGTAACTTAGTATAGAAACTCAAAACGTAATATAAAAAAAAAAAACATAATTAGATACAAAAAAATGAATAACTCCAGATATCCATAAAAAATGTTGTCAGTGCGTTTGTGTCTTAAAATGTGTGTATGAAATTAATCGACAATGACTAATAAAAAAAAAAAAATTATCACAGTTTTAAGTGAACAAAGATGTTCTTGAAAAAAAAAAAAGTTTTTGTGTGATTTTTGTTCAAAATGAGTTTGTAAAGAACCACTCCATGTCATCTCTCTTAGAGCCTTGAAGACTTAAAAACAGGCAACTGGACTGAGTAGAGCTGAGGAGACGTTTCGCCTCTTATCCAAGAAGCTTCTTCAGTTCTAATTATTGCTAGTGTGAGGAGCAGATATTTATCTTACTGGAGAAAGGGGACAGACAACGACTGGGGGGAGTTGGAAAGAATGGGTCGTAGAAACCCATCTTTCTTTCTCAGGTGTTTTAATGTTTATTTAAAAAGAACTGGAAACAGAGAGAGAAAAGCATGAGAGTATGTACCTCAGGTCTGTTCTGAGAGAAGATGCCAATGAAGGGGTCGGTGGTCTTGGAGTGTTCTTTGTGAAGAAATGCTGAACCCAGGTTCTCTGCTCGCTCTATGACCTAACACACACACGTGCGCACACACACACACAAAACAAACAAATATAGTCTGTCCCTTTGTTTTAACAGTAAATGTGTAATCTTACATTGATTTGACAGTTGACTTTGCTCCTGTGTTTACCTCCTTAAATACTGTTGGTCATTTCTAAGTGTTTGATAGTAAAGCGTCTTACATGGGACTGACGGTAAAACAACATTACTTCCTATGCTGCCCTGCATACTGTAACACACATTTATTTGAGATAAAGTCCTCTGAGCTACAATCATTTTATTGTAACACTATTTTCAGTGTAATAGAAATGAAATAAAAAGCGTTACAGTTTTTAGCTTCTGTTTTCAGAGTTTTGAGAGTCTAGGCTGTGTCAGAGACATGAGTCGATCACAGGTTGTATCAATGTTTGAGGACTTATCGTGGAGCATAATACATTAGCCTAACAGTTATTATCACACAGGGGCTACAGCCACAGAGTTAGGAGACTGAAGATATTTTAACATTTAAGGATGTTTGAAACCTCAACCATTATAGAAAGATGTTTGAAACTTTGTCTTGAGCTCATAGAGTAGACCTTGGTGACTTCATCGGGGTTATTTTCTAACAATAGAGACATTATGCTGTTTTCCATTTTCAGTAGTCAGCCTAAACATCATAACCACTGACTCGTGACATGAGTGACACAGGTTATCTCTTTACATTGGCACCTGTCACAGAGTGAGATATGTCATTAATATTTGAACTTTGTTGATGAAAGTTGATGAAAGCCTTGAGGTACACAACAACAAGTTCAGAAGGTTGACTTGGTCTCCAAAGTCCCCAGACCTCCATCTAATCCAGCATCTGTGGGATATGTCAGACAACAGTCTAATCCAAGGAGGACTTCGCTCATAGCTTGAAGTAAATAAGTGTCTGGAACAGCTGTGGCTCAAGGACAGAGTCAGTCGTCTCTGCACCAAAAGGTTGGGGGTTCAATCCCAGAGCTGTCCACATGCCAAAGTGTCCTTGGACAAGACACTTGACTCACCTGCCCCTGCTGGCTGTGCCCAGAGGTATGTGAATGAGATTAGTCAAAACTGATGGACTCTTTACATATCAGCCTCTGCCATCAGTAAGTGAATGTGGTGTGAATGGATGTATGAGACATGTGTGATGTAAAAGAGCTTTGACTGGTCAGGAGACTAGAGACAGAGAGATACAAACATTTACTGTTTGCCACTCTTTGCACAAAGCTTCAGAGGTCTAGTGAAGTCCATGTTTCATCAGGTCAGAGCTGCCTATAGCCCAGATTTGATGAAAAGGGGTTCAAGACAGTCTTGGGCAGTATAGTATAGGTCTACCGTACTTGATACAGGAAACTGACATTCACACATGGACAACCCACTATGGTCATGCCTGCCCCAACAACAACACCACTAGTGTTTCAACCACAGTCAGGTCTGCCTGAAACCTTTTGCCCTTCTGTGGTCAAGTTTGAAGATTTTATGTTTTATAAGGTGATATGTTTGTGGTGAGTCTTACCTCTTTGTAGGACATCCACTCATAAGGCTGCTTTGGTTTCCTGGCGCCCAGACAGGGACCATTATCTTTGGAGAAAAGAGAAAACAAAATCAACCCAAAACCCAGAGATGAGCTGATCTGCTCCTCTGTCTTTCTTACTGTCCATCACATTTGACATTTACTGGATATGCTACCAATCTGAAAAAACAGTCAAATAAGATGATAATACATCTCACAACAAAAATGTGAGGAAGTTGTACACTGGTTCAATAAAGTCAAGAAAGCTTTTCAGTGGTTGATGAAACAATAATATCTATTTTTAATAGAGCCAAAATTTCAGCGTCAAGCATCAGCTGTAGTGTCAGTAAATATAGATGAATCTTCATTCAGCTGCAGTCACTGAAGTTTAAAGACTGTTGAGGAACTTACTGGAGACTCGGGCCCCTCTGAGCAAGCACTCATACATGGTTTTGCCATCGTCGTAGTAATGTGTCAAGTAAGTGTCTCCGTCCATCAGAACAGATTTGCGTGCAAACTCTCCACCCTGTTTGGAAGAAAAACATGAAATATGGAAGCTACAACTCATCCTGAAATAAACCCGCCAACAGTTTCTGTGTCCTTCACACAAACAGTAACAGAGACAAGTTAATAAAATATCAGCATTTCATTTGATGCTGGTTTACCAGGTTTGGAACCAAAACCATTTCAGCAAATGTTTTTTTTTTCTTGTCATGTCCTGACAGGTTTTATTAAGTATTTTCATCATGACTGAAATAAATACAAAACAATATAATGATCATCTCTTTTATATGGCACTTTTAAAATTAGATTACAAACAAATCAAACAAAAATGAAAACAAGGTAGCAAACTGTTACAGCCATGAGAACAAAATACCAAAACACCAAGTTCAAAACAATGAGGACAAACAGCAGCTCACAGCAGTGTACAGGTACAGGCTGGAGTTTTAAAACACACAGTCAAATCACTAAATCTGCTCTCAAACTGACAGGGAGCCAGTGAAGGCAGCAAAGGCTGGTCGTTGGATAATCTCAGTAAATTAGTGAACAGTTAAATCCAGAAAAAAACAATTCATGGATGACTTTTTCTGAGTCAGCAAGAGAAAGAAAAGACCAGCTGTTGGTCACCTGGGTGTCATAGAAAAAGCTGGAGTCGAAAATTGAAACTCCTCTGTGCAAATACAATTAGACAGGGCACCCTGACTGGAGGAAAGAATCTATGCAGCCAGATTTGAGGGCAGGGGTAATAACTTCAGACAGACCCAATGTGAGGAACGAAAACATTCTTCATCCTGGATATTCGTAACCTGAACATGCTGTTTTATCCCCCAGGTGCTGCTGTGATTGCAGCGTCGTTCATGCTGGATTAACCAACAAACATGAAGTTTTCCTTCACTGGGGGCCATCACAAACTTGTCTTGATATCATAATTCCAACTAGTAATAAAGTCACTAAAGTCAAAATGATCTTCAGTGTCCCCCCTGCATGATCAACAGGTCTATCTGTTTAAGTTCTGTTTACTTATTAAACCTTTTATGACTGTTCCAGCCTAACCTTTCACAGTGCTTTGCTTTTGTGTTGCAAACTACTTGACTTCTTAACAGACAGACTTTGCTCTTAAACTTACCGCAACCTCGACTGACTGCATGCTGAGATCACAGGCAGGTGGGAGGGGCTTGGGTCGTGTAGCCAGGTAGTAGGTTGTCGCAGCAGCCACTGCCCCCATGCTGACCAACATGGGGGTGGAGATATTGCTGACGTACTGGCTGACATCTTCCAGGTCTGGCAACCTCAGTTTCTGCAAGAACTCCTGGCTCAGCATGATGAGGTAAAAGAGCAAGACTGTGTTTGTGGAAAGTGCACCTGTTTGTGTGTGGGTGTGTGCGCTGCACTGGTGGTGGTGGTAGTAGTAGGGTGTGTCTGACAATGGTGGCAGCAGTATTTGTGTAAGTTACAAGATGGAGTGTGTGGATGGGGGCTGGCCAGGAGGAGACCTACAGAGCAAGAGAAGATGTGTCATTAATGTCATTCATTCAAAAGTATGAGTGGTTTATAATGACTCTCTCACTGGTGATTTCTTCACAGGGTACCACAGACATGTCTGCAAAGGTATATGACCATTTTGTTGACAACAATCTTAGGATACATGCTTTTCTATCTCCCCATGGTTCTCAGTTTTTCTCTAACAAATGAACATTTGGATATATCAGCCTTTTTTCTAAAAAATATTCACAGTATATTCAGAATATTCAATCTGAAGTACAGCTGGGTTATAAACTGGAATTTAACTATGCGTACAACTCTGACCCCAGTTTAAGTTTTATATCGAGACTAAACAATATTGTGCCTCTTGCTGTGTTACCTCTGTTACATCTTATACACTGAATGAATCTCACCCTCCCTCTCTTCCTTAACAGCAGAGCGTAGGCTTGACCCCTCCCCTCAAAATAATGGTGAAATCAATATCACAAGTGAACAGCCCAGTCTGAAGGTTGAGACAACAAGTGCCCAATTCTGTGAAATTCATGAAGATTTTGTTTCAAATGCTGAGTTATTTTTCTATACAGATGTTAGCACTTGTTAGCATGACAGGCTGACACTACACACTGATAGATTCACAGCATTTTCAGTTTAAAGAGCTCGTATCCTAATAATGTTCACAATCTGACAGACTCTGTGTGTATGTTTCTTCATTAGAGATGGGTGATAAATTATTGTTTACGATAAATCAACAGAAGACCCTCTATGATAAATAGTTTCCATTTCATGATAAATACGATAAATGCAAGTTGATGACGGAAGTGCGAGCGACAGACTCACAGCCTATAGCCCACACAGAGCAGAATAACAAACAAACATGGCCGACAGTAATGCAGAAGACGTTTCTGAGCAGCTGGTTACTGAACCAGACTCCACATGAGGGATTTCCTTCAAGATTGGGGCTTAGATGAGAGCAATCAGGTATGCCTGACAGCGGAAAGTGGATCTGCTGCTGCTGTTCACTCTGTGCAATAAGACTTTTCAACGAATGTAGGAAATGTTTTCACATTTGAGATTTGTTTGATGTCATTAGTTTTCTCAATAACCTACCACTCAAACTTGTGGTTAAGTATATTATTTGACTACTCCAACTGGTGTTCTCAAGACTAAATGTGTCAAAAATATAGATGGGAATTATAATATTTTTTATCGGGACTTTTATCATTATCGCCACAATGGCAAATCTTACGATAATTTTTTTAGCACATATCGTCCATTCCGATTCTTAATTAATCATTTTGACTGTCATTGGGGTACTTGACCCAGTCAAGGAATCCATCACTCACTCAGCATAAACCACAGCGAGCTCATCATGTACTGCTGATGGTGCAGCAGAATAAAAGCAGGTTCTCTCATTAAGCTGTGACTCAGATTGCAGTACAATTAGACTGTGTATTTAAATGGTTCTCTCTGGACAGGAAGAGCAGGTGTGGCAGGTTCCCATGGTGTTTATGTAAGTTTCTGAGGCTTACAGGTAAGGAGGGAGGTCTCCAGTGTCAAAGAGTAAAAATGTCCCAAGATCTAATCCTTGTTTCGATACATTTTGTTGAGCCTTTACTGATATTAGTTTAATCACGGTTTTCAAAAAGTGAGAACCTGGCCGTGTACTTTCTGCATGACTACCAATGCTCATGTACGTAGAGTTCATTCCTAAAAAAAACAAAGACTCTTCCTGCTGCACCAGTGAGGCCACTTTGAGGTAAGCAAATGTACTTTCATGAAAGTTTACGAGCACTGCAAGCTTTTCAGTGTCAAAGGCGAAGCTTTCCAAAGTAGTGATATTGAGAAAATATGTCAGGGTGCAAGAGCTCAGTTGGGAAATGATGATGATCACATCTGCCCATTAAGCCAGCCGAACTTTGTACCAGTACAAAAACAAATAGAAGATCATCTGTCCCTGCTGCCATATATATCTCACAAAGAGCACCATGTACTTTAAAGTCAGCCCACCATCAGCCGATCACTGACTGACACTCTCCAGGTGGTCCTAACAGCCCTGAAACCTCCTATCTCCTCCCCAGTATGACGATACTTTCCCTTTGTCTCTGTGCTCAGTACCGTCCTCTCCTAACACTCCTCTCCAATTCCAGAAACAAATTTCACCTTTAAAAACATAAAAGGTACAACATATAGAAATGGGAATACTTAGGGTGGTTAGTAGTCCGACTCCAGATCAAAACACTCCCTTGCTCACTCCTCCTGTTATTAAAATTACAGAGGTAAAAAGAAGCTCCTGTGATGGAAATAATGCCTCATCCTCCATTTTTAAAGATTTTATCAACAAAAATTAAACCTATTGAAGCTCTCCTTTGCACCAATTAACAGACACCATCATTTTCTAAATACAAAAAGTATGCAGCTTTTTTTTAGTTTGTCAAGAAACAAAAAGATGCTAGACGGCAGCCTTAGTGGACTGGGACACCCTCCTCCTGAGGTTAATTTAAAGCCAACAAAAACAAAAAGGATGTTTGAGTTGATTCACTTATTCAACCACATTGATGAACATCATATAGTATTTCCAACAGGTCTTTTCCGCTACAAGCTGCCAGACACCACACACTGCACACTTAAAGATGACTTCACTGTCTAACAGCCGTCCTTCTCACATGAGGTGTTCAGGCTATAACAGAGCAGCCACTCACCCCGACTACTATATAGTAGGAACCGAGGGTTAAGGATAATTGCACCATTATTGTAATCATTGTAAAAACCTACTAGCACAGACCAGAGTAAACCTGAATTTCCAAAACACAAGAATAGCATTTTTGTGCTGGGTACAACGAAAAGCCATTTCATTATCTCTGAATGATTTCAACACTCACCTGTAACAAACAGAAGCCAGGTGAGACTCAGGCTTGTCTTTTTCTGATGACAGTGACTCTGGGAATACTGTTGATACTTCTGCTGCTACAGCAACCACCACACTCAGCTCTAGCCACGTGAATGCACTGATACACTGCCGGCACAAAACAGGCAGAAAAAGGCTGTTCAGAGCTGATGTGTAACCTTGGTTAATCTACCAATCAAAGGTCAGACTGGACGCAGGGAGGGCTCTTACTGGTTTGTTGTGGTAAGGCGGTTGTAAGAGTGGCTGTATACAATCAATGAGTTTATATCAATGCCATAGCAACAAAACAAGTCCTAAACATTCAACAATGGCCACATAAAACTGCCCTGAAATAGCAACCTCATAACCATGTTTGATTGACACATCTGCACCGACTCGCTTACTATAAATATCACACAGACAGAGAAATGTGTCCTCCACAGTGCCTTACAATAATCTACACGTTCAAGTAGTTGCTCTGTCCCTTCACCTTTCCCCTGATGACCTCTAACCCCTGTGTGATCTGCTGGGATGATGAGGCAGGGTGAGATAAAAGCTGATTAAAGACAAAACTGCAGAACAGTGCTAAAGTTCTTTTTTCACTTAGTGAATTGTTGTTTCTGTGCTGAAAAAAAAATTATAGTTCTTTGAGTCACTAAATGTTCCTGCTGAAAAGTTGCTCATGACCAGCGACGCTGTGAAATATTTCAATATTGTCCAAAATCCAAAGATACTCAGTGTTATTGCATAGGGATTTTAATTTGTTTTATATGTATTAATCAGTATCTATATTTATCCCTGTCAGTTCATAGTTACATACTGCTGTATTTGAAGAGGATCCCAATAATGTCCTGAGGCTAGAGAAAACCTGATGGTTCAGTAATTACACTTTAAGAAAACACTTTTTAATTATCAGATTGTCCAACACACTTTTTCAAGGCTACTTTTTAAAGTTACACCAATTAAAACGAGTAAATCACTCGATAACCATGTTATTTAAATAAAGTGTCTCTTCCAGTTTGTCAGTATAACCAGTATTTTGATATGGCGGTATGTACACTACAGGCCAAAAGTTTGGAAGCAAGGCCATTACAGGCTGAACAGTTGGGAGTAACATCAAGTTTTTGTTCACAATGCTTTTTTCAAATCCAGCATGAGTTTTATGTATTTTGGGATGTATTTACTCCATGATCAGATATTGCTTTCATGGAAATGCACCATTTTACTCCATTTACCTTTAGATATACATTGATGTTAACAGACCATTGCTAAATATATGTCAGCAAAAGATAATAAGGGCTTAGTTTTAGGGTTGAAAACATTTGCAAGAGTCACAACTTCAGTGCAAAAGCAAAAAAAGAAATCACAGTTTGATGATTCACTTCAACTTTTTGGCTTTTAAGAGTCTGCATACAAAAATCCTAATAAATCTCAACTGTGTTCAAACTACTGCAGAAATGGCTAGAAAGAAGCAACTGAGTAAAGAAACAAAAGTACAGATTTGTACATTAAGGATAGAAGGATACACAGAAAGAGAAATTGCAAAACGCCTAAAGGTGTCTAACAAAGGAGTCCACTACACTCTGAAGAGACTAGAGGAACCTGGAAGTTGTAATGATAGAAAAAGACCTAAATGAAAGAGAGTTACTACAAAAGCAGAGGATAAACATAGCATTGTCACCAGTGAGAGAGATCGGCGAAAGACGGCACCAAAAATAAGGGAGGAAATCAACATGACAAGGTCGAAACCCATATCTCTGACAACTGTGAAAAGATGTTTGAGAAAGGCTGGTCTGAAGGGTTGTGTATCTGCAAAATAACACTGCTTCATCCACAGAACAAGAAAAAGAGATATGAGTGGGCAAAAGCTCACAAAAATTGGACTTACTAGAAACAAGTTTGCACTGTTTGGTTCAAAACGCAGAGTCTTTGTCCGCAGACAAACTGGTGAACGTCTGAAAGCACCACGTGTTACACCCACAATTCAGCATGGAGTTGGTAGTTCCATGGTATGGGGATGTTTTGCAGGTGATGGAGTAGGAGATTTGTTTGACGTAAAGGGTATCATGAAGAAGGAACAGTACCACTCCATCCTCCAGCACCATGCTGTTCCATCTGGACTCAGACTTGTGGGTCATAAGTTTGTTTTGCAGCAAGACAATAACCCTAAGCACTCTGCTAAGCTCTGTCAGGGTTACCTAGACCAAAAAGAAGAGGAAGGTGTTCGCCAAAAGATGGTTTGGCCCCCTCAGTCTCCAGACCTTTTCCAATTGAGCTTGTGGGGGATGAATTGGATCGATCCGTCTCTTTTTAATGAACTTAAGAAAGCTTGGAATGCAATCCTTGGAACATACCTTAAAAAACTTGTGGAACGAATGCCTGGTTATTAAAGCCAGAGGAGGTTACTTTAAAGGAAGTAAAGTCTAAGCAACAATAACTTAAATACCTAATAATTATAGTCAAAATGTCTTCTGATAAGTTACTCTTTACACAATAGTCGATAGTGTTACTTAAGTTCAAAGCTCTGGAAAATCTTTTTTTTCCCTTTAAGTGTCAAATAAGTGAACTTTCCTGGTTATTTAACCATTATGTTATGTGTCCAAGTCACATTGAGCCACTGAGCTTTAAGATCACCATGTCAAATACATCTTAGTAAATTTTTTTGCATCATATAATATTCTGTATTTTTTGTTCTCAACATGACAGTGAATGTGTGTTACTCGAGTTTGCTAATACACAAGACAGCATTTTACAGCAAAAGCTCTGTTAAAACTTGCAAGTTTTCATGATTTCATTCAGTGATAAGCTCTTTATAAAAATACTAGTATTACAGATGCAGTAGATGGCGTAGAATCATGAAATGCTGTTATGCAGTATTTATTGTCACTTTGGGTCAAAATGATTTATTAATTAGTGAGACTATTGGATTAACATTAAAGCAAAGTCAAAAACTCGACCTTTCATTTTCCTCCAGTCTGCACGTGATCCTCCTTATTCTAGGGGCTACTCCGCCCACCCACCGTCAACTCCGGGAGCCCATGTACATAACGAGCACTGGCGCATGAGGAAGAGGAGGGGGCAGCATGCCAAGGAACCAATGAATGTATGGTGGGTTCATGGAAGTCAGCCAATCGCGTACTAGTCACCTTTCACCTCAAAACCTGCAACTTACCTCCAGATCACCTTCAGTCAGTGTTTTTGAAATCACTATAGACCTCGAACATTGACATCATTCATGCTTTTACCCTCTGATACACAACTACAGACCACCCCTGCAACTGAGCCTCTCTTTATCTCCTAAGACACCACTTTCTGAAGGATGCGGATTCAGACAAGAAGTTTCAAGTGTATGTAAATGTGCCCAGTCATCTAAAGCCACTGTTAGACTTTAACCTTATTCGACCTTAACGGTGCAAGGTGACTTGACTGGACTTTGGAGGTTCGTGTACCATCATATAAGTCTTCTAACACAGTTGTTATTTTCAACCTTTGACCACAGTCTACTCTCCTGCTGCAGTGTCTGGACTGAAGTTCATCAATGGTTAAGTTGTGATAGAATGTAGAGAAGGTAAAGTTGAATACAGATTCATGCAAAAACACAACAAGCAAACAACTATATGGAACAGTTTCAACTAAACAAGAGTAAATAACGGCACCCAGCCAGTTAGCACTACAACCGTTTATTACAATCAACTACAAAGTACAGCGGGTTCAACCTGCAGACACAGACACAAGTCTTCAGTACCCAAGCAGCCACACAATGTAGTGACTACAGCCAAAACATGAAAGTAAAAGTAAAACTTTAAATAGATAAAGGACATGAGAAAATGTCACTGATGGGCAATGAATGAAGTTTAGCCTGACCTTTCTTGAAACAGTAACTGCTTTAAACTCTGTCTGTGTTTTGCACTTTAGTGAAGCGGCAGCTACAGCACCACAGAAACACTACTATATTTGTAATTCAATAAAAAAATCACCAAACACTTAATGCAGTACTTACCACCTGTTACTGGATTTCCTTGCCTTGTATCTCCAGACCACGCGTACCGACGAGTATCAAGGGGGAAAAAAAGCACGCTTCCGGAAAAGAATTTCAAAATAAAATCAGTCTTACTTGATTAATTTCGTGGGATCAAATAGCGCCTTGGTTTAATTAACAAAACCGTGTAACTATGTGAAACACTATAAAGTAAATCCAAATACAACAGTGTCCTTCTCTTCCTGTCTTTTCACAGTTGAAAGTTTATAAGGAAGTTGGAGAGCCACAGGGTTCCGGGTGACTTGGGTCTGAAGGCGTCAGTAGTTGTGGTTAAAACAGCGAGTCCTCACGGGTGTCTACCACTATTTTTTTTTTTTTTTTTTAATTAACATGCAAAGAAACAAAGAATAACCTAATCATAAAAATCAACAAAAAGTCATTTGCAAGAACATTTTCAGTTTGAACTTATCTGAGTCTGAGCGATCAGTGAGGGCTATAAACAAGGCTGAGCACAAAACTATTATTTAATGCTTGTTTAAATAGTACATGAACCTCAATACAGAGAATACTTTCTTAACAAAACAAGCCCCTTATTGTAATCCTAGATATTAACTGATATAAATGGTACATTACACAAAACAATCAATTACTGAATGAACATCACTACAAAAACAAAACAGTTGTGTATTCGTTTAATCTTTACGAAATATTTACATTGTAATATGATCTTACACATTCTCACTTGTGAAATATATAAAAAAAAAACACTGGCAGCATCATTGAACTAAAGCTTAAATAGAGGTCTTACTATTTTTTACACAAAAACTCACTCCGGCAAATGGAAAGACAAAGAAGCCTCGAAGGTGAACATCCAGTAGTTGTACATTTGACTGTATTTCAATCCATGCATCCAACTGAGCTGGTGAACCTACCCTGGAAACAGCTGTGTGGCTTTTTTCTTTTTTTTTTTTGATGGGGAGAACTACTTCCATACCAAAGCTAAAGAACAAAACAGTGGAAAAACTTTAATGAAGAACATTGCATGTTTATATTGTGAGCTCAAGAAACGTAAACCATATTACAAACATTGAAAATATACAGATGTAATTTAAAAAATAATTTAGCAATGCAACACTACTTTTCACGGACCAGCCATTTCGTTAAAACTGCAGATATGAGAAGTTGCATTCGTGAAAATTAAAATTATATTCTGTAAGATTTTTCGTCCTTACTTTAAGTAATAAAATCACACACAACCAGACCGAACACTGTAAAAAATGCTTGTTTGTGAGTAAAATGACTCAACTGTGCTTAACTACTACATTATGTCAGTGTTGTAAGTTGTTTCACAGTCTACAGTTTTCAGAACTAGTTTCGTATCTTTCAGTGTTAAATGTGTAAATGAGGTTCCTCTTCAAAATAAATTCAAAGATTAATCAAGAACTCTATCTTCCAGCATCTTAATGAGTCAAGTTTCTCCATGACCAAGAATACGTTCAGTATATTTGAGTCTGCCTACTATTTCAGTTACTTTCTGTTACAACCACAACAACTCAAAACACCAAAAAGGACCATCAATACACTAAGATAATAATGTATCAGAGCTAAAGCACCGGACTTTATCCAAGTGGAAGTAAAACTAATGTAGAGGTGTCTTATATTTCTATACACAGAGCCCAAGGCATTAGCGAACTAAGCACCTGCTTAGGGCCACGCGGCCAGTAGGGGGCCCCCCAAGAGCAATTAAAAAAAAACGTTTTTTTATTTTTTTTTTGCATGTATGAGTGATGCTTTCTGTATGATCAAATATATATTATTGTAAAAAATAAAATAAAATAAATTAAAAACATTTTGGTGCTGCTGCTGATGTAGGCCTATGATTCTTACTGCTGATATGTCAAAACTCCGCTATTGTTATGTGCCTCCTGCTGAGCAATGTGCTCTGAGCATCCAAAGCCCAGGTAGTTGTGGGGCAAAACAATGTTGCAAAAAAGGACATATCCTTCAGGAGCAGAGAAAACAAAGAGGAAGAAAGAAGAAGAAGAGAAAAAACATCAAGATAAAAGGTATGTTTGCATGTCATGGAATGTTAATTAAAGAGATTTGTGAAGGTGTGTGAATGATCAACAATAAATATTATTACAATAAATATTAATTCATGTTTTACATTGAAGAATATGGAAATTCTTGCAAAAAAAAAAACAAAACAAAAAAACAAAGAGTTTGCCAGTTCTGACTTTCAAGTTATGTCTTTAAGGAAGAAGTTAACATGCTTCTTTCTGGAGCCAGCCGGAATTCAGAGGACTTAGCATTTGAAACTGTAAAAGCTTTTACAGATCAGGCTCTACAGGACTCGGTTGGCACACTTGACGAAGGGAAAAAATCATCTACAGAAGAGACCAAAACGTCAGTCAGGAGAGGGCTCGTCTGCAGGATGAAGGCCATTTTTGTCCAGACATTTGCTCGAGAGTTGATCCTGAACATGATGACTGAAGTCAGGCGCAAGCTGGCCCACCATCATGGACAAGAAGCTGTCAAATCTGATACTTCAAGGTTTATTAAGAGTATGGATAGTCTTTTAAACGAGATAATTACACCAGGAGATCAGCATAAAAAAGTGTGTCAAGAGAGATTTGCCTGTTTGAGAGGTTAGTCAGCAACATTTCCAGCAGCAAGCTGGAGAGTTTTGCTGAGAAGCTGAGTGACACACTGGCTGATCACTTGACACCACAACAAGACCAAGAAGAAATACACCAAGAGAAGATTCGGACTGAAGTACATAACTTCATAAGGCAGATGTGGAAGTGGCTGAAGCAGCAGATCCAACTGCACAAGACGAAGAAGGATAGTGTAAGCATGACACTGAGAGAGATCAGGAAAGTTGTGCACTCCCCAAAATCAGGTGTTCGTTCCCCAGACACAGAGGCTGAGGGTCAGACTTGCCCCACACCTATGCAAGAAGAAATCCAAAGCCTCACAGCAGAGGAAGAATAGGAAGAGGCCTGCTTAACTGAGGAGGAAGAGGCAGCATCCAGGGAATCCACAGTCTCCTTTGGCATCGGAAAGTCATTGTGATGGAGTTCTTAAAGTCATGAAAGGTTTCTCCATCAATCAATTCCACTCAGCCTGCATATCAGGGGCAATCAGACTTAAAGACATGCTGTTTGCAGAGATGAGAGGTGCTGGCAACAATATCGATCTTAGCCAGAAAAACATCAAAAAGACATGCAAGGCCGTCCACAAAGACCTGTGCAAAAAGTTTAGTAACGTGGATCTTTTGAGGGGTCTCATGTTACAGGATCAAAAAGTCATTGAGGCTGTGGTTGAGACTCTGAAAAAGCATCTTTCACCAAAAAAGACCCAGCTGTGGCCAAAGGTTCTTAAGATGTCTTTTCCTGCCTTTCACTGCCCTCTGTAAACGTGGCTAGAAACCTCAGGGTCTGGGTGGGTGGGTGGGACAACCCTTTTTCACAGCTGTCATTCTGTGGGCTCGTGAGCTCTGGCAGAATCTCAGCTGTGAAAAATGTTATCGGGGGTCTGACGTCTGTCCTTACATCCAGATTTTTCTCTTTGGCTCGAAGCTCAGAGTCCAAGCTGGATATGAGGACAGACTACAGGTCCTTGTGGGTTTTCTCCGAGTGCTTCGGTTTCTCCCGCAACAATTATGTTGCTCTGTCTTACTATCCAGGCTAGAGATAGGTTTTCTCAAAGTGCTTCAGTTTCTCCCAAAACAAGACTTAGTGATTAAAAAAAAATAAAGTATAAAAAATAATTTCCCTCCTCCAGCTACCACCTCACCGTGGTGGAAGGGTTTGTGTATCCCATTGATCCCAGGAGCTAAGTTGTTGGGGGCTTTATGCCTCCGGTAGGGTCACCCATGCCAAAGAGGTCCTGGGGGAGGGATTAGACAAAGGGTAGCTCAAATAAACCCTTTATGATGAATGAAATATTTGGTAACAAGTCGTGAGACGTGAGTCAACTTGGATGCTGTTGATCGGTGGAAGGAATACTTCGAAGACCTCCTCAATCCCACCAACACGCCCTCCAGTGAGGAAGCAGGCCAGGGGGACTCGAATGTGGGCTCTTCTATATCTGGGACTGAGGTTGTTGAGGTGGTTAATAAGTTCCTTGGTGGTAAGGGGGTGGGTGAGTAAGTCGGAGTTGTTTCTGGTGAGGTTTGGACTCCACCAGGGCTGCCCTTTGTCACCAATCCTGTTCATAACTTTTATGGACAGAATTTCTAGGTGCAGCCAGGGTGTTGAGGGGGTCAGGTTTTGGGTCACTGCTTTTTGCAGATGACATGGTCTTGTTGGCTACATGCTGACTTAGCATTTCCACTTTATTAAATATAATAAACATGTACTATATTATAATGTGAACCTGTAATTGTGTATATCCATAGGATAGGTAGGAGGTTTAGGGCAGTTCACTGAACCTCTACCAGATGATGTCATCATGGTTCAAGAGGAGTTTCTCTGCTATGATGTAGATTGAGGGCTGGTTTAGCTTCAGGTCTAGATTTTTGTGTGTAGACCTGCAGCAAATTTCTAATGGTATAGCTCTGTGGTCTGACTGGTGTAATCACAAGTGGCCAGTGCTGGTCTCAGCTGATCACACATGGCCAAATCATGTGTCCCCAAACACACCTCCAGTGACTGCTTATGTGCCCACGTTGGGCTAATACATATTATGGGAGGGCAAACAAAGAACTTCTAGTTTTCCTGCGTTTGCAACCATATGATGAGTAACATGCAACTCCACATGCAAATATGTGCAGGTGGTGAGTTAGATGGACTCTCTTCATTTTGGCTGGGCACTCAAATATCTGTGAGCCCTCAACTTTAAAGTTCAAACTGGTCCTGACAGAAATGAAAAACTGAAAGTATTTCACAAGCTTGTTTGTTTAAAAGTCTGTTGGTGAGGATCAAAATAGCTGCTATGAGGCAATTTATCTACGAACACAACACAGAGGGACACTCATAGTCCAGTTTTATGGGTTTGGTGTTATTTGGTGTCCAGGGAGCACTTGGTGACAACACTTCCAGTATGTCACACAAGTCTTGTTGCTTTTGATGCAAAATTGAACTCTCTCCTTCTTTCTCTTTCACTTGAATGTGTTTCTAAATCCTGTTGTATTGCCATAGGTCTGTATTAATGTTACTTGTTCTTCAAAGCACTTTAAAATGGTCAAAGGTGAGAGTCTCGGGGTCAGCTGGGGCAGAACGAGCAGTGAATCCCCCCGGTCAGATCGGTAATGGTTCCTTCCTTGACAAGGCTCTGCAAGAGTTCAGTTTCTTTACCCACATTGTGCATAGTCTGCTGTAGCATGAAACTCATGGATAGGTGGTCATAGTAATGCAATGGCGCTCCCTGCTGGGACAGATTGTAGCCAAAGCCTGCTAGGCTGACCTCATCACAAAGAAGGCTGGCTAAACTCAGTGCTGAGACTCCAATCGTAGGCACATTCTGCAAAAAAAAAAAAAAAAAAAGAGAGAGGAAGAGAAACTGATAAATGCCACTATTCTTACATTGCTTACGACCAAACCAGAGCAGATACTGTGTTCAGCTTTGACCTTCTTCTTGTGCTCTTTTATATGAATAAAAAATTCATATAAATATAAATATAAACCAGAAGCTCCCCATGTTGCAGAATTTTTAGATTCAACATTCTTCTATGCCCAGACAGATAAGATAAGGTTATTCCAAACAATAGTTTACTAACATAACACTGCGATTTATTAATGTTCTTTTGAAAGGACAGACTAAAAAGAGCTTCAACATCATATGAAGTGTTTAAGTATTTTGAGACAACAATGGGGATACAAAAATAAGATATGATCTTTTAAATATATACACTTGAGGATGTCTTTTACAGAATGAGCCAAGTTTATGTTCTTAACTTCAAGAATAAATATTCTTTATCAGAGACAAAAAAGATCATTGTCATCACTGTCATTCAAGTCATCGACCTTAAAATCCTTAATATCAGATGAGATTTTACAATGTTGCACTTCTCTTCTTGTTGCTTCCTTCTAATCTAAAGACCAGACAACCGCACAGATCTAAAGCCCATGATGACAAGTTTCTATTACCTGGTCGCTGCCCCACAGGCGTGGTTTGGGTGCAGGGTATTTCAGAAGGTACAACGCCGTCTCTCTGATGACTTGTGGGTTGAGAAGTCTGAACTTGTCGGGCTTAAGAGGGATTTCACTTGGAACCTTCTGCCAGAAGAAGAGCCAGTCCCACAGAGGCTGCAACACAAAGCACATGTCCCAACTGTGATCTTTGACTGTGTTGACTACTTAACACAAACACTCCTTACCCAAGACTATTTATAGACACATAAACTTTTGTACCCTGATCACACAAGGATCATTTATTTGAAAAAAAAAAAAAAAAGAGGAACAGGCCAAGATGTAAAAGCTTTGACTGGAAATTCAGAAGCAGCAGCACAGTGGAGTAATGTCATATGATCACAGGATTGCTTCTGAGTAATGTGAATACAGAGGGATTTCAAAAATCACATTATAGCCTGCTCAGCTGCATTTGAACAGACTGACAGGAGGCAGTGACTGCTGACAGAACTCATAAACACACTTGTTTGCAGCCCTGATGAGTCAATCAGCAAGTGCAGCGGAAAATTTATCATTACTTCATGGCAGAAGAACTACTGTGTCTGCAGTGCACATACAAGATACACAGAAACTCTGGTTGCATTTCCATGAAGTAATAATCATAAATTTTCCGCTGCACTCCGCGATCGACTCGTCGGGGCTCCCCCACAAACAAGCAGCTGCTGGAGGAGAGTGTTTAGTCTCTTTGCTAAAGAAACAAGGCAAAGTTAAAAGGATGTTTGGTGGCTAGTCCTATGGCTGGGACCCTATATGTACTGTTGATGAAGTTAGGTGCTGTTCTGAGTATCACTTTTGGCAATAGAGTGGCTTTTTGGTTGAGGTTTGCGCATGGAGACATAGACCGCTGTGTGTTGCTATCATGCGGCAGAGTTTAAGTTGGTATACCTAGAAAAGCAAACAGTCAGCAACATTCATCTCTCAAGGGGGTGTCTAACTCGGTGTTAAGGTGTGTCTGATCATAACTTAAACTTATGTCGGAATATCCCTTTAATACCAAACAATAACTTTTTCAGGATTTCAAATCAAAAGGTTAGAAAAGGATCTTAAAGAGTTCGATGGGCTGTGTTTCTATCCGTCTTTAGTTTCTCCTGACCACTCAAAGCTCTTTACATCACATGTCTCATTCACCCATTCACCCATTCACACCACATTCACTCAGTGACGACAGAGGCTGATCAGGTTTTCAGTTTTTGACTAATCCTATTTACAGACCACTGTGCTCAGCCAGAGGGGGCAGGTGGGTTCAAGTGACTTGTCCAAGGACACTTCAGCATGTGGATCAAACCCCTGACCTTTCATCTTAGACACAACAGACTCTACCAGATGAGCCACAGACGTCCTTTAGGTTAATAAAATGTCTAGATGCAGAAAGAGAGACCAAGTCTGAAGTAAAGATGAAGAGCTGTTCACCTCTGAGTCAGAGACTGGGTAAGAAAATATCTCAGTCATTTCAGACTACCAGGGAACCCAGACCTCTGTACAAAAGGGACAATGTCCTAATCAAATAAATAAATTAATGAATACGCAGCACTGTCCAGTTATTCAGAGGATTTGATTAAATGTACTGCTGTGTATTTAAATGTTAGATTTGTGACAGGATGAATAAACTCAGCAGGCCCAGCTGCCCTCCTCACCACTGAGAGTTTGTTGATCATAGCAGAGGTCCAGCTGATGTCAACACTCTTGTGCACCACAGCTACAAACAGGGTCTGTGGGTCTGTGTCCATCCAGTGGAGAGGTGTGCCTTCTGGGTAACTCATCCTGATGCTGGTTCGATTTCCGACATCGTCAATGAACTCTCCCAGAGGACCACTGTTTAACCTGAACAAGAGGGACAGAGGAAGAGAGTCATTTTCACTGTTTTTTTGAGGAACTCAGTAACTGACTGGAGGTGGAGCACAAGGTTCAAACTGAACCTTTGGCATGAATTTACAAAACGTGTTTCTTAGTTATGTCATCAATACTATACAATACAGCTTTACTCTGACAATAATGGCCTTTGTGAGTGTCTGTTCAAAAAATGAAGAAATGTAGGATTGTAGGACACACCTCTGGGCAGGACTGTAAAACACTACACAGGGTAGTTCAATTGGCTAAAGAAACAACAGGTTGTGCTTCAAGTTTCATTTACAGGTGCTGCAAGAATCAAGGTAAGAACCCAACCACCTGGGTGAAGGCCTTTTCACCAAAAAGTAAACCCAGTATTCACAGCAGGCCTTAGATTTCAATAAACCCCTTTCTAGACTATGTATAAAAATAGAACTGGTTTTAGAATGAGGGTGAGTAGATTTAAAGTAGAAACACACATTTGATAACCTGAGTGACTCAAACCTGATGATGACGTCAAATTTGTTGATCAGTGTGCCAAGTCCCAGGCCTCTAAGAATGCCTCCATTTCCCAGAACCACACAGCGCCTGCATTTATTAGATGTGTTCCCTGGTTGAACCACAGAGGCAGAATCTGGCAGCTTGAAAGGACAATGCATAGAAACATTGGTGTTACACATACAAGATTCACAAGATCCTTTTTTTGTTTTTCAAAACTCTGACTTTCTACCAACTCAACAAGATTTAACTCTGGACAGGCTTTTTGGAGGCAGCGTCTCAAATAGTGCATTGGACTGTTTTCTAAATAGTGCTGTCAGCACATCAACTTAAAGCAGTAATTACAGTTAGAAAAATCCCAAATTTACCAAGAGCTGGAAGTTATCTGTTTGAGAACCTTTGATTGTGTACATTCATTAAACTTCATAAGCGAGTAATCTTGGGTAACTGAGATAGTAGTGCCTCTGTATCTCCAGTTATGGTTTACTTGAGACTAGGAGTGCCTCTTCCCACTGACATAGTCACATGCCTGAGGGAGTATGCAGCCACAGTTTGACCTCCACCTTCTTTTCTTCATTCATTCCAAATGTCTGCCCCTGTTAGCAGTTTGATTATGTCTCCAGGAAAATGGGAGCCAGCAACTATCTGTCAAAAACTGTTTCTGTAGATCTAAAGTGCATCTAAAAACATGATCAATATGATCACAGTGGACAGGTTTGGGTAAAGTAATCTGGCTGTTGGTGAGAATGTTTGCAGGTAGGATAAACAGATTTGTGGTTGAGTCATGGATCAAATGAGACTAGAAAAAGTTACAATGTCAATGTCATCAAATCTTCAGAGATTTGACAGACAAACATCCAGATTTTTTACTGTTGTTTTAAGACATTTTTGCCTTTATCAGATAGGACAGCTGAAGACAGACAGAAAACATGAGGAGCAGAGAATGAGGGGGAAGACATGTATCACTAAACAAAGAGCCTCTGTTTATCAGGGGATGAGGGCCCTTAGACTTCTGGGCCACTTGCGTCCCCAAATCCAGTTGAATTTGATCAAATACCTCATTCTTCTTATAGGCAACACTGTAATAATCAAAAGTCGTACAACACTTAGGGCTTAGGGCAGGGCTCCACAGTGCAACCGTTTCACTCGCATTTGAGACTAAAATAAATGTAATCAGGGTCACATGTGCGCATTAATAAAATCAGTCAAGGCAACAAATGTTTTTTTCATGTAAACACCGTGGCGAAGTTAGTTTTAGGTAGGATATCTGACGGACATTCACTGCGGATCTACCGTTGTCTTATCACTCTACATACCTGGGAATAACAACAGTAGCACGGTTAAATCTACTCGGCACCCTAGCTGTGAGCGTTGGGTGTTGAATAAGGGACCATCAATAAATTACCGGTTGGGGATCCCAAAAAAGGCTGTTTTCCTTCAACAGCTTCCATGTCACGTGAACAATTGACCCAAAATTGATATTAAATAATAGTACTAAATTTGGACAATAAGACACACTCTTTATTTCACTAACACGCCCTCTAAAAAATTTTTGTGTGAAATTCAAAGGCAAATTTTGAACATTTTCTTCAATAGTTTCCATGTCACATGACTAAAAGACCTAAAATTGCTTTCAAATGACAGTACTTATGTTGACCAATAAGACACACATTACTTGATCAATTTTCCTTCGTGTGCTCCTTACTTTTTCAACTTACGAGCACATGTGCTCCTTGTAAAAAAAAAAAAAGGTCAGTGTCAAGCCCTGTACTGTTATGGGGTCACGAAACACAACAATAATCCCCTTTTTAGCTCAACAGCTGTGATGTGCTGTGATGTAAATGGATCATGAGGAAGAGGCAGCTTTCGGACAATGCTGGCCATATAAAACTTTGATGGCATTCATTTATCACCAAACCATGTATCTAAAAAAAAAAACATTATTTCTTAATTATGGTTACTCTTTGATATCAGTGAGTTACAGTGAGGTAAAAAAAAATCAAGTCAATTAAGAAGAAGAATATCAAAATCAAAAGTTATTGTAGTTACCAGCTTCAGCAATTCTTCCACTCTGCCACGAATACCTTTGAACCCAAATGGTGGAGGATATAGAAAAAGGTCATCGCTGAGCGGCACATCTTTCCACAAGAAGGGCTGGGTTTCAAGGCTGCTAGCAGGAAGTCGAGCTAACAAGCTGTGTCTGGTGCTGCTGGGGCGACACTGACCCTCCAGAACTCCTTGAACATACTTGTGCACCCGCTGCGAAGAGAGCAGAGCAGAGCAGATGCTTTGTGAGATTACTATCCACTTTATAAAAATGGACACAGTATGGACACAGTATGGACACAGTATCACAGTATCACAACACCCATTTGTTGTTTAAGAGGTCATTGAAAGCCCCATGAAGGCAAACGCTGTGTATGAAAGTACAGAAGTGCGACGAAATCTCAATTTGAAGGTTGGGGGTTCGAGGTCCTTCTGTCTATGTGCTCAAGTCTCCTTGGGCAAGCCACTAGACCCCACTGCTCCTGCTGGCTGCGCCCAGAGGTGTGTGAACTGGATTTGTCAAGAACTAATGGACTCTGTACATATCAACATCAGCCATCAGTAAGAGAATCAGTTACCATGATGTTTAAGGCCTTTCGTACATTCAGACAAGAAGTTAACTGAGGTTGGTGTTGTGAATAAAGAAATCATCGTTTCCCTAATTGTAGATTAGGACAAACTGCCAACAAGATAAAGCAGCAAAACTTTACTTTCAAAAATATTCAACCACAACACTGAGAAACAGTAAGAGCTGCTGGTGGTGGACAAAACAAATGATGGTGGACAAAACACCTGTGGGTGTATCCACCCAGTGGACTGATAATGTCAGGGCCTCCACTGAGCAAGACCTTCGCAAGGAGAAAGTCATCATGAGCTGTCCTGACTCCATCTTTTTTTATTCATAACCCCTGTCTCACCTGGTCTGTTTCTGACTGAGGTTCATAGTAAGATGAGTTTAAGGATCAATGAAGTTCTGTCTTATCTAATCTAATGTAATAAGAGACTTTGTTTTTCACTTCAACTGACAAAGATTTAAAGTGAGCACTGGAGTATTTCAGACGGTGGGAATTACCCTGAACATTTGTAAAAAAAAAAAACAAACACTTTTTTAAGAAAAGTTAAGCTGCAGTCTATGCACTAGTGCTAGAACAAGTATTTTATTGTGCTATATCACCCCGAGATGACACTTAAGGAGGCGAGCAGCTGCTTTCCTGCCAAGGCAGTGAAGAAGACCAATGACGACAAGCCCTGGAGCACTACTTTGAAACAGCTGTTCTCCCACATTTGCAAGTAATCATGCTGTCAAGCCTAAACGTAAATGATTATAATTATTGGTTTGTTTATTTATAGATTTATTGATGAGTTTGAAAAATGATTAAATACCTTCCTCGTTTGTCAGTTGACCTTTAATTCTGGTCAGGTGAATGCACAAAAGACCTGAAGGTATAGCACTAGTGAGCCAGGTGCACAAGCACACTGCTTAAATTAATGAAGAGGCAGAGTCGTCCTTTTGTTTGTGTGGGAGCAGTTCAGTCATTGTGTTTGTGGTCAGAGAGCCACAGAGACACTATGGGTGTGTAGCTTTGTTGAAATTACTGGTTAAAACATGAACTACTTGTGAATTATTATTTATATATGTGCATACTTATTATTATTATTATGTTTGGTGGTTTGTAGTATCGTGCATCAAGGAAAATGTTTTGTAAATAATAAATGGAGCAGTGCATAATTTTGATTTTAAATGCTTACTTGTGCACATAAGTTTGCGCTCAAAGTGATGATGCATTGTTCCCATCTGTTTAAACTTGCATTATAATTACTAGAATTAGCATTTATTTAAACTGGAAGGTTTAAACAATGTTTGAATATCACCTCATAGGTATGATTAAATGAAATATGTTTGTGTGAGGGAGCTGGAGAGCATCCCCTAACTGAGGTAGAAAAACCATACACAGATGCATATTGACTTATAAGATCAACTTCATCTAATGCAGGAAACGTGGCTTTTTGTTTTTGGTGTCATATTTATGGAAACTGTTAATAACCTCTCTCTCCCCGAGGTCTATTTCGTTTTTTTTTAGTTTTTTTTTAGAGTGCATACATTAGGATGAAGCCACAGGATTCCAGCAGCCATTTAAGGCTGAGTTGAGGGATCAGGAGAGAGAGAGGAGAGGGGTTATAGGGGATATTTTGTTAGGTCTGACTTCTTTGGATTTTCCTCAGTTTATTAGATATTTTCTTTCAGCTGTATTAGTATATAAGTCACTTGCATTGTGTTTGTTACTCCTGATTTCACTGGTGAGGGAGGAGACTTGAGGGTGGAGAGGCCAGGTGAAATTGGGCAGTGAGTGTGTGAGAGGGGGGAGGGGCAGGGTGTGTCTCTTCTGCTGGCCTGCTGCTGTAATTAAAGGGGATCAGCTACACCTGGGGAGAGTGGCTGGCTACCAGGAGTATTTCTTTGCTGCATGTGGTTGAGATTCAGTCTGTGGCTGTGTCTCATTTCAGGGACCGCATCAGGCTAAGCGCGCTCAAGCGTTATGTGGACTGGAGTACCCTGAGTGAGATGGTCTGGTTTTTGGTTGAGTCCCCACATGTCCCCGCCCTCAGGCTCGCGTCACGACTGACTTAAAGAAAAGCTGCGGAGCACAGCCGTTATTTTTTAATTGTGTGACCTTACACAGACACAAAACAATAGATACATACAAGAACAGATCATTCCCACAAAATTCATCCAGTGATTGCATGTTTTGTATGAAGGAGTATGAGGGCCATGTTGACAATTTGTTTAAAGACTTTTCAGAGGAGAGTTGTTAAAACTAGAAAAATTGCATTTCCTTGCAGAAAATGCGTGGAAATGCTGAGTGCTGAAAGCTGAAAAAGCAATGCTAAACTGCTAATAAAACATGGAGAAAGGTATAAATGTTAAAGCTGTTGAAGGGGTGAACAGAAATATAAGTTGGATAATTGATTAATTGGTTGAAGGACAAATAGTATGAATATGCTCTATAAAAGGAAATTTTATTCATGCTGAAAGAGGCTAGAAAAATGTCGAAAATTGCACAAAGTTTGAATGAAGAAGGAAATTGCCTTAAAAGGCAGGAAGGTGAGAAGTGGCATAAGTTTAAATTGTAGTACTAGAAGTAGTATGATAAGAAGTCAAGTTGTGATACTAGTAGTCATGTCAGCAGTAGAAGTAGATTGAGAATAAAAGAAGTATAAGTCAAAGTAGTAAAGAAAGTAGAAATAGGAGCAATAGCAGTTGAAGTAGAGGGGAAAGTTCTAGTTCAATTGACATTAGCAGTAGTTGTCGTACTTGAGGTAGGATTTTGTTTGAATGATGGAGTAATGCATAAATATTAAAACTAATTTAAAACAGGGAAATTTTAAATTATCAAAAGTCCTCAAGTATCAGAAAGTTTTGAAGTATTAGAAAGGTTTGAATCAGTTTGAATGAGTTTAAATTAGTTTGAAAAATTAAATGATAAATCATCACTGACTGACTTTTAAAATGTGAAAAATTTAAATGAATAACAATCCTAAATATACCCAATAATGTCCTCAATGAGCTTAAATTTCAAAGCCCTGAATGGTTTCTGTAGGTCAAAGGTCATGTGAGGAGATTGGGGCTGAAGTTTTTTCCAACGCTCTAGGAAAGGGTTTTAAGTGTCATCCCAATTGCTATGTGTACTGAGCCTGGCTTCATGTGTCTCATATGGCCACTAGAAGCAGCTTTCCAGTCAGCTGTGTGTCTCCAGGTGCACAAATTGGTTGCCATGGGGACCTTGGATGCATAACTATAGCAGGAGAAAGAAGGCTTGAAGCTAAGGAAACAGGACTCCAAGTAGGCCCTGACGCTCACCCTCTGTATATATTCATAAGGAGCTTGTGAGAACACAAATCTCTGCTGAACACATTAATACAATTTATTATCACAATCCTCAAAACACCCCATAATATCTTCAATGAGCTGAATTTTTGAAGCCCAGAATGGTTTCTGTAGCTCAAAGTTTGTGGGTGGAGATAGGTGGTGAAGCAGACACATATTAACTGTGTGTACAAGCAGCTGAACTGCAAGGTGGACCTCAAAAAGCAACAAGTACAAGAAGGTGTGTGTGCGTGTGTGTGTGTGTGTGTCTCGTTAATGACTGCATCCTGAACAGCTGTGAGATCAAAGGCAAATCACTAACCTACTGTTTGACTGAGAGGTGCTGAACTGCAGTGAATTTCAGCCTGTGAACTTCTTCACATAGCGTGATTTCCTTAAGTCCCAGAATGAAAATAAGAACATCGTACGAATCCTCCGTCCTTCATGAACACAATGATGTGTTTTTCATGTCTGTACTTCGAAAAATGAGGCCACAACAGCGAGTTAAAAAAGTCTGAGCTTGAGCGATGATCCGGATTTTCTTGGAGAAAAATAACATTACAGTCAATGGGAGAGATTTCCGCCTTTTTTGGACAGTTGGTCACCTGCTGGCCAAGGGGTACGATTTAATGATTTGAAACCTCTTTTGTGAGAAGCAGGACACATATACCTCCATTTTGATGTATTATTTGTGTCAGTGGAGTGAGATTTGTGGGCGTGGGAGCGATATATTCGAGCGAGGTTCTGTCGATCAGAGACGAGGTCTGCACTCTAGCTGATGACATCATCACTCTAAACTCTCCAATACACACCCATTATAAAGCTTGAAATTTGCTGAAAACCACAAGTTGCTTAAAGCTAAATTGTGGAAAAACTGTAAGAGATATCAAAAAACTGAGTACAACTGTAATAGTCGACAAGTGAATGAACATTTTAAAGCAAAAATGAGGTCTCTAGGTGAAAGTATGCAGAAGTTACAAGGTTCAGAAGGTGGAAGAAAAACAGGAAGAATTGGAAGATTTCCCCATTGACTTCAATGTTAAAATTTTTGCATAAAAAGTTAAAAAAATCAAAAAGTATAAAGGGTAGAAAAGTGAAAAGTAATCGCCGTCATGTCCTGAAGGAGATGAATAGTTTAAAGTTTGAACGGTTGAAATCGCACAAAGTGGAGAAGAGTTATAAAGTGCCAAAAAATGGCGGAAGAAAAATAATAATAACTAGAAAAATTGCATTTCCTTGCAGAAAATGCGTGGAAATGCTGAGTGCTGAAAGCTGAAAAAGCAATGCTAAACTGCTAATAAAACATGGAGAAAGGTATAAATGTTAAAGCTGTTGAAGGGGTGAACAGAAATATAAGTTGGATAATTGATTAATTGGTTGAAGGACAAATAGTATGAATATGCTCTATAAAAGGAAATTTTATTCATGCTGAAAGAGGCTAGAAAAATGTCGAAAATTGCACAAAGTTTGAATGAAGAAGGAAATTGCCTTAAAAGGCAGGAAGGTGAGAAGTGGCATAAGTTTAAATTGTAGTACTAGAAGTAGTATGATAAGAAGTCAAGTCGTGATACTAGTAGTCATGTCAGCAGTAGAAGTAGATTGAGAATAAAAGAAGTATAAGTCAAAGTAGTAAAGAAAGTAGAAATAGGAGCAATAGCAGTTGAAGTAGAGGGGAAAGTTCTAGTTTAATTGACATTAGCAGTAGTTGTCGTACTTGAGGTAGGATTTTGTTTGAATGATGGAGTAATGCATAAATATTCAAACTAATTTAAAACAGGGAAATTTTAAATTATCAAAAGTCCTCAAGTATCAGAAAGTTTTGAAGTATTAGAAAGGTTTGAATCAGTTTGAATGAGTTTAAATTAGTTTGAAAAATTAAATGATAAATCATCACTGAGTGACTTTTAAAATGTGAAAAATTTAAATGAATAACAATCCTAAATACACCCAATAATGTCCTCAATGAGCTTAAATTTCAAAGCCCTGAATGGTTTCTGTAGGTCAAAGGTCATGTGAGGAGATAGGGGCTGAAGTTTTTTCCAACGCTCTAGGAAAGGGTTTTAAGTGTCATCCCAATTGCTATGTGTACTGAGCCTGGCTTCATGTGTCTCATATGGCCACTAGAAGCAGCTTTCAAGTCAGCTGTGTGTCTCCAGGTGCACAAATTGGTTGCCATGGGGACCTTGGATGCATAACTATAGCAGGAGAAAGAAGGCTTGAAGCTAAAGAAACAGGACTCCAAGTAGGCCCTGACGCTCACCCTCTGTATATATTCATAAGGAGCTTGTGAGAACACAAGACTCTGCTGAACACATTAATACAATTTATTATCACAATCCTCAAAACACCCCATAATATCTTCAATGAGCTGAATTTTTGAAGCCCAGAATGGTTTCTGTAGCTCAAAGTTTGTGGGTGGAGATAGGTGGTGAAGCAGACACATATTAACTGTGTGTACAAGCCGCTGAACTGCAAGGTGGACCTCATAAAGCAACAAGTACAAGAATGTGTGTGTGTGTGTGTGTGTGTGTGTGTCTCGTTAATGACTGCATCCTAAACAGCTGTGAGATCAAAGGCAAATCACTAACCTACTGTTTGACTGAGAGGTGCTGAACTGCAGTGAATTTCAGCCTGTGAACTTCTTCACATAGCGTGATTTCCTTAAGTCCCAGAATGAAAATAAGAACATTGTACGAATCCTCCGTCCTTCATGAACACAATGATGTGTTTTTCATGTCTGTACTTCGAAAAATGAGGCCACAACAGCGAGTTAAAAAAGTCTGAGCCTGAGCGATGATCCGGATTTTCTTGGAGAAAAATAACATTATGGTCAATGGGAGAGATTTCCGCCTTTTTTGGACAGTTGGTCACCTGCTGGCCAAGGGGTACGATTTAATGATTTGAAACCAGTTTGGTGAGAAGCAGGACACATATACCTCCATTTTGATGTATTATTTGTGTCAGTGGAGTGAGATTTGTGGGCGTGGGAGCGATATATTCGAGCGAGGTTCTGTCGATCAGAGACGAGGTCTGCACTCTAGCTGATGACATCATCACTCTAAACTCTCCAATACACACCCATTATAAAGCTTGAAATTTGCTGAAAACCACAAGTTGCTTAAAGCTAAATTGTGGAAAAACTGTAAAAGATATCAAAAAACTGAGTACAACTTTAATAGTCGACAAGTGAATGAACATTTTAAAGCAAAAATGAGGTCTCTAGGTGAAAGTATGCTGAAGTTATAAGGTCTAGAAGGTGGAAGAAAAAAAGAAAGAAGTGGAAGATTTCCCCATTGACTTCAATGTTAAAATTTTTGCACAAAAAGTTAAAAAAATCAAAAAGTATAAAGGGTAGAAAAGAGAAAAGTAATAGCCATCATGTCCTGAAGTAGTGGAATAGTTTAAAGTTTGAACGGTTGAAATCGCACAAACTGGGAAAGAGTTATAAAGGGCCAAAAAAGGTACGGAAGAATAATAATAAGTTTAATAAAGAACAGAATAACAATAAGTGGAAATGCTTAATCAGCATTTCCACTTAATAACTAGAAAATTTGCATTTCCTTGCAGAAAATGCGTGGAAATGCTGAGTGCTGAAAGCTGAAAAAGCAATGCTAAACTGCTAATAAAACATGGAGAAAGGTATAAATGTAAAAGCTGTTGAAGGGGGGAAAAAATATATAAGTTAAATAATTGTAAATAAGAGGTTGGAGAATAAATAGTACGAATATGCTCCTCAAATTGAAATTTGATTCATGCTGAAAGAGGCTGGAAATTTTTTTACAATTACACAAAGTTTGAATGAAGAAGTAAATTACCTTAAAAGGCAAGTACGTGAGAAGTGGCATAAGTTTAAGTTGTAGTACTAGAAGTAGTATGATAATAGGTAGTTGTAGTAGTGATATTAGTAGTCATGTAAGCAGTAGAAGTAGTTTTAGAATAGAAGAAGTAGAAGTCAAAGCAGTAGAGCTCGTGGTAGAAGTAAGAGTAGAAGTAAAAAAATATTAAGAGAAGCAAGAGCAGTGGAGGTAGAAGTGAAGATACAAGTTAAGGTGACATAAGTAGTAATTGTAGTGGTAGAACTGGGATTTTGCTTGAAGAATCAAAACATACATAAATAATGAGAATGATTTTGAAGTGGGAAAAACTTTAAATAATTAGACGTCCTAATGTGTTAAACAGGTTTGAAGTATCCGAAAGGTTTGAATCAGTTTGAATGAGTTTGGATTTGTCTGAAGCATTTAATAATGCATGAATAATGAGAATAATTTTAAAGTGGGAAAAAGTTAAATGAATAAAAATCCTGAGTACACCCCATATTGTCCTCAATGAGCTGAATTTTTGGAGCCCTGAATGGTTTCTGTAGCTCAAAGTTTGTAGTCCTCGCTTTGTGGGTCTTTTCTCATAGACCTCACAAGGCAGCAAGTACAAGAATGTGTGTGTGTGTGTGTCTCTCCTTAATGACTGCATCCTAAACAGCTGTGAGATCAAAGGCATTAACTGACCTACTGTTTGACTGAGAAGCTCCTTAAGTGCAGTGAATTTATTGCCTCTGAACTTCTTCACATAGCGTGATTTCCTTAAGTCCAAGAATGAAAATAAGAACATCGTACGAATCCTCCGCCCTTCATGAACACAATGATGTGTTTTTCATGTCTGTACTCCAAGAAATGTGGCCACAACAGCGAGTTAAAAAAGTCTGAGCCTGAGTGGCGATAAGGATTTTCTTGCAGAAAAAATACATTAGGGCTAATGGGAGAGATTTCCGCCTATTTGAACAGTTGGTCACCTGCTGGCCAAGGGGTAGGATTAAATGATTTGAAACCTCTTTTGTGAGAAGCAGGACACATATACCTCCATTTTGATGTATTTTTTATGTCTGTGGAGTGAGATTTGTAGGCGTGGGAGCGATATATTCGAGCGAGGTTCTGTCGATCAGAGACGAGGTCTGCACTCTAGCTTTTCAAATCCTCACTCTAAACTCTCCAATACACACCCATTATAAAGCCTGAAAATTTGCTGAAAACCACAAGTTGCTTAAAGCTAAATTGTGGAAGAACTGTAAAAGATATCAAAAAACTGACTACAACTGTAATAGTCGACAAGACAATGAACATTTTAAAGCAAAAATGAGGTCTCTAGGTGAAAGTATGCAGAAGTTACAAGGTTCAGAAGGTGGAAGAATAACAGGAAGAATTGGAAGATTTCCCCATTGACTTCAATGTTAAAATTTTTGCATAAAAAGTTAAAAAAATCAAAAAGTATAAAGGGTAGAAAAGTGAAAAGTAATCGCCGTCATGTCCTGAAGGAGAGGAATAGTTTAAAGTTTGAACGGTTGAAATCGCACAAAGTGGAGAAGAGTTATAAAGTGCCAAAAAATGGCGGAAGAAAAATAATAATAATAATAATAATAATAAAGAAACAGGAGAATAACAATAAGTGGAAATGCCTATCAGCATTTCCACTTAATAACTAGAAAAATTGCATTTCCTTGCAGAAAATGCGTGGAAATGCTGAGTGCTGAAAGCTGAAAAAGCAATGCTAAACTGCTAATAAAACATGGAGAAAGGTATAAATGTTAAAGCTGTTGAAGGGGGAAAAAAATATATAAGTTAAATAATTGTAAATAAGAGGTTGGAGAATAAATAGTACGAATATGCTCCTCAAATTGAAATTTGATTCATGCTGAAAGAGGCTGGAAATTTTTTTACAATTACACAAAGTTTGAATGAAGAAGTAAATTACCTTAAAAGGCAAGTACGTGAGAAGTGGCATAAGTTTAAGTTGTAGTACTAGAAGTAGTATGATAATAGGTAGTTGTAGTAGTGATATTAGTAGTCATGTAAGCAGTAGAAGTAGTTTTAGAATAGAAGAAGTAGAAGTCAAAGCAGTTGAGCTCGTGGTAGAAGTAAGAGTAGAAGTAAAAAAATATTAAGAGAAGCAAGAGCAGTGGAGGTAGAAGTGAAGATACAAGTTAAGGTGACATAAGTAGTAATTGTAGTGGTAGAACTGGGATTTTGCTTGAAGAATCAAAACATACATAAATAATGAGAATGATTTTGAAGTGGGAAAAACTTTAAATAATTAGACGTCCTAATGTGTTAAACAGGTTTGAAGTATCCGAAAGGTTTGAATCAGTTTGAATGAGTTTGGATTTGTCTGAAGCATTTAATAATGCATGAATAATGAGAATAATTTTAAAGTGGGAAAAAGTTAAATGAATAAAAATCCTGAGTACACCCCATATTGTCCTCAATGAGCTGAATTTTTGGAGCCCTGAATGGTTTCTGTAGCTCAAAGTTTGTAGTCCTCGCTTTGTGGGTCTTTTCTCATAGACCTCACAAGGCAGCAAGTACAAGAATGTGTGTGTGTGTGTGTGTGTCTCTCCTTAATGACTGCATCCTAAACAGCTGTGAGATCAAAGGCATTAACTGACCTACTGTTTGACTGAGAAGCTCCTTAAGTGCAGTGAATTTATTGCCTCTGAACTTCTTCACATAGCGTGATTTCCTTAAGTCCAAGAATGAAAATAAGAACATCGTACGAATCCTCCGCCCTTCATGAACACAATGATGTGTTTTTCATGTCTGTACTCCAAGAAATGTGGCCACAACAGCGAGTTAAAAAAGTCTGAGCCTGAGTGGCGATAAGGATTTTCTTGCAGAAAAAATACATTAGGGCTAATGGGAGAGATTTCCGCCTATTTGAACAGTTGGTTACCTGCTGGCCAAGGGGTAGGATTAAATGATTTGAAACCTCTTTTGTGAGAAGCAGGACACATATACCTCCATTTTGATGTATTTTTTATGTCTGTGGAGTGAGATTTGTAGGCGTGGGAGGGATATATTCGAGCGAGGTTCTGTCGATCAGAGACGAGGTCTGCACTCTAGCTGATGACATCATCACTCTAAACTCTCCAATACACACCCATTATAAAGCCTGAAAATTTGCTGAAAACCACAAGTTGCTTAAAGCTAAATTGTGGAAGAACTGTAAAAGATATCAAAAAACTGACTACAACTGTAATAGTCGACAAGACAATGAGCATTTTAAAGCAAAAATGAGGTCTCTAGGTGAAAGTATGCAGAAGTTACAAGGTTCAGAAGGTGGAAGAATAACAGGAAGAATTGGAAGATTTCCCCATTGACTTCAATGTTAAAATTTTTGCATAAAAAGTTAAAAAAATCAAAAAGTATAAAGGGTAGAAAAGTGAAAAGTAATCGCCGTCATGTCCTGAAGGAGAGGAATAGTTTAAAGTTTGAACGGTTGAAATCGCACAAAGTGGAGAAGAGTTATAAAGTGCCAAAAAATGGCGGAAGAAAAATAATAATAATAATAATAATAATAATAATAACTAGAAAAGTTGCATTTCCTTGCAGAAAATGCGTGGAAATGCTGAGTGCTGAAAGCTGAAAAAGCAATGCTAAACTGCTAATAAAACATGGAGAAAGGTATAAATGTTAAAGCTGTTGAAGGGGTGAGAAAGAAATATAAGTTGGATAATTGTTTAATTGGTTGAAGGACAAATAGTATGAATATGCTCTATAAAAGGAAATTTTATTCATGCTGAAAGAGGCTAGAAAAATGTCGAAAATTGCACAAAGTTTGAATGAAGAAGGAAATTGCCTTAAAAGGCAGGAAGGTGAGAAGTGGCATAAGTTTAAATTGTAGTACTAGAAGTAGTATGATAAGAAGTCAAGTCGTGATACTAGTAGTCATGTCAGCAGTAGAAGTAGATTGAGAATAAAAGAAGTATAAGTCAAAGTAGTAAAGAAAGTAGAAATAGGAGCAATAGCAGTTGAAGTAGAGGGGAAAGTTCTAGTTCAATTGACATTAGCAGTAGTTGTCGTACTTGAGGTAGGATTTTGTTTGAATGATGGAGTAATGCATAAATATTAAAACTAATTTAAAACAGGGAAATTTTAAATTATCAAAAGTCCTCAAGTATCAGAAAGTTTTGAAGTATTAGAAAGGTTTGAATCAGTTTGAATGAGTTTAAATTAGTTTGAAAAATTAAATGATAAATCATCACTGACTGACTTTTAAAATGTGAAAAATTTAAATGAATAACAATCCTAAATACACCCAATAATGTCCTCAATGAGCTTAAATTTCAAAGCTCTGAATGGTTTCTGTAGGTCAAAGGTCATGTGAGGAGATTGGGGCTAAAGTTTTTTCCAACGCTCTAGGAAAGGGTTTTAAGTGTCATCCCAATTGCTATGTGTACTGAGCCTGGCTTCATGTGTCTCATATGGCCACTAGAAGCAGCTTTCCAGTCAGCTGTGTGTCTCCAGGTGCACAAATTGGTTGCCATGGGGACCTTGGATGCATAACTATAGCAGGAGAAAGAAGGCTTGAAGCTAAAGAAACAGGACTCCAAGTAGGCCCTGACGCTCACCCTCTGTATATATTCATAAGGAGCTTGTGAGAACACAAGACTCTGCTGAACACATTAATACAATTTATTATCACAATCCTCAAAACACCCCATAATATCTTCAATGAGCTGAATTTTTGAAGCCCAGAATGGTTTCTGTAGCTCAAAGTTTGTGGGTGGAGATAGGTGGTGAAGCAGACACATATTAACTATGTGCACAAGCAGCTGAACTGCAAGGTGGACCTCAAAAAGCAACAAGTACAAGAAGGTGTGTGTGCGTGTGTGTGTGTGTGTGTTTGTGTGTGTCGTTAATGACTGCATCCTAAACAGCTGTGAGATCAAAGGCAAATCACTAACCTACTGTTTGACTGAGAGGTGCTGAACTGCAGTGAATTTCAGCCTGTGAACTTCTTCACATAGCGTGATTTCCTTAAGTCCCAGAATGAAAATAAGAACATCGTACGAATCCTCCGTCCTTCATGAACACAATGATGTGTTTTTCATGTCTGTACTTCGAAAAATGAGGCCACAACAGCAAGTTAAAAAAAGTCTGAGCTTGAGCGATGATCCGGATTTTCTTGGAGAAAAATAACATTACAGTCAAAGGGAGAGATTTCCGCCTTTTTTGGACAGTTGGTCACCTGCTGGCCAAGGGGTACGATTTAATGATTTGAAACCTCTTTTGTGAGAAGCAGGACACATATACCTCCATTTTGATGTATTATTTGTGTCAGTGGAGTGAGATTTGTGGGCGTGGGAGCGATATATTCGAGCGAGGTTCTGTCGATCAGAGACGAGGTCTGCACTCTAGCTGATGACATCATCACTCTAAACTCTCCAATACACACCCATTATAAAGCTTGAAATTTGCTGAAAACCACAAGTTGCTTAAAGCTAAATTGTGGAAAAACTGTAAGAGATATCAAAAAACTGAGTACAACTGTAATAGTCGACAAGTGAATGAACATTTTAAAGCAAAAATGAGGTCTCTAGGTGAAAGTATGCAGAAGTTACAAGGTTCAGAAGGTGGAAGAAAAACAGGAAGAATTGGAAGATTTCCCCATTGACTTCAATGTTAAAATTTTTGCACAAAAAGTTAAAAAAATCAAAAAGTATAAAGGGTAGAAAAGTGAAAAGTAATCGCCGTCATGTCCTGAAGGAGAGGAATAGTTTAAAGTTTGAACGGTTGAAATCGCACAAAGTGGAGAAGAGTTATAAAGTGCCAAAAAATGGCGGAAGAAAAATAATAATAATAATAATAATAATAAAGAAACAGGAGAATAACAATAAGTGGAAATGCCTATCAGCATTTCCACTTAATAATAAAGAAACAGGAGAATAACAATAAGTGGAAATGCCTATCAGCATTTCCACTTAATAATAAAGAAACAGGAGAATAACAATAAGTGGAAATGCCTATCAGCATTTCCACTTAATAAAGAAACAGGAGAATAACAATAAGTGGAAATGCCTATCAGCATTTCCACTTAATTAGGGCCATGAAGCATTTAAAGGAACAGTGCTTCAGTATAGGTTTCACAAACAAGGAGATACTTTTGGAGCTGGATGACTGATAATGCTGACTGTTTTAGACACCAGAGTGAAGGTAAGAAATTTTTGCCTCTGTTATTTTATGTCAGATCTCCGTTAAACGGTGGAGACTCTGATGATGAAGTTTATTACACGTAACATCGATGTTTACATCTGATCGCTGCTTCTGCTGCATGCAGGTGTGAGCTGCGGAAAAGCATCAGAGAATCAGCGGCCGTTTCGGCGGCAAATGATGATAATGCAACATTTTCTACTTCATACGTTGTAAAATTGGTTGGAACAGCCTGGCGCAAAACAAAATACCCCTCCTCTAGTGAGTTTACTCGTCATTGGCTCTCATTCACCATTTCAGCCATCCTAATCTGCTCTCATTCAATCAATCTCAATTCAGTCAATACGCGGGCTACACAATCCATTACGTCACGCGAAGTGGCACTGCTTTACGGTTCCCCGCAGTGTCGCTAAAGTGGAACTTCTGTCACAGTTTTCTAGAAATGTATTACATTTTGAGAGTCATGAATACAGTGATTTGAGAAGTCGAGAGGCATTCTTAAAAATGATAACTTGGGTCAGTGTTTCATGTCCTCTTTAAGGTTAAAATGAATCAATTACAGTCCGAACAATTAACCAGAAAAACAGAAACAATAGTAATGTAAATTTACCTAATTTTGAATGGTTTGAAGTATTTTCCAGAATTAGTGACTGCGTTAAATGAGTGCAGCGGGGTGACGCAGCTGAAGGAAGAACATTTATGATCATCTCTTCATTGAAATGCAATCAGACTGAGGTGCTAACGCAGAAGAACTACCGCGTCTGCAGTGCAAAATGATTAATATGGTGATTATTACTTCAAGGAAATGATCTGCTGCACTCTGTAATCGACTTGTCAGGGCTCCCCCCACAAACAAGTGGCTGCTGGAAGAGAGTGGTTGAGCTGTGTTTGGTCTCTCCGCTAAAGAAATAAGGCAAAGCTAAAAAGATGTTTGATGGCTAGTACTATGGCTGGGACCCTATATGTACTGTTGATGAAGTTAGGTGATGTTCTGAGCATTATTTGTGGCTTTACAGTGGCTTTTTGGTTGAGGTGTGCGTGTGGAGACATAGACCACTGTGTATTGCTATCGTTTGGTTGTTACTAAAGTCAAGCAGTCGGCTACATTCATCTCTCAAGAGGGTGTCTAACTCGGTGTTACGGTGTGTTTGACCATAACTTCTTTTTACACTGAAATATCCCTCTAAGTCTTCTCCCTGCTGGACCTGCTTCACTTCAGTTTGTTTTTGCTGCACCCTCATACAGATCATTGTCCAGAGAATGAGATGTAGATGGTCATTTGGTTTAGACGCACCTGTCAATACTTCTGTCTGTCCAACAGCATTTTGGGCTGAAACTTAGCTCACCAGGGTGTATTTCTGCTCTGGGGACTTAATGTCAATATTTCTAAACATTTTCATGCTAAAAGAGAAATATCTAAGCGGATGAAAACGGGCTGAAAATTGTTAACAAAAAGAAAGACAAACTGATAAGCCCGTAGTAGAGCTCAACTTGACAAATCAGTCCATGTCAGACTGACATTTTCATTTCATTGCCCCATTATAACTTGGAGACCTGTTGTGAGAGAGTAATGTGTTTGTACTGAACATCTAGCATTCTAGCTGAAACCATCTCGTCCCCCTCCTCCTGGTAATAATGTGGACCTTCACCATTTACACATTAGTTCAAGTACAGCAAACATGGATGCCTGAAAATGGATCTGTCATGTATTCCCACCTGTTTATGTGCAGGGTTGATGTGCCACTCCACAGGTTTACTTGTTCCCCTCTCCATCAGCGGAAAAGAGACCATCACCAAACCAAGCAAACCCAACACGATACACAGTACCAACACACACCTGGAAACAGAGAAAGTGAGGGGGCGGGGAGAGGGGCAGACAAATCTTTCTATCAGAAGCAGTAAACATGTTCATCCTGTTAAACCAGGCATGTCCAAACTATTCCACAGAGGGCAGGTGTGGCTGCAGGTTTTTCTTCCAACTGTCTGAAGACTGAGATCAGCTGATGAAATGAATCAAGTCTGGTGTGCTGCTGCTTGGTTGGAAGAAAAACCTGCAGCCACACCGGCCCGTTGTGGAATAGTTTGGACATGCCTGTGTTAAACCATAAGCCATATGTCTGAACACCTGCAGTTGCACAATAGTCATGTCAAGTCTATGTTCAGCATACCCTGCTTATCTTAAGGTTTTTAGACACCACCCAGAAGAGTGTGAGTGCTCAAATGTCTGAGCCAGTCACACTTGGCACTGTCAGCCCTACAGTACAAAGTATGAGGAAGTGCTGGTGAGAGAGTTTCAGCAGAGTGGGTGTGTTGAGGGTGTGGGTAATGTTGATAATGTTGCAGAGTGCAGCTGCTTTGCTTTCTTTTTCTTTCCCTTAAACCTTTTAATCCTTGTAACTGTTACTCTAAATTGATTTAAAACACAATAAAATGATTAATTCACATTTTTACAAATTAGTGCTCAGAATATCTAAAAAAAACATATCCAAGGGTACATTTGATGTGGAATCAAGCGCCAGACTTCATTTCAGGGCTGACTGGAGTACAGCAGAGACCTCCAGTCTGACCTCATGGAAACATGGGACCCTGTATCTCTGCTTTGATGGGAATACTGCTCATTTACAGCTCAAAGAATGGTCAGAGACAATGTTATTACCCAGTCATTAAGTTATTACGGTAGGCTGATTCATAGTCTTTGTGATGGCTGCCGCAATACTAGAATTTTGAATTAAGATACAATAAGGGCAACAATCAAATGATTTCTGTTTCCTGTTTCAATACCATGTCAAAAAAATATTCTTTGGCACCCGGGTGATAGGACTGTTTTAGCTTCTGTGCCTCTGTCAGTCTGCAGCAGACACAATGGCCCTCATTTATCAAGCTTGCGCAGATCTGAGCGCAGATCGGAGTGCACGATTCATCATACGATAGGACACACGTGAGATTAATGAAAGGATTCATATCTGACCAATCCCAGCGTACGTATGATCGGGTCTTGATAAATGCGGCGGCTGAAATCGATCGTCATTAACATGTTTACGCCCTTAAATATTTGTGGTTCAGAAGCCTCGCCCACTGAGGTCAAACATGAAAGAGGAGAAATATTAGATAGATTAGAAACTTTTCAGAGCTGAAAGTGGATATCCTCACATCTGTGGTGGAAACTAACAAGGATTTTCTCTTTGGAAGCATCAAAACTGGAATAAAAACAGTCCAGAAAACTCCTGTCTGGAGCAGGATTATGGTGGCGCTGAACAGCGCTGCCGCGGAATAGTGGACAGTGGCTGAAGTTTGAATAAATCATTAATCAATAAGTTGCTCATGATGATAAATTAATATCTCATACATGCCTCATATATATATTTCTTTGCCATAACATAGGGTACGTTGCACCTATCGTTGAAAGTATTTAGTTTTAATTTGTTGCATCTTTGTAATGTAGAGCAGACTGGAGAGTCTGACAGAGGCTGAACAAAAATAATTACACTCACCGGCCACTTTATTAGGTACACCATGCTAGTAACGGGTTGGACCCCCTTTTGCCTTCAGAACTGCCTCAATTCTTCGTGGCATAGATTCAACAAGGTGCTGGAAGCATTCCTCAGAGAGCTTGGTCCATATTGACATGATGGCATCACACAGTTGCCGCAGATTTGTCGGCTGCACATCCATGATGCGAATCTCCCGTTCCACCACATCCCAAAGATGCTCTATTGGATTGAGATCTGGTGACTGTGGAGGCCATTTGAGTACAGTGAACTCATTGTCATGTTCAAGAAACCAGTCTGAGATGATTCCAGCTTTATGACATGGCGCATTACCCTGCTGAAAGTAGCCATCAGAAGTTGGGTACATTGTGGTCATAAAGGGATGGACATGGTCAGCAACAATACTCAGGTAGGCTGTGGCGTTGCAACGATGCTCAATTGGTACCAAGGGGCCCAAAGAGTGCAAAGAAAATATTCCCCACACCATGACACCACCACCACCAGCCTGAACCGTTGATACAAGGTAGGATGGATCCATGCTTTCATGTTGTTGACGCCAAATTCTGACCCTACCATCCGAATGTCGCAGCAGAAATCGAGACTCATCAGACCAGGCAACGTTTTTCCAATCTTCTATTGTCCAATTTCGATGAGCTTGTGCAAATTGTAGCCTCAGTTTCCTGTTCTTAGCTGAAAGGAGTGGCACCCGGCGTGGTCTTCTGCTGCTGTAGCCCATCTGCCTCAAAGTTCGACGTACTGTGTGTTCAGAGATGCTCTTCTGCCTACCTTGGTTGTAACGGGTGGTTATTTGAGTCACTGTTGCCTTTCTATCAGCTCGAACCAGTCTGGCCATTCTCCTCTGACCTCTGGCATCAACAAGGCATTTCCACCCACAGAACTGCCGCTCACTGGATATTTTTTCTTTTTCGGACCATTCTCTGTAAACCCTAGAGATGGTTGTGCGTGAAAATCCCAGTAGATCAGCAGTTTCTGAAATACTCAGACCAGCCCTTCTGGCACCAACAACCATGCCACGTTCAAAGTCACTCAAATCACCTTTCTTCCCCATACTGATGCTCGGTTTGAACTGCAGGAGATTGTCTTGACCATGTCTACATGCCTAAATGCACTAAGTTGCCGCCATGTGATTGGCTGATTAGAAATTAAGTGTTAACGAGCAGTTGGACAGGTGTACCTAATAAAGTGGCCGGTGAGTGTATTAACCTCACCAAACAGTGTGTTGCTGCCCCTGAGGCACATTTTTATGGATTTCTATTGGATTTTTATCACTGAATAAATAGCAAGGGGGGAGGGGGGGGCAAAGCAATGTAGATGCCGATACCAATTGCGATGTTTGGCATCGGCCAATCCCTAAAAACCACAGGATGTGTGTGCATCGCATTCCAGGTTTTGCACCCATTTTGGCACATTTTCATCCTGAGCTCATTTTTTATTCGAGCCAGTCTGGAGAATGACCGTTCCCCTTCACAGTTTGTTATTGGCAGGGTCAAAAACAGTCTGAGTGCTATGTAAACATTTGGGAAAGCATTTTTGTTCTTCTGAAATGAATGATGGCCACTCTGATCTCATACGAACTTGCTAAATTTGAATGCGTATGTGCGTCTTAACTCTTATTGTTTGTCTATTGCACCACTGAGGGTGTGTCTGTGTCTGAATAAAAGAATGCTCTTTTATTTTCTTACGCAAGGTGTGCTAGTTTTCTGCATTACGCAAGCTTGATGAATGAGGGCCAGTGAGACGCGTCTCTATGAGGTGTGGGCATGATAAACAGGCAGCTGGACTTGCTTGAGGTTCCTCCAACAAGGTTATAACCATGACTTGGATGAATGAGAACCTACACAGACCTTAGTACCTTATCATTTACTCAAGACCAGATGCTTATGCAGGATTCTTCAACAATGTCACTATTATTAAGTTAATGTTAATGTCTCAGCTTTGATCTATTCAAGCTGATGATGCCTCTAAATCACCCAACACACTCCCAATTCACTTATTCTGAATCTGTCAGATGCAGTTAGTCCACAGTCTGTAATTTAAGCAGTATCCATAACAACCATGTGCTGCCAAGAAATAAACAATTGTTATGGAGTGTTAACCATCCAAACCAATCATTTAAGCCAGCTTTGTCAGAAAAACTGGTCTGCAGAGTAGTGAGAGTGTAGGAGTAGGTTTTGGCTGTTTGTTTAGTAGCTAATAACTACTGTTAAGCACAGTTGCTGCTGCTGCTGGTTTATGAAGTCACACTATAATCATCTGCAGTCCTTCTCATGTGACCTACAACCGGATCACAACAGTTTGAAGGTGCAAAATGCTGATTCAGATAAGAAAAGAATTCAGATCAGCAGCAAATATCAGTTTGTTGGTGTTTTTGAACACGAGATTCATCTTTCAGACACTTAACAAGTTTGGCTTCTCTTAACCTGACTTTCAACTCTTTCCCTGAATTTGTTCTGAACCTTTTTTTTTTTTTCCAAGTACCTATACTTGTATTTACAGATTTTTTATCTCACTGATCACATATAAATATATGTCAGGATAGACTTTAACTTTAAGGACATGCTGCAAACAAGAATTGATATAATTTGATCATTTATCGCCTAAGTTGTTTTATCTGGTCAGCAAAGGTTTCTTCATGTGTCCAGTTCAGACAGGCTTTCAGATGTGTTTTCCATATTTCTTTATTTTCTTTGTGTCTCAGTTTTTCTCTTTCTGATAAACCTCTCTTCAGTTTGATTTTTTTAAACCCATGACTCATGTGCACATGGTCCTGACCACAACTAAGTCTGGGTGGCCCACACTTAGACATTCATCTTACTGAACACTAATCCTGTGCTTTTCAGTGCTTTCTTTAATGTGCTCTTCAAACCCCATTCCGCCCGCTGGCCTTGTTTATAGTCATTCAACACTGAGATACAGCCAATCAAATTATCCCTCAAGTGAAGAGACAGAAAGATGCTCTTGCTTTAACAACATGAATATTAGTTTTTACAATACTTCAGGTTTATGGTTTAAAAAAATATTTTAGGAGAGGTTCTGATAGACAGAAGAGACAAATGCTTTAGCTAAGTTTAGCTATGTGTTGTGGTTAGATACTGGAACACTCTGTTGCTCACCCAACCCATAGGTCCATAGGTTAAGCAATGGTGACCATTCAGGACAAGAAGCTCCAATGTTGTTTGCAATTCATGTCCTTACTGTCAAAAAGTCTATCCATACAAACTTTTTTGGAACTAACAACCTCTTTCTTCTACTACTTGGTCATCCTTGATGCATTGCTCAGAGTCACTCCCTAACTACAACACATCAATGTTTGTCTGTTTTGTCTGTTTGGTGAAAGGGGCCCGCTTCTTATATGTATAGGAGTAAAATGATCAGTAAAAGTTACCAAAGATGATTTTTGACAAGGCCACTGTTGGAAATTAATATTTCATGTACGGATGGGCGATAAATTATCAGTCACAATATACTGTCAGAAAAATCCTCCATGATAAATATTTGCCATCTCATGATAAGTAAACTCTCCATAACCTACCAATTAAACTTGTGGTTAAAGGTGAGGTAGGAAGGATTCTGTTAAAGTAGCATCTTTTTTTGTGGTGTATATACAAAAAAGCTTTTAATATCAGTCAATAGCTATTAGTTATTGATGACATTTGGTAATATAACTATATTGCTGTGTTTTGTTAGGTCTGTGTAGTTTTTGTATTTTTTGAGCGGCCTGCTCTTTCTGACTGTAAACCGAGAGTGGTTGTGAGGCAGACGCTGTCCCCCATGTCGTTCGTGAGCCCAAACAAAGTTGGTGTGCTACAATATCGAACAGTAGAAACCAACCAGAAAGTACGGAAATCCTCCTTTGGCCACGACTGCCAACACAAGAAAGAAAATGAACTAAATACCGGAGAGTCAGGCTGAATAACGGGCGCTTAAAAAGAAGGTAGACCGCACAAGAGCTGAAAAGCCGGGGTCAGCATCAGCATAAACGATGGGGAACGCTTTGGGATCTTACGGACCCTGTAACCTTTCTGCTGGACAGGTAAACCGCTTTAACAAAGTAAGGCATGTGTCTGTAACAGAAGTGTTTCTTGTCAAACGGGACCTGCTGTGTGTTGTAGCGCTGCTAATCTGTTTACCTCGGGTCCTGGACTTTGTCACTTTAGGCCCCATTTGAAATTATTAATAAGTATTTATCTGCATTATATCTGAATTTAATTGGAATAATACCGGCGAGTAGGAGCGCCTGTTTGTGGGCGGGGCTTGCTGGAGCAGAGAGGGAGGGGAGAGGAGGAGCTGAGGGGAAAACTGGTTGGGAGGGGTAGAGTTTACATTCAAGATTTCTCCCAAAAACTGGCACTTCCTCAGATCCTGCCTACCCCACCTTTAAGTATTTTATTTGACTACTCCAACTGGTGTTCTCAAGAAAAAATGAGTCAAAAATATAGATTGGAATTATAAAACTTTTTTATCAGGACTTTTATTGTTATTGCCAGAGTGGCAAATCTAATCGAGATCATTTTTTAGCCCATATCGCCCATCCCTAACTCCATGATGCATTTTGACAGTTCATTCATCAGTTTTTTTACTGTTATATACTGTATGATCATATAAAACTCAAAGTGTACCCAAGTCAAAGCTGTGGCTGTTAATAGAGATATACCCATGCAGTCAACCAAGATATTAACATCTCTCACTAGTCAGCACAAGAATTCCTCATCAGTTCAAGTGATTAAATTCATATAAAACTTACAGCAGGGCCCTGGTGGTCTACATTTCAATTAACATTAACTGATTAGATCCTAGTCACTAGGAAATCAGTTTCTCAGGAACACCTAAAGTTGTCAAGGAACTTTGAGTTTTTCTGTATCTGAAGAGTATCATAGCGTTTGTTGTTACAGATGCTCTGTGCAAACATTGCAGGGAAATGTTCAAATGTCCTTGACTCAAGGAAAGCAGATATCTCTTGGCAGTTTAAAGGCCATTTTTCTGGGTCTATGTGTCGAAAAAATAGGTGAGTCATTCAGCTCTGTCACCACATACATCTCTACACCACCACTGGCTCACACATACGGTATACATACGTCCTCTTTTCTCTTTTTGTTTCCACAGCATAGCTGGAAATACCTCGAGTGGGAAGTTGTAACACCAACACCTTTTTCACCAGAAGAGTTATGGTGTTCAGGTAAAAATACAACATCTTTATGTTTTGGGAAGAGAAACAGCCCTTTTTGTCCACCTGTCTGTTGCAGTGTTGCAGCTGCACTCCAATTCAACATGTAGGTTAGTTTACAAAAGGACTGTAAAACAGATGAGAGCATTAACAATGATTAACAAACCATAAAGAAATCTGCATTTGCTTTTATGGTACAAAGGTCACCTGTCTTTATTCTCCATAAAGAGTCAATATAAAGGTTTCAGGAAAACTAGTCCTGCAGAAGTTAAGGGAGTATGCGTGACACTTTGATACAGTGAGATAATTTTTCCAGAAAAAGGGGTCCAGGCTGTGTTCTTATTCTTCCCTATATCTTTAGTAAGATACGTTGTTACTGCTCTTGGCGGTAACTACCTCAGTGTTATTCGGTCAAAGTCTGTGTTAACACAGCGATATTTTGGCCTGTTTTTATCTGCATAATAAAGATGCTGACAAGTTTAATTGTGGCTATTTTCCCACTACGGGGAAGGAAGAAAACAGAGAGGGTCTTTGTGCTGTGTTAGGTGAAAATTACCTGTGTGCAACCAAGCGTTTAGGAAGTCTCATGTTGGTCTTATACAGAAGGGATCCTGGGAACTCCTTTCCGTTCTGAGCTGAAGCTGGTAGCCCTCTGGCTCTCAGGGACATTGTCCTGGAGAGAGATACTATCTGTTAAGACTCATCAGTGTTAATAGGCTATGAAATACACAGGCCACTAAATTAACAGGTGAGTCCACAATTCTGGTTATTTTTATAAGAGGAAAGAGGGTAAGCATATTTTACCAGTATAAAAAGGTACAATAAACACTTATTTACCATACATCATCATGATTGTATTATTAAAAAATCATTTTTGTTGCAAATAGCAGTTTGGTTCCAAATCCTTCTTCATCCTTATTCATAAAAAAACACATAATTAGTAAAAGTGACCGTATACAGTTAGTTAAATATTGTGAAGATTTCAACAGAGTAATGTACACAGATGAAAACACTTCATCAAGTACATCTGATTAGACAGAGAGAAGATTACAGTGTACACTGGGGAAGGACAAAGCACGTGTAAAGATGACACTGACAGTTGTTACAGTTTTGACAGCTTCCCCTTCTTTAGAGAATTAAACTGACTGAATGTATTGCTTGAATAGGTTACTGACTGCAGTAAGACATGGTATTTTACATGTGAATTAGTACTTATGGATATGGAGTTTTGTTATTACAATCAGAACATCATGTGCACACTTGGACTTTTCTGTAAACTAAACCCTACAAGACCAAAAAAAAAAACACATTCTTCAAAAATATGACAAACCATTAATCATTTTTATCAGGAGCAGAGCCACATAGTTTTTGACATGAAATCTTCACAGTTCAGCAATACTGAAATAACTACACAGCAGTTACAGGATATTGACTCGAAGGCTGTGACTTTTATCTGGAGTCTTTTATTCATATGGTCTTTAGCTGGATCAAATGAGTTTAAGGGATAAGCCAAGCTCTCTTCTATGCCACACCATCTACAGAGTTATTCCAGTCCAAAATGATACATGGTAATAATGTCCCATCTTCCTGGAGCAATATTCTTACAGATTTACAGTTGCTATCAGGAAAACTGGACAAACAAACCTCTGTCGAAGAAGAGAAGATGATGACATTTAAAACACAGACTCCATAGGATGGCCCAAACTCATTTTTTAGAGTCCCCCAGTGTTAAATCATGATCTCAAAGACGCTCCTCATTTTTAAGAAGAAATCTCTGCTTGTTAAAAAGCTGATCTACCGACACACCACTGCTGTGGACCTGCATCCAATAAAGCGGGGTTCATTGAATGATTGATAAAGTCTTGGTTTTTTTCTTAACTTAAAAAATATAAGAGAATAATCCCGGGCTGATGATGTGGGGTCATCAGTTTTACGGTGACCTCCTGGATATCAGCACCGAGGAGTCGGAGCTTTTCGCGGAGCTGGAGAGACGCATCAGTTCAGCTCATGTCGCAGTGTGTTAACGGCTACCGAGTCCGGCATCGCCAACCAAACATACACTCCAAACACATCCAAGCCACAGCTCACGAAAAAATGGGTTTACAGCTCAAAACCAGGAGTAAACATACCTACAAACACCTAGTCCATATTTGTTACCCAGGCACGGTGGTAGTAGAGACGTTAACTGTTTGCCGTTAGCCGTTTGAGTTAGTTAACAGTTAGCTGAACCAACGAGCTCCGTTGACCACGACGATGGGAGTGTTTATCCCCCTTTAACCCTGTTATTCCCCAAATCACATTTCTGTTTTGTAATTGTCTAATTATCTTACCCGTCCATAGATCACACAGCTCTGCCATTACTGATCCCTCACAGACTGAGAGATCAGCTATTTCTCCCGCAGGTCTTCATTCCAAGCTTCACCGTACCAGCCTCCCATCCACCAACCAGCCTATCGGTAGTCGGAAAACCTACTGTAGCTTCCGCTTTTCACATTAAGAGCCCCTCACGCATAGATCTATGCCCTCACCCACGTTGAAGTAATGAAGTTGTTCTGTCGCATCTTCTGTGTTTGACTTCGTCCACAGTCCCCACTAACTCTGTCCCCCAAGAAGAGGCTTTTTATTACAAGCAAAAATATCAAGACTGAATTGACTGGTTAAAATAACTATCAAACGTATATTTAACGTATAATAATGTATTATCAAATATAATTAACTCATTCTTGTATATTGGATAATGTGTAATATTATTCGTGCTTTGGCAATATTCATACTTTTACACCAAAAGAGCTTATTTAATGTGTTTAAAGTGTGGCTGTTATACAAAATGTAATATTTACTAGTTTTATATGCAAAGTAAAAATATAATGGGAGTGATTTTAAAATCTACTAAGAAAAAAGTACTAGTTAATTAACTACTACAAGTTACTAAAAACTCCAAGCTGCTCAGAACAAAACGTAAAGTAATGAGTTAGTTTTCATACTGTGCTACGTAACAGACACCTGGGCACTGAGGTTCTCTGCATATCACAGTTAGAAAAAGAGACTAGACAACTGCAGCAGGACATCACAACAATAAGAAACTTAAATAACACTGGTTTTATTGTCAATTTACTTCGTTATAAAATACAGACGGAAAATATTACAAGCTCATGTGACATTTCTTCGTTTCCTTGTTCTTTGCTGTCAGCAGCTTCATGCCTCCTACTGCAGAGGTTGTTTTAGTTCAAAAAGTCCAGTCCCACCTTTGACTACTTTGCCAACAACAAGGCAAGCTGACGGAGATGCTAGCTGATCATGCGAGCCTGAAAAATAAGAAAAAACAAAGGTCACCAAATTAAACAGGCTGATACAAAGACACAGTTGTTGCCTTACAATTAGAGCTGCCACACTTTACCAGGTTTAAAGACAAACAAATTCTCAAAATATGAAATACTGATATTGTGCTGAAAAACAGACAGAAGGTGATATTTTAAGTTTATAACAAAATTCCTTTGCGATGGTTGTCATACACCATAAAACAGACAACAAATGAAGAGGCATCGTCGAGCAAACTGCCACAGGCATCTGAGAGCTAATAATGAAGCTTCAGAAAACTGAACATGCAATATTAACTGTCTCATCTGATTCATAGTCAACTGCACAGTCTTACTATCAAACTTTAGAACTGTTTTCCATCAAAACTTAAGATCAACCAGAGGTAGTATCCTTCAAAATAAAAGCATAATTTTACAATGTAGGAAATGAAGTAACCTCATTGGAAAAAAATACCTACAAAATATGACACACCATCATTTTATGAAACAATTCCTTCTCTTAACAAATTGCTGAAAGTTTCAGTCATAAGGCTGGTGAATGACTCATTACAGCATTATACTTGAAAATACAAATACTAATGGAAAAAGAAGAACAGAAATAGGAATGAAACAAGAACAAACAAGAATTGCAATGGTTAGTAAAAAGCGCAGAATATTGCAAATAAAGCTATTTACAAAGAGCAGTGTCTACGGAAATATATATATAAATATAAATATAAATATATATATATATATATATATATATATATATATATATATATATACATATACATATATATATATATATAAGCACACAGAGGAGGAAGTGAATACAAAATCAATTTGCAGCATTGACCTGTAGAATATTGCCCAGAGTATTGTACAGTTAAACAGAATATTGCACAGGTAAGCTTAATAATGTTATTTTCTGTATTGCACTCTTAGATGATTGAATTTTTGACTGGTTTACAAGCAGATTGCACAGTTGATGTAATTATATGAAGTGGAGAAGTTTACAGCCACTGCATGAATAAACCTGGGGACAGTCAGAGTGAGTGACACTCAGAAGGAGGCGTTTTAAAGTTTGATGGCAACAGGTTAGAATGACTTCCTGTGACACTCTGTGGTTCATTTAGGGGGAATGAGTCTAACACTGAATGTACTCCTGTGTTTAACCAGGACGTTATGGAGCAAGTGGTGGATGCTGTCCAAGATTACATGTAGCTTTGACAACATCAGCCAGAGTCCAGCTCTACCCTGACAATGTCACTGGACTTGCAGATGAGTTTGTAAAGTCTGTTGGTGTCTGCTACCCTCACTCTGCTGCCCCAGCACACAACAGAAAACAGGATCACGCTGAACACCAGAGACTCATCGAACTTCCTCAGCATGGTCCTGCAGATGTTAAAGGACCTTAGCCTCTTTAGGAAGTAGAGACGGCTGAGGTCCTTCTTGTAGACCTCTTCAGAGTTCTTAGACCTGTCCAGTTTGTTATTCAAGTACACTCTATTTACTAGTAAAGTTTATGAAGTAAGACATTGCTCCAGCCTTGACCTGCTCAATTTGACTGACGGTGTTGTTCTATTTTCAAGTTTTCCATAAAAATCACAACAATTATCATAATATTTTATGTTAATAATAATCATGGGGTGAAAGTGTGTTACTGTGACAGCTTTACATGTTACACGTTAACATATTCTCAATAGAGGTGAGGCATAACTAAATCGTAATAGCAACAGTCTTAATCTATACAGCATGACTAAATCATTAACATAAATTAAAAATGCTGTTGCATTAACTAACTTTGTAAAACATCTGTATACAGCATCAATGCTTTACTAGCTAGCCTTAACTACCACCGTCCCTGCGTTATTCAGTGACTTCAGTTTTTGTCACCGTGTTCTGAAGAAAATACCAGGAAATTTCACTCTAGTCTCTTTCTCACCCAGCATAGTGGCCTGTTTGAGGAATTTGTAGCTGGTCTCAAAGGTCATCTGCTGCAGAGGGGAGGAGTTGGACTGGATGGCGTGCCGGTTTAATGGCTTATAAACACCCTCAAAGCACATGTAGTCTGCTACCAGCGACAGATGTCTGGGGTCCACCTCGATACCTGGTGACAGAAGTATGGACACAGAAGAGTCATTTTGACACCCGTGTGGTCTACTGTCTCAGGTATGACTTAAAGCAAGTCTTTGTGTGTGTGTTGGGATGTATGTCAGTGTACCGTAGACTGCAAAGACATCTTTGATCTCCTTCTCTATGACCTTCAGAGCCACTTCTATCCCGTAGGTCTTAGCCATGGCATGGACCTCATTTGAGTACAATCTGTTGATGTCCAAGATCTGAAAACAGAAAATACAATCACAGTTTTTATGCCACATGACGAAAACAAAAAAAACTACCAAAAGCATGTCGTATTAACAGCAGGCATTTTTTTAGGATTTAGAAAGTGTCACTGGGATCTGTGCTTTTTAGGAATAAGACTGCTGGAAGCTGTAGTAGTTACATAAGACAATAAGAGTCGACAAGCCAAAGGTCTGACATGATCAGAGAATATATCAAATAGTCAAAACTGATGTAGATATTTCTCATTCTGAGTGTCTAATACACTGTTGCTGATACAGCATTCATGATCAATGAGAAACTGAGATCCATAACCCGTTTGATCTGTTTTATCGATCTTCGATCATTTCTAAGAACTGAAATAAGGTTTTAACTGACATGGGTTACAACAGAGAGACTGGGGGTGTATCTCTCCTCCTTTCCTTCACCTCTTCCCTAAATGCTGTCTTATGTCTGTGTCTACACAGCTGTGTTTCTTTGCAACTCATTCTTCATCTTTTGTCTCTTCTTTGTTGGCAAAGCTAAAAATGTGTGTATTTTTGACTCAATTTGGCTTGGAAAGTTTTTGAAAATTTTATTTTTAAATTTGAAAAAGTGTGGTTAACACTGCTCTGGATATATTTTTTCACCCTTAAAATCTTGAGGAAGTCTGATGTCTAAAAATGCAGACATCACCAAAATCTCTTTGCCACATACATCACTGTGTGTAAACAACTCTTGCATGTTGATGCCCTCTGTGTTGAGGACCGTCTCTTTGTCTCCCGTCTTTGTTGTGACTTCACTCAGGATGCAGCGCGTCAGACCATGGGTCTCCTTAATGACTGCATTCTGGGCCAGTGTTGTCAGGACAGAGGTTAAGTCAAAGTGCACCTTGTTTACTGGCAAGGCCAGATTGACCTGTGAACAGTGAGAAGACGGATGATTGAAGTGATTAAGGCTTGAACTATATGGAGTCATGCAATACCTTAAAGACACATGAAAAGTACATTTGGGGATCTCAACAGAACTGTAGCAAAGATCTCCTGTAAACAAACAGTCAATGGAGAGGTCCTCCTTGGGGTGTAACTGATGCACTTGTGTGAATTTTCAGGTTTTGTAGGAGAAACACTAAAACTTCAGTCATTAATGGCTACATATGCATTCAAGTCTAATCATCTGCAGATCTGTGTTCACATCTGTCAATATTTTATGCATTTTCTGAATTTCTTACACATTTGTGGATCTGTGTACATGACGCATGTACAGATTGTTATGTGACAATAATAGCTCCATGGAATCCCATTGTAGTAAACTTTAGAGAAGGATGGAGATTCAAAATGATACATTTATAATCCAATTCAAAATGAGTGAACACGTGCAGAAAAACTTTCAAGTTTATCAGTTTGAACATAAAATATTCAGTTGAATTTAGTTGGAAAAGGATTTTAAAATCATTGTATTTTGTTTTTATTCATGTTTTACAGAAGCATCCAAACCTAATTGGACTTTGGAGGTTTCGACATCATGAAAAACTGGTACACAGTCTGAAACTGTCAGATGCATAGATTTGGAAAAGACAATGAAAAGGACCTGATAAGAAATGAAAGAATGATTGATGGAGACGTGAGTCCCTAATGGTAATGCTATTTATTTGTATTTGTTTTGGTTCACTGGATTACTTGTTAAAAACTGGTTGTCTCCATGTTACTTGTAGACTAAACTGTGTGAAAATGTGAAAACTAGTAAAACTTTGTACCCTAATAAATAGGACCTAAAAACTCACCTCACACCAGAGTTCATGCTGGACGTCATAGAGGTATCCCTCTATAGCTGTGTTGGTTTGCAGAACAGAGTTCACCCTCATCTGGTTCACACTGTCCTCTCGCTCTTCTCCACCTGCTCCCTTCGATCGCTTCTTCTTCTTCTCAGATCTCAGTACTGTGGACTGTGGCACTGACTCCTCCAGGGTGCTCTCTTTATCGTCCTTGTGCTCAGTCTCCTCTTGGTGCTCTTTATCCTCCCCTTTAACATCTCCATCCTCCTGCTCCTCCTCCAGCTCCTCCTCCTCCCCCTCCTCACTCTCATAGTCCACCTGCGAAGAAGAGCAGAGACCACCATTATTCATACGGACAGATAAAACTGCCCTGTTAATACAACTTTACAACTGGATCTGCGAAACCTCACATTTTCAGGGGCCTGTTCTTAAAAGCAAATTATCAGTTCACAAGGTACCTTCAAATCGACTATGAGTTTTTACAGAAATAAAGGTGTTTCACTTCTGACTGGGTTAGTTCACTTGATCATGGAGCTCTGTGAAGTGACCAAAAATGGTCTTTAACAAAGGACTTTTCCCCAGGAACCAGGGACTATTTGAGGAACTGTGTATGTCTCAACCGCAGGAACTAAGGTCTAAATTTAGCTCTGGGGGTCAAAGATCTACCCCCTTAAAGAGCCCCAGCTCAGGTAGTACTTTTTAATGGCCCAGGGACTTTAGAAGACAGGGTCTGATGGTTTCATTTACATGTAAATGTGTTTGCACAGACACTCACAAAAAAGGGCAGGAAGATTCTGGATTATATTCTGCTTAACCCAACATTATCTGAACAGTCAAATTATGTTTCTATATGAATTCTGACTCAGTCCATGTTCATGTTTCCATCTCAGCTTTGGTTGGTTTGAACATTTTCAGAGGTTTGTCTGATCAGGAAACAATCGTCTTTACAATATAAGCTGGTCTACAGTTTACATACAGACACCATCTGAGCAGTGAGAGAGTGAAACAGGTCGAGGCACTGAAGAGCAAATATTGGCAGAAACAAGATGTTATTTAATAATCAAATACAGATTACCTTCTGACGGCTTTGTTCTAAGAAAGAATTCAGCAGACTCCAATGAAGAGCTGTGCAAGTAACTTCATTTTATCTATTTGAGTAAAGTTATTTTGAATACCTCCATACTCCTCCATGTGATCAAGTTAAGACTGGAGCTGAAATATTTCTTTGAAAAGAATGAAAACCTTTTAGTATTTCACTGGTCTATATACCTCTTCTTCCTGTTTGTCTCTGCGCTTGGCATCTGAAGCATCGGCGTCTCCTTCATTCCCTTGGTCATCTATGAAGTCTTTCTCCTCGGCTCCATCCCCATCATCCATCTAATAAGGGATAAAGAAATATTAAAAGAAAGAAGAATAAGTATCATTACGGAGGGCCACAACTCTACTCCCAAAGAATTTTGTAAATACTGGAGTGAACTGAAGCCATTCCAAGACACACCTCTGCTGCGCCAGCTGCTGTATCACCGGTCTCGTCCTTATCGCTGAGGGTGGCCTTCCTTGTTTCCACGGCAATGGAAGCCAACTTAGCATTACGCTTCTTAATGGCTTCAAGGAGAAGACGGAAAAACCTGCAAGAACAAGCCACCACGAAAGATGAAGATGAAGATAAGAGGTTTAATGTAGGCCATGTTCTTCCTTGAACTGTGAAACTCCGCTGCACTCGGTGATCGATTTTTCTGAGGTCTCCGTACAAACAAGTGGCTACTGGAGGAGAGTGGGTAAGTTGTGTTTAGTCTCTTTGCTAAAGAAATCAGGCAAAGCTAAAAAAAAATGTTTGATGGCTAGTACTATGGCTGGGACCCTATATATCCTGTTGATGAAGTTAGGTGCTTTTCTGAGCATTATTTGTGGCAATAGAGTGACTTTTTGGTTGAGGTGTGAATGTGGAGACATAGACCACTGTGGATTGCTATTGTGCGGTCGTTACTAAAGTTGGTACAACTAGAGAAGCAAGCGGTCAGCAACATTCATCTCTCGGGGGGGTGTCTAACTCTGTGTTACGGTGTGTTTAACCCTAACTTAATTTTACGCCAGAATATCCTTTTAAAGAATAAGAATCTAACATGTGTTTACAGTCAAGGGGCTCAGCGACATGCACTCTTTACACAAATCCTGCACCACACACACACGCACGCACGCACGCACGCACGCACGCACGCACGCACGCACGCACACACACACACACAAACAAACAAACAAACAAACCTGGTTTCCATGTAGTGGAGGATCTGCTGAGGTGACAGCAGCTTTTCATCACTGTAACGCTCAGGAGGCAAGAAGTGGAAGGTAACTTTAAACTTCCGCAACTTGGAGTGATTCTCAATCTGCAATGTCTCCACCACATCCACCCTCTGCAGTACCTGCACATGTGAACAGAGTGAAAACAATAGTGAGGGGAGAAAAGGCAACTGAAACTGGAAAATTCAGACAAGTACAACTTCCAACAGCTATGTGAGCTACAAATGGATGAAAATGAAAACCAAAGTCTCGCCAAAGGAAATGTCAGATGATGAAAGTAAGCAAAGACAGAGACCTCAGCCAGACAGACTCTGGTGAGCTGCTTTCGAAGTGTCTTGGCTCTCTTTAAAGCTTTTCTGTTGTTCAGGACTGGAACCGTCATCATGGGAGTTTTAATACTGGAGCTGGCCACCAGCAGGATCTCTCTCAGTCTGCGACACAAAGAGGCATGATGACGTGAGGATGGAGAAAACATGAAGATTCAGCAGGTGGATAAATGAGAGCAATTGCAAGGCAAACTTCTTTAATTTTTTTTAATTTCATATTTGCAATGCACCAAACCATCAAAGTCAGCCATTATTCTTAGACTATTTAAAGACAGGTTTGTCTAAATAGTCTAAATAAAGCCCACTTGAAAAAAAACAGGCTGTCCCAGCACCGGTAATAGAATCATATGTACAGGTAAAGGATGAGTTATGTGTAAGGTAACACTACCGAGGTATCCCCAAGGTGACGTTCATCTCTCCTCTGCCAGCAAAGTGGAAGGTGTTGAGGGTCATCTGGGTGGAGGGCTCACCAATGGACTGAGCAGCCAGCAGACCCACTGCTTCACCTGGATCACACAGTGACCGCTGCCACTTGTAGTGCAACAGCTGACGGAGGCTAAACAGACAGATAGAGAGAGAGAGATATCACACATCACACTCCTTCAGCCTTGCTGTTTGTAAACGTGCTCGCTCAGATCCAAGCTCAGGCTGCCACCTCTTTTAGAAAGTGTTTTTGTAATTTTGGTGGAAATTCTCCTTTAATTCCGACAGCAGGACATAACCTAGATGCTTAAAAAAGCTCTCTGAGGCCCAAAATAAACTGGAGTGTTTTTGTCATTTCATCCAAATGCACTTTAAAAAGGTGGATACTTTGACTTTACAACTCTACTTTTCTTACTTCTTTTAGATTTCTACATGCTGTGGTATGACTGTTATGACTGATTTTAGCTGGAAACTAGGTTTAAGACTGTGAAATCCCAGACATTCAGTACCTTTGGGAATCCAGGCTGTCTTGACTTGTTCTGTTCTGCAGGTATTTTTCTGTGATGTCATGGAAGTTCTCAGATACTGATCCGAAGCAGACATCTGGCCTGAGCAACCCCAGAGAGGGCTCAGGGCAACGGGAGGACCTCCGGCTGTATTTGGATCTGCTGGATTCATCCAAAGAACGCCACTGCTCTATGAGCTGCAGGTCGTCAGTGTAAAGGACAGTTTGGTTAGTCATGTTTCTAGATCACCTCAGGCTGGATTTTCTAACTTAAACTGACATATATTGTAAAGAATAAGTTGTTTCCTGCAGGAAAATTACCTGCAGTGTAGTTGCGTCCCTGCCGTCAACATGTGGCTCAGCGCTCGGCTCAATCTCTTTCAGTTTAGCCAACTTTTTCTGGGAGAACAGCAGGAAAGCTCCTGAAACCAACAAAAATATAAAAAGGAAGGATGCATGACACACTTTCAAAGAACAAATCAGAGCTTTTTTTTAAAAAAAATTTTGAACACATTTACAGTTCCTAAGACCAAGAGTCAAAGTTGGTTGTCTACCTCTCCATGGATCTGCTGTCTCCCTCTTAGCTTTCCAGCGCTTGATGGCTTCAAAGTGTTGAACGGCAGACTGAGGATCCAGACGTGCCAGAACACTGTCCAGGTCCTGTGACTTCTTGATAACCTAAGAAAGAAGTAGAAAAGGCTGAGTGTTTTTGACTATTCGGGAAAAACAAGCTCATTGGTGTTTCAAAAATATTCAAACACTGGAGACATGAACATTGTTTTCAGCTCAAAGAGTGCCCTTGCGCTGGTTCTGATGAAAATACAGAACTGAACTTTCACTAAAAAAGTAAACCAGTAACAGGAGCACCACTACCAACTCCACAGCTTGCTAAGTTCATTGATGTCAGGCACTTTTACAGGAGATGGAAGACGAATATGTTGGTCGAGGGAGAAGAAAGTAAAGTTTGTTATAGAAACACTAAACACGGTTTAACATTTCGGCCTCCCTCCTGTTCTGAGCAGTTGTGTGATCACTGTTGTCTCAAAATGAAAGAAAGAGTTCATTGCCTAAAACCGAATCAAACAATAGAGTTACTGTGAGAGCAGATCACATGCTGCTGCTGCTGCTGCAGCCCTCTGGTGTCTGCTCCACGTTTCATGCGCAGACAAGAGAGGGATTTTTATTATGGAAGACTGAAATACTTTTGTTCATTGACAACAGCTGAAAGATAAGCTTTATTTGATGAAACCTCCACTTTCAAACAGTCAGTAATTAACAGCTGGATGAGATGCAGTCAGTAAAAGGAGCTAAAACCTTCCCCATAACAATGTCTCTCTGTCTTTACATATTGTGTACTGTTTATGCATTCTTCCATGGAGTTATTTATCTGTCATCAGCTCAGCTGCAGTTTGGAGCAGCTATGAAGAGGTTTTAGCATGTGGCAAAATATGATAAGATACCATTCTCCTTTATTAGTTCCACAATGGGAAATAAAGGAGTGTCTTTATCTTAATTTGTTACATGCTAAAACCTCCTCCTAGTAGAAAGAAATGAGAACTGATGCTTCTTTATGACCTACATACACAGACCAGACCATCAACCAGGAAACTGTGTTTCTATGCAGTCTTTTTTAAGAAGAAGGAACAAGACAAGTGACAGCATGAAAAGGCCAAGTTTTCAATGCTCTGCTCTTTAACTTATAAGTGAGTTATGGTGCCTAAGTGTAGTGTCTTTGCAGTCTTTATATTTAACGACATATGCAACAGGGTGAAGAGTAGAGGAACTTCATTTTCAACTGTGACTTAAAAAAAGTTTAAAATAAATACAGGTGCAGCTAAAAATGTCCCAAAAAGTTCTTTTTTCCCCAAAATTGAATTTAAAAAGTGAAACTTACACAAATTTTAGATTTATCACACACAAAGTGAAATATTGCGAAACTTTTTGTTTGAATCTTGATGTTTACAGCCCACAAAAATCAAACATCCACTTCCTTCAAACATCAGAAAATTGTGCAAAGGTCATTTTTTATGTTAGGTCTGTCAGTCCTGAAAAGATCTCTTATCAGCTGATTAACTTTGCAAAGTCTCTAAGTCTTGCTCAGTCCACACAACTACAATCATGGTGCAGACTGCTGACTGACAGTAGTCCAGGAGGGTCAGCCCCAGAGGGTCCCTGTTGAAAAGTCTGGTTAGTCCCAGAGTCTGTAAGAAGTAGATTCATGGACTGAATGTAAAGTGAGGGAGGAAAAGCAGAGCAAGACACAGGGATGAGAGCAGCCTGGAGAGTATCATCAAACAAGGTCGATTCAAGAACTTACAGGCGCTTCACAAGGAGTAGAGTGAGACTGAGGAGCATCATGAACCACTACACACAGACAAGTCCAGGACATGAACTACGAGCATATGTTGGTAAAGATTTGTGTGTGTACAGAGAAACTAGGTGGCTGCCAGCAGAAGTTGACTAAAGATGGTGAGAAAGGATTTACAGTGCGCTCTGTGAGACAGTGGTAAACCCCAGAGCTGTGTGGCTGGTGAACTTCTCAAAATTACAACTCAGAGGTGCTGACAGAACGACTCCGGTGTGCTGGGAGTGTCTCAGTGCCACGACTCAACTGCTTTCTGCAGATTGTTAGGGAATTGACCAAGGGTGTGTTTCTTGACCTATGGACTCCTGAAAGTGTGACTGGGTTTTCAACCCTTACAGGAGACCACTCACAGCTTGATTCAGATCCTTTTACTGTCTTTACCTGCCAAAAAGAATCAACTTTTGCTGCGTTCAAATTCAACTTTCTGCAGAGATTTTTATGTGTGTTAGTATCCTCTTCTACGTTATATTATTGAATGTGAAAAGAACATCATTAAGGATACAAGAATCTGTTATGTCAGAAGTTCAGAAGTGCTCTGAAGAAAAAGAAAGGATATTTGATGATAAAACAGCTGAGAGCGTATGCAGGTCATGTAGAAGAGTGGGGACACACACACACATACACATAGAGGCACAGCAGCTGTCTTCAGGGTGTTAACCTCAGCACACCATCAGCCACGTAGATACACGACTTAAAGAGAACCTGAGGTTGGAGGGACCGAGCTCACCAAATGAGTCTCCAACACAAGAAACCAAAGAAAGAGAGAAAGACACTAATCAGAAAAACGGGCACTGAGAAAGGAGACACCAGAATACACGACCACCTGCAACATTTGAGTTGTCAACCATCAAACTATCTGAATGGATGTTGTTTGCACTGTTATGAAATAGCCAGTTTAATAAAGACCTCTTTTTTTTTACAGTTTTTTTAAAGACCCGCTCCAGTGAAAATCATGTTTTCTTGTTGTCTACATGTTCATATGGCATTTTTCTGATGCTACAGGACACATCATGAGAAAAGTAAGTGCGAAATTGCATTTCTGAGTATTTCTGCATCCAAATCGCTGTGAATTTCTGGCAGACCCAAATGGCAGGTTCGGAAACAGTGAGATTTCCTACGTATCAAATCCAATGTCCGCCCCCTCAGCCCCGCTATGCAGGCCAGGCTCAGAAAAGTAGAGAGGATAATCGCCAAACAAGCGTGTGTGTATGCGAACTGAAGTGCTCATAAAAGAGAAAATTATGATATTAACCTCATCATGTCCCCAAAGACATTAGTGTCAGAGAGCAGAACAGCTCCTATGTTACCTGTTACTTCTACTATACTGATAATGTTAGGCTACAAGCTAGCGTAAAGAGGAGGGTGCAGAGCAGTGCTGTCTCCGCCCACGACTCAGAGGTGAATTACTAATGAGCTACTGGAGCTCTGCAGGAGAAAAGCCCTTGAAAACGACAAAGGTAACATGATTTTGGCTAAAAACTTCATAATCACAATTTGAAAGACCACTGAGAACACTTTCAGTGGTAAAAAAAAAAAAAAAAAAAGGTTGGAGTGGGACTTTCAAGAGATGCTTGTTTTTTTTTTACCTTTTAGAACAACGGGGAGATAATATTAAGAGAGCAGTGAGACAAACGCTTCTTCCACAGAGGCTGTACAGTCCCTTACATAGACTTTCAAACAGGAGCTTAAAAAACAACAGGATGTCTAACACAACACTGCATGTTTTCAGCAGCCGTGGTTGATACTGCGGTCAGCATTTATTGTAAACCTAACGTCTGTGTGACGGAAATAACAAAGTCATCTGATTTGGTTGTGTGTATACCCTTGGGAGTGGTGCAAACAGAAGGTTCGAGTAAATTGTAACACATGCTGTGCACCTGCTGTGCACTTGCTGTGCACCTTTTACAAAGAGTCAGCGCTTGTAAAGTTCATCCAAACTCCGGGGGCACGACTGAATCATTTTGAACCTTTTAGCAGATCAAGTTTAGTGGCTGTTTAGCTCCTTCTATGATGCTCAGGTCTCGTTAATCTAATCAATGAAGCACAAAGCTGAATTTTGAGCTTCTGTTTAACTCACGGTGAAGTAATTGGAAACAGTTTGGGGTAAAGGTGCCCAGATATGAAGCACATTTTGCTCCCCCTCGTGCTCCTTTGAACAACATAGTTGGTGGCCTTTAAATGTTGTTCTCAGCCTGGAATTTTTTGAAATTCAACATTTTCTTAGTTGTCAAATTTTCACCAAAGTGACCTATCTGTACACACAACAACCCTGTGATAGTGTTTCTGCTAAGTCTAACCTCGTAGTTGTTCTCTATGAAGGGAAACTGTCTCGGCTGCAGGAATTGGGTCTTGGGGATATCCAGCCCATCTTCACCGTACAGGAACTGGACCACAGATCCATCGCTGTCTCTGACTGTCAGATCATACTGAACGACCAAACCCTCCAGATGCTTGATGACACATCTGCAGAGAAGAGAGTGAGAGGGTCAGAGGGAGGAAGGAGTCTGAGGGCTGAAGTCGCACTTTATTCTTGGTCAACAAAAAAGTCACTACTTTAAGTGAAAAATAAAAAGCTCTCTGGATGAATTTTTTCAATCATCAACTTCCTAATTACACCACCAGGTGTTTCCTTCTTGCCAAACTTCTTACTGACGGTCTTGTAGCCCACCCCTGCCTTATGTTGGTCTACAATCTTGTCCCTGGCCTCCTTTGAAAGTTCTTTTGTCTTGCCCATGGTGGTAAAGGAGTGGTTTTGTTGTTAGGTGTTGTTTGTACCTATAATGAGCAGGGATTAGGACAGCTCAGTCCCACCCAATTGTTTTTTTTTTAATCATTAAAATTGTTCTCAGTGGTCTTTAAATTGTGATTATAAGGCTTTTATCCATGTTTTCAACATGTAAAGCATTTTGTGCTGCATTTCTTTTTGCATGAAAAGTGCATTTTAATAGAGTCTGATTTGATTTGATAAAACAAAAGTAGCATATAAAGTAAAGGCTGCTTATTTCTTTTTAATCGAGAAAACTAACAAGATCTGCAGGAGATCAAATAATTCAATCCCCCAGTGTATACGACCATCCAAACAGGACAGCAGCTTTTTCTGAGTGACTGAGCTCTGAGGTTTACCTCTGCAAGTATCCTGATCTGGAGGTTTTCACAGCTGTGTCCACCAGTCCCTCTCTGCCGGCCATACAGTGGAAGAAAAACTCCTAAACATGGATTAGACACAGTCAGGGTTGGAAGTGGAATTTCTATACAACTATCTATTTTAACACACACAAACAGAGAGTGAGCTTTCTTTGAGTACCTGTGGTTTGATGCCTGTGAGGAACCTTCCTGAAACAAAGCCCCCTGCACCAGGGGAAGGGTCATATGGTTGGAAGCATGGCAAAGATTTCCCAGAAGGCATTAGAGGAGGTCTACGACCCTCCAACTCAATCTGCCCAAGTAAACATGAAATCTGAAACACACAAATACAGAGACAGGTTTGGGTATGAGCATGTTATCGTTTGTGCAGCTTTGTCAAAGTTAAAGGATTATTTTTGTTTGAATCTTGAGCATCTATTTAAAGATGACCCCGTATAGATTAGAAGAGTAAAATCTTACTGAATTTTAAACCCTCAAGGACTAAGAGATGATAAAGCGGAGGTGCAACAGCTTGAAAAAAGTTCCTGTGACAACTGAAATAACTCAGAGAGTTGGTTAAGTTGAAACCCTGAAATAAGGCAAACTTTGAGCTTTTTGTTTCAAAGAGGACAGGGCCTCACACACAGCACAGAGAGGTTAACTCAAGCCTGTTCCAGAAAGACAGGTAACTTGACTTCTTTATCAGTTACTATTTTATCTCGGTCTATAAACCTAACCTAGTCAGGTGAAGGTCCACTTCAATTAAAAACAGATTTTTTCTGTTTGTACCTCCTGTCAGAGACAGAAACTCAGAGTCAGTCCTTCTTCCATTCAATAAGTCTGTATAGTAACATACTAACCAATAGAAAACACATGTCAGACATGGCATGACATTTTTCCAGCTGTTGTCATGGTAACTTGGAGCTACATTAAAACGGTCATGGAGCAAATGCAGAACTTTTGATGACCCTACCAAGTGTTGATAAAAAAAAATCAGCTGTTTCAAGAACCAAAAACACCATCTACAGGTAAATCAACTCCGAGTGTAGTATTTCACTCAGACTTTGTTGAACCTCCTTCCTGAAACGGGCCTCAGCTAATTGATGAGTACACACACACACACACACACACACACACACACACACACACACACACACACACACACACACACACACACACACACACACACACACACACACACACACACACACGTATATGTTTGTATGTAGTACATATTTATCCTCTGTGGTCATGTTGGAGCACCACAGAGGCACATGAACTACAGCTTCACTGTAGCAGCCATTTGGGCCAGTGGCATCCATGGAAGAGGAAGCACTGAATTTGACAAGGCTGCAGATTTTTTTAACACTAATACACTGTGCACTCTGCTCCGATATACTGTGGTTGTTACTAGGTTAGTGGCTGTTAAAGTTTTAAAGGGATGTTAGAGCGTAAAATTTATTTAGGGTCAAACACACCATAACACAGAGTTAGACACCCGGTCGAGAGATGAATGTTGCCGACTCAGCAGGATAGCAATACACAGTGTACACATGATCATAAATGTTCTTCCTTGAGCTGTGTCAGTAGTATATAGCCCCTACTTTATTTATTTATTTATTTTTTGGGGGGTGGGGGCAGACGTCACATCCAGGTGTGATGGTGGGAATGGATGTCACATTTGGGTGAAATGTCACTGACGCCACATCCTGTGATGTTAAATCCGGTAATTTGGCATGAGGCGACATAATATCCATTATATGTTGGTAAACAAGCTTTTGATCCCATTTAGCAGCTAGATGTCAACTTAGAGTAGACGATGTGTCTCAGAGCACAGGACGCAGTGACTGTGTTTGTCACCTACTAGCTTCCTCTTTCTCACAGCCCCATTTCTGGGTTGTCAACAACTCGATCCCTTCTCCTTTACCACTCTCACGTCTAGCTGTATGGGGGTGTTTAAAATGCTGTTTCTAGCCCAAGACACTCTGGCGCTTACGTACGAGGGGGTGTACATGAGTCAGAACAGAATGTACTCTGAGGTCTCCATGCGGTGGCTGGGATACTTGGCCCACACAGAAAACATCGTGATCCAGCACGCATGCAATCTCGGTGAACACAAAGTGGGAAAGTACTTTGTAGACGGGTACAATGCAGTCACCAAGACGTGTCATGAATTTGCAGGTTATTTTTTTCACTGTTGTGTCAGGTGTCATGTCCAGTCAGATATCAATCCTGTTGCTCTAGGCCACAGTGAGCTGTATTGTTCATTTATGAACAAGGTCGCTGCTCTGGAGAACAGTTTTGGTCTATGCGTTGTTGTGATGTGGGAGTGAGAATGGGCAGAGCTGACCAATACGGACCCAGCTGTCCAATCATTTTTAGCCACGTACGAAGCCCCTGAATGTCTTGATCCGTGACAGACTATCTTTGGCGGACGCACCAATGCCATGAAGTTGTACCACATGACCGGCTCTCGTGAAGTCATTCTTTATTTTGACTTCACAAGCCTGTATCCATTAATGAAGTCCAAGAAACCATATCCAGTCAGTCATCCACAGATTATCCTAAGGGATTTTAAATCCTTGGATAAGTATTTGTTGAAATGCACTGTGCTCCCACCCAGACGTCTTCTTCACCCGGTCCTCCCCTACAGGTGTCATAAAAAACTCATGTTCCCACTATGCCATACTTTTGCTGAAGAGTTAGACCAAGCCACTGAATGAGAGGCAGCTTTCAGGTGTATGGGTCTCGCTCGAGCTCCAAAAGGTTGTTAAAAAAATGGTACCAGGTGGTGCTTATTGACAAAGTGTGGCACTTCCCCAACAAGTCAGCCCCTGTTTTGACGTGAGAGGGGTAACCGGGAGCCTCTTGATTACATTTCAGAAATGTCTTGACATAGTCACGAAACACGTTTTTATGCAGTGGACAATGTGTCCTGCCTGGTAGTTTGCATCCAGTGAAGTGCGTTGATTTTCACAAAGGTTTTAAACCCAAAATAATTCCTGCCTCCGCCTTACACTGGCAAACTAGACTCATATCATGACCAGTGATTATACCACATGTATGCTCAGTACAGGTAGTACAGGTTCAGTCTGTGGAACGAGCTGCGGGATTAACATTATGGTGACTTGCATGTCAGATCAAATGTCTGAACAGCGAATTGTAGTTAGCCTTTCTAGAGTCCTAACAGCAGGAGGTCGTGTGTGTAACTTGTTAAAAACTGCAGCACTCAAACTTAAATGAACTTTAATGAAAGGATTTCACAAGAAACCCTCTATTTTCTAAACACTGTTTTGTGTGTGTGTGTGTGTGTGTGTGCGTGCGTGCGGTACCTGCATGGTGTTAACAGTAGAGCCCTTCGCTCCTGATTGGACCATCAGCTGCAGGTTGTTGTCTGGGAAAGAGGTGTGGAGTCCGATGGGCATGCACACCTGCAGAAACACCACAATCTTTCTTCATCATCATCATCATTGTTTGTTTTTGAAGCTGCAAAGAGTGATGAAGCTAGGTGTGCGTGTTTGAGCCCTGAACGAATGTGTTCGCATTAGTGTCATCAGACATATAGTTCCTCATCAGTCACTGAACTGTGTACGTCAGCACTCCCGGCTGCAGTGGTGCTTCACCTTGTTAATGTCATTGTTCACTTGGTTGGCCACTTCTTTAAACTTGTGATCGGCCATGCTGAAGTCTCTCTGGTCTGGATTGAGGTGAGCATCCTGCCAGCGGCCCCTCGCTTCATCTTGATCCACATTGGGGGGCAGATTGAAAGCTGCCTGAAGAGCCTGAGAGACAGGAAGGAAGACATTTTGTATCTTATTTCAGATCTAAGCACTTTGAACCTTTATCCTCAAGATGTATTCATAAAGAAGGGCCGACATTAATATTAAACTCTCTGTCTTTTCTTTACTCTAACTCCTGTTTTACTACTGTTGTTTTGGGGACTGACTGTGATGTTATTTGGTTTTACATGTTGCAGGTAGTGGTGTATTCTGGTCTATCCTTTTTTCTCTGATTAGTGTCTTTCTTTCTTTGGTTCCTTGTGTTGGAGACTCGTTTGGTGAATATGCATTTCTCTCACAGCCGTGAGCTCAGTCCTTCCTCCTCGCTCAGGTGCTTTTTATTAACTGGTGTATCTTCATGGCGGATGGTGTGCTGAGGTTTTCACCCTAAAGAAAGCTGTTGTGCCTCTACATGTATGTGTGTGTGTGTGTCCCTACTCTTCGATATGACCTGCACATGTTCTCAGCAGTCCTGTTTAATAAAGTCTTTTCTGGAAGTGTTTTTGCATTTTTTGGTTTCTTGGTAAAACTGCCAGCTATTGTGTATCCAAAGTCATGACGCCTAAATAAAAAATGTTCGGTTCTCGCCCCACCCAAAAGCAGTTTCAATAGAGACGATAGCTGTGTTTACATGGGCTCAAATAATCAGAATAAAGGCCTGAGTGGAATAAAAATGCGTCATTTAAACATGTCGGTCAGAAAATTCTGATCCAATTGGGCTCTATTGGAAAGAAACTGTATTCCAATCCAAAGAGGTGGTTTTTGACGATCGTTATTCCGAACTGCGTCCATGTAAACACTTATTCTGATCGTGACTCTCTAAATGCAAGTTGATGACATAAGTGCAAGTGATGGACTTGCAGCCGTAGCTCACACAGAGCAGAATAACAAACAAACACGGCTGAAGGTCATGAAGAAGACGTTTCTGAGCAGCTTGTTACTGAACGAGGCTCCACATGAGGGATTTCCTTTAAGACTGGGGTTTAGATGAGTAAAATCAGGTATGCCTGACAGTGGACAGTGGATCTGCTGCTGCTGTTCACTTTGTGCAATAAGAGTTTTGAAAAAATGTTGAAAATATTTTCTTATGTCATTAGTTTTCTCCATAACCTACCACCTAAACTTGAGGTTAAGTAGCTTATTTGACTACTCCAACTGGTGTTCTCAAGACTAAATGAGTCAAAAATATAGATGGGTATTATAATATTTTTCATCCAGACTTTTATCGTTATCGTCAGAATAGCAAATCTTATCATGATAAATTTTTTAGCCCATATCACCCATCCCTAATAACAGATTAATGGATGACTTAATTTTATAAATATAAATTGTTTCCACTGTTTCACTGTTTACATATAAACAGTGGATTCAGATTTTCCAATCCCTCTAAGTTTTTATCGGATTAAGAGATTTTGCACACGTAAAGATGGTTGCTGTGTCTCATATGGTTACAGAAACTCCCCTGTCTTCAGTCTCTCTGGGAACACTTGGATGAAAAGCTAAAGCAACACACAAATATGCCTATAAATCAATAAACAGATTACAAATGTTTCGAAAAGTCTTACCAAGACCTTTTTATGACACCTCCAGAGCAAAAGCACTCTTTTCACCTTTAATTTAATACACACGTCCTGTATATGTTTGTATGTAGTACATATTTATCCCCTGTGGTCATGTTGGAGCACCACAGAGGCCCATGAACTACATCCTCACTGTAGCAGCCATTTGGGCCAGTGGCATCCATGGAAGAGGAAGCACTGAATTTGACAAGGCTGCAGAACTGAACATCAATTTTCTGTGGATCAGCGACAAACTATTTGTCTCTATTTTTGTTTTTGTGGGCGGGGCACCAGATACAGTCTACTGCTTGGAAACTGCTGCAGGTGCACGTCTCAAATACAGCCAACCACCGGTTTGGAGGGTACACACCTCTCGAGTTGTTATTCAGACAACAAACTTAGCCGCCAATGACGCCTTGTGATTTTAAAGAGACGTTTTGTCTTGCTAATGTAACTTAAAAGCTGCACTCAGTGTGTGGACTTATCTAAATGTTTATGACATCAAAACATTTTACATCAAGGGCTGAAGGCACACAGCAAAGCCACGTAAATACAGAGGAAACTCTTTATCAGGTCTTGAGTTTGTGACAAACTCTCTCCTCTCACTCACACTGATGTCGTCCATGAATCTGATGAGGTCTGATGCTGGACTAGAGTACATTTTCTGAGTGAAGCCCAGAATATGGAACAGGAAAGTGTGCTTTGTATGACAGTGTATAAGAAGTGAATTGATCTGTAATTGAACTTCGTTAGAATAACACTCAGGAGAAACCTGCTGTTCTTCTAACTCACTTTTGTGCCGATCTTCAGTGAGTGCTTGATGATTTTTTTCCTTTGCTTGTTGGCTCCCTGTTTCACCAGAATGTCCTCCACCCCTGGACACAACCAAGACAAGTTTGAGACACAGCATTCAAAGCCGGCAAGTATTCCAAAGAATGCAGATGTTTAAAGTTGTACTGTAGTGGGGGGTTTCTTACCCAGAGTAAAACCTCGGTACAGCTGCAGGTATGCAGTGAAGAGTCGTGCCAAGCAGCTGAGCAGTTTCCCGCTGGTCTCTCCTCCATAAAGCTCATAGCAGCAGTGCACCAGACCATAGGCTGAGGAGCCATAGTGAGCTTTGTCCAGAACCCCCACCAACAGCTCCCCATGACGGATCACCACCTGGGAGACAAAGGACAAAGGACAAGAAGAGGGGTTGGTAAATAGAGAAATGGAAGAGAAGCCATTTTCACTCACCACCACCAAGACATCAAGCTCTGAGTGTGTATTTGTGTGTTTGTGAGTGCACGTGTTGTACCTGTGAGTCGCACATGCTGTCAGGTTTATATCCTGGGGCGCTTCGGGATGGGACTTGGATCCAGGCTTTGCTGGGGATTTTTGATTTGCTCACTAGGTTGAGAGGCACAGCATTCTCTGGGATCACATTCAACAGCAGGGTCGATACCACCTAGACAAAAAACACCAAAGTTATGAGCTTCAAATGGAACTAAGTCAAACTGAACATGAATGATTGATACTTTCATGATTAGCACAGCCTCATAAAATATCTCTGCTTCCTTTACCTGCTTCCCAGTCCAGAGTGGCTGTGGTTTGAGGATGGCCGGTGGGAGGAGTTTGACTCTGCCCGGTTTGTCGGTCAGTCCTCTGTACACCAGCTCTGTGTACTGAAACCGGGTGAAGAAACAGCCTCGTATCGTCATCCTGGTGCCTGAAACCATGTGGTCTTGGATCAGCCCTGCTAAAGGTTTCCCATCCTGAAGACAGAGGATAAAAAGTCCATCTGGTGGGTTAACAACAAGTTCTCCTACATTAGAGTCTCCGCCTGCAGCTCAGCGGTATAAGCATATTTGTACAAGTGTTTATACTATGTCTGTACTGACGACTACATTTTGATCATGTGGCAGATTAACCCTGGGCTTCAGTTATAGTTGGACAGTATTTTCATTCTTCTGTGTAGATCAGCAGCAGATCAGACACCCTTTTATTAAAGACACATGCAAACACTTCAAGTCTAAGAAACACCACAGTCTCCTTAAGGCTCATTTATGCTCAACGTTGAACACAGATCCAGATACAAACGGCGCTCTCAGTCCGTGCTTAGTGTTCTTTTCATCTGTATTTCTGCACGTATCCTTGAAGTTAAAGGATACGGGCCAGACGGAGCAGTACCACTGGAAAACATGGGGGCAGTGTTGCTGCTGTCACTACCCAATTCACATGTATAGAGAGAAACGAAGAAGACATTGGCAGAGGATTGTCTTCAATTTCTTTCTTCGGTACTGCTCGAGAAAAGAATTCTCCAACCTGATTGACGACCGCCTCCTCCAAAACTGCCTCCGTTTCTCTCTCCTATGCAAAATGTACATTATCATTAACTCCTTCACAGTTTTCATGTTTCTTTTTGTCTTTTTTGACTTGACTCCAGCCTGCCCCCTGGTGGATGTAATGGTTAACATCCATACCAACGTAAACGACACACGGAAGTATGTAGGAAACCATTGTTTGAAACAGTCGTGTACATTTTCATACATGTGGCGAGCATAAATGAGCCTTTAGACTGCAGACAGCGCTGTAGTTCATGTCAAAACAGCGTGTGAACATCCTCACCTTGGGGACGAGGTACTGTTGATCAGTGCTGACCAGCGTGTAGGCCTCTGCTCTGCCCAGCTCACTCTGAGGGAAGTGTGCGTTCATTTCATCTCCGTCAAAGTCAGCGTTGTATGCCTTGCAGTTGGCATAGTGGAGTCTTAGTACCTGAAGCACCAAATCATGTCAAGAAGTTTGTTGTTGAAGATTATTCCTTTCATATTCCACCTTGTTTTTATAATGGATCAATAAAGCAAACACCAATTAGACCTGACCTTCTCTCCAGGTAAGATCCGTGCACAGTGGGCTTGTATAGAGGGTCTGTGCAGGGTGGGCTGCCTGTTCAGTAACATCACATCTCCATTCTTTATGTGACGGTTCACCTGGATGAACAAAAGGATTAGACAAGTCGTTTTCAATGACCAGGATCTGTCCGACCACACCAGAGAGATCACGGGGTCTAATAAAGCAACTGTGATAACAACAGTAGCATCTGACTTACAATCTTCATGGGCATCTTGTGCGGGCCAGGACAGGGTGTCAGCAGTTGCTTGGCAACAGCCTCCCTCTGTGCAAGGTTGCTGGCAGACAAAATGGTTTTCCTACCATCTTCACCGATCACCATGGAAGCACCAGGGTGGACATTGGGCCCGTTAATGACGGCCTGACGGAGCTCCTTCACGTTCCAGGGGGTGACGGGCTGAGGGTAGGTCAGCTTAGTGGCAAACACCTGCAGACAGACAGACATACAGACAGGAAGAAGAGCTGGTTTCTTCTCTGGACCACACTTGCTCTGGTGTGAATATAGAGGCCCAATTACACAATACTTGGGAAGCTGTGTAAAATGTTGGTATGAACAGAATTTAATGGTCAGAATTTCATTATTGAAGCCTTCATTTCATTAGAACTAGGGCAAAGACAGCACACTGAAAAAAAATACGTGCTTGTTTTATATTTACGTCAAAAGCTCCACTGTGTCGCATCTCCTGTGTTTCAACACTTTAAACACTGGGGACCTAACTTCCCTTACTGAGGTCCAAAGCATGTGGGAGGAGTGCCTTAACATGAAATGAACTGAGTGGCAGTGGGAATCTGCACTCTCTCTTGTACATTTTTCATGGATCTGAGCTTGACTCAATGTAAGGTTCTTTTTAGATTTCACTCCACAAACACAAGACTTGCTAGAATAAATCCTTCTATTAGCGATTCCTGTGGCAGATCTAACTCATCTCCTGCAAACTATACTCATATGTCTTGGTCTTGTACTAAACTGGGGTTGTTCTGGTCATACACTTTCGATACATTGACTAGGGCATACGGTTATGTTATTGCCCCAAATAGTTTGCCTGTAATTTTTGGCATTGCTCCCTTTGCAGGCGCTCCTAAAAATTTGAAGCAGGCCTTGGCATTTACCACCCTGTTGACCCGTCCACTGATTCTCCTCAGTTGGAAACTCCTTAGTCCCCCTGTACATTCTCACTGGGTTCGTGAGGCGCAGGTTAACATTTAAGGGCTCTGTCAAATCATTTCATGTTACTTGGGATCCTTTTCTGAACTATATACAGTCCCTTGTTTTGTCCTCTGAGCTGGAAGAGTGACACGAGTAATTATTCCTTTACTTTTTAGTATTTTTACTTGATTAGTATTTTTTTTTATTATACATATGTACATATTCTGATTCTCTCTTAATGTATTTGGTTATTCTTTGTTTGAACTGTTTATTTGTTTTTTTTGTTTTTTTTTTGTAATCAGCCTGACACTGGGTGGGGGTAGGGAGGGAATTAACATTCAGATGTGATGATTGATGTTCATTTTGTATTCTTATAACTGGTGCCGTACTAAACACTGTCAGTCATAAATGTTCTATGAAAAAAGTCGGAAAAAAAAAAAAAAACATTCAGGACCTACAGAGACCAGGTTCTGGAGTTTAAAAGTGAAACTTTGTCCCAGTTGTGCCTGATAGAGGATTTCAGCTGCTCAACAGTTCAGGGTCTCCTTTGTCCTGTTTTTGGTGTCATGATACTCCAAATGTTTTCAATGGGGACAAGTCAGGACTGCAGGCAGACCAGCTCTTCTACAGAGCCATGCGGTTGTAATCTCTGCAAAATGTTATTTTAAGTCTTTTCTCCAAACCATCAAATTCTGTTTTCATCACTCTTGTACACAGTGTCTCAACTCTTATTGAACTGGGGATCTACTACTGCATCAAAATTTCGGTATGGGAAGCCCAAGTAGACATACCATTGGTATCCCGATCTCATTTGTCCCAATGTACATGTCTGGACAGATGACAGACCTTGCGGCGTAGTCCACTCGTTTCCCCATCATGTGTTTCCGAAACAGTCCTTCCTTCTTCTCCAAAATCTGTCAAGAAGCAGAGGAAACAATAAAAGAGCTGAAGCATCCTTAGGAGTGAGCAAACAGTAACATTAAGGACTAATACATTTCAACATGAGCATATATGATACCTGTCTGATTCCAGGGTATTTCTCTTTCATCAGTTTGTCCAAGTCGCTGTCAAACACAATGTTTACGTGGGCCTGTAGTTGAATCCAGATGTTGTAGAGTTTATCTGTTAACGTCTGTCCTTGGACACCTGCCAGAAATGTTTGGTCTGTCTGTTCTGGAGCCTGAAAAAGACAGGAAGAGACATTTTTCTACAGACATCCATGACCTGAATGAATGAGAATCTACATGCACATACAGGAAGAGACATGTTTGGACGCTCTGTCACTGTAAGTATATGACAGCTACAGAAACTTGCTGCTTCATACCTCTTCCTCCAGAGCAGTTTTCTCCCCTGCTATGAGAGCCAAGAGTTTCCTTATGACCTCACAGTCCTTCATTACCGCCTGCATGTTGACTGTCTGGCCGTTTGTAAACATCTGGTCACCCAGTCGATTGATAGGTCGATACCTGACAGATAGAGGACAAGCATTATGGACAAACAACGTCTACTAACGTCCATATTTCACAGATATAAAAGTCCACACAAGCCTCTTTGAATATCAGCTTTTTGTGCCGTAAAAAATGAGACTACGAGAAATCGTTTCAGAACTTCTTCCACCTTAAATGTGACCTGAAACCTGAACAATTCAACTGAAAAAAATACATATATAAATAATTTTGGTAGGAGTAAAAATAAGAAACTAAAATATTATATTTGTATAAATATGCACACTCTGAAACTAATACTTCAATCTTTGAATTTATTACAGCACTCAGTTTTTTGGGGTCTGTTAGTGTGGCACATCTTGACTTCCCCCTCTCTTCTTTGCAAAAAATGCTCCAAATCTGTCAGATTGTGAGATTCTCCTGAGCACAGCCCTCTTCAGATCACTCCACAGGTTTTCAGTTGGATTCGGGTCTGGGCCGCTCCAAAAATGTAATCTTCTTCTAGTGGACCTACTCTTTTGTTGATCTGCATGTTGGCTTTGGGTCGTTGTCAGACTAAGAGAAAAGGTTCCTCTTCAGCAGAAGTCTGAAAGTTTTGTGCCAACGCTGACCAGTATTTGGAACTGTTCCTAGTTCACTCTACTCTGACTAAGGCCCCAGATCCAGCTGGAGAAAAACAGCCTCAAAGCATGAAGCTGCACTTTACATGATTCACTGTGAGTATTTTGAACCTTTTGGAGTTCTGGACAAAAAGTTTGACCTCTTTTTTATCAGACCACAGTTCATTTCCTCACATAATTTTGGAAGACTTCAAATGGTGTGACTGGGAGACTGTCATCATGTGTTCTTCACAGGTAGTACTTCCCAAAAATCCCTACAGCTCCTTTAATGGCAGCCTCCCTGACCAATCTTCTTCTCATCAGTTTTAGAGGGACGTCAGGTTCTTGGTTCTGTCACTGTTGGGTTATATTTCCTCCACTGTCTTCACTGTGGTCCCTGGTTTATCTACTGCTCTCCAGACTGATACCATAGAACATGTTGCTCTACAGTTCTCTGTGGATGAGACTAATAAACGTCAGGAGAAGTTGACTAGAGGAGCTGAACTTTGAGTTTGATCAGAAGCGAGTGTGTACTGAGTCTGACTCCTCTTAAACATGAGTTTAAATCTGATCGGTTTGTTCTGAGCACAGCCACATACCCAGGTATCAGAGGGTGTACACAGTAATGCATCCACAATGCAACCATCCCGGAAAGTTTTCAACTTGTTTGTCAGTTGAATTGTTCAGGTTCCAGGTCAAATTAGAGGTGGAAAACCTTCTGAAATTATTAATCTCGGTTCCATTTTTTTACAAAACAAAAAGCTGATATTTGCGTGTGCGGAGAGTTTTATACCCACTGTATATGTCCACTGAATAAACTCTGGATGGGTTTAGACTGACACCTTATACAGATCCACTTTACACACCGCTGTATTATGTGAGCGTTTGTTCTCAGAGTACCTTGATGGTGGGACCACCAGTAGCTCCAGGAAAAAGAGATCTGGACAGAAACCTTTCTCACCCTCCTGCAGCCCAGAAAACAGACACTTCAAGAAGAAACCTGGAGGACAGAGGAGGGAAATTTGAGATTATATTTCAAAACTGGTTGAACAGCAAAAAGTGAATTTTGTTTTATTTGTTTTGCTGCCATGGAGTTTTGCATCTTTAAACTGGATCAACAGCCCAGAAGATGAAAATCTCTTGAGTGAATCTCAGTAATTTACATCTTCGCCAAATCAAACTTGGACTACAAGAAGTGACCAGAAAAATCCTGTTCCTCGCCCACAGACACCCGGAAAGAGATCTCTGTCAAGATTATCCACGTAGTTTATGGACCCACCTTCTTTCTCCCACAGTTTGTGGATGTGTTCCCTCGCAGTGTTTGCTGTAAGGTACACTCTCTTCCCAGCCTTGAGATTTTCTGCAAAAATAAATAAATAAATGACATAGTGTGCAAAACAGAATGTATTGTGTATTTTATGATGATGTTAGCTCTTTGGATCAAATCCTCCAGAGGTAAAGCGTTTATGTTGATGTTATCTGCAGATGGCATCTTATTTGCAGGACTCACCATCATGAACTTCATTGGTCTGTGCACCTGCAGGAACTGTGAAAGTCAGCTTACTGTTGTGTTCACGACGCACTGCAAACCTGCCAGCCCTGCATGAAGAAACAACCATGAAGCAAAACATCAGCTGACTACAAGGCCGAGAAGTCACCAGTCATGAAACCATCTTTATTCAGTTTTTGCTTCTTGCTGTGATTCTTGGATGAAGAACCAACTTTGCCAACACCTTGAAAATACACAGACAGGGCAAACAGCAGCAGCAGCTGCTAACCCAGTGCTGAGCTCTTGTTTCACCGCATTTGGTCAAAACTAATGCCAGTCCAGTTAAGTACTTAATTTACACTTAGTCCTTTTTTTTCTTGTTTTGAATCACTTGAAGCTCTTGATAGGAGTTTTTGACATTTATGAAATAGGCTGAAATACACACTGATGCATTTTTATGACACAGAAAATCTAACAATACCCTCAGCAACAAGTTTGAAGATTTTTTAATTGTAATTTTTGATGCCTAAAACCTGCGCATGGGGGTAAGTGCTAGCCAAGCGGCTACAGAACCAACTCTATTTTTTACAATATTACATATATTCTAAAAATTTAATATTTGACTGTCAAAAGTCAGCAGGGTCGGATTTGTTGTGTCAAAATCACAACTCGAGGAGGACATGGAGAACAAGAGGGGAAAAAAACTACTTAGTCCAGAGAGGGTGCCAAAGCTGACACAAACTCAAAGTTCCTTGATGGAGCTTTAACTTTTAGAGCATCATACTAAGTAGTCATTCTTCTTTGGCTTCAAAAGCTGCTAAAGTTTGACGTAAACACAGAAACACAGACTTTTTGAAATTTCCACGCAGAAAGACTAGCGCTCTCTTCTCTCTTTGGGTCTTTTAAGTTACCAAACACATGAACAACATCAGGCTCTTGACAGAGCAGGTGAGACATGCTCAGGGTCACAAGGTTTTTACAGCATGTCAGTAACAGCTCTTAGTAATGTGTCTTAACAGGGTGAATTTTCATTTTGAAATGATGTTAGAAACAAAAACATGCCCTAGTGACACGATCAATCCTGTCTGTCTTCACCTGAGCTGGTTTTCAAAATCACACAGGTATGTTCTTGTGTTATCTAGTTACCTGCAATGAGGGCATTTTTTTGTTTTCATGTTGATCCTCCAGAACTCATTTATGAGACTGTTCCTTTTTTCAACAACATGTTTAATCTGTAAAAAAAAAAAAACAGTCAGAAACATGAGTCTGTGTGCCTCAGTGGAGCTGAACTCCTCCACCTTATACCGGTCTACAAAGTCCTCAGGTGTACGTGGGTATTTTCATGTTTTGTACTGACAGATTTTTGTACCCACCGGTTTGATGTTTTCTGAAAGTCCAGTGCTAGCTCCAATAACGGAGGCAGTATACTCCTTGAGAACCTGCTCGATCTCATCTCCAGTGGCTTTGGGATTCTCTTCCAAATACTGCCACACAAAAACACACTCAGTGATGGACTGCAAACACAAACTGTTGATCTACAGTAGTAACAAAACCACCATGGAGCTCTATGGAGCTCAGATTTTACCAGAGCAACAAACAACCACTAACTTCACCGTCTCTCAAACAACAACCAAGTGTAACTTTACATTCAGGTGATTACAGCAGCAAGTGAGAACCCACATGTTATTTTGTATCTTTAACTGCCTAATATTGTACACTATGTGAAAGTAAATTAATAAATAAAAAATAAACAAACCTGGTTGAGAATGTGTTCTATTTGGTAGACCTCCTGCATAGCTCCGTGGTCCAACAACTGTAGCTGCCTCTGCAGCATGTGGATGACAGCTCGGGGACAGGTTAGCATGTGACATGACATACAGGAACCACTAATCAGCAGGTACAGTTTCTGAGGGGGGTAAGAAGTCAAAGAAGAAGAAGAAGAGGAGAAGTCAATTAAAGCAGCAGTGTGTTAGTCATAAACCACTGATCAGAATTTAATCACTCAGACTGGTATAAAGTATCACACACAAACACATTGTGCTCAGGGTGTTTTTTCAAATAGCCTGTGTGCGTATACATGCCAGTGAACTCAGCCAGCGTCTGTAAAAGATTTTTAATCCTATCTTTTTTTTTAAATAGTGCAAAGACAACAGATCAAATGTTGAATCTGAAACCTGTTACTGTTCCATCAAAATATATATGTCCATTTTAACTTTGGTGCCAGCACCATGTTGTCAAAAACGTCAGATAGGGACAACAAAACACTAGAAAAGTTGTTTAAAGTTACAGGTTGAGAGGTCAGAAATATTCCCAACTGTCTCTGTATTGAGTAATAATTACATCAACAACGTTAACGATAACCAGAAAACATCTGACCCCCAAATCCTACAAAGTAATAAACCAACTAATACAGACTGGCTACCCTCCCCTCAGCGTGGTACTTCAGTGGCTCTGCAGGCCCACTTACGTCAAACAGCAGTGGGTTGTACACGGGAAGTGGTAGCTCTACGTGTCCCAGGTGTCCTGGACAGTTGTTGAATTCCTGACAGCATGTTGAACACACCTGGCAAAAACAATAGAGCAAAAACTGAATCAGAAAAAGTACCTCATACATACAGTCTAAACTTCTGACACTGCAAATACAGGTCTAGCATACACTGATCCAAGACTGCATACTGCAGTCTCAGGAGGGTTGTACCTCTTTGTTGTCTGCTGGTCCCAGGGCCAGATCGTAAAGGCTGTTTGGGGCCACATTCCCAACTGCATCCAAGAATCTGGGATTGGTGACCGCCTTCACACTCAATTTCCTGGACAAGAGATTTGAAGGGTGAAGAGTCAGTTTATCACCCACTGAACTGGAGTTACTGTTCATGTTTGTTGATGTTGGTAGTAAAGTGAGCATGTGGATTTATGGAAGTTCTCTGAATTCGGACTATTTAATGTTGTTGTAATATGTAATTCAAGTAAGCTATTTTATAATCAAGATTTATGTGGGAAATATCCTCTCTTTTTGAGGACATGCCCTGTAGTTGTAACAGCCCAAGTCTCAGGATTATAAAGTTTGATGAGAATCATCAGCACGGGCAGAAATGTAAAATATTTCAATTTGGAGTGAATCATATCACAGAGAAAAATCCTATTTGATGTAATTCTTCTTTATTCCATTGATGGTAGTGTACAAAGTTACATTTATGATATGGACATGCTCCATGTCTGTAAAAGAGCGGAAATGTTGCCTGCCTCTCACCCAAAACACAAATGAACAACAGAAACAGATGATCGGCCCCAACATAAGACAAACGACATTACAAAGTAAACTTCAGAGGCATATTCATTGCTTTTGATGATACTTCTGCATAAAAAAGAGGGGGAAAAATCACTTCCTACTGAGTTCATATCGTCTCATCATTCTTTTTTCAAACTTTTCTTTGATTGCAAAATATTCCTTTAACCTCTGCTCTCATTTGGTATTGAATTTGAGTTTGTTTCCAGTCACAGAAATGCACATCTGCTTTCAGCTCCTCAGTGCATGGTGAGGCTTGAAGATGCTCCTCCTCGTATTCTGAACTAATAACAATCTGTGGTCATTTTCTGGTGATATCTGATTTTTACTTTGAACATAACAATGAGAGTCTGCCATCCAGGAAAAAGAGATCTGGACAGAAACTCTTTTCCCTGGAGTTTGGTACCATCAGACTAAATCATGAAGTTTGAGTAATACTTTTTTGTTTGTGAACAGTTGATATGTTCTCTGATATCTCTGTTATTACTAATTCTCACTGCAGTTTTCTATGACAAACATTATGATTTGATATTACTGAACTGTTGGCCCATACCTCCACAGAAATGTTAAAATCAATGCTCAGTAGAAAATCCTTATATCCTTGTAATCTAAAAATACAAACTTGAGTTTGTTCAAAACAAAGATGCTCTCAGACTCTTTAGAGTTTACCTGATCTGTATGCCCTTTTCGTGTTATTTAATAATCCATGATCACACCTGGAAATCTGCATCAGGACACTTTCGTGAATCTTATCTACGGACAGCGAAAACCTGTTGTATTTCCAAAAAACATAAACTTAGTTTTGTTTAAATAAAAAAATATAACACCCCTGTTCTGACTACATGTATCTTATACATGTAAAGAGCCACAATCTATCCTTAGAGCTCACAAACACAGCCAAACATGTTAAAGTGAAGTTTGGCCTCAGAGCAGAGAGCTCAGCTGCTGCCTCTGCCTCCTCTCACCTGATCTCTTCAGAGGAGAACATGCCAAACGACACGCCATCCAAACGCCGCCATGGAGTTTCTTTGCCGAACAACATCTTGGAGGATTAAACAGAGAGAAGTTTCTAATGTTGATTTCTCCCAAACTCATGGCGCACAATTCACCCACATGTTACGGACAGTAGCTGCTGTATCACACGTGGGACGGTTATACCAAGTTTGGGGTTATGGGGTCATGGGAGGGTATAGAGAAATATAGAGAGATGTCCCTTAGAGTTAAATACAGTATCAAATATAAAATGCTTTTTAAATCGTTCATTATAAATACATAGTGAAATTTTGTCGAAAGATAACGTAAATATTATAACTATCCCCCCTTTTCTGACCGCCGATGGTTTCTCCCTCCCATAAGCCTTCAGTGCGTAACAACATGGCGGCTCCCTGTAGGCAAGTAGGACATCAAATCCAGAGAAAAAGCCGATTTCTACTGAATAACTTCGAGCAGTTATGGAGTCACAGGTGAGAAATATATTTCAGATGTTTTACGGTAATATATAACTCTGTTTATACACAAATATTTGATGTATTTTGTTACTGCACGAGTCTTATAGCTGCAGCTAGCATGATCTGACAGGAGGTCATGGATTCATCAGATTAACCCAAAGGTTCATCAGTGAGGCACATGTAGGCAAACTACTGTATGGATTTCAGCCTTTGGGTTAGAGAAACACATCATCGACATGGTTTTTACAAAGAAGTTAAACGAAAGAAGGTCAGACAGTGATCATCTGCACAGACCAGACCTACAAACACTGATCCAGCTGACTTGAAGCACCTGGCAGATGAAGTTTGGCTGGTTTTGCCTCTACAAATGTAAAAATAAATAAATAAATGAAAAAGGTATTTGCGGGGAGAGTGGGGTAAGTTGAGCCACTGCCTGTTGCTTGGAAATGGTAAAAGAAATTGATCATGTGACCAAATATTTAGGAGATGGGCATCAATTCATGGAGTCTGTGAAGGTTAGAAGCAAATGAGTGAAGGGGTTAGACATTTATTTACAAAAAAAACATTGTTCACTCTTGAAAGTAAATTTAGTCTGTCATAAATTTTATTAAAATTGTGTTCAGACCAAAAAAGATCATTTTAAATTTGTTTTATACATCAACTGTTGTATCTATGAGCTGTAATATCAGGTCAAAAACCTAGCATTAAAGTCCACCATTTTAGCTTAGAGGACTAATAAAGACATAATAGTAGTTCGGGGGTAAGTTGAGCCAGTCACCTAACTGAGAAAGTAAAGAAGTCTGATGAGAGGATCAGAGTTTCAGTTCAGATTGTTGAAATATGTTACTGTTTCTTTTCAAAAATACAGCTGTGAATGTTCTGAATCACTTAAAGACATTCTCATGTTAAAATGGCTTTTTACAAAACAGCTTTTCAGCAGTTATATGCAATAATAATAAAATAATTATTGTATCGATAGAATAGCGTATAAATAGATAAAAAATACACATGAATGTGAAGAAGTGACTGTTATTTAGGGAGAGAGACGGTGAGGGAGGGCTGGGATGGAGAGTGGGGGGGGGTTGGTAGGGATACGGCTTAACTTACCCCGCTCCTATGCTCAACTTACCCCATACACGGAGTAAATTGACCATAGGAGACTTGCTATATTACCAAGACAGTTATGTCTACACTCATTCTGTTGGTTTGCAGGGATGCACAACATCTTGAAATATACGCAGATACATGAGTTGGAGACAAAACTATGATCGCCTTGATGTAGTGATCCAGAATATAAAAAATGGCTCATCTTACCCCACTGTCCCTTACAGTGCTAAACTTTTGGCTCTCCAAGCTTTCAACCGAGCATATAGAGCAGAAAGCTGAACAAGTTAAAGTGTGTGAATAATTCCCCTTATATCTTTTGATACTCATGCACCTTACCAGGTCTCTGCCAGGTTGAGCTGTTGTCTCTTCACCGATTTCACCTGCACTGCATATGTTTATTTTCAGGACTTTTGGTTGGACTTCAGCTCTGCAACAACAAGCTGCAAACACTTGTAAAGGTAAGTGTGATGTTTGTTTTAATACAGTGGGAGAAAACGTGAGTGTTTCAGTACTTTAATATTTTCATAAAACCGTTGTATCCAGCTATTCAGTGAAACTTTTGTTGGTTTATAAAAGGAAAAGTGTGTGTGTGTGCATGTGTGTGTGTGTGTGTGTGTGTGTGTGTGTGTGTGTGTGTGTGTGTGTGTGTGTGTGTGTGTGTGTGTGTGTGTGTAAATTAATGCACTCAGAGTCTGCTCTTCATAAAATTTTAACTTTGGATAATAGAATTTACGAACCATGGATTCCCTCATTGTGGCAGACATGCTGTTTGTTTTGTTTGGCCCGTGGTCTGCATCAGAGCGTTTGGTCTGAGCGTTATAAATGGTATCCACATGCGTTAATGTATATGCATAGAACTAAAAGGGTTGACAACAGAACTAGGAACAGTACTTGGATCTCATTGGATTTAAAAATCCTGGGCAGATGCTAACCCCTCATGCTCCAAATCATCCAACAGCAAATACATGAAAATCTTATCGATAAAGGTTTTATTGCATTTGTTGATCATTCAGATAATTTGTTGTAAATGGCCAGCACTGAAAATGTCCAGATTCTAGGAAAACACTCCTCTGCTACCAGATTCCACCAAGAGAAAAACCTAAAGCCAACATGCGTTTCAAAGTGTGTCCCACAGTCTGTATGAGAGTTAATCTTTTCTCTTTATAGTTGCAGAACCAACGGAGACCATCGTCATCCCAAAGAAGAAAACATGGTGCGTGTTCAGTTGTGTTGTTAAAATAGGTTTTGATATTTTGCGTACCACTCTTTGTTCCTTACAGTCACAGAAAACTGGAATGATCTTAGTTTGCCTTAACCAGAAATAAAAACGATGTTTTAACAGGAGTAAAGTCGCAGTGTTGGAGGCTCTGGCTGCCACCGTCAGCAGGGTGAGAGCTTCCTTCCTCTTGTCTTTAGGATGTTAGTTTGGACGTAAACTCAGCAGAGTGGATGTGCTACTTATTTTTCTTCCTCTTTCCAGGATCCAACAGCACATCCTTACCAGTTCCAGGATGATCCCTACCTTACTCCAAGGACCGCCTCAGAGTTTGTAAGTCAAGAATAATAAAAACTAAACTGACATCTCCTCCTCTGTTTTTTTTTTTACTATTGTTTCTAGATAATAATATATACAGTCATTTGAATCAATGAACATATAGAAGGATGAACTGTCATATGGTCTGTATCTGCTAATAAGAGTTTAAAGAATAAAAAACTCCATTCAATATTCCTGCCAGTTTGACCTGCTGATGTTAACACACTTACACCTTTGACTCTTCCAGGCTGCGGTAGGACTTTTGTTTTTTGTAGTTCAAACAAATGTTATCGTTTAATTTGACACCATTTATTTTGTGATCCAACTGATTTTGATCTGGATCTGTGTTACTGAAGTGATGCATCTCACAAATTATCATCTCTAATAAGACTGATTTTTACTTCATATAACTTCAGATTACTCTCTGGAAAAATGTGTTTTTTCCCGTACTTTTAAAGAAAAAGGAAATAGATCCGTGATAGCTTTGGTCTGCCTTTTTAACTGCAAATATCTCATCATAGAAGTAAAGTTGTATGTTCAATTGTTTAAAATAGGTATGGCTGTGTCCTGTAGATGTTTGCCAGTTCTTTACATTAATGTTATTTCTCTAGTTTGTAGTTTTCTTTTAAAACACACAATGGAGTGAGAAGGAGCATCCCTTTCAGTAGAATCAGAGTTGAAACTTTATTTTTAAAGTAGTTAGAGATAATGTTTTTCTCCCCCCTACTTTTCTAAAACCAACTTAGTAGTTAAACTTGAATTGTTGTTTTATCAACCAATATATTTATTCAACATTAGAGCACTCATGAGATGAATTTCAGATGTGGTCAGGCATAGTTTAAAAAGCAGAGCTAGTAAAGCTGTCCTGATGTGTAGACATCATGGGTCAGAAACGTCAGTATTCGCCGCTGTGATAATAGGAAAGTAACCTCTGTTCCACTGTGAGGTATTTTCAGACTGAAGTTTTTTCTCTCTCTCTTTCTACAGAGGCTGTACTCTCTCTCTCAGGAGTCCGGCAGATCTGCAGCAAAATATTTTGTCAACAGTAATCCCAAGTTCTTTACCAAAGACTTTGCAGAGCCTCATATACCGGTACACACACACACACACACACACACACACACACACACACACACACACACACACACACACACACACACACACACACCTGCTCTTTGTGAGCATGAACAGTTTATTCCAGGGAAGTGGGTTAGAAATTTTGGCCATAAACTTGTATCAACCAACATTTGGATTTGCTGTCCATGTTTTGTTTTGATGTATTTTGGTTTTGGTTTGTGTTTAGTGTCTGATGCCTGAGACTGTGTCCCTTTGTCTGGAGGAAACGAGTGAGGAAGCTCTGAAAGAACGAATCAAGTTGAGGAAAGTGAAAGCTGCTGTCGACATGTATGATCAACTCCTGCAAGCTGGTGAGAGCAGACACAAAAACATGTGCAAACTGTTCATAACTAATGACTCAGGATAAAAGCAAACTGCTGCAAAATAGACTGAGTCTCTCCTATTGAATTCCTACAGGCACATCAGTTACCATGGAAACAACCCATGATCTGTTGGACCTGATCTGTCTCTATTGTGATCAAGATCCTGTCGATGACCAAGAAACACAGACAGAGGACATAGTAAGTCACATGATAATGCGACAACAAGTATTAGAGATAGACTGATCAATCAGTCCACCAATTAATCAGGTCCATGAACGGCATTTTGACATAATGAGCATCAAATGATCAAAGGCTGATATCATCATTCCAATTAAAAGGTGTTTTTGTCGTCTTATTAACAGTTTATCAGATGTAAATCAGTCACTGGCTAGTAGTTTAATCTGAATCTGGTTATCATGTGTAGAATATCAATCTCTGATCGTTGGACAGAAATCAAGAAGAACCTTGTAGGTATATTTTTCTGAGCCAAATATTATTCCATCAGCATTCCTCTGATAAAATATTCTCTCCACTTAAGAAATTTTGTGATTAATTTGCTGGTATTTATGAATAGTTGTATTTTGTCAAATACAGTAATGATAATTCTAAAAATATATATATATAATAATCATGATGAGAATGAGGACACAAAATGATAATGATAAAAATAATGATGAAATAATAGTGACAATAATAACAATAAGTGGACCTGCTCGCTTATAATGGGTATCAGCATTGGCCATTGTAAAACCCTAATGTTTATCTTTGTGCACCTTTTTCAGGAGGGGGCGGCTGAGGAGGTGACGAAGATAAAAGGCAGGGTTCGTCGGGCGACGGACCTTCTGAGATCAACCTGGAAAGAAAACAACAATGCAGAGAGAATCTTCAACCTCCTCCCTGAGAGAGACACACGGTGTTACTCTGCTCTGATCAGGGGCATGGTGAAGGTATGAATGATGATGATAATGACCGATGCAGCACATTAACTTGATCTGAGAACCATCGTCATGATGAAATGGTACAAATAGTTGCACGTTTTTTTGTTTGTGTCTCCAGCATGGAGCCTTTGCAAGGGCCTTTAGTGTGTACACAGACATGCTGAACGACAGATTAACAGGTAAGTTAAAAAAGATGATTGGAAGAGAGAAAACCTTATTGGATGGTTAAATTTATTTATTTAATATCAGCCATAAAGTTTAACTCAGTTCAATACAGAGCATGAAAATAATGCATTGCAGATGGTATGTAGCTTTAACTAATGTTCAACTCTTGTCTCTTATTACTGTCTTTAATTATCTTAGATTTTGAAATACTTTTCTTTCCCTTGTTGAAATGCTTCTTAATACAGTTCAGTTTGTAGGTGATTTGAATATACTCTAAAATAATTCAACACCTTTTTTAATCTTAAAAACAAAATGTAACTCTCAGACTGAGCTTTTAAATACATTTGAGTTTATCTCCAAAAACATTTAAGTGTGTTCAGCTAAAATGAGTGTGGTGTTTGCTGACATTTATATTGCCTCAGATGAAGTAATACTATGGCAGTACCACTAGAGGACGATAGAGAACTACATTTTTAACCCTCAGAGAGCATCGCTTTGCATTTGACCATCAGAAAACCATCCATCTGTATAAACCATGTTTAAATAAGAGAATAGTTCAAAAAGATCAGACGTTGATTACAAAGGGGTTTCTTGCATAAAAATACAAGATGATAAAATATGAGTTTTATGGTCCATTAAGAATACTGTAAACACGATTACGATGATCAGTGATCAGTGATATCAGAAGCCCTTACAGCCCAATATTGAATTTGAAAAGTAATAATGCAGACACTAACAAAAAGTTTTATATATGTATGTATATAATAGTGTAGTTTTAGTTCAGTAAAGAATATCTTATCTCGAGCACATGAGGGAAATTTCAGAGTGTGTCATGTAATGACTAACCAGCCCATCTTCTCTCTGTAGCTGATGTCCACATCTTCAACGCCCTGATCTCAGCAGCTCCAGAGATCAAGGACAAATATCACGAGAGATGGGATGTAATCACAGTAAGCCTTCTGACTTTCTTTATCATGATTTTCATCAGTTCTGAGGAGCGCGTGGCTGATTTTGTTGTGAAGAAAACTTAGTAACACTCATCAATATTTATTTAATGCGATATATTCTAACTTCAGGAAGTCAAACTTCAGGTGCTTTAAATAAGCCTGATTGTGTTGAGTAAAAAAGTAAAAACACATTTCTGTAATTCCTCGTGGCAAGAATAAATACAGTGTGGTGTTGCCTCTGATAGAAATATCAGTCATACCCTGACATCCCTACTTTATAATCTATAACATAACACAATGTGTTTATCTTATTTCACCTTTACATTCAGAATTCATCTATAGCATGTTACTGGCTTAGATAGCCCTGTATGTCCTATTTTTTATATATTCTTTTCTTTTTCTGCATTTTAAACATTATATTTAATTTGTTTATTTCCCTTTTTTAATAATTGAAGATGGCAGGATAGAAACCCAAAAGTCCCATGTGGAAATATTTGACTGAGCCAAACAGTTTTCCATCTGGTTTATTTATTGAAATCTCCACTGAAGGTCTGCACTTTTTTCTTTCAAAAACAAACATACACAAACACTGAGATAGCAGCATTATAGATCAGCCATCAGTCTGGATGTGGACACTGGTCATTAAAAAAGCTTCAAGCAGTCCAACGCTACTTTGTCCTATAAACACAAATGTAAATGACATGTTCAAAGTTCTTATTAAAAACCGTTTTTTGAATTCATGTAAACACTCTGAATGTCATTTATTTCCATAATGATCTGTAAGAGCTGCATCAAAGCTCATTAATGGGCTTAAATTTGCCTTTTGTTTCTAAGAGACTGTGTCTGTCCTCGGTCCCTCTTCTGCAGGATCTCCTGAAGCAGATGAGTCAACAAAAAGTCCCACCCAACCTGCTGACCTTCAACAGAATCCTCAAAGCTCTGAGACGATGTGGCTCTTTGGCCAGAGCTCACTCATTATACACTCTGAGTGAGATGAAGGCTTTAGGAATAGGTAAGACACACAGACATTGTCAAACACAGGCACAACCTCAGTGCCCTCAGCAAGATTTCAGTCAGTGCCCCGTCGACTGGACCCGGTTCCACGCCTATCACAATTTTATTTGCCTTTGGAAAAGTGGCACATGATTTATCGGTTTTCAGTATTTTATACAGAAAAAATACCTCTAGAAAACATAACTACAGCTGCATCTACACTAAAACACCAATGTTAGATTAAATACAATTACAAAATCAACAATGTAATAGAACATAGGAACATAGAACATACGAAACCTGATGCAGTATCTGAGGGGGGCAGAAGTGGTTCTAGGCTGTCAGGGATTACAGGAGATGAATTCAGAGTTTTCAAAAGGTGCATCTGTAGACAGGAGATGATCATCTGTGAAAGAATGGGAACTTTACAATAGAGACCAATGTGATCTTAATATTCAGCTATTGAACTACTGAACTTGTAAAGACTGCTAAAGATAAATTTGTGTCACTACAGGAATAGTTGAAAACTTAATTCCAGGAATAAGACGTCGTATTTTCAGTCTAGAAACCTCAGCCTGGTTTTATCCGCTTAACCCAAGCATGTTTCTAACAGCTGCACCATTCACACATTTATTAGGCTGAGCCAGGACTTTATGAATACTCTAAAAGGAAGGGCTCGAAACCGTCTTTTGCGACCATCCATGTACAGTAAACTTTTTAAACAGACTTGTGTGTTTGCTAACTAAGTAAAGAAAGACGCCAATGAAACTGTATGTAGATCTTCTGTCTCACAGCCTACTGTACTTCACAGAAGACCATGTGAGGCCTGTTTCTTACTCTGATTAATTTCCTAACACATAAATCATCTGTAGCTAGTGAAAATACAGCAGGAATTACTGACGCTGACTCAAGTGATTGGTTGGAGAAAGGATAACATGGATGTGACTGTCATCCATCCATCCATAAAACAGCTGACGGATGAAGAACTGATTCTGGCTGCATCTTATCTGCCTTTTCTGTTTTTTTAGGGTCTTTCTGTGTCGTCCTTTCTCTTATTCCCTACACTTCCAAAAGCTTTTAACCCTTTTAACACAACACATTCATTCATACACATAATTCATCAACACAGTCAGTGAGGCCTCTGATGACTCTTCCGCCGGTGTATAAGTTTGAGAAATGGCGAAAGTCTTTGGTCTAAAATCAGCTCTGTGTCTGTGTGTCTTCAGCTCCCAGCTTGGCCTCCTACTATCACGTCATGTCAATCGCCTGCCACGGAGGTAATCAGAGTTTTGTTGTCATATCACACTTGATCAAGGGTCAGGTTTGGTACTGCTGTCTGTGTGCTGAGCTGTGGTTAAGTGGTTATGTTTCTTTTCCAGCATCTAGCCAGGCCACCAATGACATTTTCCAGGTTATCATGACAACGCTAGAAGGAACCAGCTTCACCTGCCAAGACCCTGATGACTGTATGTTTACGTTTTCCTCTATTACATTTTAACTGACACAACAGTCGGCCTAGATAATCTATATACATGTTTTTAGATTATATATAGTCTTCTAGAGCTGTGTAAATGTGACATCAACTGTATGTTTTCTGATATGAAGACTGATTTGTACAGAGCATAAAACAATGTGTGGTTGGCCCAACGATGTTTTCATCATGTAGTTTGAAAAGAGGAGCACACGGGGCGTGCAGATGGTCCGAGCAGGTTTGCACGCCCCGTGTATGGGGACCATGGTCCCAGCAGCTGTCGGGGTTTCCAGTCCGGCCCCGACCCTGTACTGCATGTCCTGCCCCCTCTCTCTCTGTCTTCCCACATTTCACCCTGTCCTATCTATAAACGGCAAAAATTGCCCAAAGAAATTCTTTAAAAAAAAAAAGAAAAAGGAGCACATTTCAACTCAATAGAGAAGAAAACTTTAATTCTTAAATTAGAAAGCATCTTTTGGAGAACCTTTGATAGTTTTATTGGAGAAACACATTGAAAATTAACTGTATTACCTGTCATATCAATGGATACCTCTGTACAGTACACGTCCATTTCAGACACATTGCGTTGGTTCAGCTCTGTTGTGTGTAGTTCATATTAGTATTCCAAACTGTGCATCAGCTCCTGTTGTTTAAAACTGGTATTAGACAGAGATACAGTTAACACTCCTGACTGAGGGTTATATCCACTAAGATGTGACTCCCATCTCTGTTTTTTTTTCAGCTTTGTTCTTCGTGAGTGCCATGAGAATAGTAAGTGTTATTTTTCTTGATATTTATTGAAAACATGTTTCCTCCTGTGGAATAATTATAATAATCACTTCATTCTGACTTTTTTTGTTGAGGTCTGTTTTCTATTGAGGACTTTTAAAAGTTTTTTTTGTTTGTTTGTTTGTTTTTTTTTGCCTACTGTAGACGTCTACATCTAGTTTTACATAAGCATGTTCCAGTAAATCAAACAAGCTCGATATCTTTTTCTCGCTCTCTGCCTCCAACAGTGTTTCGATCTCAAAGATCTGCAGATGGCTTTCAAAGTCCACAGTCTGCTGGAAGTGGGTGAAAACTGGAGATTTTTGAGAGATTCTTACCAGCATAATTTGTACTAGTAAGTACAGACAACCATGTAGTTAAATCCATGTTAAAGTATTTGCTAATGAACCTCATCTTGGCCTGACCGTTGAAGTCTATGGATAAGTTCCAGGTGATGATGAAGTCCCACATGTTCATTCTTCCTAACAGGGGTTTTTTGCTTTCTTTTCTAGTGGTCGTTTCTTCAATCTGCTGTGTTTGATGGAGCACATTGACACAGTACTGGAGTGGCACAGGCGCCTCTCTCCCTCGGTCAGTGCACCTCTCGCTCACTCACTCATCCCTCTCACCATCCCTCTCCTGCTCTTTCATATAATGCCTCATATGATAAGTCAATAAAAAAGCAGCTTTGCTGGTATCTCACCATCCACTTCTATGAAAGCACTGACAGACATTGTAGGAAAGTAAAGGGTATACTTATAGACTGTATGCAGGCCCAATTCCACAAAGCTAGGATGCAATGTAAAGTGTCAGCCCTCTGACTCCTCTACCCTGGAGTTGTCCTGTTGTTTTCTGTGCAGCACCTGGTTTGAGAAGTTCTTGCTGTATTATGGCAGCTTTTACAAAAAAAAATAAGTCATCGTCTGGATCAAGTTGCTCCAGACCTGTATTGAATCTGTATTGAACAACATTAATGGTGCTTCTCAGATGTAAAGGCTTTCCAAGACAAAAACATGTAGTATCCCTACACCATCAGGGATGCTGGCGTTTGCCCTGTGCTCCTATAAAAAAGACAGTTTGGAGCCTCTCCTCTTTAGAGCACAGAAAACAGCCTCCATGATTCCTAAAAAGAAAGTCAGATTTTTAATCTTTTTTTTTACCTCCTGTGTTTTCCAACCCCAAAAGTCCTGTTTTTCATATAACTGTAAAATTTTTACTTACTAACCAACTAACTCGCTCACTTGCTTACTTACTTGGTGAATTACTTCCTATCATACTTGAGTCAGAAATGACTCTTTCTTTGTACAAGATCGTAGAGACAGAGTGGAGCACATTGCCATGTTAGCTTGATTTAGTATAAAGTTTGGCATCTACAGTTCAGAGTACTTTTGAAAAAGGCTGCTTGCTTTGGCTGATGAACAAAGTGTACTTAAACATGAACAGCTTACTCCTCAATCAATGCATTTTTCTGGGGGACTATTATCTTGAGTGTACCCTGCTTTAGAGTTTCATTTCCTCTAAATGGGACCATGATTTGCTGATTAAACATACTGCTGTTTCCGAGAAAACTTGAAGCTACAGGCTGAGACCAGGATCTCCTAAGTCTCCAGCATAAGTGCAATACTATATATATATATATATTGTTTTTCTCTCATAAAGAGAGTGTAAAATTTAAACCAGCCCTCTCTATAAATGACCTCTTTTCTGTGTGGTTTCATTCTGTGTTTGCAGCTGTATTACCCTAACAGTCAGAACCTGAGTAGCATACTGCAGGCTCTGGACACTGACTGTCGTCTGGACTTGCTGCCTGCTGTATGGAAAGGTAAGTTTATGGAGGGTGTGACAGCCAGAGGAATCTGATATGACTCAGTGCATGCCTTGAGTAGTCCATCACTAAGAGAATCGTACTCCTCCTGAGAGCCAGAACAGCTCTGAGAACAAATCAATAAGAGTGAGCTCTGTCGAGTTTGAAATGATTACACTGGGGAAGAATCAGAGCAATTTTTCCACAGAAATGCTGTGACTCTAAAGGACAAATCCACAAAGAAGATCTTGGGAGATGACCCCAGTGTTGGTCATGGTAGTAGTAAACAGTATAAACTTAAACCTGTCTGCTGTAGCTTGTGTAAATCTTTGCTCATACATTATAAATAAGGGTTAAGAGGCCGTCCTATTAAAAAGCAGAGTGCACATAAGGTGTACCTGTCGTACATCAGTGTGGGCATCCAAGTTCTAACCCCCACTTACATCCCAATGTCATGATTATTATGGATGAATTATCAAAAGACTCATTACAAATGTTGATGGAGAGCCTAAGAGTGTTGTACTCTTCCTGTGTTTTTCAGATATCTACACTCTGGGACATGATAACAAAGCTGACCTTGTAGAGGAGTTGCTTGCCCTGATGGCCAGAGACACACACAGTCCTGAGGTCAGTGGAAGTGGACAGGATGTACTCTCACAAGCCGGGATGATCTTTGTGATTTTTCAGCTATATGGAGATAGTACAGCACAAAGCGAGATCATGTGTTTGTGTGTCTGCAGGTTCAGGAGTCTTTTGCAGAGTGTGCTCTGGATGTAAAAAATGTAATTGACAGAGTCGGAAGAAGGCCCAGCCTGGAGTGGAACCCCGCCTCACTCTCACACATCACTACTTTGCTTCTGCGAGCTGGCAAGATTCAACAGGCCTGGTAGGAGAGACAGTCTGTGTGTCTGCTGATCTGTGTACAGGAGAGCTTTTACTGGAGTCTGACTCCACTGACGCTCACTAGTGCCAACTGACACTTAAGTGAAGTGCATCTGATTTCTGCTCTCTGTTATCCTCTACAGGGAGATGCTGCAGCTCTTCAAATCCAATAACAGAGTCCCAGCGTAAGTGGGCCCAAATCACAAACACAAGAAACTGATTAGTATTGTGGTATAAGACGATATGCCGATGACATTGAAAGTCTCAGAGTGGACACAGAGCTCTTCTTTAGAGCTTCTGAAAACAAACTGCACATGCCACCTGGAGGAACTTCTCTATGACCTAGATCCTCAAACTTGTTATTACTGGTAGTAAAAGGGAAATTATTGGCACCAATTTCTCCAGCCTGTCAAGACAGGAGACTTCAACACACCAAAATATAGTTAACATGTTAACAAAAAAAAACAGTTTCAGTTCCTCTTAAAGTTACAGCTCTGAAGATAAAGGAGGTGAGCACACCTTATATTAATGCAGCAGAGGATAAGTGTGTGTTTTCTGTTGTCTTGTTTCACAGTCAGGGGCTTTTGGAGGAGTTCCTGTCTGTGTGTCACAGTAAGGGCTCCACACAGATGGCAGTGGAGCTGGTTCAGACGTCTGCTACCTTCTGTCTGTCTGCAACATCAACACTGGCAAAGAGGACACTGGCTGAGTTTGATCTGACAGAGGAGCAAAGGTTAGGACCTGATAATAGTCATAATAACTTAAAAAAAAAATGTACAAAGTGCTTCGATGGACAAAGCAGAATAAATGATATGACAGCAGGGGGGATGCATAAACATACTGTATATATGTATATATTTATATTCATATGCAGTGGATATAAAAAGTCTACAAACCCCTGTTCAACTGCCAGGTTTTAGCGATGTAAGAAAATGACAGCTAGATAAATATTTTCACAACTTTTTCCACCTTTAATGTGACCTATAACCCGTACAATGCAATTGAAAAACAAACTGAAACCTTTAAGGGGAAAAATAAAAAATAGAAAAATTAAAGTAACCTGGTTGCATAAATATGCACACCCTTAAACTAATACTTTGTTGCAGCACCTTTGGCTTTTATTACAGCACTCAGTCTTTTTGGGTAGGAGCCTGTCAGTGTGGCATATCTTGATGTGGCAATATTTGCCCACTTTTTTTTTGCAAAACCGCTCCAAATCTGACAGATTGCGAGGGCATCTCCTGTGCTCAGCCCTCTTCAGATCACCCCGCAAATGTTCGATGGGATTCAGGTCTGGGCTCTGGCTGGGCCATTCCAAAGTCTCAATCTTATTCCAGTGAAGCCATTCTTTTGTTGATTTAGATGTGTGCTTTGGGTCATTGTCGTGCTGAAAGATGAAGTTCCTCTTCATCTTCAGCTTTCTAGCAGAAGGCCCAAGATTTTGTGCCAACACTGACTGGTATTTGGAACTGTTCATAATTCCCTTTCCCCTGACTAAGGCACCAGTTCCAGCTAAAGAAAAACAGCCCCAAAGCATGATGCTGCCACAACCATGCTTCACTGTAGGTATGGTGTTCTTTTGGTGATGAGCAGTGTTGATTTTGCGCCTGATATACCTTTTGCAATGATGCCCAAAAAGTTCTACTTTGGTTTCATCAGACCATAACACATTTTCCCACATGTGTTTGGGAGATTTTAGATTTCTTTTTGCAAAATTAAGCCGGGCTTTGATGTTTTTCTTTTTAAGATAAGGCTTCCATCTTGCCACCCTACCCTTGTTTGTCACATGTTCTACACAGCCAGTACTTACCAGAAATTCCTGCAGTTCCTTCAGTGTTGCTGTCGGCCTCTTGGTAGTATAGTAGTAGTAGTAGTAGTAGTAGGTAGTATAGCCTCCCTGACAAGTTTTCTTCTCGTCTTGTCATCAATTTTGGACGGACGTCCTGTTCTTGGTAATGTCATCATTGGGCCATATTTTCTCCACTTAATAATGATGGTCTTCACTGTGTTCCGTGGTAGAACAGCTGAATTTTATTTGCGGTTGATCAGAGACACTTTAATTGTTGACAGGTGTGTGCTGACTTCAGTTTAACCTGAGTTTAAATGTTATTGGTTAAATCTGAACGCAGCCACATACCCAGTTATTAAAGAGTGTGCACACTTATGCAACCACATGATCTCAGTTGTTTATTTTTACTTCAGCTCCCTAAAAAAATTCTGTTTGTTTTTCAATTGTGTTGTACAGGTTATAGGTCACATTAAAGGTTGCAAAATTATTTATCTTGATTTAATTTTTTTACATGACAAAAACCTGGCAGTTGAACAGGGGTGTGTAGACTTTCTATATCCACTGTATGTAAATCATGTCATTATAGAAATACAAACCCTGATTCCAGTAAGGTTTGGACGTTTGTGTAAAATGTGTAAAAACAAAACAATGATTTTCCTTTGTGCAAAGGAAAAAAATAAACACTTTTAAAAGGGTAGGAAGAGTTGTAACATTTGAGGAGCACTGAAGTTTCCCAGAAAAAGATGAAGGAAGAAAGGGAAAAAAAGGGGCATTACATCAGAATAAAAACAGATTAAAAAGATGAAAGGTAGATACAATTAAACTAACCAAAATTTATATGAATAAATAAATGAAATCAAGGAGAGGACTTCTTGATCTCATCTCAAAGTTATGAAAGAAAAATTGTAGATAAAATCAAGTAAAAAGTTAAAAATGGTTTCAAAGTGAGTTTTCAGAAGTGATTGAGAAGATGTGAATGATTCTGCACACCTTATCTCCCAAAGGAGGTCCTTTTAAAGTCCTAATCTCCTCCAGAGGGACCTCCAAAGTCCTTTTCTGTTCAGGAGGAGGTTATTGTTGTCATTAACCCTGTCTTGTTTAGCATGAGCTCTTGGTCAGTGTGAAGATTTCAAACACAAAACTTGACCAATCAAACGACCCCATCAAAGCTCCATTCACTTCAGAGGGAAATGTTTAAATTTTGGAGGACTTAGCTGGTAAAGCTTCAGAGAGGAACTATTGTGAGGGTAAATTTTTGTACCCTGCTCTTTGTGAACAATGAAATGTATTACTTCTTTGAAAATCTTCAAGCTGTATCAGCAGTGAGCATGTTAATCATCAGTACTGACAATTTCCCCAACAACAGTTTGAAGTGTTACAAACTAGAGTGTAGTTGCCATCAGTTCTTATGTTTATGGGCTTGTTTGCTTTTGTAGGATATATAAAGGCATCTCTATGAATTTCAGTCTGTTTCAAAGCCAACGAAAAACTCCTCCCAGGAGCTTTTAACCTTTCTTCACCGGGCAATTTCAGCATACAACACAAACCCTTCAGAGCAGAGCTGAGGTGCTGTGGCTTCTGAATATAGCAGATCTAGGGGCACCATTATCCCAGCAGTATCTGCTGTACAGTCTGAGGCAGGTAACAGTACCTGCAAACCTTTAATCAGGCCAGGGTTTGTTTCCTTAGTGAAATCATAACCACAGAATTTTCCCTGAAAACATCTCCATCTTATTTATTCATTTCCTGCCCAAAACAAGCTTTCTTGTGTTTTTGTTTTTATTTTGCACCACATGTCAGTGATTGTTAATGGAGACATGGCTCCTTGCCCCTAATGAACCTGGGAAGTTTCTTCCTTAAAATGTCAGTTCTTAAAATCCCATTTCCTTTTCTGATCATGACTAACCAATTGTCTGAAATCTCTCTCACATCAAGTCAGCCTCAAATCCTTGGTGCCTTTTTTAAACATTGTGTGAAGCTCTGAGGCTCTCTTCAGGTCGAGAGTCTAATCTGTGTTAGTGACAGGTTAGAAGTTTTCATTCTGAACTTGACAGGACCTAAGAACAAACAGCAGTTCCGCGTAGTCTGAGAAAAGGTTCTGGTAGAGTTCAGTCTCAATATTATGTGACATTTGTCGTCTTTACTGTGCTGTCTTTTTGAGAAACCTTTTTTTTTGTCTATTCAGAGCCACATTATCTGACCTAGAGTCAGCAGGAGAGTCGTTCGAGTGATGGAGAAACCAGTGGGTGAACCAAGAAGACACAAATCCACTTATAAATAATCCTACAAGATACCGTCACAGACATTGAAGTGTATCTGTGTGATAAACCTGTTTGTCTCAAATAAAATAGATCAAATCTGCACCTCTGCTGAATATCCTGTGTTGTCTGTAAGCTAGAGGGTGCTGTCTCTCTCTCTCTCTCTCTCTCTCTCTGTATTCTGAGAACAACCACTTAAAGATCAGACAATACATGAGAAGTGTTGTAGTTTTATTTCAATTTTAAGGACTACACATTTCTTATTACACCAGGCTGTTTTTGCCTGAATGAAGAAACAAAACTAATGAAAAAAGAAACCCAAATAAATACCATTTTAAAATCCATAAAAACCTGACCCTGGCAGCATGAATACATATTTACCATTGAAACTATAGAGATCTTTGTGATCACACTGTAAAGTGTGTGGCAAATTTCTGCTGGCAACAACTGTCCAGTTTCCTCAAATTACTGATAAAGCACTTCCTGCGTGTGTTTCACTGATAGTCTGGAATTCTTGTTTTAATGGTGGAGCGTCTAATCGTTTCCTTCAAGACCTCCCTGCAGGTTTGCAGAAATAAACCCGTCCACAGATGATGTTATTTCTGCACATGCATGCATGCATGTCACATAGTTTTCATAGGAAATGATGAAAATGTAAATAAGGTATCTCAAATTCAAATGACACTCTGATTGATGCATGTTTTTTCTGAGGATCTGTTACCATAATCTGCGTTTAGCCAGAGGCTGTCAATCTCTCCTTGTATTTAAAAACATAGAAACATAAATTAATTCTAGGTGAGGGTATTTGTTCCAAACACTACAGGACTGATGTTGTTTCTTGCAGAATCTACTCTTGTCATATTTTGTTCTGATTTTCTATTTGGCTTCTTGTTGACGTCCAAGTGAAGTTATGTAAAAGTTCAGTAAAGTGTGTGTGTGTGTGTGTGTGTGTGTGTGTGTGTGTGTGTGTGTGTGTGCTCAAAAACACATGAGTGTAGAAGTGCAAGCCTGCACAGGTGAGTCCTGACACTAACATGCCTTTTCCGTCTCGACCAATCGTCAGCCAAGCTCCTGGCATGACCAAATAAGGGCAAATGGGCCAAAGTATGGGGTCAGGCTCTGAGATGGGTGTGGTCTGTGGAGGGAGTGCATTGTTCTCTGAAGGACCTGCATCAGGACACTCACTCAGGCTCACAAACTTTATACCAAAGCACAAACTTACTGTAAATCTGATCTCTTAACCTGCCTAAGACATATGCACACCTTTCTTCATACACCTAAACTCACTCTCACATAGTTATCGTGAGAAGTTCAGACTTCTGAATTATTTAAACATACTTTCTACATCAAAGATCCTGCACTTTTCTGAAAAGTTTAAAGACACTCTAAAAGGTGGCATGATTAAAGTGACATTATACCGTCTGAGACAAAAGCAGATGAAGTAAAGGATTATACCAGCCATGGATATAAGACCTAAAAGACCTGGAATTATGAGAGGAGTGTAAAGTGATCCGTAACAATGGGGTCCTTGACTGTTTGGATCAAAAGCAAGGACGTCATTGGTGTTCAGCAAGCTTGCAAAAAACCTCAGTGGAGGTGGCCATCAGCATTCCTTTCTCCCACTCCTTTCTCCACCATGAATGTGCCATACTGGAGCGGGGTCAGACCTGTCCACAAACACAGGATGTGACAAAATGTCCTCTAAAGCTTTTAATAGCTCTTAGTCTGCTGTTAACACATCTAACTGGTCATGAGGCTTAAAAAAGTCTGAAGATGAGATAGGATTTTTCTGTTCTGGGAAAAGTAAGTAGAAGGGAGGAAGACTGGAAAAGAGGGAGGATGAGATAAAAGAAGAAACAAATGTGAGTGTGAAGAGGTGGGAGAAAAAGTGGGACATGAATGAAACTCTTCACTGCAGCAGGAAAACTGTATATCTCAGAGTTCAGACACAGGGAAATGAGGTGGGAAAAGCTAACTCAGGTCCAGTGATGGACACACATGAAGTACATTTACTTCAGTCCTGTTCTGGAGTACATTTTTGAGTATCTGTATTTGACTCAAGCATCCTTTTCTCTCCACTCTGCTTAAAAGACAAACATCCTGCTTTAACTGCATTTAGACCATAACTGTGTTAGTCCAGCCTGTGGTTTGTCTAAGTGGCGTTGCCGTACATCTATGTTGCACATCTCCAAGGTTGGTCTTGGAGCAAATATCACTTAGAATAGGTAGTTTATTTGGTGGTGGTAATGATGGCTACAGCAGACAAAGATAATGATTCTCCACCCAAACTTCTGAACACATACTTGATCAAAGCCAAATGCAAAATGTGTCATCCAACCTGAGAAAGCGTTACAGAATATAAAGCTTAATGTTTGCTTCATTCCAAGGTGAATATCTTGAACCAGTTAAACTCTGCATGTAGTGACTGGGTGTCAGGTCTTGATTTGTGGTTGCTTATTCCTGTTATAATACCTCTTTAGGAGCTGCAAACATGGCAATCTATGGCATGTTAGTTTATAATTAGTAATTGATCTCTTCTGTACTACACTGTAGAATGCACATCGATGTGCTTTTGCAATATAAAGATACAACAATGGTTTATGGTTGTTTGGAAATTGAGTTTTAATACTAAACTTTTTTGAAAGGCAAGCCCTTAAACTCAAGTGGTAATTAAACTAAACAACTTTCACCTGTAGTGGAGAAACATTTTACGTGGAGGAGCTTGGACTGAAGTAATGACTGGTCCACCACTGCTTAGGAAAAACTGCATATTGAAGGACAACCTGCTTTCAGGACTGGCTTCAGATGAAGCCACACAGCAAACCTAACTGGAGTCACATCAATTTCACTTCAGTTTTTCCTATTAACTTTGAATACTGCAGTCAATTTACAGCGACCAACAGTGTGTTACAGCTTCTAACCTCTTGCTGCAGCAGAGTGGTGCTATTGGAGGTGAATGGACCACAGAAGAAAGGATGGTAAGTCATTGTACAGGTAGTGTGTGATTCAGCAGAGTCTGGTGTAGATGAAGAGTTACACAGTGTTTCTCAGTCACACCACAAAAAGCATGCATGCTTTAAAATAAGATAACAAGGAGTCATTTTGATCACTGTTTGTATGTTTGAGTGTGTTTGGTTAAATGCTCAGATGCATTTGGATTAAGCACTTACCGCGTCATGCAAACTGTACAATGGTCAGTTTGTCAGTGTCTCTCTCTCTCTCTCTCTCTCTCTCTCTCCGTCTCTCCATAAATCTCTGTCCTCCTCTCACACTAAGCTGAGTGGCAGAGCAGAAGCAAACAATGGCTCATTGAATTAAACTGAAGAGTTTATTTGGCTTGTTGACATGTCAGTGTTATCACATGAGCCAGTTAGCTCACAGGCCCAGTTAATCACTACCAACCAGAATCCAAGGTCCCTCTGTTGCTCAGTTTACAAACCACCATTTTCTCCCACACAAAAATATGACTTTATTCTTTTAGCTTTGGCAGAATGTATGTGTGTGTGAGTTATCTATTTTTACATAATTATGAAAGAAAAGTGTATTTTCAAGAACACACAAAAACACTAACCAACTACGTCTGTCTACTCACTGCCACTTTTTTATTTCAGGATTTGTATTTGGAGGATTTCCTCTTTGACGTACCTCAAAAATTTCAAGTTTATACCTGACTTGACTCACATATTGTCAGGTATAAAAAGCAGTGACCCACACGTAGAGCTCGAAATGATTTATTAAATAAAAGGAATAATTTAGAAACAACAAAAACTTACTTAAACAGACAATGTCCACCTGAAAAAAATCCAAATCCAAAAACAACGGGAGAAGAAATCCAAAGAAACATAAGGGCAAGCTGAGATGTCATGAACACATGCACATTGACAACAATCCAACAAAGAAAGAGAAGACAGGGACTATATACACACACTGGCAAACAGGTAAGACAGACAAGACACATGTGAGACTCAGGAGTAATTAACAAAGGAGGAAAAACTGAGGAAGTACAACTAGACTTGTCACACAGGGATTGACTATAAAAAACACTGAAAACTGAACTAAGAAACTGAACTGTGAAAAACATAAACAACATAAACATAAGACTAATGAACACAGGGAAACAGGAACAACAGGAAACAGAAACACAAGGAAAATACACGGAAAATACAACTAAATTACAAAACTTGGAAAAACTAAATGAACAAGAACATATCATGACTTATACAAGATTGCAAAGCAAGCATCAAATAGTCCTTCTCAGACTACTACTTATAACGTACTACCTACTAAATACTTGCTGGTATAGCCTCACCTGGGTCTTAAATTATGTAAAAATATCCAGAAAGTTCATGGCGGCTAATTTATGAACACACTTCTAAGTCACAATAGATTTGGGTTTTGGTCAGTCACAGAGTAAGCAGCTTCTCTCTTAATTCTTCTTTTACTTTAAGTAAAACCTCTTTGTGATGCATCTTTCCTTGTGTGGTCTGTCTTTTTTGTATCTTTTGGCTATTTGTTACTATGTACAAATAGTTACCACCATATTACCACATTACAACCTACCATAAGAGTGGTCGGTTGGTAGTGGTAGTAGTGGCAAAGGAAAACCATGTTTTTGATATTAGCTCATGAGTTTTATTGTATTCTTGCAGAATATTGAATTGATTTCTTATGTAGTCAACAAATGTGGGTACTTAGTATAAAAATTTAAAACTAAAGCCCCTAAATTTTGTGAGTTACAGGAGCTGAACCACTGGGGATAAAAGTGGACAATGGTCTAGCTAAGTGCATAGTGTTGTCCAAAGCGCTGGGTCTTTAGCTGTCTTTGAAAGAAGAGAGGGACTCTGCAGATCGAATGGAGTTTGGTAAATCATTCCACCATTTAGGGACAACAGAAAAGAAGAGTTGGGCTAGTGATTTAGGGTCCTGATGTGCTGGAAGCACTAGACGCCATATTGTGGCTGAACGTAACGGGCAAGAAGGGGTGTAGACCTGGATGAGGGGTTCCAGGTAAACAGGAGCAGTGGTTACAGCACTCTAAGCAGTGATAAAAGTTTTGAATTTAATGCAAGCTGCGAATGGAGGCCAGTGAAGGGAGGAGTGACATGAGCTGTTTTTGGCTGGTTGAAGACCAGACGTGCTGCTGCATTCTGGGTAATTTGCAGGAATTTAACTGTGCATAGAGGAAGGCCTGCCAGTAAGGAGTTGCAGTGGTCTGTAGTTGCAAGCTAACAGTGTTAAAGTGCCATGACACTGCAATGACTTGCTCAAAGGTCCTCCTGAGGACACTGTGGTCTTACGTCTCAGTTCTTCTGAGTGTCCTTCATTTCAGCTCTTCAGAAATGTATTTGTATTCCTCCATTATTGACAGTAACACAAAAAAGTGTGACACATTATACGCATCTACTTCTCATTTTCCTTGGAGCTTGGAACCACATTGAACCACATAGTTCTACTGTGAAAATACCAGGATAGAAAAGATTAGAGGAGTCGGACATTTCAGAGCCCCAGATACCAGATGTCAGTACCTGCTGCCTGAACACTTCCAGAGCCATGTAACCAAAGTTATAAACAGAGTAACAGGAAACCTCATTGATCTAAGCTTTTCAGTGATGATGTTGAATTTGTTTTTCAGTTAAATTAGTTTCTAATTATGGTCTTCATTATGTATCAATAACACTGTTTCTCTTTTTTTATTCTAGGCAGAAAGCAGCATGACTGATGTAACAATGTCAGTAATCAAGTATTGTGAAAAGTTCAACAATCTGAAGACAGTGAACAAGTTTGTGCAGGTGACAGAAACCTCCCACTGTGCATCTGAAAAAATGGGTGTCATACAAAAAAAGTCAAGGCAGTCTGGAAAGATTTCCCCTGGGTTTCTGACACCGAGGAGGAATTCAGCCGGACAAGATTCAGCACATCACCCCAGAGAAAGAGAGAGATATGTGAGAGGAGGGGCAGACGGAAGAGAAGGGGAGGTATGAGAAGTGTAGGCTAGGTATGAAAGAGGAGGAGGAGGAGGAGGAGGAGACAGGGCATTTCTTGCATGTAGAGACTGGCAACAGCTGAAGTGCTCTGATGGCTCAGAAACACTCAAACTCACTGATACTGAAGAATTATAATGATCATCTGATGCTATTTATGTTTTCATTTTGCCCTGACTTATGATGTATCTTTTAATCTTCGTGTAGTTATCATTGACAGACTAGTGATTTTTAAAGGTGGATATCATTGATTATTTAATGTCATGGATTTAGAACTATAAAATACTTTAATCCTGTCTAATGCTAGCCCCGTGGACTGTTGTTCAGTGGGAGTCTGTGGTTAAATGTTGAGAAGAACCACTGATGATGATATGGGAAAAAAATGCTAGTAGCTTATCATGCTAAATTTAAAACTTAAATCTGATTTTCAGTGATGTGGGCAGCTTATAGTTAAACTGTGTCAGAGATCTAACCCCTGCAGCTTGTATTTCTGTCACTTTTAGAGACAGTCAGTGTCTCCAAACTGTAGAATTTTATACACACTGAGTGACACTATGAAAAATGGCCTTTTGGCTAGCTTTGGTATCAGTGTATGAACTGTTAGATTGTTGTTTTTTGAGTTTGGTCCTCTGAGTAACACTCGGCTCTTTCAACCAAATCTCAGTGTCTTCTTTGCATTGTAGCCTAGTATTAGCATGTTAGCTTACCTTGTAGAGGACAGTCCTATTTTGCATTTATTTTCTGTGTGTTAAATGGTTAGAGGATGAACAGTGTTCCCTATTAAAAGCAGTCTGCCAGGATGTTTGTCGGCTGTTTGTGTGTCTGCCTGGCTTGCTGGCGTAGCTGTCCGGACATAACCGCTGCTGCTGATGGGAGGAGGACGGAGGAGGGTTGGTTTGGGAAAGGATGGCGCGGAGGGGCGGGGTGCTGCTTCTTACCGGGCGGTGTCAATTGAAGAAAACGGGACAGAGGAGCAGTGAGAGGCCGATACAGGGATTCACTTCCCCGGATGATTTTACTTGAGAGCACCAGCCGCCTTCAGGTAAGAGGGAGTGTGTATGGGGCGTTTTCTCCTGACTCCGGAGAGGAAGAGTGGGTTTGGAGTGGATGAAGAGCCCAGGACAGGCTTTAGGACTCACTGCGGCACATCTGCTGCTCTTACACTCACTAAATAAGAGCTACATTTACAGCAGTCTGTTTGGGGCAAGTTCGGAGATTTAGGTCAAAAATATATAAACTATATCTTAAAATGTGCAGTACTCATGCATTATGTATCATAAAGCAATCGCCCGGAGCTGGATTAAATATTGCGAGTACAGTTTTTAGTGCATGTTTGTACCATTTCATATTTATTATGCAGTTTCTTCAAATGGATAATTTCCCCCGAGTATCCCTTATTTTCTTCCTCGGGTATTGAAAGGTGTATTATTGTTTCCAGAAGCGTCCTGCTGAAGGTTTTGTCCTCAGTAGGTGTTGACTGTGGTGCAGACAGTGCTGTAGCCATGTGTTCAGATGGACGGTGACAGAAAGTGCCCCGTCACTTTAAGGAGATGTGGGTGCGTTTGTGTGTCCACTAAGTCTATTGTAGGTTATGTGCCCACTCCTTCAGGCTTTATGGGTGGAACTGCATGACTGAATCCTCACAAACTGAGTCTAGAGGACAAAAGGCATCCAGACAATGTCAGTGTCATTGAGTCGATATTAGATCATCCAGCAGTGACTGCATTTGATTCATCGATTAGTTGATTGTTTTAATTGGAAGGCAGATCAGCATGAGACAGATTTAGAACTGATAATAGAGTTTCCTGCTATTTTCCAAAATTAAAGATTTGATTAATACAACGTAGTTTATCATAATTTTATTTGCCCTTTAGTTCAGACCGTTAAATTTCTGTGCAACTTAATAGTTATTGTGATGGCCCAAGAGATTTTCAGTCTTCCTGGACTGTAAGAAATATGGACTGAAAAACAAAGTCGGCAGGAAGCACTCCAAATAAAAGTCTGTTTTCCTTTAGTGACACCTGGTGGCACTAAATGTTCCTTTTTCGCTGCAAGAACACAGTTACGACTGGAACACACCCTCATGTTGTAGGAGATCATGGACAAAATCTTGAGTTTGGTGCTTTTCTTGAATACAGGGAATCCTTGTAAAATGCTGCACATTATCATCTCCTGTATGGTAAATCAGCATTCAGTTGCTCTGCAGTCTTCAGATGTACAAAGTCTGTAATCAGGAGAAGGGACATGCTTTTCATGTGTATGTGTATGTAAATGTCTCTTCTGCAATATAAATATCCATTTATTAAATAGGCAACATATATTTGGTAATAATGGAATAAAGGGTAGGTGAGAGTGGTTAGCATTGCACCGCTGACTGCTCAATCTGTTTTTCATTGTGCTTAGGTACACTTTTTATATGTTTAGTTATCCCATGATCTCTGCCTGTATCTTTTTTTTGCTGGTCAACCATGCAACCACTATGTTTGCATATTGTAACCAAAGCTTGTCCTGTTTGTTTATATGCCAATGTTGTAATATGATCGTGGTACACTTGAGAGATTTTGGGATTCAGACACTCAGAGTTTTATAGCGGTTTAATAATCAGAAAGCATCTCAAACCTCCTTAAGTTAGATCTGATTTGAAGAGAAGTTGAATCTTCCTTTTAAATCAGGTCTTTCCATAGATGGCTGATACTAGAGGAGGATTTTGATTCTCTGTTCAACAGCTGAGAGAAGATTTGTAAAAGCATTAAACTGAGTAGTTTTTATTTGTCTGAATGGCTTCAGCTTCCTCAGCTGGGATTGGTTATCCGTTGGTAAAGGGCTGACGAATTATAAAATCATAAACTGCATCATTCAGTATCTCTAATCAACATAACATGGGCATTACATTATTTCTTTGATTATTTTTTATTTTGTTGAAATTCTGTGAATACTTTCCCCCTAAAAAGAAGTTACATGCTGTTTCATCTAATCCATGACATGGAAGCAACATGGAGGAGAACTCAAATACCGACCTAGCAGCTCAAATATTGATGACAAACACTGTTCCTCTTGACTGGACATATTTTGACTTTAGTGATGCCAACACAGAACAAAAAGAAGTGAAAGTTAAACACTGTCAAAAGAAGTTTCAAGGACCAAAAGTAGTAACACCGATCTGTTTCATCTCTTTCAGTCCAATCATGTTACTCAGTATGTAGCATAAAAAGAGAGATAGATTGCCCAGCAATGAGTGCCCCCACAAAGTAGCTGTCAACAACAGGTACATTTATAAATGTTACACTAAGTAATAAATGATTTAGTTTAATTATGTAAAATTCACAGACTAAGAAATGCAATATTTTATTACAAAAAACGGTAATTGTTAAATATATTTATGCTACAAACCCTCCTAATGAGCCATGAGGGCAAAAGAAACAAATATAAAAAAAACAAATAACTGTTTATCATGAAAATGTTGACCTAATCGTGACATAGATCTGTGGCCATATCACCCTGCACTAGGTTGGTGTAAAACATCAAGTGGGCATAAAACATTAAGGGTCACAGAAGGCTCCCTCTGTGACTGAGTATAGGCTGATCTCTGGTAGTGTGTATCTAGGCCAGTGTTTTCTATACCATTATCTGCTGTGATACATTAAGCTGTCTGGCTTGATTTTTGGCTTTTGCCTCTAAAAGCATCATCCTCGCCTCACATCTAAGAGGATTTGTCTGTTATTAAAAAGATGCTCAGACAGATAAATACCACTGCTTTGTTTTATCTCTGTATTTAGCTGGACCAAACATCCTTTTTGGCCAAATAATAAACTATTTTTAGATACAGCCTGTCTTAATTGAACTCTAGATGACTTGAAAAATGAGCCGAGCTGGTTACAGACAGAGGAGATGGATGGAGTGATTACTTCAGCAGAAAAGTAATGGATTGTTAACAGTGATGTCTTCAGACGCCAGCAGGTCCAGTCCCAAAATAATAAAAGTCAGATCATGCATTTAAAGTCTTATCTTGGTCTTTGCTGTATTTATGGCTATAGATCGTGTTAAAATACTTTTCTCAGTCTTATTGTTATAGTGTTCACAGTATCAGTAAATACATAGACTTGACAAAAGCTTTAAAACCTTGTAAACCGCTTTTACATTGTTACAGTGTCATTTAGCAGACACTTTTATCCAAAGTGACATATATTTGAGAACAAAAACAATGCAAGCAAAGATCTAGACAAAAGGAAAAAAGATCAGTAAACGCAACAAGTATTCAAGTCTATTTGGACGCAAGTAATGCCAAGCAGTGTATAAGGTAATATTTATGGGACTACTTAAAAGCAGGCACTTACGTAAATCTATAAATATCTATGTGATGGTTTCTAGGTTAATATATGACTAAATGGCCCTTTGTGTGATAGATCAAGCTACTGTTTTCAGGGCTGAGTCATCTGAACTAGTTTAAAAGCTGTGGTACATCTCCAGACTGACCCAAACATCAACAATCAATACAATATGCTTTACCAATGAATCTTGTGGATCAGGTGTAGAGAGCTGAAAGCAGTCCCGTCTAACAGATAGAAATCTGGTGAACCTTAAGTGCTCAGATTATGAGTATGAATCAATATATCAATAGCTTCTCTGTTGTAATGTTCAAGGAAAAGGCCCAGATGATCTATTGTGAGGCTTGACTTTGAAAAGAAGAGATAATGTATTATAAGAATAATAAGAAGAAGAACTTTATTTATCTCTGAAGGGAAATTCAATTGTCTGTTGTCTCACATAATCTGTCTGTAAAAGTTATCTACTATTTACACAAGAGTTATAAAGTCTGATGGTCTGATAATCCCTGAAAAAGTAAAACACTCTCTTTCCTAGTTCAACACAGGGACTTTGATGCTCCTGGTCTGAATAGCAACTCATGGTGGCTGATTTGAGCTCAAACTACAAGCTGTTTTGCATTAATATTTCTCAAATAATGACCTGCTAAATCCAACCCTGGTATTCTGTGGACAAAAGAATCAAGGCACTTCTGGTCTTTGTATTATTCATATCCAGGTGCTCTTTGGATACCTCAGGCTTGTTGTAGAGGGATGGCTGCATGAGTAAAAGGTAAACAGTCAAGAAATACAGCTAGAGCTCTCAAGTACACGAGTACATACACAAGTCGTTTGAATGTACAGTCCAAATATATGACAAAAAAAACATGGATCAGCAAACAAGTTGCATCCCACTCAGATCTTCATTATAAGAGAAGAAGAACTTTATTTGATCCCTGAAGGGAAATTCAATTTCAGAGCCACTTGTGATGCCTGTTCTAAAATGAGATACATGAATCAAGTCTTTCTGGTTTAACTTCACACAAATGACGTAATAACATGTGATATGTGTGTCTAAATGAGCATTTCCCCTGTGTTTTTGTTGTTTTGTGTAGTTTTCAGAATGTCGTCAAGCATCAGCGCTGAAGAGATGGAGGAGATCAGGGAGGGGTTCCAGAAAGTGGGTGAGTAAAAATTGGCAGAGACTGCTGACACCCTGCAGACAATGATGAATGAACATCATGTGTGAAGTGTGGCGAGGCAGCTGACCAACACATGGTCCTATAGATAGAAACTGCTTCAGTGTGTATGTGTGCATGCTCCAGCTGAAAACCAGATGCTTCTCTTGACGTTTATTAACAGAAACCTTTCAACCTTTGATATTTCCATCACGGCTTCAATCAGTGTTGTAATTTACACTTTATGGCGGCTCTCTCACTGAGTGTAAGATGAGCAGATGGATGACTGATGTTTGAAATAAGGATAAGAATACCTTTATTATCTGTGGTATGATCTGAATGATCATTTCGATCTAATCGTACAATCGTATGATCTGTCGTAGATGGTAGTTTAGGCAAGACACAAAAGTCAAGCTCAGTCTAGGGTACATCAGCAGATCCTGACTCCAACCCTTACAGCTGGAAGCTCAGCTGATAACCTTCCTCTCATCTGATTGGTAAATGTCAGAAAGTTTGGCTTTTCTTGCTGCTTCTTCCACAACCACTTCGTAACCACTTTGTAACCTAGCTGCTTCCCTGATGCTGTGTCTGTTGGATTGTCACTGGTGTCAGCTCTTTTCTGTTTTGGGTCTTCGCTGCTCTCTCTCTCTGCCTCGTTCATGCACATAAAAGCGAGGGGAGGTGTGCTCTCCCTGCTGCAGGCTTTGGTACTCTACGTAAACATGTGGAAGGACAGGGAGCTCTCTTGACCTCAGGAACAAGCCCAAGCTGACTGTGTATCTGTTTACATGATCTTATAGTTTATAAACTGACTTTGAAGTGTCAAATCTGTGACGAGAATGAATAACTTTCTCTAAGGATAGTTACCCCCATAGACTGTATTTACTATGGACAACTTGGCCACCTATTGTGCAGCAGCATTGCACGCATTCGGCGGGAGAGTTGCTTTGATGATGCTCAGTTCAAACAGCGTATCCCCCCGGGTGAGCTCTGCAATCTTCGTATGTCTTTAGGCTGAATCAAGTGTCAATCATAGAAAACATGAAACTCCTAATAACTTTTAAAAATTGAGCTGTACAGAAAAAAGAGGACTTGAGCACAAACCAGCCTTACAATAACTACGTCAACTTCGCAACCAGGGGGGAGAAAAAATTATATTCGGTGTAATTAACTTCTTAAGTGTGTCCACAGCTCCATAGGGATTGCCAGCGGGATTTATGACCTATACTGTAGCCCATCACCAGAGGGTGCTATTCTCACGATGGCTTCACCCAGCAAGGAGGCAGACGGCGTCCATTCTATACATAGTCTATGGTTATCCTCATAATCTCAACATCCATGAGCGCATAAGTTTGACAAGAACAGAGGCCTAAATTCACCAAGTGCCACCACACCCAGTGTTAATGAGAGCAAGGATAAGAGTCTTAAGATCACTATGACTGAATCTGGAGGTGTGTTACAACTAGAATTTTAAAGATTAATCATAACTTACGTTGCCACTCTCCTGCCTCTCCTCCCCCCTTCCTCTTGCATTTACAACTCTTCTCTAGATGTGGATGAAAGTGGATACATCTCTGCCTGTGAAATTGGAAATCTGTTGTCCGAGGTCGGACATCCTATGCCTGGATACCAGATCAGGGAACTCCTAAACAGGCTGGACAAAGACAAAGACAGCAAGCTCGACCTTGAAGAGTTTTCAGCTGTAAGTAACGCTAACTTACATCCCAGATTCACAACTGAAATGACAGCATGTGCACAGGTAGTACTACGGACTAAAGATTTACTATATGAGGTCAAAACTCGCTGACTGACCCAAAGTCAGAGACCGTTTAGCTGGTTGACTTGTGGGCTGTTAGGATAGGAAAAAAAGATTAAATATTATCTATTGATTTTTTTTTTAGTTTGAAACTCACACATGTGATAAAAGGACAAGCTGATTGATTTGAAAACCTTTAACTGAACTAAGTTTCTGAGTCATGTGTCCTTGTTTGGGCTGCAAGATTTACAAGGAATTGAAGGATGACCAGCTGGCCCAAGGTTTCAAGAAAGCTCTCAACAAGAAAGAAGGCATTTTAGCTCTCGGGGGCACCAGTGAGATCTCCAGTGAAGGAACTCAACATTCAATCTCAGGTCTGTGAAGCTCCTCTGACACAAATACCTAAAACATGACACACAGACAATGTCAGACATTGACAGAAAGGCTGTGATACTCTCCTAAACTGTATTTCAGAACAGGAGCGCTTTGCCTTTGCAAACTACATCAACTCGTCTTTGGAGAAGGATCCAGACTGTGCGGAGCTCCTGCCCATCGACCCCAGTACTGATGCTTTGTTTAAAGCAGTGCAGAATGGCATATTGCTCTGGTAAATGATTGTGAGATGAATCTGACTGAACTCGTTTAGATCAAATGTTCTCCGACATGCTGATCTCTCATGCTTTAGTTACCTCTGTGCATCTCTCAACAGCTACATGTTAGGACCAACCTCCATGTTTTTTTATCAGCTCCTCTGCTTTGAGTCTTTGTGTCACTTTAGTGTGTTCATGTTTGGGTGGTTTGTGTTTTTGCAGTAAACTTATCAATCTCTCTGTACCTGACACTATCGACGAGAGAACCATCAACAAAAAGAAACTCACACCTTTCACTACTCAGGTGAGTAGGCAATCCTTACATTCATAGATAGCTGTTAGTAAGCTGCTGTAAATAGTTCACCATGTCCTAATGGAGGGATTACATGAGTGGGTCTAATAGAGCACAGCAGAGAAGCTGAGGTACTCTAAGAAGTAAAGATTGGGATTGAGATTGTCAATTTAAAAATCATGGAAATCTTGACTCAACCTTCATTAGGGATTTCTTCTGAAATTCAGTAGCTGATGTGTGTTTTTATCTCAACAACCTCAACAGGAGAACCTGAACTTGGCTCTGAATTCAGCCTCAGCCATCGGTTGCCAAGTCGTCAATATTGGAGCTCAAGACCTGAAGGAAGGAAAACCTCACTTGGTGCTCGGTCTCCTGTGGCAGATTATCAAGATTGGACTGTTTGCTGAGATTGAGCTGAGCCGTAATGAAGGTATTAACAAAGAGACCTAGAGGTCAGAGGTCAGTCTTATCTACTGATACATAACTAAATAAAAAATCTGCACATGGTGACAGAGCAGTCAGATTTAACCACAGCAGCACAGAGGAGAGGTGGAGTAGTTAGCTGTATTCCTGCACCTACACTTTTAGAAAATCTCTGTCTTTCAAACAGGTTTGCACATATTTATTTATTCACTGTTAAGCTCTCACAAATGAGATCTCTGCTTGTGTTTGTGTGTTCAGCGATAGCAGCGTTATTAGAGGAGGGGGAGTCTCTGGAAGAGCTGATGAAACTCACCCCTGAGGAGCTGCTACTGCGCTGGGCAAACTTCCATCTGAAGAAAGTTGGCATGTCCATATCCAACTTTTCCGGAGACATTAAGGTAAGAAAATGTCCGTGTGATGCCTGAACCTCTTGGTAGATAACCACTGACAAAAAAAAAGGATTTTAAACACCTGCACCAGTCTTTGTATCATTATTCTATATGATTGTGTTGTTGTGTTTGATTGCCCTGGGTGGACACAACATTCTCACACTGATGGCTATGGAGTCTATCAGTGTTTGACTAATCAATAAATCAGTCAATCAAAATTTTTTTATATAGTGCCAAGTCACAACAGTTTTCATCCCAAGACGCTTTCCAAAGAAAAAGAGCAGGTCCAGACCACGCTCATTGTTTGATGAATTATCAAGACCCAAACCTTAAGATGGGACATCTAACATGAGTGACAGTGGCAAGGAAAATCTTCCTTTAACAGGCAGAAACCTTGGGAACCACCAGACTCATGCCAGACAGCCACCAAGCCACTGCTGATTTGGGTAGAAATACAGAGAGATAGGGAGGGACAGAGAGAGAGAGGAGTAGGAGAGAGGGCAGGGGGAGAGAAAGAGAACAAGAACGAGGGAAGGAGAGAGAGAATGAGCAAGGGAGAGGGAGGGAGAGGGTGAGAGAGAGAGACAGGGAACAGCAGCAATCCAATTCACACACCTGGGCGCAGCCAGCAGGGGCGGGTGGGGTCAAGTGTCTTGCCCAAGGACTCTTTAGCATGTGGACAGCAGGTCAAAGCCAATCTATGAGAGGATGAACCTGACACTTCCTACACATCAGTGTTGTTGTGTGTTCTTTTTTGTAGGACTCAAAGGCGTACTTCCACCTGCTGGAACAGATCGCACCAGACGGCAGCAAAGAGGACGCTCCTCGGGTCGAGATTGACATGACTGGTGTCTATGTACGTCGACTAAGAAATAATCAGGACTACAGTGTGCAGCTTTTTATTTCAGTGCAGTTTATTCTGATAAATCATTTTGTCTTTTAATCTTTATTTTTTTCTATTAAAATAAAACAGTCTTTGTTATATCTTAACATCACTGTAAAGAGTTTTAAACAGATTATACTTGATCCTTAAGCCTCTAAATGATCTGCAAAAGCAAACAAGACCATCAGCAACAGGATAGTCTGTTTCTAAATGATAAGTTTTGATGCCTGAAATCCCTGTTGTTGGGTAGGCATTTGATCTGATGATAGAAAGCTCGCTTTCTTTTCATTTTAAAGAGCAAAGATTCAAATGAGTTACACATTTGACTTTTAAAAGAAAAAGCTACCTTGGATTTGTAGAGAGGCATTCAGAGCCTCTGAATCTGGAGTCACACAAGTTTTGAATGCAACATAGTGTAAGTTACAGGGCTGGTTTCCTCATCCTGGTACAAACCTGTTATTTTCTGTCCTTTCTTGCCTCTAGGAGAAGGATCTCACCAAGAGAGCAGAGTGCATGCTCAAACAGGCTGACCGCCTTGGCTGCCGTCAGTTCGTAACAGCGACCGATGTGGTGTGTGGAAACTCCAAGCTCAACATGGCCTTTGTAGCCACTCTCTTCAACAAACACCCAGCCCTCGAGAAACCAGAGAACCAAGACTGGAACCTGGAATGTGAGCATGGAAGGATAACTCCTCTGTTAGAGGCTCTTAAACTACATCTCCACCTGTCTCCTCATGCTTTTCTTATCAGCCTGTTAACACACTGTCACTGTCTCTTACTCTGAAGCTGAAACCAGGGAGGAGAGGACCTTTAGGAACTGGATGAACTCTCTTGGAGTGAGTCCATTTGTTCACCATATCTACGGGTCAGTATCTCTCAATAAGTCGTCTTTTTAAACTCATGCATGATTCTCTGTTTGAATGCATGAGTGTTTGTGTGTGTATGTGTGTGTTTTTACAGTGACCTGATGGATGCCATGGTTATTCTGCAGCTTTATGAAAGGATTAAGGTGCCTGTGGACTGGGATGACAGAGTGAATCACCCTCCATTCAAGCCCATAGTAGGACATTTGAAAAAGGTAAAATAAAATGAAAACCGGATTTTTCAAGGGTTGTCCTCCTCTGCTTCTGACATGTTCTTCTCTCATAAGTGGATATGGAATTAAAAGAAAACATCATAAAGTACCTGTAAGTTATTTTTTATTTTATTTAACCTTTATTTAACCAGGCTAGTCTCAATGAGATAAAAAGGAACATTTTAGATACTCAGTGCAGGTTAGCAGGTTTTTGAATCACACAGCTAGTTTGGGTTCTTGACCCAGCTCCGGTGCTTGTTGGCTGAGTTATTGCTTTGTATATTTATTCTTGAATGTTTTTTAAGTCTAACCTTTTTCCAGTGACTTTTTATCACCTGCTTCCTCTTGAAGTGGCACGTGTATATTTTCTGCTGTTGTCAAATGTCTGTATTTGCACTGATGCTTTTAAGCAAAGTTCTTTAATTGATTGACACAATAAATCACAGTTAGTCTAGTTAGAAATAGGGCCCATCCAACTTAAATGTGGACTTAAATCATAAGAACATTACTGCAGTATATACTGAAACAGATGGTTTCTATTATTGCACAGTATTAACATTTTCATATTCAAAAACAACTTCAGATGTGTTTCCCCATTTGTCCAGCAGAGCTCACTCTGACTCCAAAGAGCATTCATTGCAGGCACAGACACACACTGCCTTTTAACAACCTGTGTGTCTACTTTCCAACACACTCACTCTGTGTTTCTGCTTGTGTTCACAACAGATAGAAAACTGTAACTATGCTGTGGAGTTGGGTAAGAGCAAGGCTGGTTTCTCACTGGTGGGGATCGCTGGACAGGACCTCTACGACGGGAATGCAACCCTAACTCTGGCGCTAGTGTGGCAACTGATGAGGAGGTGATTGAGGCCTGAAGAGAGAAAAATAAGAATAAAAATAGACTCAGTCCAAGGATATGAAGTCATTTTACAATTGAAAACAGGAAGAAGTATAAAGTATATATGAATATAGAATATGATGTTTTTTAATAGTTTGTTCCTAAATCTGTTGGATTCACCTGCAGGTACACTTTAAATGTCCTGGAGAACCTTGGAAATAAAGAAGGAGAAGTTGCAGGAGATGACCTGATCATTTCATGGGTCAACAAGACTCTGAGTGAGGCCAACAAGAGTTCCTCCATCAAAAGCTTCAGGGTGAGTTTCCCACAGCGCTGGTAGGACTCAGTAAGGTTTACATCACAACATATATGCTGTTTCACTTCATTATTCTGTCTGTTATGAAGGATATAATATGATGGTTTTTGTACATCTCAGGATTTGGATGTCTGTGTTTGATTTAAACAGTATAAAGTAGAAAAACAATAAACAGTTTCTCACAGTATGAGTGAGGATTTCTATAATTAGTCCACTCTAGTATCAGGACTGTTTTAGACTCTTCCTAACATAAATCCCTGTTTGAGCACTTCTGTGTGTGTACACATGTAAGGTTTGCGTGTATTCTTCTGTTCAGGACAAATCAATCGGCACCAGTCTTCCAGTCCTGGAGTTGATTGATTCCATTCAGCCACAGAGTGTGAACTTTGAGTTGGTCAAAACAGAGAATCTGACGGATGAAGACAAACTGGACAATGCCAAGTAATGACCAACTGTCTTTATGTTTATTCATGGTAGTTGCTCTGTTAAAGTGTTTGTTGAGGGAAATCTTTGGCTTAGACAAGTTTCGTACTCATGAAAACTTTGTATTTTGAAGACAAATTATAGGACTTAAAGTTTCATATCAGACTTACGGAATAGGATCACAGCCACTGAAAAAAAGGTCAGGTATAATTATAAAAAATATACATTATTCTTAGAAAAAATATCAGAATTCTGAGCTTTTTGTCAGAATAATAATAAAAAAAAAATATATCTGACCTTTTTTCAGTGGCCCTAATCCTCTTCTGTACAGATTTAATTCAGATTTGGTACCACTGTAATTAATGAGACCCTTATCCATACATCTGTTGGCTTATATAAACACTGATGTTGGCTCTTTATAGATTCTTTTAATCTGTGTATTTGCCCTTTTTTTTTTTACACAATTTGAAATATAAATATATTTGCCTCTAAAATGTTTCTGATAAGTATTGGTCTCACTTACAGTCTAGGATATTAAACTCTTAGTACCTGTAAAAAAACTGTCCTCAAAAGTAAAGTGTTTCCTGTTCAAATAGGTGACTAAAACTGATGATTGACACAGCTGTAATACATACGCTCAGTGATTCTAATTATGACCCTGCCTTTCCTCAGGTATGCTGTTTCTATGGCGAGGAAGATCGGGGCAAAGGTCTACGCTCTGCCAGAGGACCTGGTAGAGATCAACCAAAAGATGGTGATGACTATTTTCGCCTGTCTGATGGGGAGAGGCATGAACAGAGTTTAAAGGAGAGGCAGGAACAAATACCCAGACACACACAGACACACACTCTGCCCTGTTTTACATCTGTTAGATAGAGGGCGCTGGGAGAGAGTGAACGTGGCTGTATCACCCTGCAGTTTTTCTGCTTTGGGACACACAGAAGTGTCGCTTCATTGTGTCTACAATGGGTTCAACTTAAAGAAAACAGAAATGAACAATTGTTCAAAACAACACAAACAATAATGCAGAGAAAGTCTAATTCAAGATGATCAGGCTGTGTACTCTGAGGTGAGACTTCCAGGAAGTCTACACCGAACATTGGTTTTGGTTTAATGTTGGTTTTATTCTGGACTTCAGTTTTTACATCAAGAAACGAAAGGGTGAAATAATAAACAGTGTAATAATAAAAACGACTGTAAGTGATAGTCCAAACTCTTTCCTGAGGGAAAAGCCTGTTGCAGGGAAATAAAATGTTTCCTACTGTAAATTCAAAGGCTTTGATTCTCGGTTAACATGAGCATGAAACCTTTAAATTCAGGATCAAAAATGAAGATTTTTGTAGCTTCTCCTTTAATCTAAAACAGTAAATAAATCTCTGTTCAGTTACTGCTGTCTTACCTCAACAGTCTTCTTCTCTCCTGTGTGGCGTTTCTGACATTTTATCAGCTGCATCGCCTCAGACCCTCTCATGTGTCTCTCTAAAATGCTGTATTGTTCAATGTGCCAGCTGTTCACTGTAATAGAGTAGATTTTTCTGCAGATGTTTTCTTTGCTGAAAACCTTCAGGCCTTTTTCATACAAGACCAAAGCTGTGCTCTATCAAAGGTTTCGTACTTGAACCTTTTAACCAGATGTCCTTAGTTTTCCATGTTTTTACTCACCTCATTGAAAGGCAGAAAGGCATTTTTTTACATTTAAAGGGGGCTCTCACCAGGGAGATTTAAAGAAACTATATGAGGGATTTGTTTTTGTAGTTTTTATGGGTTATGTTTAAGGGCTTTTAAAAAACTGACCACACTACTTCAAAGCCATTCACTGTTTTGGCCCTTAATAATACTGTTTAATTTCAATTTTTTTTACACTATAGATGAATGGTAAACAAGAATTTGTACCCCTTAATCTCCAGGCTGATATCCATAACAATAATTTGATTAATTTACATTTATTCAATAAACAATCCTACATTTGAGGTTTCATGTAAAATGTCTTTTGATTTCGAACAAGAACACAATGTAATATTCTTTTTTTTAACCTGAAGAACATATCCTGAGACTTATGCTAAGTATCCGAACACTAATCTGTGATAGTAAATACCTGAAGAACAGTCTCTCAGAGTGTCGTGATTTAACACTGACTGTCATAGACTTCTAATGTAGATCTGACCGAGTCCTTAAACCTGTTGAACTCTTACTCAAGTTTGTCTTAATGCTGCATTTTTTAAAGCTTTTACTACCCAAACATTTCCCAGTTGAGCACTTTGAATGCCACTGTGGGCCAAATGTGGTTTCACTTAAAGCCATACTTCCCAAACTTCCTGTGTAAAGTCACATCAATGATGTTGAATAAAAAGATCCATTCCCTCAGTTTAACAGCTGTTTTGTGTTTTTTCTTTGTAATTGCTGTTTTTCTCTCATTCATGAAACTCAAGGTTTGGCAGGGGGTTAATGAAAAGTTTGTCAAAATGACTGTTTTCATGGAATGTACTTGTCTTAGAGTGGACATTTTTAGTAATATCTAAAGTTTGGATTTAAAAAAGTAAAGAATTTGCTGACTAAGAAAAGAAGTAATTTCTGTTTGATGATACAATCTGAAAATTAAGTGCTTTTTGGTCTGTATATGAGATGGTGGGAGAGTGGATAGAGTAGGGAATGACACACAGGAATGGAGCAGTGGGCTGGAATCAAACCTGGGCTGTCCACTGAAGGCATGACCTCTATATTTGAGGTGCACACTTACAAGGTGAGGCGAGCAGCAGTCTAGCTGCTTATTTGGTTGAAATGGTTTTACTCATGCTTGTTTCAAAAGTTAAGTTGGTTAAAAAAATCTGGTTGATCAAGATGAGTTGATGAGATGAGGCATTATTTTAGTGGCAGTGTCCACACTTTTTACACATGCAACAAAAACTTTGTTGAAGCAAGTCTGAGAAATGTAGACATGATCTAATGAAACAAATTTTACATGAATGCTGGTGAAACTAACACAAAAAGCTCTCAGAGCAGGTTAAAGGACATGAATTGATTGAAAGATTCTGCTTCTGACCTTCAAAGCCATCCATAACCCTGCCCCTCTGTACCTTTCCCCTCTCACACTCTCAGGTCCTCTTTCTCTCTCCACCTCACTGTCCCTCCTGCCCATTCGATCACTATGGGCTCCAGAGCCTTAGTCCCTCTGCCCTCTGACTCTGGAACACTCCCCCTCCAGACATCTGTAGTATTAACGCTCTCTCCATCTTCATACCCTGTCTTAAAACTCATCTTTTCAAACTGATATATTCAGTCTGATTGTTTTCTTTCAGTGAACTGTTTCATTCATTGTTTTAGCTTATTTTGTGGACTTTTATTATATATTATATTTATATATATTATTTTCACATTTTTATATATACTGTTTATATAAATCTTCTCTCTGACAGAGATAAAACTAGCGTATGAATACAAAGAAACAAACAGCTAGACGACATGCAGGTGTGTTCATAAAAACACTTGTTCCAGTAATCAGGAGGATATACGCTCACAGAGACCCTTGTAGCTTGGAGCCCACTTCAATGGGGCTCTTGAATTCAGATGAGCATGGTGGTGAAAAGGAACACAAGCACACAATTTGCAATTGAAACGATGCGTTGGTGAGTGCCTTGTGATGGGTCCTTTTTATCTTTTACATTTGATCACTCCATCCGTCCATCTGTCCCCTCATAGCAGTCTCTCTCCATCCCTTGTGATCGATGTCTCATGAAGTGAACTGAGCTAAATAATCAGACTCTCCTGAAGGAAAGACTCAGACTTATCTGGATTTATGGACTGACGTTTCAGGAAATCTATCAGGTTTGTAGGCTTTCAATATCTCCTCCCCTCACCAGCTGTTGTCATAACTACTGTACAGCATGTTGCTATGCCATCTGGTTTCCATGGTGATGCCTGATACAGGATGACCTCGCCATGGATGACCTTCCATTTTCTGACTGTGGGTCCATGATTACATGACTGAGTTACCTGTCAGTGAGATTGGCAGCCTTCCTGCTCCTGTGTTTGCACGTCTTTAATGTGAGTTTTTCTTTGCATTTTTGTCTCAGTGTTTAATAACTCTGTGTGTGTGTGTGTGTGTGTGTGTGTGTGTGTGTGTGTGTGTGTGTGTGTGTGTGTGTGTGTGCGCGCGCGCGTTTGTGCGTCTTTGCTGATTCTGTCTTTGGCTCTCTGCCATGAACAAAGTTACCGGAGTCCTGCGTGGGGTGTGTAAAGTATGATGTCAGGTCCACTGCAGGATTCACACAGGCTGTCTGTGAAAACGTGGACCGAGGAGGAGAGCGACCAAGCAGACAGCACACTGAGCAGGTACACACGTGTGTGGTGTTTGATATTTCAAGTCACAGTGAAGCTTAGACTGTAAGTCAATTGTAAATCATTGACACCAGACCAACTGCATGGGACTGCTCAGTGAATAACCTTGTAAGACAAAGACAAAGGGGCAGCTTGATGGATTGAATACTGGTTCAGTATTCAGTTCAAATGGTTCAGTATTTTCAGTCAGTTGTTTAGGAATATATATATATGTATATACTGTATATGTATAGATAGATAGATAGATAGATAGATAGATAGATAGATAGATAGATAGATAGATAGATAGATAGATAGATAGATTTTCATTTAGATTTCATTTAGAGTTTGAGTTGATTATTGAAACAGAATATTAATCACCCTTCACAAGGAGGGTCAGCCATAGAGGGTCCCTGCTGAAGAGTCTGGCTGTCAAAAGAGTGGAACAAGATTCACGGAAAGATGAGAGAGTAGGTGCATGAAGAGTCAGGACAGGTCAGGTCAGTCAGGACAACAACTGTTGCTCAATAATACGACCCTCCTGAACCTAACAGGGTCAGAAGAGTCTTATCTGGGTTAAGGGGAAAAACACTGGACTGTTGCCTCTCAGGTCTAAGGTCCTCTTTCCAGATGAAAGTCAAATGTGGACTGGAAATCAAGGTCTCTGAGCCTGGAGAGAGATCTGAGTGGCTCAGAATCCAAGTTACTTGAGGACCAGCATTAAGTTTCCACTTTCTGTGATGACTTAGGGTGCTGTGTCATCTGCTACTTTTGGTCTACTGTGTTTTATCAAGTCCAGAGACAGTCTGCCAGGAGATTTTAGAGACCTCCATGCTTCCTTCTCCTGACCAGCTGTAGATGCTGATTTCCTTTAATCCAGAAACTGGTTTATTAAACTCTGGTGTTACTGTGCCTGACCGGACCAGTATTTGTTAAGCGGACAATGAGAAGCACGCAAGTATACTCTGCAGTGTTAAGGGCTGATCACCTTATAACCACAGTGCACTTTTTAGAAGATGATTTTTTTTGTTTGTTTTTAAATCAAATCTGTTATTGATAATTGATAATAGGAAATATTCTAATTATTTGAGATACTTGATTTTTACCAACAGGCTACAGGAAATTTATGAAAGTTTACCTTTTTGATTTTAATTATATTGAATTAACTTTCTCATATTATTCATATTCATTAATGCCCCTGTGTGTTTTATCTTGTTTTTAGCTCTACACTAATCAATAGTTTGTTGTTTTACAAATCCGTGTATGTAAATTGAAGCCGTTTGCTGTCCTATGATTTTAGATCTATATGAAGCCATTGTAATTTTCCTGTGATGTATTTTGTGATGTGTTCATGTGAGTAGAGCACAGTCTATGTGTGATGACACCTCCTCAGAGCTTCAGAGAATGGCAGCCATTGACAGAAGAGAGGTCAATTCCCAGAATTCTCTCCGTGGGCGTGGTGCTCTGTCCAGGTATGACAGTTGATTGATGATCAACCATACAAGCAGACAGGTGTGAATATGTGTGTGTGTGTGTGAAAAAGTGAATTATCAGTGGAGTGTAATATACCAGCCTATCATTAGTCTGCTTGTCTGCTGTCAGGATAGTCAACATGGTGATGACTCTGAGAGAATGGGCACAGAAGAGTCTGACAGAGGAGACTGAGCGGCCTGATTCCTTCTTGGAACGTTTCAGAGGCCCCGCCCACACTGACCAACAAGCTCCATCCAGCAGGTTCAGCCACACTGGTTCTGATGTAGATAACGAGATCAGACGCTCCAGACACAAGTAAGACAACGAGAACCTGACGAGTCACATACACGGGAAACAGTCACGAAACGAAAAAAAAAGGATTCTTGTTCAGGATGAGTTTTTCCGCTTTCTCTCTCTCAGGAGGAAGACGTTTAGTGTCGTGGTCCTGTCACCATCTGATGATGCGTACTACCACTGGTTGTTGGTGATTGGTGCTACTGTCTTTTATAACTGGACTCTGCTGGTAGTCAGGTTTGAATTGTTATTACTGCTTGACAATGGTAGCAGCAGTAGTTTCAATACCGTCACTAGCACAGATGGAAACTGCAGAGCTGAGCTCATTTGAGGAGTAACTAAGCTGAAAATGCAAACTACATGTGAGGTTATCAGGTAGATAGAATTAGCATAAATAGTGAACTGCAGATTGAAAGCTTAGGAAAGAAAAAGGACAGCAAAAAAAAGCACATGCAGAGACAAATGACTCAACAATAGATGAGTATCTTTAGACCAAACAGGTCAAAAAAGAGGGCAAGTTCGTCACATTTTGATACTGTAGGGTCCAATGTGATCGGATATTATGATATCTGACATTTACATACACCTACCTTTATGTACTTTTCTCAAAAGTTGTGGTAAATCAGCTTTCCTTAAAAATGTAGTGATTTGAAATGAGCCTCATACGGTCGCACCAAAATATATGTAGCGATTTGAAATGAGCCTCACAAGGCCGCACCAAAATAATACTTGGCGATTGGAATTTATAATAAATGTCTGAAGATTAATAATCTCAAATTATGACATTTATGCACTCGTTGAAAGGGGCACCACCCACCCTTAATGGTGGGAAAACAAAGAAAACAAAAGTTTAATTCAGAAATCAAACATCAAGTCAGTTTTAATTAATCAGTCTTAATTAATCAGTCTCATATCTTAAGTCGAAATTCTAATTTCAGGGACTCCACTTCTGGAAGAACACTAACAGACAGGAACTTAGAAAAATAATGATCTGTTTATTACAGGATAAATGATGGTACAACACACATGCAATAAATGATGATAAGATAATGAGGATAAAATAATAATAGGTGAATAAATAAAGATTCTGAGTCAGGCTAGGAGCACTAAAGTTAATGATAGTGAGTGAATATGCGCTAACATATTAACCTACACTAACTTTGGTGTCGAGATAAACTCGGATGTGGATTTGGAGGAATCTAAGATCACCAGAAATAGGTGGATATCTGAGTTATGAACGCGTGAGACAGCACCAGCCCTCTTTGGAGCTCTGGAGGTTTGCATACTTAAGTGAGACTGGTCCTTGGAGAAGATGGAGCAGGTTCCGAAGGTCCGGGCTACTGGCGGTTCGAGCGGTTCAGCTCAGAAGACGACTGAAGTCAGCCGAAGGATGAGCCAGGAGTTGCAGCACTCGGGCCCGAAGCAAAGCCAGCGCCTGTGGATCCTGTGGATGCTCGTTTGGGTACTTCTTTGGTCTCACTCAAAAACTCTGGCACAGAGGATGACCTGGGCCTGTTGGGTTGCGTTCGGAGGTGACTTTGAAATCACGCAGAAAACTCAGAAAAACGAGGCTCGAAGAGCAGAGAAAACTTTCAAAAATGGCTTCGCGAAATTAAAGAAAAATCAATCAAAGGCTTAATCTTGAATTGCTATGTGCACAAAAAGTTGAAGTTTCAAAACTTGAACTAAGACGATGTTAAAGAAAAATCAACGTGAATCAACACGTGGCGTAAAACTTAGAAGACTAAGAAAAAGTTCTAAGAGAAAACAAAGAAACGCACCACAGAAGGGTGTGGGCAGAAGAGAAGGGGCATAAGAGCCGGGGACAAGAGAGTCAGTAGAAGAGCAGAAGCATAAGAGAGAGTAAGAGGAGCATAAGAGGAATAAGGCAAGAGATGGACAAGAGAGTGAGCAACCCCACTTCACTGGTTTTATCTTCTCACACTGGGTGTGTCTGAGGAGAAAGAGGAGGGGGTCATCGGGTCTCTGATTATTTGATCTAACTTATTCTTTTGGCTGGTAAAAGAGTCAGATCTGATACTCACTCACTATGATTAATATCATTGAATGCTTGGTTTCATGATAAATAATTTGATACTAAACACATATGAATGAAGTGTAGGATCACATCAAACATTCTCATTATGTTTTAAGTATCACATTGAACATGCTAAATTACTCTGAAATGAAACAGATAGTAACACATAGAAACTGTGAACAACAAAAGAGTAAACACGTGAATGAACGTCATCATGATTAATAATGGATTCTAAATACTCACATTCAGATTATTCAGTGACATTATAACCACCTAATGGTTAAGATACCAAATAAATAGCTAAAATATAAACCAAACATTTCTAAACTATTTCTGTTACTTAGAGTAAACTTAGGATTCATAGTCAATAAATTTAACTCTTAAAAGTTCATGAAACAGTCTGAAAAGCTGTTGGTCTAAAGAACTAAAGAATAAGGATTTATTCTGTCAGATAAGATAACTTGGCTTCTGAAGCACATAGAAAAACGGGAAACATCTCATTTTAACACAAATTTCATGATTAGACAGATTAGTACATTGCTGAATGCATAAGATGTCATGATCAGTCATTTGTATTCTTTCACCAAAGGAATGCAGTCTTTATCAGTGTATGGTCGAGCAGGGTTTTACGACCGAGGTCTGGAGGTCAGTGTCCCCCCTTATCCTGGGGTCCGTATGTTCACACACTTTAAGACGCTTAATCTCAAATGGGAGATCTGGGTTGAGGTTAATGTTTATTTAGATGGTCAGCAAATGGAGTCAGTTTGAAAGGTAATAAAAACTCTGTCTCTGTTCGCCGAACTGACCAATCCTGAAGAGTCAGAGGTTTAGTCAACCTCCGGTTGGGTCACTTATTTAACCTGAAAGTGCAAACACGTCTGGAAAGATTTATATCCTGTTTCCTGGGACCAGATAAGGAAACTTTCCTGTAAGGAATGTGTGGGTTTCACATCCAGGGTTGTCTTGATTGCTACAAAAAAATGACTGATTACTAATTTGCTTGTATCATAGCATCATATCACAACAGTCCATAGATTTATCCTGCCAACAAACCTGTCATTTTATTTTCCTTGAGTATCCTCCCAACAGCATCCAACTTGACATAACCTCTGGCATATTTTCAGCCCATCAGCTACAGAGACAGATTTTATTACCTGGGTATGATACTCATACAAGATAATATTCAGGCTCATCTTGCTCTATGTCTTCTAGAGATGATAACACCTCACTTTAACAAGACAGTTCAAATGTCTGTTCACAGTCCTGAGGGTTCAACAAGTGATCCAGATTTGATGTAGTTCTTCTTCTTAGTGTCAACCATTACCCTGGCAGGAAAGACTTTCAAAATGCACAACCTACAGTTGTCTTCAACAGCTAATAAGGTTGAGAACATTATCCCACAGGACTTTCTGAGAGGGGTTTATCTTACTTGTAATGCCATTGTTACTACCACATATGTCAGCAGGTAGGTTTGTTCATTATGCATGATTTCCCTGTTTCTTTGTCTACAGGGCCTGCTTTGATGAACTCCAGATGGCAAATGTGCTGGTCTGGATGGTCCTAGACTACATCTGTGATGGAGTTTACATTCTGGATATAGCTGTCCGCCTCCACACAGGTACTGGGAAAATAAATGTGATAAGTGTAAGATTTGTAGTTTTTTCATGGCAATATGGAAATGTTGTTTTTTATTGAGATAAGCTCTATGATCTTGGTCATAGCTCGCATCAACACAGAGGTTTCAGTAGAGGTGATCGTGAGTGGACAGCCTTCAAAATGTTAGGAATCGAACAAAGGCTAGGATCCAAAAATGCAGAGGCAAAAGCCCAAATTTATTGACAATAAACAATAGAACAAAGTAACAACAGAAAATCGCCGTTTTCGGGAAGAGGCACGGTTGGCTCGGACTGCCACTAAAAAGACACAAATACAGAGTTAGAAAAAAGGTCACTGCAGCAAGGCAAATAGCTGGTGAAAAAACAAAGTTCAAATGATAGTGCCACGTGGGGCAAGTAACAACTAAGGATGTAAAAGTCAAAGTGCAACAGAAAATCGCAAACCAAAAAATCTTCTCAACTGGAGGAAAAAACACGAACAAAAAAATCCCCGTTGCTCAAGGGAAAAATTCTCTGGAAAGTAACAAAAGAATTCACAAACAAATACTGAGAGGTAGGCTGGATACACGGGCGGGAGATCAGGGAGCTCGGCATGGCAAGACACGTGTAGCATGAATGAGTCCGGCACTGAGTCGACAGAGGAGCTGGCATATAAAACCAGGTAATTGACAACAACGAGAATCAGGTGCGTGCAATCAGGCGGCAGTAGCTCAGGAGGTAGAGCTGTCGTCCAATAACCGGAAGGTTGGCGGTTCAATTCCCCCCTAATCCAAGTCTGTCCGTTGTGTCCTTGGGCAAGACACTTAACCCACCTTGCTCCCAGTGTGTGTCCTCCACTGGTGTATGATTGTGAATGTTGTGTGGTGGTGGTCGGAGAGGCCATAGGCGCAGAATAGCAGCCACGTTTCCACCACCACCAAAGTGTGACTGTGTGAGTGAATGAATGATGTATCCAATGTAAAGTGCTTTGAGGGTCTCTGATAAAGCGCTATATGAAATCTAATGCATTATTATTATAATCAGTCCGGGCCATGTCATTCATGCAGGTTGGTAACCACACAGCTGCACCCTTGAGACAAACTGTTCAAGTGGTATTATGCTAGTTTAACAAGACAAAGCCTACACACAAATATATATCCTCTTTCTAGACCAAAATACGAACAATGTGCATTGTATGATGAGATGCTATCCAAGCAGAGCATTATAGCAGTTTGCTCCATCTTGAGCACAACATATGACCGTCAATTATGACCATCATTAAGGGCTTACAATAGCACAAATAGAGGTTATTTAACTGGCAAGTAACTCTGGTGCAAACTAGAGTGGGTGACAACATTTAAGCACTTAGTTGATGAAGTGGGTGCACTGAGATGGGTGTTTATGTGGCTTCTTGGCTTCTGCAGCTCACCTAATGTGGACACAAGAGGAACAGGTATAATTTTGACACATTGTGCTCTCTGAAATACTGGCAGCACAGACACAGAAAAGGGCAGAGGCCTGTACTACGAAGCTGGATTTGGTCTTAGCGAGATAACTTCTGGATAACTTCTGGGTTTTCTGTACTACGAAGGTGGATCTCTTTTTATCCGGGTCTGTTGCCCCGGTAACTTACGCGGAACGCCAAACCAGAGGCCTGGGGCCTGTTCTACGAAGCAGGATTACTGCTTAGCGAGATAACTTCGAGGGTAAGTTCGGGGTTTCCTGTTCTACGACGCGGGTTCACCTCTTAGCGAGGCGAGTCTCCATAGCAACGTACGCTGAACGGCTAAACTGCTCCGGGGCAGGTTAAGTTCCAGATTGAACTCAAAGAGTATAAGAACCCCGCCCACTGACCAATGAGCTCTCTCGAAAAACGGCTTGTCCGTTCTCGGAGGATCCTGTAGACCTCGGTGCTCGCATTGTCCGAGGAGGAGCACTCCGGCTCGCGAGAGTTTACAGGGAGAGTTTTCTCCGGATGACCACCTTTATGAAAGGCTCATATGGCCGACATATTACACAAAAACATGTAAACACGATAGGAATGAACAAATGAATGATTCATCTTGGAAATGAATGGGCATGGGCTGCGCGATCACAGACAACATCTCGGTACTATTTAGTAGCAGCGCACGCCGCTTATAATAACCCCCGTAAATACTGTTGTTCAGGACTGTTACTTGTGCTTCCTACCTACTGTAATAACCGTTGTTCTTGCCCACATGCAACACTTTTGTTCTCATTCATGAAACGCTTAAATCGGGGACATTTTCGGGGACAGCTTTAGCCGGGGACAGATCATCCAATTCGGGGACTGTCACCTTAGTTAAAAGCGCATGTTGAACAGTGCTTTTTCAGGGTGATAATGGCATCAAAGATGCATTTTCTGCCAGCATTCCCTCAGTGCTTTTGCGGCGGCGACGGTGTTGCTTTTGGCGTTTGTGATAGCTTTCAATTCTTCACACATTCTCATGATCGTCTCCTGCTCCTTGTTTGTAAAGTCTGCGGTCCTTCACTCTCCAGCCTGCTCTGACGCTCCAGACGGATCCATGTTCGCGATTGGTCAGATGCGGCGGGCTCCGCCTTATATGTGTGCACGCGCTCATAGCAGAGCTGGATCCACTTATGAGGTTGATAACCAGCGTCGTAAAACCGCTTAGCGAGACCGCTGGCTACCGCGCTAAGTTGAGCGAGGTAGCTCCAAACCTACCCCGCTAGGTTGAACCTACTTCGTAAAACAGGCCCCTGTACTACGAAGCCGGATTTGGTCTTAGCGAGATAACTTCTGGATAACTTCTGGGTTTTCTGTACTACGAAGGTCGATCTCTTTTTATCCGGGTCCGTTGCCCCGGTAACTTACGCGGAACGCCAAACCTGCTCCGGAGCAGGTTATGTTTCAGGATAAGATCTCAGCAGGTATAAAAAACCGCCCACTGACCAATCGGATCTCTTGGAAAATGGCTTGCCCACTTTTGCCGGATCCCGGGGACATCGTTGCACGGATAGTGAGAGGAGCGCTTCGCCGAGAGCGTTATATTCATGATCGTTCAAATCCGTTTGATTTACCTGATGACGTTCTCTATGAACGTTACAGGTTTTCCTCGGACGGCCTCAATATTCAGGTAGCATGAAGTCTAAGCAATACACTAAAATTTGCCAAGCTCCAGGTTCAAATTTGTTAGTCATCTTTCAGAATTCATTGAAGCAGATTAGAAAACTCTTAACCCCAAATGTGTCTGCAGATGACGTGACCATCAGATGATAGAGAAAAAAAAAAGGCAGTGTGAGGAAATCACTGTTTACGTGTTGAAATATGTACAAATAAAATCTTCCAATAAACTTACAAACTACTTTAAAGGATGTTTTTAGATTTATTTTTATTTGCTCCCACGTACTCTTTTCCCCACTGCTGTTGTATCTGAAATAATGAGGTCAGTGATGGTGGTGATCACACACGCTGCATGACAATATATTAGGGGGCCATAAATTTATGAACGCACAAATGTAATTTACACAACCGGTGATTTTTTTTTGCCGGCAGTCCCTCCGGCTTTTAGCGGCTGTGTCTGTCTCACTGTTTAAATAATGCTCTGTTCTTCAGCTGTGAAAAATGACGTGCAGCCTCCTCCATTGTGGAGATTGGTCCGGTGGCACTGACCCGACCCCCTTTACGTGTGCGCGCACAGATCTGAACTGGATTCAGTTATCGAGTTGATATCCTGCTTCGTAGTACAGCTGATCGGGATCGCGGAGATCCGGTGAAGTTGAGCGAGTTGTCGCAGAGTTATCCTGGATTTGTTAATCCAGCTTCGTAGTACAGAGGCCTGTACTACGAAGCTGGATTAACACATCCAGGATAACTCTGCGACAACTCGCTAAACTTCACCGGATCTCCGCGATCCTTTCCGTATAAAACATGGCCTACTTTTGGGTCAATGTGCAGATGTTACAGATTTCAATGTTAGTCAGTGGATTGTGGATTTTACCCAGATATGAATACAAATCTTGCCTGGCCTGCAACTGTCCCCAATCTGTCAACCATGACAGAGCACCATGTGTTAACCCAACACACTGTTTTTAACAAGTGCTAACCATGTGACTTAGAAATCAACTAAACAACGATTAAAACTAAGTTGTGATTAATTCCATACCAAATAAACCACATGAAAAAATTCCTTTAATACATGAAAACAAGTTTTTTTTCCAGTTAATCCAGAAGATTATGCCAAATATGTCTTCTGTCCTGCCGGTGGGAGGGTCCAACTGAGCATCTGCAGTATCAGTGTCATCAATCTAGCATGTTTCTGATTGGAGTAATAAGCATTGTTGCAACTGTTCACAGTCTCCCCTTTCTTTCTTTCTTTCTTTCTTTCTGGACATGGTTAAAAAAAAAATATATATATATAAAAAAACACACACAAAACAACAGTTAAGAATAAAATGAAATAAGTGCCTCACTTAGAAGCACATCAATCTTACTTATCACAACAAAATAAGAACAAAACCAAAACCAGAGTATCCACATGTCCAAAAAAGGGGTAAGAAGAAGTCAAAGACTTGTCTAGTCTTACCCCTCTGTTACTGATCTCATGTAACTTAACTTAAACACTATAACTAAATGTCTATAGAAACAAACAATTACTTCCTTTGATGAGATGTAAGGTTAACCCTCATCTGGATGTAGGACAGAAACTAAAACCAAGTCATAAGAGTCAACAGAAGTTTCACATCGAACTTCTGCCACAGTGGCTCCACAGTCACCCCTCCCTCGTGCTTGTGCATTGATTCCATAGCAGAGTGAAAGAATATGATTTTATATTGCTCACACTGTCTCACCCCTGTTACCACCTCTGATCACAGCTCAAGGTCAGGAAAACTCTGTTCCAATGTTATTCCTCCATAACATTTATGATGAAGTATACACATGCCACAAGAATAAAACACTCAACTTGAATGTAAGAGGGACGAAAAACAAAGTCTAAGGATGATGGTGAGCCTGATACTGGCTCAGGTAGGAGTGTGGTTTTAAGTTATTTATAATAACTACCTTAGCAGGGTTAGTCCTCCTTTGTATGGATTCTACTGCATAACTGTGTGGTTCCTGCATGGCTCTAAGGTTCTGGATCCAATCAGTCTTAATTTGAACTACAGTAGTATGTTTTATCTGAGACACACCAACATTAATTTGACTTTTTTTTCTGTTATTACATCGTTAAGGTTTCTTGGACCAAGGTTTGATGGTGAAGGATGTGCGGCGCCTCAGAGAAACCTATGTTCGAACCTTACAGTGTAAACTTGACATTTGCTCCATCCTGCCCACTGACCTCCTCTACCTGAGTGTGGGAATCAGTTACACTCCTCTTCTTCGATTTAACCGTCTGCTGCGCCTCCCCCGCCTCTTTGAGATGTTTGAGCGTACTGAGACACGAACTAGCTACCCCAACGCTTTCCGGATCTGTAAGCTGGTTCTGTACATCCTGGTGATCATTCACTGGAATGCCTGTGTTTACTACAGCTTCTCCAAGGCCCTGGGACTGGGATCAGATTCATGGGTTTATCCTAATGCATCAGATCCTGAGTTTGGCTCCCTGACTAGAAGTTACATCTACTGTCTGTACTGGTCCACTCTAACACTGACCACCATTGGAGAGACGCCTCCTCCTGTCAGAGATGAAGAGTATTTGTTCCTGATTTTTGACTTTCTGGTAAGTTTGTGGCAAACTAACCGAGATCATCTGACTTTGACTGGCCTTTGAGTGAGCCTTACAGCATTTTGATTACAGTTATTCCGGCCCATCTACAGGCTCACACAAATGTTTTTCTCTGTTTTAGGTTGGTGTCCTGATTTTTGCCTCCATTGTGGGAAACGTTGGCTCTATGATCTCTAATATGAATGCCACCAGAGCAGCTTTTCAGAGCCGTGTAGACACGCTGAAACACTACATGCACTTCAGACACGTAAGCAAGGGGCTAGAGCAGCGGGTCATCCGCTGGTTTGACTACCTCTGGACCAATCAGAAGACAATAGATGAACAGGAAGTTCTGAGGAGTCTGCCCAATAAACTGAGAGCAGAGATTGCTATCAACGTTCATCTGGACACACTGAAGAAGGTAGAGACACATTTATCTATCCTCTTTATCTCTGATAAAGCACTATATGAAATCTGATGCATTATTATTATTATTTTAGTACAGTGCAGTAGAAGCTTAATTACTTCTGTGTGTGTGTGTGTGTGTGTGTGTGTGTGTGTGTGTGTGTGTGTGTGTGTGTGTGTGTGTGTGTGTGTGTGTGTGTGCACGCATGTGTTGTTTCACCTTTGTTTCTGACATAGGTGCGTATTTTCCAAGACTGTGAGTCAGGCCTTCTTGTAGAATTGGTCTTAAAACTTCGGCCGCAGGTCTTCAGTCCTGGAGATTACATCTGTAGAAAGGTCAGTATTTCTTATAAGGGTGGGTAGGTTTTCTAAATTTCCAACACTGAACTGAAAAACTGTTATAATGTATCAAACCGCTACCCAAAAATTCAGTTTTATGTCCTTTTTAATCTGTATATGCTACCTGTTAAAAAAGTCATCAGGAGGCATGGCATCAACTTTCATAGCAATGCAGATAAAACACAGCTGTGTCTCCTCATGACCCAGGACTGACTGATTCCCCTTTTAACTGTATTTTAGATTTGTGTCATGTATGACAGAGAATGTCTCAAAGCTTTAACAGGACAAAATGCAGGTTTTAGTCATGCAGGTACTGGCACCAAGGGATGCAACAGTACTTTTATTGTTTTCAAATAATCTTTGTGATCGATCTCATTTTATATATTTCTTAACTAATTTCTAAGTGTTATGAGTTTCTCCAAGTTTTACCTTCAGTGTTTCCTCATCTTGAGCTCATAATGGTGTTTCCTTCATTCCTTAATCCTTAAGTTCATTTTTTATTTGGTCTTTTCCTTTTTTGGTCTTGTTGTTTAATACTTTTTGTTTGTGATGACCTGGACTAGGAATGAGGGTTTTGATTGTATACACTTTTCAATGTAAAACATAATGTGCTTCATTTTGTAGTTTGTAACACAAAGAAAGTCTTACTGATTGTTGATTGAAGTCATTAAAACCCACAGAATGCATGTTGAGTGCGTTCCGTCAGCATCATGTGCTACACAGCAAATACACTCCTGTTTTAACCAATGCAGCATTGCACACAGGAGTCAAAATATTCAAAATACAGGTTAAACCAAGTCAAAGGCTAAGCAGTCTCAGCACCCAATATTTTGAAGCCATCACACTCATTGTAGTGGTTGCTGGTTCAGTTCTCGATTAAGACCCTATGCGACATGTCTATGTCCAAATGTCCCGCCTCTCTTCAGCTGTCCCATCTAATAAAGGCAAAATGTCCATATTTTTGCCTTTTTTAAAGATTTTTCCTCTCATTTCTCTCAGTCCTGGTGCTGATATACTTCCATATGTTTTATAAGCAGGAATCCATGGTGACCCAAGAGATGATAGGACACAGATGTTTGTTATTGTGCCTATCTGCTCAAGGGACTCATTTTTAAATCTCTAATCCTTTTCTTTTGTTTTTGTTTCTTTTCAAGGGTGATGTGGGTAAGGAGATGTACATAATCAAAGAAGGCCAGCTGGCAGTGGTGGGGGAGGATGGCTTCACCCAGTTCGCCGTTCTGACTTCAGGAAGCTGCTTTGGAGAAATCAGTATCCTCAACATCAGTGGCAGCAAGATGGGGAACAGACGTACCGCCAATATCCGCAGTCTTGGATACTCAGACCTGTTCTGCCTTTCCAAACAAGACCTGATGGAGGCGCTTCAGGAGTTCCCCCATGCCAGAGCTCAGCTGGAGCAGAGGGGGCGGGACATCCTGCAGAAGGAGGGTCTTCTGGAGGAAATAAATGTATCTGCAGGAGAGGACGTGGAAGAGAAGCTGGAGAGGCTGGAAACCAGTCTGGACCGTTTACAGGTCACAGCCATTAGCCTGCTTCTTCTAGTTCTGTTGATACCATTGTCATGTTTGAAACAAATCATACAGTATTAAAAATAATGTAATCTAATGAATACTTTGTTTTCAGACATGTTTGGCCCGGCTGCAGAGCGAGTTCAATTCTTCTCAGCTCCGTCTCAAGCAACGACTCACAACTCTGGAACTAAACACCACCACAGTGGTGACAGGAAGTGGTTTCCTGTCAGATGGTAATGAAAGTGGCTCTGGCGGTGATGGTGCTCGCAGTGAAATCAACATCCGGCTCTGAATGACGTAATCAGAATAATGTTTATGTAAACCACATAGCTTAATAACAAGGATGCACCAAGGGTCAGTTCCTGGTCCTCTCTTCTTCTCCACCTTTACCTCCTCACTTGGAGCAATAATCTGCCCTTACAGCCTCTCATATCACTGCTATGTAGATCATACTACTACCAGCTAACACAACAGTCCCAGCTCGGACCTCAACATGTCTTGCTGATATTTTCAAATGGAAGTAGAACGCCACCTGAAGGCTTGTCAGAGCCTGTGGCACAGCTCCTGGTACAGGCTCTCATAGTTACAAGGCATCAACAACTGCAACTCCTTACTGGCAGGCTTCCCTGCATGCACATTTTGACCTCTGGTGACAATCCATAGTGCAGCAGCGCATCTGATCTTCAGCCAATCTAACATCGCATATCTGCTGATCATCTCTTTACCCTGGCTTCTGGTCCCACTTCCCATTAAATTCAGAGCTTTGTAACTGCCCACCTGGATTCCCTTATCCAAGTCCACATTTCTTCCTGGCTGCTGCGCCCTGCAAATAAAAGACACCTGGTGTTCCTACATCAACAGAGCCCTGTGCCATTCACCAAGCACATCTCCCCAGTTGTCCCCTCTGATAGTGAAATGAATTATCCCCCTATATTGGATCCTCAGAGACTATTACAAAAAGCCACAAAGAGTCGCTGTGTTACTCTAGCTCTTCAAAATAATTTAAACAACATTTAAGAGATCTCAGTTTCTTCACTTTGTATAAAACTCTAAAAACCTTAGAAGACTGAACTTGACTTTTCCTATTTTATCATGATGCTGTTGCCACAAGGGGGCAGGAAAACCTCTCCGAATACTGGTGATTATGGTGCTGCTGTCTAACCTGAATACAACTCATAGGTGTGTTAAGGTTTTTTTTAACCTCATAACTAAAACTCTGTGGATTTTTCTATCTAACTGACAGTTTTTGAGGACTTCACTGACATGTTGGCTCTGCAAAAAATAAAAAAATAAAAAAATAAAATACTGTGCTCTGTTAAGAATTGTGATATTTGGTCCGATTTTACATTAAAAATGTTTTTATTTTTCATTGTAAACACTCAGACATGAGATGTCTGTCAACATCATGTTGATTTTTATTGAGAAAATAAAGGTGGTTTGAAAAATCAAAATCTCTCTCTCTCTTACCAACATACCGATGTAAGGGGGTTCGGAGGGGGCAGCTCGCCCTTGAAATCTTGAACAGTGATCTCACCTTGTTTTTGCTCGTCCGTAATCTCAGCCTCATCTTCAGAAGAGCCTCCAGGACTGGCCACTGCTGCTCCTGCTGCACCAGCGCCACTCTTTGTTTCTGAAACAGGTTAATGTTGACAACTAACGTTAGCTGGCCCACAATTGTCTTTATAATTACAGCAGCAAGCAGTCTGGTTAGTTACTAGCCAAGGTGAAAACTTCACGTGAGCCTACAAACATCAGCAGCAGCTGTCTGGAGTGGACCACATTAACTTTAATTGGACTTTGCAGAACAAGCAAACTGGGTTCACTTTTGGAAAAGAAAGCAGTCCACAGCTGCCTCCCCTCATTCTGCCTTCTTTCTTTTTCTTTCCTCTCTTTCTCCTTTTATAACACGATTTATGCTTTTGGGGCAGCATGATGTCTAACCCCCAGGTCATTCAGTCTGGACTGACGTTACGCTTGTCGACAGGTGTTGTGCCGTAGAATGCACCCCTGCCATAGAATGCACCCCCTGCATCCCATCCACTCGTTCGCATCTGAAAGTGGAAGAAAATGATCTCATATTTTAAAAACGACGAGTATTTGATCGTGACAACATTCGTTCTGTTTTTATGTGTCTCAAAAATGCACACATGGAGGTGTGCTTGGGTATATAAATTGTACAGTGGTCCAAGAGCGTTCCAAGGTCGCTATATGGTTCCTCTCCAGGTGCACCATTTAGAATAACATTGAACAAAAACAATTTAGATCGGCCAAGAAATGTTTTTCACATTTCTTCACGCTGTGTTTCGCGCAAAATTATCTATTCAACTGCGGATTTCATCCACACTGATCAGAAACAAAGCATCCATAAACGTCCTGAAAGATACACCACCAACTTTCGACACGGAAAATGTAAGATTTGAACTTCGTAACAATAGGCCTACCTATCCGGTGTGTTCCGTCGTGGGCGTGATTAAGTCTAAGTTAGCATTTTAGTACACTGCAGCCTACAATTTATTTGTTGATATATTTATAACTCCGAGCTGGGATACAGGCGCTAAGTAGCTCCTGTTTAGTGTAAAACTACATGATTATAGGAGAGTTTAACTGTTCAAAACTGTTGTGATCATGTACAACAAACATACTCAATTATCATAGTGTTTCATAAACATAATTATAAATTATCTCTTACTTTAAATAATACACAGCAATGCAACAAATCCCTTTCAAATAAGTAATGTATGGCCATGTACCATAGATCTTTAGATCACAGTCTTACAAATGATAATCTTAAAGTTATTTATTAATTCAAATGTCCTGGTCTTTCTTCTGCTTCAAATTCATCCATATTTGCTTTTAATGGTCCTGCAGTCATTTTTAGCACATCCAGTTTAATAAATCTGTGTGTTTTAATGAGCTTAATTAATGTTATTAGTATACCTTGACTTTCAAGAAAGTTGAATGATCTTGAACACTTCCTTTCATACATTTTCAAAGATTTCTGCTGTTTATTTTACTCACACTATTAATCAGAGCTAGTTACCGTTACCACAGATCAATCAGAACACACTGGAGGTGACCCAGCAGTTTATTCAGGCCATATCCTCTTTGCAGAGAATGTTTTTAGCATTCACTGTTTATAGGTAGTTTTAACATGTGTCTGTATCGTTACAGTGGGAAGTACCTCAACAGCTTAAGGACCATGACTAGACTAAGGAAAGGAAGGCCTCAGCACACCAGGGAGAAAGCCCAGAGCTTACATCAGGTGCTTTTGCTGCAGGAATGATCAGGTAGGCCTCTTTATATCCATATTTTGGTCGAGATAAAGTTCAAACTCTGCAAAGTGTGACAACTATGAGGGCAGTTATGTGTGCAGTACTGTATGGAGGACCACAGGGGTCACAGGGCATGGATTAAATCAAAGGAGCATCTTCATAAAACTTTAAAAAGTGAAATTCTTAACACATCTTATCTAAAACTTCAAATGAAGTAAATTCTCAGACAGTTGGACGCACCTGGGACTCATTTTATTGAATTTCCCTTCGGGGATCAATAAAGTTCTTCTTCTTCTTCTTCTTTTAAGCACATGCACTGTGTTTTGACGACACGATCTTTGTGTTAATATATTCTTTATTGAAATTGACCAAGAGTGGTGCTACAGCAAAAAGTTCCACATTTTTATTAGCTTATTATCAGGATGGTTGAACATGAAATGACACTTTCTGTCCTTAGGGTGACACTGTTATTTAAAAGTTCATATTTTTACACTTAAATGACTGTTCCAAGTATTTGATCTTTTCTCATCAGCCTTTTGTTTTTTATTTAGAATAACAAATTGCATTTTCCCCTAAATTTTTAAAGCTCAGGTTTTTGATATCTTGTCAGAAAAACTTTTTATTGGCACCTATACTTTTTAAAAATTGTTTAAAAGCAAAAGCATCAAAATTTATAAAAATTTAGTCATTTAAAACTTGTCTTCTTTTAACTCTGTAAAGACTTGACATGTTTCTAAAAATAGATTTATGGGATTCAACTTTAAATCCATTGATTCAAAACTGGCACAACTGCATTGGAGAATTTAATGAACTGGTGAGATTTTAAAGTTTGTTTCTAATGTACTTGAGCCTGAAATCTTGTTTGTTTGATTTATTTTGCAGGATTCCCAACACCATCATTCAGCTCCTGCTGGTGGCCAGTCCAAGAAGAGGAAGAGGACCTCTGTGGTCCGTACTTCTGGTTCTACAGGGCTGACCCACGATCCTGCTCCTCAGCACTCCCACGCAAAAGTTGCTGATCCTCCGTTGGTCCTGAGGCCTCAGTCAACAATTCCACCTTCTGAGCTGCCTAAAGTCTCCCCTGTGGTTCACCCTTTCCAGCCCCCCACAACTCCACCACTGGATGACGGCCCTCTGATAATACACCATCAGTCAGTGGAAGAGTACCAGCAGCTCTACCATGCCGTGGTCGATGACATGCTTCGGTATGTATGATACAAAAAACAAGAATCTACCACTATCACAGACCATGATGGGAAACACTTAACCTAACATTGTGATTTCAACTACTTTCCCCTCATGTCCACAGGTACAAAAATGTCTGCCAGCATCCCTTCAGCCTTGCACTGGGACGTCATATCAAGCAGAAGCTGTGGGAATGATCAGATCGTCCACAGTTCAATGAAACTGTGGATGACAACAGACTTGTCCATGTAAACATTAGCTATGGGGTTGGAGTTTATCCACCCCTCTACAACGTGGACATATCCTATGAACCACAGCCAAAGACTTCACCTAGAAAGAGAGTGAGGACATGAAAGTTTTCACTCTCTACTTGTAAATATTGTTGTTGTAATGCTGAGTTAAAGCTTGTATATATTGTAAATACTATAGTTTAAGTTACTTTCGTTAAAGTTTGTTTTAGTTCAAGTTAAGATAGGAAATATAGTAGTATAAGGGGAAAATATTCAGAACTACTCAAAACAAAAAGTCCTCTCTGCAAGCAATTCAAAACACCTCAGCCATCCTGCACCTTGAGCCTCCTCCAAACATCTGCCTCAACCAACAACCATCTTTGACCAAACTGAAAATGACAAAGTATTGAACCTGCCTCCATCCTGTCCTCCAACAAGTGCCAGCAGCTTTTACCACCTTAGCGCTGCACATTTGCCAACTTCCATCTCCAACCTCTAAATAATAACATCTTCCTCTGCCTCTACTTGGCTGCCTCTCCACCTGCAGCCTCCACTGTCAGCCTCTGCCTCCTCCTTCTGCTCAAAGGTAAATATCTCTAATCAATTAAATCCATTTAATCAATTAAATCCATGTGCTGCCTCCACCTGTTTATGGGATGCCAATGCTTAAACCCAAACTACTTCTTAACATCAGCAGGCATCACCAGTGATTGCAGTCTCTGCCACACATCAGCAGCCACTGTCTCCAACTGCAACCTCGACAAGCACATTGACTCAACCTTCCCTCTCTGCCAACAACCTTGAGCCACATCCTGCAGTGCGCCAGTAGCTAGACACCAGCAGCCTCTCCCTCCAACAATTTGGAAAAAAAGATACCAAGCCAACCTAAGCCTCTATAGGCGAACTATAGCTTCCTCCACCTGCACCATGAGTGTATACCTGCTCCCTCCAATGCTGTCAGGAACCATCGCCTATGCCAAAGCACGACCGAAAAACCTGCCAACATCAACTTCAGCTCCAGCCTCTAAACCTCACAGTCTCAGCCTCCACCACTTGCAGTTTGTGGCTTACAAGTTCAGCTCATGCCTCTAGCTGCAGCCTCCGGGATATACTAGCTACCACTATCTCCAACTGAAGCCTCAAAAGTGACCTTTATGAGCCATCTCCTGCAGCTTCTACAAGCATCTACCAGCTTGTAATCCTACCTGAAAACTGTGCCTGACAGATGCAACACAAAGAACCTTCTCCAACATTCGCAAAGGCTGTCAGCCTCTGCTTTTGCTGCCTGATGATGCAAGAAATCAAAAGCAGTGACATCTAGTTTCAGCAGGAGTTCAAAAGCTGCAACCCTAGCCTCTTCCTGCAGCCCTCCTTAAAGGAATCACTCAACAGCTGAACCAGTATCTTCAATACAGTCCAGCCACATATCAGCAGACTCAATTTCAAGTTTGGGCCTTAACCAGGAACCTGCAGCCGCTTTCAACTGCACTCACTGACAAGCCTCCAAACCTGACCCCTACATAACATCAACAGCATCTGTCATCAACCAAACATCAACTACAACCTTCACCTGCAGATTATAAGTGATAACTGCATCCAAATCCTCCAAACAAGGTCTCAGCCAACAACCTGCAGTTGTTCTACAGTCTGAAGGATTATTGTTAAAGCTCAGACTTCTAACTACAACCTGGCCAATAAAGTATGAAGGAAAGCTGTACTCACACCTACCAACATAAGCCTCTACTATCACCAAACAACAAGCTGCCTTCAATGCCTTAATGTCTCAGACTGAGACTAAAGTGTCTGCAAGCCTCTGCCCAGCAATCTGCAACCTCAGCTACACAACATCTACTTACTCAACTTCAAGCCTCTACAAGGAACCAACAGCCACCAACTCCCTGATAGAAACCTGGAAGCTGCAGCCGTGTGAAGCTGTATCCTTCTCTCTGGATCCTTTATGATATTGTACTAACTCTCTTATGTACATCACTTTGAGCAAAAGTATCTGTTATATGACATTGTGACATTGCGCTGCAGGTGCCACCAAATCAAGTCCAAGTCTGTACCAGGAACCTGCGGTCACCTCCAGTTCCAGATGATGCTTGAAATCAATGGTCAACAGAAAAGAGCTGAAAGTTTCCTGCTGCAGCCTCTGCCAGAGACCATGGGTCTTAACTTCTACCTGCACAGAAAGAAATACAGCTGCCTCCTGTATCTCCAATTCAGCCTCTCCCAGCAAACGTCACCTGTCTTTACCGGCAGTTTGTGACTTTCAACCACAGGATCTGACAAACACTGAAAGCACATGACACCACTTGTATTTCACAGCTTAAAGCCCAAGCCCATACCTCATATTCAGTCTTTGTTAATGTTCTTCTTTCTTTCCATCACTTGCAGCCAGCATTCATTAGCTTGTCTACCTGAAAATTGTGAACCAGGCGTAAGCTGCAGCATGACCTCCAACTAAAGCCATCATCTCCAGCCACTGCTTCACCTGCTGAATCTACAATCAAATGTAAGGTATAAATCAAATGCAAGCCTGTTGGTGTCTGTGGCGTCCCCCTCCAAGTATCAAAGATGTCTCCATCTGCAGCGCTAATGAGCAGTCTTAGAAACCTATGCCAACGGTCTTTGGTCCCTGTCTCCACCTGCAGCCTATACCTCTACCTGTATTACATGAAAGATAGCTGCTTCCAGTGCCTCCGACCCAGTACCTGCCAGTAAACTGCAACTGCCTCCACCTGCCCTGTTACTATATGCCCAAGTCCATGCCTCCAACTTGGGCCTCTAATAAACAGCAACTGCATCTGCTGCCTCCAGTTGCTGCCTTTGTCAGGAATGTGAGGTACTAACTTGCCCCAAGCTTTTACTAAAAAACTAAAAAAGTCTCTGACCATAATAGTTATAAATTCATTTATAAAGTGCTCTCCGTCAAAGTGCAGTACAACAAGTAAAATATGAGGATAAAGCACATTACAACAAAAACAAGTTAAAAGCAAATTAGTCATGATGTTAACCATGAGTCTCATCCTTCATTTGTTTATTACTTGCATGCCTTTCAGCTACAGACAACCCTCCACAGAAAATGCTTCTACTTTTGAAACTTACAGTGAACTGAGCAGCTGACTCCATCCACACCACCTGTGACAGAAACGAAATGTTATGAATATAACTTCTGTTCCCTGAAGGAGAGGAACGAGGCACAACACATATAGTATGGGATATCACGGCTTCGCGTGGCCTGACTGAAGACACCTTTATTCACGCCTTAAAGGCAGATGATCTGTGGTGACGTCTGGGAGGCTCCACCTGCACATATATATACGTGTAACACCACAGTCATCCTTCAGTTCGATAGCCGCTCTTCACCGAGCCTAGCTGCGCAGTGGGGCAACCCAGTGTTGTACCTCGTTCCTTTCCTTCAGGGAACAGAAGTTATATTCATAACATTTCGTTCCCTTTCACTCGATTAGGATGCCCTCTGGACGCCTCCCATTAGAGGTGTTCCAGACACGTCCCACTGGGAGGAGACCTCGCGGCTGGCCCAGGACCAGGTGGAAGGATTATATCTCTCGCCTGGCCTGGGAGTGCCTGGGAACCCCCCGGATGAGCTGGTGGAAGTGGCTGGGGTTGAGGGCCATCCGGGCTTCCCTCCTGAAGCTGCTGCCCCTGTGACCTGGACCCGGATAAGCGGAAGAAAATGACGATGATATAATTTTTTCCCTGATAACCCAGGGCACGCAGTGCTGCATGACACATTAACAGAGATGCCTACCATGTTGTTGTGCCCTTGCAAAAGTATCATATAGCTAATGAAAATCGTAGGAATTTTGGGGTTGCTGAAGAAGTGGAAGCCCCTCTATGTCCTCATGAGATACATTTTACAAAAGGACTTTAGGTGCCCTGAAGGTCAGGGGTACATATGTTTCAAGACCACTACGAGCATTTTATTCAACATTTACAGAAGCAGGAAATACAGCATGTCATAATAGACAAAAACATTCCCAACAAGCATTTTTAAAATTCATAATAAAGCAAAAATATAACCCTTTACATAAAAATATTCTCTCAAGTGCAACATTTTAAAAACCCAGATATACAAATTTACACAGCCTATTTCTAGACTCAGTGGCATAAAAATGTATATATTTAAAGCAATATTGCATTATTGGCAGCGCCTTTAAAAGGTCTGCCAGGAGGAGCTCTATTTTTAAAACTGGGCGTCAGGGGGTGTCAGTGGCACCATTTTTAATGCTGTTGTCCAAAATCATTAAAATATCAACATTTTCACCAGGTCTGATGTGTAGATGAGATTTGAGTTTGTTTAGGCCCTCAAAGGTCCAGACAAACACTTCAAATATTGACAAGACAATAATCTCAGGAATTACAATCAGACCCTCGTACCTCTGTGCTCTGACCCTGATAAAAAATTGACACAACAGCCAGGAATGTTAGGTTTGCATATATTTGGCCTTCACTGTGGACCTGGTATTGCGCTTTCACCTTGTCCTTGGAGCACTGATAATCTTTGAAAGTTATCTTTATCAGTGTAAGGCTGATCCAATCCATCATTACTTCAAAAAGCCAAAATATATATTGATTGCCTATTCTTGGACAAAATGTGGATTTTTAAAATCCTTTTCATTCCAAATTAAACCTTGAACATCCAGGTACTCAGTGTTGTATATTCTGCATTTATTATTGGGCTCATTTAAGAAACTGTTTGACCAAAAAGATCCTGAGTAGTTTTTTTCAATGGTGGTCCAAAATCACAAAACTATTCAATGAGTAGGCCTAATTCTCATGTAATAAATAAAACCTCACTTTGGAAATTGTAGATTTTCATCAACCAATTCAAAATTTCATACAGTAACTTCCAGATATTCACCTTCCTTATTTATTGGACGTGACATTAAATATATGTCATAACTTTACCAAATCAACCAGAAAAGCAGTCTGTGTCAAGGGATTCATATTATTCACTTAAGTACCAAAACGAAGCTTCTAATGTAGTTCCTTGAAACAAATGAAAAGACTAAAAATGTAAAAATGGTAAAAAGGGGAATGACCGACATAAATTTTATACATAAGTGCTCCAGAATCATCATCAAAGATGCAGAGAAAGGTGAAGAAAACTAATTTATTCACAATAGGTATTACACATTTAAAAATACTAGTGAAATTTTGTACAGATTAGCACTAAAAAGAGAAAAGCATGGGATGATTAACTGTTGTTTGGATTTTAGTGCATTGACATCTAAGGTAAAAAAAGGTATACCATCAATTTAGATCTGCATCACTTGACATTACTCCTTGAAGACAAATAAAAGGTTTTAGATTATATTGCTATGAGAAGTGCAAAGTGCCCATTAAACTAAACCACAGAGTGGTGCCAAAGTTTTGTCCCCTGATGTTATCGCTCATTAAACTCTTCACCATTGTTTACTTTATTGATTTTTTTAGTATTACAATTCTAAAAGTAACTGTAAATACTCTGAGTCTGGGAACATTTTTAAATCAGCACCTGACCCACAATCTATTTCTCATCTCATCTAACTTATGCATGATATGTGGGCTGTCAGTCCACAAAAGGAGAACCTGCTTTACTACTGTTTGCTGCCACGGTTATGTCTTCAGCTCAACATTAACATAAAACCAGTGAAATATGACAGGGTCCTGTTGGTGGCGTGAATCAGATGAGCGAAAACGTTTCTTCAGGAAGAATCTAAACATATGATACACAAAGAGGGCTGTGTGAGGCTTTCAATTACAATGAACATTCAATTTATTTTGTATAGGTGAGAGTATTTTAGACTTTGAAAACAGGTCATTTATGAGTTCCCTCCAAAGCTTAAAATAAATCACAGTAACTTTACCCCGAGTTTGTGTGCGTGATTGTGTGTCCACTGATGGCAGTAATGCGTTTTGCAAAACAAGCGTAATTTCTAAGTAGGCTAACTCAAGACAGTTCATGTCAAAATGAAGATACTAATTCAGGGTGCGAAGCTTACTAGTCTCTCCAGCTAATGCCATGGTGTCTTCACCCAAAAGATCAAGTTTTTTTTTTTTAACAAGTTTTGACAGTAAATATTCTGTTTTCTCAATGAGTTTCCCAACATATTTGAAAAGTTTTATCAACAAGTATCTATTTATTTATCTTCAGGACAGCTGCAGCTTTAATAACCTCTGCTTGTTGGAGTTTGAGAGTCTAAAGTTCACATCGCCACTCCTCCTACTGGATTGTAGAAAAACTAGATTTCCCCTCCCTCGTCGCTCACACAGCTCACTCAACTCTGCACACCCACTTCCTTGTTCCCTCCCCTTCAGATCTACAGTCTAAAGGCTGGGCGTAACCAGCATGTGCTGAGATGATCCTGCTGATACACACATGTTGTTGAGATCAGAGCTCAGACTAGTTTCACTTCTGAGGAAATGAAACTCAGTCAGTCGTCAACAGTAAGTGTTGAAATGGCGCAGAAAGGAGTTCAGGTGGACCGGGAATCTTTCTCTTGTTCCATCTGTTTGGATCTACTGAAGGATCCGGTGACTCTTACCTGTGGACACAGCTTCTGCATGAGCTGTATTCAAACCTACTGGGATAAAGAGGATGAGAAGAAGATCTACAGCTGTCCTCAGTGCAGACAGACCTTCATACCGAGGCCTGTCCTGAAGAAAAGCACCATGTTAGCAGGTTTAGTGGAGAAACTGAAGAAGAGCGGACTCCAAGCTACTCCTGATGATCCCTCTGATGCTGGACCTGAAGATGTGGCCTGTGACGTATGCAGTGGGAGAAAACTGAAAGCTGTGAAGTCCTGTCTGCAATGTCTGGCTTCTTACTGCCAGATTCACCTCCAGCCTCATTTTGAATCACCTCCATTTAAGAAACACAAGCTGGTGGAGCCCTCCAAGAAGCTCCAGGAGAACATCTGCTCTCGTCATGATGAGGTGATGAAGATGTTCTGCCGCACTGATCAACAGTCTATCTGTTATCTCTGCTCTGTGGACCAACACAAAGGCCACGACACAGTCTCAGCTGCAGCAGAAAGGACTGAGAGGCAGAAAGATCTGGAGGAGAGTCGAGAAAACATCCAGCAGAGAATCCAGGACAGAGAAGAAGATGTGAAGCTGCTCCAACAGGAGGTGGAGGCTATCAACGGCTCTGCTGATAAAGCTGTGAAGCACAGCCAGGAGATCTTCAGCCAGCTGATCCGTCTCATGGAGAAACGCCGCTCTGACGTGGAGCAGCAGGTCAGATCCCAGCAGGAACGTGAAGTGGGTCGAGTCAAAGAGCTTCAGGAGAAGCTGGAGCAGGAGATCACTGAGCTGAAGAGGAAAGACACTGATCTGCAGAAGCTCTCACTCACAGAGGACCACAACCAGTTTCTGCACAGCTACCCCTCACTGTCAGGACCGGGTCAACCTGCAGACTCATCCAGAATCAACATCCGTCCTCTGAGATACTTTGAGGAGGTGACAGCAGCTGTGTCAGAGCTCAGAGATAAACTCCAGGATCTTCTGACAGAGACGTGGACAAACGTCTCACAGGCCGTGACTGACGTGGATGTTTTACTGTCAGAACCAGAACCAGAACCAGAACCAGAACCGAAGACCAGAGCTGGTTTCTTAAGATATTTACAAAGAATCACACTGGATCCAAACACAGCACACAGACAGCTGTTATTATCTGATGGAAACAGAAGGGCAACATATACACCAAGACAACCACAGTCTTATCCTGATCACCCAGACAGATTCATTAATTTTACTCGGGTCCTGAGTAGAGAGAGTCTGACTGGACGTTGTTACTGGGAGGTGGAGTGGAGAGGGAACAAGGTTTATATAGCAGTCTCATACAAGACTATCAGCAGAGCAGGGTACTCAGATGATTGTATATTTGGAAACAATGACAAATCTTGGACGTTAGTTTGTTCTAAAAACAGTTATACATTTGTGCACAACAAAGTCAGCACTTGTGTCTCGTGTCCTCAGTCCTCCAGAGTAGGAGTGTTCCTGGATCACAGAGCAGGTATTCTGTCCTTCTACAGCGTCTCTGAAACCATGACTCTCCTCCACAGAGTCCAGACCACATTCACTGAGCCACTACATGCTGGACTGTTACCCTGGTCTGATGGAAGCTCTGCTGAGTTTATTGAAGTGAAATAAAGAGAATTTTGAGTCCATCAGACCAAAAACATGTAATGAGATCACTGAACTCTTAAAATGTTCTGGTTTGTAAATGTTTGAGGATCAGTCTCACCAAATACTATCAGTTTAGTTCTTCATTTCAGCTTTTTCATTCTTTTCTAAAGAGGCTGATTTGGTTGCAGCTTTAAGGACAGTGATTGTGGATAACTTTGATTGTTTGTATTTCTCATATTAAGAAATCTTCACTAAAGTTTGATAACAACAACATCAAGATGATCATTTGTTCAAATCACCTTCAGTTGGTGCAGATATTGAAGGTCTGAGAAAAAAGTGATGTCAAAATAAGGAAAGAAAAATGAAAAGGCACAACCTTATTCTCTGTCCCAAATCTAACCGTCTAAAGTCTTTCCAGTTGTCCCCCAAAACACTTGAAATGATCTGTGCTTTCTCTGTTTGCTGAATATTTGTATTCATGTCATGGATGTATATTTATGTCTGCTTCTGTTGGGTCAGTCTGTTTGTAAAGACATCTTTAGTTAGACTTTTGGCAAATCCACATGTTATAATGAACTTTTCAATCACTCTAATAATAATCACATTCATTAGTCTGACTGTTTGTATGTTTCTGACTCAGCTCAGACTGTGGTGAAATCTCTGATTGTGGGTGAAAACAATAAAAATCATCAAACTGAGTCACTCAGAGCACCTCGCCTGTTTTTCTTTATTTTCTCTGTTTCTGCTGGATCACCTGTTACTGGTCCGTCTGGGTCATGGATTCATGTGGTCTGCAGGATTTCCATGATGTGGTCACTCACAGGTGTTCCAGGTCCCAGATGTGAGTCCTGCAGCTGGATCAGGTTTTCTGTAAATGAGAGGAAAAAGACAGGTGGCAGGTTGTGTGTCTCTTTCTCTGACTTCTGTCAGTCCAGCTGCTGATGTTTGTAGGCTCACATGAAGTCTTCAGCTTAGCTAGTTGCCAACCAGGCTGCTTGCTGCTGTAAGTATAATACAATTATGGGCCAGCTAACGTTAGTTGTCAACATTAACCTGTTTCAGAAACAAAGAGTGGCGCTGAAGCAGCAGGAGCAGCAGTGGCCAGTCCTGGAGGCTCTTCTGAAGATGAGGCTGAGATTAGAGATGAGCAAAAACAAGGTGAGATCATTGTTCAAGTATTCAAGGGCGAGCTCCCCCCTCTGAACCCCCTTTACGTTGGTATGTTGGTTCATGAGAGAGAGAGAGAGAGAGAGAGAGAGAGAGAGAGAGAGAGAGAGAGAGAGAGAGAGAGAGAGAGAGAGAGAGAGAGAGGTGTAGGTGATAAAAATTCACCTTTTAGCTCTTATAAATGTGTTATAGAATCATGTATTGACCTCATGCAGTGCTGTCACTTGACTTGCAGAGCTCTGAGTCAGGCTTTAGCCTGCTGTGAGTATTAATATGACATTTTCTGAACTGAGAATCAGAGAAACTTTTTAATGATACACAGAAGAAGTTCTTTATGAACTTTGATGACCAGGTACAGTTATGGGAGTTATAGAGAATTCAAAACAGGCTTTTTCTATGAATTACACCTTTTTAAGGCATTATGCTCACTGCTTTTCACACTTATGAAACATTGCTTTAATCAGTTATAAAGGTAGTTATAAAACATTGTAGGTGTATTTGGGTTCATCTTAAGTGTTGGTGTGGATAACTTTTTTTCTGAAAACCTTCACACTGCAGAAACATCAGTTTAAAATGTTGGTTTTCATAATTTTTTTTGTAGCTTTTGACTTAAAAGTTTTGATTTTGATAAACATTGTTGATAGACTGCTTTATGATATTGCTATTGAAGGAACCATAGAGTACTGAGCGTTTGTTTTCATTTGGATTAATATCGTACTTTGACACAGTTCCTGTCTTACCTTGAATGCCCTGTCTGTGTGTTTTTTTTCTGTTTATGTGTCTTACCCCAATAACCTGCTAACTGCATGCTCCTCTGACATGTCAACAAGTGACTTGGGTCCAAAGTCCAACCCCATATGACTTCAAGATTTCAGGAAGTGTCCTGTGGAGCGTACTCTGAAGGATCTCTGAGGCAGAAAAAGGTAGAAACATTTAGTTTCTGAAGCTTCCTCTGTGTTTCTCTGGTTTCCTCTCCCGTCTCTCTCCTTTTTCAGTTCAGTTTTCTTCTTGTGTTTTTTGTCCCACTCTGCTACCCTTTGTTCTTGGTGCATGTTTTTCCCTGTTAATCTAGCCTCACTTCCTTATCTCTGAGGACTGTCATTATCATCACCTACAACTGTAGACTAAATTGAGCTTGTGTGTACCATTGTGTGTGTGTCTTATTATCTTTATTCAGGTTTGAACACACTTGTGTGACCGTGCTCCTGTAGGTGTGTGTTTCGACATGGGGATCTACTGGAGATATGTTTTGCTGTGTTTTGTGCTGGTGGCCAGTATGACACCAATGTCCGCTGCAGCTCAGGTAAGATCTGTGACTGTGATGAACTACAGATGTTAACAGAGGAAATGGAAACATTTTTCTTCTTTAAAATCTTGTCAAGTGAACATGGATACAGAGTTAATATCAAACAAAACTAGCTGATTCGATGGAGGAGATAAGTCTGGTCAATTAGGGCTCATGACTCACTGGGTCCCTAAATTATTTGGATATTGGTGTCCCAGTGCTCTAGTTTTTGATGGGCAGAACTATAAAAAGACACATGAAAAAGAATTAACAGTAGGCAAGGATATTAATAGATATTACTACCCACGCTCTTTTTGAATGAATGAATTTATTTCACCAGAAAATCCTCATTTAGATTAAAAATCTAATTTGCAAGAGTGTCCTGGCCAAGATAGGCAGCAGTACATTTACAAAGTTACAGACATAAAACAATTACAGACCGATACAAACATAACAACCAGCTAAGTAAGTCACAGAGCTAAAAATTTTCAGTTAAAGCACTTACAGCCTGCTTCATCTTCCTCTAGAGCCTTTCATCTACATTTAAAAAGATTTAAAGAGACCAGCTCTCCGAGACACAGTTTTTCTTGTAGCAGATTCCAGTCTGCAGGAGCAGCATAACTGAAACTTATTTTACCCATTTTAAGACGAACTTTGGGGACAGATAGCAAAAGTACATTTTGTGGCCGAGTCATAGAACGTAGGCTGTAGCTTCTGGAACTCTTAACATAAACACAGTTACTCAAGTATGGTGGAAGCAGGCCTAGTACAGCCTTGTAAATCAGGATGTACCAGTGGTTTAGTTTATGCATGGTCAGAGAAGGCCACCCAACTTGCTCATACAGAGTACGATGATGAGTTAGAGCCTTAAGATTTATTTTGAACCTTAGAGCTCCATGATAAACAGTATCCAAAGATTTAAGGCTTTGAGAAGATGCATGCATATATAAAACATCGCCATAGTCAATCAGAAGCATGAAAGTAGCAGCAACAAGACACTTTTTTTGCAGCATTTCTGAAGTAAAAGCCCAGCTGCAACCTAAGCTTCTTTAAGTTGCTCAATATGAAGCTTAAAAGGCAGAGTAATTGATCACAAACCCAAGATACTTATAAGAAGGTACAGACTCAATCACATCACCCTGAGCTGTAACAATAGATGTCAGGATCTGTGACCTCTGTTTCAAATTCATGAATTAATCACCCTGCTCGGCTGAATACAGGATTCTGGTCGGTCAAAACCCATAACAACAGTCATTTATTCTAAATGGCAAAAGGACAACTAGATCATACACCACATCAATCTGCACACTCAGTTCTCTGTTTATGACTCCACCTCTTCCTTTAACAGTATTTAGAAACATTCATTTATGATATGATATGTGAACAAGATGGAGGAAATTAGGGTTGATGTGTTTGTATAGTCCATGTGTGGCTGTGTTATAAGCAGTCTGATACACAGAGAGCTTGGCGTCATGTCTTGTCTCATCCTGCCGGGTTTCTATTTTGCTCTTAAAATATCTGATAACAACTATTTATTGTACTATGAACAGGCAATTTATATGTGTGACACTGAAGATAAAAACAAGGGGAGGTTTCAGTTATTACTCATTAATCCTCAGTATTAAACTCTTATGGTACCAAACCAGATCATTATAGAGCCTCTGTTACAACACAGCAGCAACCAGAGTAAGAAAACAGACCAGCTTTGATGATCGCAGCGTCATCCAGTGTCTGCTCAACACTGATATCCTGCTGGGCTGTTCAATTATAGAAGGTAGAAGTGCAGACACAGAATAGAAACTGACTGATGACTCAGCTGTGGATATGACACAAATGTGCACTAAGTGCTGAGATACGAAAATGTGAATATACTTCTCCTATTGCTATTATGTTCCCTGTAGCTTTGTCCTCTTCCTTAGTGTTATCCTTAAATTAAACCATCATGATTTATATATGGTTGAAATGACTGTTGATATCACTGTCTGTCATAAACCAGTATGTGCTCCTGTTTATTCTAGCCGGGTTTCATAGAGAGCCTCCTCTTGGCCACACACCAGCGTCCCTGGCTTTGGAGTGTCTACGTCTTCACTGTTGGACTTCCCATCATTCTCTTCATTAGCTTCATGTGGCCTGATAAGGTAGAGTACAGTTGTTAAAACATGTGCAAGCAGCATTAGAAGTATTTACAACAAAAACTTTGTGTGTGTGTGTGTGTGTGTGTGTGTGTGTGTGTGTGTGTGTGTGTGTGTGTGTGCGTGTGCGTGCAGAGGTTTGGGCCCCCTGATCAGCCGTACTACTATAAAAAGTCTGATGATGTCCAGCCAGATGATCTTGACATCTCTCAGTGGACAGAGTCAGGCAACACCAAAGGTCTTTTTATTTTCAACTGTCCTAAATCTCAGCGCTAGAGACGCTTCATCAGCAATATTATTCCTGGCATTACTCTTCTCCTTCATTCTCTTTTCCTCCTTATTTCTCTCTTTTTTTCTTTATTTAGAAAAAGCTGATGGAGCTGTAACAAGAAGGCGAGACATTCATGGCGTCCAAAGGAAATCTGATTTAGACCAGAAGGTGAGATTTAGCTTAATGCAGGTGGCAATAACTGACAATGTGCTAATATCAGGAAAAAAAACATTGATCTGCAAATCTTCAAATCTGAATTGATGCAATGATTTGATGCATCATAATCAAAGTCAATCAGTGTTTATTTATCTAAAGTCAGACTATTCAGAAATTTTCTCAGGACTCTTACTCCATAATCATTGTCCACACTGAGTTTAATTGAGTGAAACAGGAATAGTCAGATCAAAAAAGGTAAAACCAAATTGAAAACCTTTTATTGTCATTTTCCAACTGTGAAGCTGTTTACAGAAAAACAATTCCTTGTAAATAGCAAATACTGGAAGAATTGATCTAACAATCCTCTGAGCTTAATACGTAAATATCATTTAAGAGGCCGTTTAGCAACTGTAATGATTGGTTTTCTTGAGGGACCCAAAAGCAGGTAGCAGAGGAAGCTTTAAGTGATTTTATTGTAATGAACTAAGAAGGATGGTGTGAGGTCCGGGGTCCAAGGAGCGCAGGGGGTTTCGTTGTGAGGGGGTGAGGCAGTGTGTGAGAAGAAAGGAGACAGCAGGTGAGTGGTTCAGGATTGAACGTGTGGCAGTAGAGGCAGAGGTTGGGCAGACACTGGTAGCTTGAGGAGGCACCGGTGGAGAAAGGAGGAAAGCAGCAAAAACATTCACTAGAACACTCTTGTGTTTTCAATACAAGAAAGAGTTGGCCGTGAAACCTCTGTTCCACTCTGTGAGAGTGGGAATAATCTGGCGATGAGCAGTCTTCAGAGCTGAGCCTAAAAGCAGGTGGTGATTAGGTGATCAGATGCAGGTGTGAAAGTGCAGGAGGAGCCAGTGCTAGTGAAGAGCTGCCCAACCTCTGTGAAAAGACGGGGGGAGGCTCCACACACACACACACACGCACACACACACACACACGCGCACGCACACACACACACACACACACACACACACACACACACACACACACACACACACACACACGCGCACGCACACACCAAAAAAAATTTAAAAAAAAAACTCCAAAGCCATAAACATGTCCAAACCAGCAAAATCATAACAGCAGCATCTCTTTTCACATGAGAGTACTGAAGAGTTGGAGCCACAGAGCTCTTTTTATGAGTGTGCTCTTTTGTTTTATTGTCTCTTTCAAATAACAGTTAAAAACAACAGCTCCTCCGTCCAGATTTATCTCATTGTGCTCTTCAGTTGCTTGTTTAAACTGTTGCTAACTGTGTTGGTTTGTTTGTGTTTGCATGTGCATCCCTGTTGCTGTCCATGCATGTGTGTAAAGTAGGAACACTGAACAGTGCAATGACCCCAGAAGAAGAGACGCCACCATTGCACAAGAGGAAGTTCTGAGCAGAGACCTCTCACTTCTTTGGAAATCTGAAATGCCAACAACATCCGAGCACTGACTGTTCAATGGTTCTGTTATTGAGTAAAAGGGTCATTTGATATGAACAGGAGAATTTATCATGTTCCTCTAAATGTTCACATTCAATTTATTGCATTTATGCTCTCTATGCAGAGATGTTTGCTGATCTCTGCATAAAGAGCATTTCCCCTGGAGCTGAAAGAGTGCCTCTGTTTTTCTTCTGTTAGTCCTCAGACCTCTCAGGTGGCTGTGTATGAAGCTGTAGTCACACCACCTGGTGGCAGTAGAAGGTAAACAGGAACTTGAGTCGTCCTGGTGAATATAAAGCTTACTTTGGTACAAAACAGACTGTTGTGCTTTTTTTTTTTTTTAATTACTGGGCCCTTAAAGCTTTGTTCACTGCAAAAACTCAAACCTCAATTAGTGTATTTCTCTTGTGTCTCCTCATCTCATCAGACTCAATATGAGCAACATTCACATGGTGAATTGTATCTTGTATTGAGTAAATGAATCTGGGCTGAGAAATATTTACTTGTTTAGTTTCTTGAAATAAATAACAAGGCATGGTTCTGAAAGCAAGAAACGTAACAGGTATAATTTGCTTACTGCATTAGCAGGTATCTTTCTTGTTTATGAGTTTAAATTTTGAATCTATTTGATTAATTTTGCTCATAATATCTTAAAACACAATGTTGTCTGGACCTAAAAAATGCCTATATTAAGATACACCAGCCAAGGTTTTGGTTTTCACTGTGTATGGCTGTGTACTGTTTGTATGGTTATGGCAGATACTGTACATTGGCTGTATCAACAGTCACAAGTAAAACCCCACCTGTAGGATTAATATTACAGCTGATTATTCGTTGGAAGATAAAGCTGCAGCACTATGATTCTCATTTACACCTAATATTATAATAGTAGCATGCTCATGTGCATCCAGTTACATTAGCAAAATACGAAACAGCTAACTCAGTCCTCTCTGACAGTAAGACTTTAACACACACCAATATCTACTTACAAGCACATCAGTTCTGAACAATTTCAGCTGTGAAACTAAAAGTGTAAATACCTTTAGGATCAGGACTTAAACAATGACCAGGTTGGTGATCATAACAGCATTTTCTTTACAGCTGAACTGAGCTACTTTCTACAAACTGCTGTTCTGGCTGGTACAGACAAAAGACAGATTTTTTATTAATAAGAAAAAGTGTAGTGTATAAGTTTGTCTCCTTTTGCCTCTTAAAGCATTGTTCAGATCTGACCACCAACAACATTAAGCTTCTCAAACAGATCATCTCGATCAACAGATCATCACAAACGAAAAGAGAAAATAAAGAGTTTGCAAGTCATGTTTGGGGATGTTGATGATGGATTTTGGCCATCATCTCCTTCAATCAAATTCATATGGTTTTGGAGATTTTTATGTTTTGGCAACCTCCTGCGCTCATAAAAATTCCAGTTGTTTTTTTTCTTTTCTTTATTCTTTTCTTTTTTACAGACCAAACAGAGAGAGATTGTCCAAAAATGTGCCCTGTTTGGCAAGTGTGCTCGTGTTCTGGACATTCCCTGAATATTTTTTGTATTTTATGGCTGCAGAGAATCTGGTATCCCATCAGGTTTTCATTCTTTAGGGGCACGGCTTTCTCTGAATCCAGGTGGGAGGAAACCTTTTTTAACAGAAAATATACAAGATTCAACTTGAATCTGAAAAGGTGTTATCTCCAGTTTGTTCTTGAGATCTGCTGTTTTAGTTTTGTACTATTCAACAAGAAAGGGATGGAGGGCCAGCAGCTGCTGCTCAAAGGACTGATCGTCATCACAGCTTGTTTCCAGGCTCTCTGTGTAAGTCTCTGCAAACAGTCAACCGAGGGGCCGACACTTTATGGTTCTCTCTTCTTCTACAAATGTCTTTCTTTGGTTATGCTTTCATGTTTTAGAAAAAAGTTCATGTGTTTCTGTCTGTTTTCATTTCATTTATACTCTGAATATTGTATGAAAGAGGTTGCTGTCTCGTGTGTTTTTGAAGGTTTTTTACCTCATAAGTTTACGCCTCCAGGAATTTCACTGGACTCTTTTCAGTGAAAGTGTTAAATTGATGTTAATTTTCACACCATCTGTTCTCTAACACCATTTTCTCTTAAAATCGTCCCTCTGCTTTTAAAGAGATCATTACATGGTTTCTGCCTATGGTCAGTGTTATTTTCAGTATATTCTTATAATTTATAATCTAATCTGATAATTGTGCAGAGTTTGAAGAAGCCCCTAAACCAGGGATCATCTGGCTCAGTTCAGCATCTGGAAACGGTGAACCAGAAAGCCTCTGGAGTTCATCTATTGTTGACCTTACATGTTTGAGATGTCATGGTCAGGGAGTCATTGCTTCAAGCCATATGACAGACTGGTTCATAACTCTTTGATTCTTCTAGGATCAGAGATTAAGGGGTGTTGGTTATTTGTTATTTTGAACAAGTTTTAATTTGACATTTTGATTCTGCCATTTAACATTTTTCATATTTGGCTTTCTATAATTAAATGTACAAAAACAGAACAGTTTACATATGGCAAACATGTATACATTGTTGTTTTTCATGGCACAAAAAAGAATAAGGTTTAAGTAAGAATAAAAAGCTACCCTGATACAACCCCTCATAGACTTCTCTCCTTTTCCCCATAAATGTCTCTTTGCCCCCTCCCACCTCTCCACCTCTAAATTCACAAATAGAAAAATGAGTAACTTCATTTGTTATAAATACATATAATACACTTGAAATAATGATAGAAATTATTTAAAAAACTATAAATACACATCAGGTATAAAAATAAATAGATATATTTTGTGACCTTATCAAAAGGTATATGTTATCTGTCATATGTTTGGGTATGTGTCTGATAATGATTTTGATAATAATAATATAGTGAAAAGAAAAACACAGAACAGAGCCAATTAAAATGTAATTTTTAAAGCATCTCAATGTTTGTGTAGGAGCCTGACATTTGCCGTGAGGAGGTGGCTCGACTAAGAGAACAGGAAAAGCATCTGAGGAGCCAGATTCAGACTCAAGAACTCCTCCTTCAGAGATTACAACAGCCGAACCAACCTGACAACAACAGAGTCATCCCTGACCAGAGCCAGGACACCCAGCACACAGGTCAGGACCACTGTCCCAGGACTACAACATCTAAAAGACATACTCGAAAATATCCTGTTTCTATTCACTCATTATATGAATCAGAGGTAGATGACTTCAGATGCTTAATAGTGGTTAGTTACCAGGTTGGGATACTCATGTGATTTAGTCCACACTGGCTTCCCCACTGTGCACAGTCATCCTGTATAAGGTTGGAGGAGCAACAAAGTTGTAGTGTATGTAGTGTCGTAGGGTATGAGGGGCAAAAAGACCATATCACAGACAGAAACAGGTAGAGTGGTGCTTTACAATGAATCACTGTGCATCAGATGGTTGATGAAGAGAGATAGATTACAGGAGACATGTACACAGACAGTTTTATTACAAAAACTAAAAAAAAAGAAAACACAAAGGATAGAGCTGCTGCATATGACAAGAAGGACAGACTGGCAATGAAACACACAATGTGGTTTGTGTGGTGGGGGGTCAGGTCATTTAAGGACTAAATAGAGCGGGGAATAGGTACGAAGATGGAGTGGTGGAGACCTGATGAGATTAAAGTTCACAGCTCGGGAGAAGTGGAGGCTGGAAGTGTCAACAATATAAAGGGTCAGATACAAGACAAGATACAAGACAATAAAACAACAGTTATGTTTATGAAATAATAACAATTTGAACTGAAACACAAGTTAATGAGTCGCACAACCATGGATCCTCTTGGGAAAACTAAGGAGCAAGTGTGAGCTGGTTTTACAAACTTAAAGTAACCACCTTGAAGAGACCAAATCAGAGTGTGTCATTGTGCTTTTGTCAGATTGTTCTCAGCTCTTCAAGTCTGGCTCTAAATCCAGCGGTGTCTATGAGATCAAACCCCATGGGAGTCTGTCTCCTGTCAGAGTGTACTGTGATATGAGAGATGGAGGGGGCTGGGTCGTCATTCAGAGACGAATCAATGGAGCAGAGAGGTTTAACAGGTCTGTCTGTCACAAGATGATGAATTATACCAAACACTATCAATCTGCCGCTATATATCCACCTGTCTGTCTGTCTGTCTGTCTGTCTGTCTGTCTGTCTGTCTGTCTGTCTGTCTGCCTGTCTGTCTGTCTTTATCTTTCTATCAGGTCATGGGCAGAGTACAAAGAAGGTTTTGGAGATATGGAAACACACCATGGAGAGTTTTGGCTCGGGAATGACAACCTTCATTTCATCACAACACAAGGTGAGTGAGGCCTCTAATAACAGATTTGATAAATGTTCCTATTCAGGGTTACGTCTGTTGACCATAGCAGTGGATGGCAATGTTTATGGGTTAAGCAGACTTTCCAACCATGTAACCCTAACTTTTTGCTTCAGTCATTATTCTCTTTAACCATTAGGACTATGTCAAACTGCTCCAACAGAACAGCTTCAATAAAAAACAAACCGTGGTTGTGGTATGATACCAGTGTGTTAATCTGAACCCAAAAACAGGACCGGAGGCAGATCAAGCATCAAAGTGGTTTTATCCATGAGGGAAAGGTGGGGGAAGGGGTCCGAGGCATGAGGAGTGGCTCCAAGGAGTGGTGAGGGCTAGAGGCTAAAGCAGGTGGGTGGTTTCAAGAGAGATTGTCACAGTGTGGTAGAGATTGGGTGGATTGCACTAGGGCTCATGGACACACTGGAAACAAAACAGAAAAGACACCAGTGAGTCACTGGGGAAGCACACAAAAATAGGCAATGTTCAACAGGTAGCAAAACACCAGCTTCACTGGGTTCAGGGTAACTTTGCACTGTTTTGGCTTGTGTTTTGGTGGTCTTAACCTGGGTTTGATCACAGCCTTTGGTCCCTTTCTTGCCCTTCCTGTTTCCTGCTTTATCCTGTTCCCTGTCATCTGTGAATAAATCCCCAAAATCAAATCTTGAAAAAATAAGGGTCAACTGTATAGAATTTAGTAGCATTTTGAACAAACCCAATAGAAATGGAAAATTTTATTTGTTTGTAGGATCCAGAACCTGACAGCTTGATGTACCTGAATAGTCCAATTTCTACATGCTGTAGCTGTAGGAAACAATCCCTAGTGCTCTAATGACTTCAGAAGAAAAAGACACAACTTATCAAACATGAAAGCATTTTTGCACAATCCTTTGTCACAAGTCTTTGTCAAAACTTGTCTTTTGATGGTACAGAGGAGCAAACAGAGGGTCTGAAATAGCTAAGGGGGACCGGCTTTTACACATTTTTGGGGTGAGATATGAGATGAGTGAAACTCTGAAACACACAACCATCAGATGCAAATAAACAAGCATCCAGCTAAATAATTAAGATTTGTGGTGTCTGTGATATTTGACAACAGTTGACCATTTGTTTATCCATGGCATTAACTCGCCTCAGAAAAAGTAGCCTACTCTCCTTGTCCTTGTGTAGAACATGAGTTTTTATTTCTTATCTTTTCTATATTGTTTGTGTTTTACAGGGAATTACTCTCTGAGGATTTACCTGGAGGACTTTGATGGTAACCAGCGCTACGCTGAGTATGAGAACTTTAGAGTGGCCAGTGAAAAGGTGTTTATGCTCACCGATGACTGAAAAGTACAAAAAAGTGTTGCAATATAGCTGAGTAAATGACATCATATAAGAAGAACTTGATTCATCCTTGAGGGGAAATTCAATACCACCCTTAAAATATAGAAATTAAATACATTCACATAAAAAAGAAATTAATGAGATGATTCATTTATATTTCAAGGAATTTATGTGTTTTATTTCTATTCTCCACGCTGTTAACAAGATAAGAAATGATAAGGAATGATAGTCCTTCCTCCTAATTCTCCTGATTCTAAACATTCCCATTACTAAGAAACACAGACTGTTACTATATCACACAACAGCCTCTTAGCCGTTGCTCATCTGTCTCCACAGGATCATTACCAACTTGACTTTGGAGCGTATGGAGGCACAGCTGGAGATGCTCTGTCTGGAAATTACCAGGTCGGTGTGTCAGAGTGGGCCAGTCACCAGGGAATGAAATTCAGCACCTTCGACCAAGACAATGACAACTATAAAGGAAACTGTGCCCAGGAAGACAAAGGAGGCTGGTGGTTCAACAAGTACGGGTTTCACAAGATTTATCTTCAGATTCACTTGGATGCAAACATAAGTGCACCACAGTAAATCATTTATCACAGTGAAGTATAACCCTTGTCTTCACTCTGTCTCTTCCAGGTGCCACTCAGCTCATCTTAATGGCTTGTACTACCACACTGGACACTACAGTGCAAAGACAGATGATGGAATAGTGTGGTACCCCTGGAGAGGATGGTGGTACTCCCTGAAGATCAGCATCATGAAGCTGCGGCCAATCAACTTCAAAATTGATCCCATTGATGATCCCAATGCTGTCCATCCCAGACTGTCTTCTTAGAAGGATTGCATCCTCTTTCTTCGATTGTTTTCAGCATAAAATGCTTAGCAAACACATTTTGATGGTGTGAAATCAGAGTTCAAGTTTGAAAATGCACTACAACATAAACTGGCATCATATTTATCTCATACCACATATGGACTTCATTCCACTTTAAGCACTGATCCAACACATTTATACAATGACAAATGCTATTTTATGTGCTACCACTTTGTATTTTGATGAAGAAAAACATGGTTTTATTGATGATTCAATGGCCCCTAATTTATTTTCTTGAGTGGTCATATAGATGAGGGTAAAGGTGCATACTTTAACGACATTGGCATAACTCAGGAGAGGACCTGTGAGACTTAATACATGTTCGAGAGAAATTAATGCTGCAAGGGGGAAGTAGCTTACTCACACACACACAAATGTGCACACACCCAGATGTCTATTCTGGAGCATAGAGAAAGGGGAAATTTTATGTCAGTAAGTATGTCTGATACAGGGAAAGCACAACTGAAGATTTGATTTCAAACATTAATGCATGATAAAATGAGCATCTATATTAGCTCATACTAGCTCATTATGTCAACCAAATAATTTACAATATGACTTTGACAGAGCCAGTAAACAAAGTATATACATATAATGGACAATTTTAAAGAGACTAACGTCTTTACCTTCATGATCAAAATATCTAAAGGACTCTTTTTTCTATAAGGTGATCAGGGGACAGGATTACAATCTGTGATATGAAACGTAAAAAAGGATGTAAAATCTTGTACTGCACGACTGTTTTCCTGCCCATTATTCTCCAGATCGCAAATAAACTATCTGTTTAGCTGTTAATCCTTTTTTTTTTCTTTTTTTTTTCTGCACATTGTTGACACAAGAATCCACAGTTGGGGAGTATTAAAGTATTGCTTTAAACAGGTTCTTGCCTTAAATAAATCAAACTTCCAATTCTTGTTTATCAGAGAGAAAAATCGTTCTTCGAAAACAGAAGTCATGATCTTTGTTTTCGTTGTGTGTTTGATTTTATGTTCTAGTGGTAGAATTCGGAGGTACTACTCCTGATGCATCCAGTAAAGCCGTTAAGCATGATACACCGCCCACTCGGACTGTTGTAGTATTAAAAACACGCGCACCGCCCGTGGTTAACTCAAGTGCTGATTGGCGGACACCGTTCACGCTCAGAGAGGCTGTCAGTCAGCAGGAGCTCGAGAGAAAACAGCAGTTGGTTGTTTTTATCACTCGGCGATTATTGAACAGACATTTTGACATTTCATGATACAATTAACTTGCAAGAGAAAAGTATACGCTACGTTCTTTGATAGAGAGGGGAGCGAGAATGCAGTGTTATTGTCGCACACCTTTTTACTGATAGGTAAGTACGCTAACATTAGCTGTTGTTTAATTGGTTACTTAGCAAACAAGCTAAATAGCTAGCCGTCGTTAGCACAGGTGCCCTCACTTAGTTTGGAGACCATGCAGTATTAAGAAAGTGCTTGCTGACCTTGACTTGTGTTTTATACATATTTTTCATTTAGTAGTGTACAGTTTCATGGGTCGTATTTGTAGTTTAGCTTTTTGCTAGCCAAGTTGGTTAGCAACAGTCACTAAGCTACTCTTCTATCTATTTGTCTCCAAGGTGACAGTGGATGGTGCTCCATCCAGCCCCTCACCCAGCTTCTTCTCTGTCTGCCTTCTGGGTGGCTGTCTGCTCTTGCTACCCGTTTCAGAACAATCCTGGTGCCGTGTCCGGCTGTCTGGAGTCCCGTCCTGTGGATGACTAAGCTGACGGGGCTCCGTGCCTGTGGCTGCCGCTGGGCGGGCCAATGCTAGGACCGAGGAAAACGCCGTGGTGAGCGGGTCTGTGGGGAGATGTCAGAGCGGGGGGATGCCTCTTCTCGGAGACTGTGTTGTGATTGAGGGTATACGCGAGTGTGCACAGTATACCGACCTCTCTGACCTGGAATACAGACTAGCGGACCAACTTTTGAGTCTAACTTGTGGTGGCACATTTATGGATGGTTGGGTCGCAGTATGCCCACCCCCTCAACTACCATTTCACCATTGGCTGGAGAGAGTAGCAGCACCGGAGGAGAAGAGGATCCCATGTCTGCCACCTCCTCCTCTTCCCTTGGCTCCTCTTTTCGGTTCGTTCCAGCGTTTTGTCTGGGCGTGGTGGCAGCAGTCGTCTTTCAGCTGGCCTGGGGAGGCCTGACTCTCACCTCTTTCTTCTTGAAGTTGTTCATCTATGTGTCATTTGCCCTTCTGTGTTTCCTGGCTGGGAGCTTTGTTCTGCTGGTGAGGAAGAGTCCTCTCAAAGTCAGCAGCTTTCACAGAAACAGGAGGCAGTCAGCGGTACAGCTGGACTTCTTCGACAAGCTTATGGTAAACAATACACTCAAACTCCCAACAATTCCTCATGATATTACTCTGAGAACATACAGTGATTTAACCAACTGGCATTAGTCAGTGATTAAGATCCAAACAGACTAATTTTACTCTCCCATATTGCAGAAACATCCAGACTTAACTTTAAAACAGAAGTTAAAAAATGTTAGATGACTGTAGTTTTCATTTCTGGAAAGTCACCCATTGTCTTCTGGTCCTCTCATTCCCCTCACTTATTTCCCTGCCCTCTTCATTTCTTCTGCTCCCTCATCCTCTACATCTGTCTTAGTCTCAGGCTGTGATGTTCTGTAATACAAGAGCTAAAACACACTCCTGTATTTAGACACACTTAAATACACACAAATGCATAAGGAAAGTTAGGGAAATTGACAAAGCATGGAGTGCATGTTTTGTTTGACTATTTCATACATTGTCCAAAGACAGTGAAGATTATTTTATGGTTCACTCTGGTAATATTGCATTTACAAACTCAGTGTGAAAATGACTCTACCACATCTTTCAAATAACTCTGTTGCAAATGGAGCATCATTACTTTTCTTTTTCAAGTTTTATCCTTTAAAATGACTCGCAGAGAACATTGTGTACCAACATTTGCATGGAGTTGAGATGGAGTTTGTAGACTGTATTACATTTGAAGTTTTTCAGTTTCATGCTACATTTATGACAGTTATGGTCACTCTGTCTTTTGGACAGTCCTAATTTTTTTCCCCACAAATATACACTGAATTGAGATAAAAAAAGAAATACTGAAAGCGTCATCCTTCAAGTGAACATGGATTTTGACAGGGTCTTCCTTTAAAGATGTAGTTTGAAGTAAATAAAGCATCATAGCTAACAGTAAGTTCAAGTCTTAGCGTATTGTAAAACAAATATTGTCACAATTTGACGGTGTCATGAATATTCACCTCAAGTGTTATGAATTTATTTTTTTACAAATTTTGAAGAGACTTTAGAGTTCAGTATTCATCCCTGCATACAGGTTCATCCTTCCTGCGAAGGAGAATGATTGTGTCTTTCTAAGAGGCTGGAGGCCCCACTCAGTGGTGTCTCATTTTACTCGTGATTATTGGAGACTGATTATGCTGACGTATGTTCTTATATCCTGTGGTTTGATGTTTTGAATGAGTCACATTGACTTAGGGCTGCTTTGTTTGTCCAAATTTCAGTCTAATTAGAAACTTAGCTCATAGATTTTAGAGTCAAAATCAGGATCAGAGATTTCTCCTTTTCTCTCTCTCTCCGCTGTTGCTGAATGTTTCCTTTTTGTTGCTGTCAGGATGTGAATGTGACATCAAAATGTGTCCTGATCTTGTACTGCTGTTGTTGTCTTTCAGGCCCGTTTTATGGTGCCACTTCCTGAGTCAAACCAGAACAGGAGGGTGGTGGTGTCACACAATGTGGACAAATCTCTGAAGGAAGGTAATGGGCCATTTAGAGATCTTCTGAAATGTTTAGCACCATCTAATGACCAGACTGATGCAAATATATTCAGAAAATGTTGACGTTCTGTCCAGCACCACAGACTTCAGATCACTGTGTAGCCATTAAAAATGCCACTTAAACACTAAAAGACAGAAAAACAAAGCATACTGCCTCAGATGAGGGCTACTCCAGCCAACAATTTCAACTTTACTGCAAAGGTTGCTTTTTCTGCTTTTTATAGATTTTGAATATTTATGGAGAAAAGGCAAAGAATTGAGTTCACAAACAAGTCATTTCTTCTGAATGGTTTCAGCTGACTTGATATGTCACCCAGCTACAACCTTTAAAACCTTCAGTGTTCAATGGAATAAAACTGACATGATCAGTGAAGACAAAAATACATCTCCAACATTATTTTTACCAAAGTATACAAGGATTTGTCTTTAAAATATGTCTTTCTTATAAAGTTTATAGTACCCTGTTGTGGGTTTCTGCCATCTTATTTCAGTCCCTGAAATCTAAATATAAACCTTTCCTTATGTGTCTCCAGTGAAGAGCTCCTGGACTAAATTTGCCCTCAGAACAGCAGATATTTGGTTGCTTTGCTCTTTCAAATAGACCCAGCACTCACAGCAGTACAGAGTCATAACCTAAATAATTAAATGTGTCTACAAATATATCATATTGTGACCAGTTTTTATCTCATAAGAAATACTCCAGTGCTGTAGTGCAGAAATGATCATAAAGCTGTCTTTACAAAATATCAAACGACTGAATTTGTGCAGTTTGTCAGATGTTTGAGATCCAATGAAAAGCATGATGTATGACAATGTTGGTGCAAGAATGGTGACTATCTGCACTAAATCCTTACTTCCTCCTTAGTATAGAACTCCAAATTCAGAGAATGTTTTCTTCACTTAAAAATTAAATCCAGTTTACTCACTCTCCAAATCTTAGTCTCCATTAAGTAAGATTTGAGAAGATTCTATACCAAATGTTTCTGACACTATTGGAAAAACTTCACACTTCTGTTTTTTGTGAAAACTGCTGATGGATGGGTTTTTATGGACACACTGACCCGCTGATGATCCCTTGTGCTAGATTACAACACGAGAAAGTCCTAGATGTCCCTTTTACATGTACTCACACAGAGAGACTCGGTCAGTGGAACAGTATTTCTGCCTGCCAAGTAACAGATGGCTTCAGGATTTACACCAGGGGTGTGTATTTACACATGCTTCTGTGTTTGTTTTGTAAAGGTTATTGGATGTCAGTGTAGGGCACATTTGTCATTTCTTAAATTACACTTGTGTGCCACACAGAGAGGACTGTTTTCCAAACTTTAGCACACAGACACAGTTCATCTGCTACCCCTTAGACCTAGTTATTGGAAAGAATACAGTATAAAACAGTCGCCAGTATCAGAGCGTTGGTTAAAGATTATTTTTTGGACCTTTGCCTTTATTTGATCTGACAGGAGAGAAAGAGAGGGTGAAAGAAAGAGGAAGAGAGAGGGAGAGAGGGGGAATTTGGGTAGAGGGAAGGGGTATAGGTATGACATGTTCTAAAGAGCTGCTGGTTAAAGGTGTACCTGTGGCTAATGTGTTCATGACTGTAGCTCTGTCCAAAATATCTGCCTTTAGAATATGCAGTTTATCAGTGTACATATATGTGTCTATATCTATATCTATATATATCTATATATATATCTATCTCTCTCTCTCTATATATATATATATATATATATATATATATATATATACATCGATATCTATATATATATACACTCACCGGCCACTTTATTAGGTACACCATGCTAGTAAGGGGTTGGACCCCCTTTTGCCTTCAGAACTGCCTCAATTCTTCGTGGCATAGATTCAACAAGGTGCTGGAAGCATTCCTCAGAGAGCTTGGTCCATATTGACATGATGGCATCACACAGTTGCCGCAGATTTGTCGGCTGCACATCCATGATGCGAATCTCCCGTTCCACCACATCCCAAAGATGATCTATTGGATTGAGATCTGGTGACTGTGGAGGCCATTTGAGTACAGTGAACTCATTGTCATGTTCAAGAAACCAGTCTGAGATGATTCCAGCTTTATGACATGGCGCATTATCCTGCTGAAAGTAGCCATCAGAAGTTGGGTACATTGTGATCATAAAGGGATGGACATGGTCAGCAACAATACTCAGGTAGGCTGTGGCGTTGCAACAATGCTCAATTGGTACCAAGGGGCCCAAAGAGTGCCAAGAAAATATTCCCCACACCATGACACCACCACCACCAGCCTGAACCGTTGATACAAGGCAGGATGGATCCATGCTTTCATGTTGTTGACGCCAAATTCTGACCCTACCATCCGAATGTCGCAGCAGAAATCGAGACTCCTCAGACCAGGCAACGTTTTTCCAATCTTCTATTGTCCAATTTCGATGAGCTTGTGCAAATTGTAGCCTCAGTTTCCTGTTCTTAGCTGAAAGGAGTGGCACCTGGTGTGGTCTTCTGCTGCTGTAGCCCATCTGCCTCAAAGTTCGACGTACTGTGCGTTCAGAGATGCTCTTCTGCCTACCTTGGTTGTAACGGGTGGTTATTTGAGTCACTGTTGCCTTTCTATCAGCTCGAACCAGTCTGGCCATTCTCCTCTGACCTCTGGCATCAACAAGGCATTTCCGCCCACAGAACTGCCGCTCACTGGTTTTTTTTTCTTTTTCGGACCATTCTCTGTAAACCCTAGAGATGGTTGTGCGTGAAAATCCCAGTAGATCAGCAGTTTCTGAAATACTCAGACCAGCCCTTCTGGCACCAATAACCATGCCACGTTCAAAGTCACTCAAATCACCTTTCTTCCCCATACTGATGCTCGGTTTGAACTGCAGGAGATTGTCTTGACCATGTCTACATGCCTAAATGCACTAAGTTGCTGCCATGTGATTGGCTGATTAGAAATTAAGTGTTAACGAGCAGTTGGACAGGTGTACCTAATAAAGTGGCCGGTGAGTGTATATAGATAGATATATATGTGTGTGTGTATATATGTGTGTATATACACATATATACACATATGTATATATATACACATATATACATATATATATGTGTATATATACACACATATATATATATGTGTGTGTGTGTGTGTGTGTGTGTGTATATATGTATATGTATACATGTTTATATATATATATATATGTATATATGTATGTTTTTATTTTATTTTATAAAGCATATCCAATCAGAGTCACCTAAAACAAATAATTTAAAAACATGGACGATCTGCATGTGGTCATCATTGATGGCTTCACCCTGTATTCTTGTGTTTGTTTTTTTGGTCATGTTGGGTATTCGTTGTGCATCAGTTGTGTGGGTAAAGTTTATATTTCTTGTCCAGACTTTACAATATAAAGGAAACTCAGAGACTAAAAAAACAAACATACCCCCAGGCACATCAAAGCTGGTCTTGCAGCATTTGATGGCTCAACACCTTTCACAACACGTGTTGTTGTTTTCCTCTGAAAATGTGTGTTGAAGCTGTAAAATAGTGGCTTACAAGTAGCATTTTCTTCCAACTATGTTCACCTTGACCCTTTTCAGTTTTCAGAGACAAAAGGAGATGAAAAAAAAAACAGAATAAGAAAAATGTTATGTACCATAGTTATTTTTTGTTTTTAGATGACAAGATACTTACATGGTTTCATACAGAATATAAGTAATTGGATTTTTAGCTACCACCTAGCTCTGGCTTTACTCTGTGGAGACTATACCTGATCTGACCTGTGCATGTATTTGTGGGGCTGGTGATCACCTTGTCTGACCTTGTCTGCCTGCTTTCTGTCTGCCTGAGTCCATCATTTTGAAAGCTAATTTTCTTTGGATTAAATTCCAATTTTGGGAATTGTTCATCTGTGTAAAGTAAACTTGTTATATAGTGCAGCTATGAGTCTCTTTGCAATTCATTTTCCTGCAGAAATAAGATTGGATTTCTCTTGTTTCTCTCTTGTTTCCTCAGTGTTTGACTACGCCTACCGAGACTACATCCTGTCCTGGTACATCCCTTTGAGTCATGATGAGGGCCAGTTGTACTCTATGCTTTCAGATGACTGGTGGCAGATGATTGGACAGCTGAGATCCAGGCTTGCTGATTTTGACCTTGTTAATGTGGTGTGTTATGACACCATCCGAATCCTACACACACATTTCACTGACCTCAAGGCTGCCTCTGCAAGGTACACAAACACACTTCCTTACGTTATCTTAGTTTATCGTAGTTGCGTTGTCTTAGTTTACACTCAGAGGAGGCTGCTTGTTTGATTGTTATTTTGTTCATAGTTATTTGGATTATCCTGATAAATGTGATTTAAACCTTCACAGCTAAATTACGGAATTTTTGAAGTAATGATACTCTCAAAAGAGAGCTTAGTCTTCCAACTGACGTATCATCATATGTTTGTGATATTTTGGGTGTAATGGCACCAAAATCTTGCGACTCATCATGATATTAAGTCCACAGCATGATATCACAATATATAGAGATGAAGACTTGGGGAAAAAGGCATTTTTTTAGCTGTGAGTTGTTTGGAGTACATCATGAAATCCCCCCATCTGTGGGGAGTGAGATGCGCTCTGCTTGCGTCAGAGTCTGTGTGACTTTGACTTTTGTCTTTTTGTGGAGAGCGTCTGACTAAAGTATGGCAGTGATGGGAATTTATTCTTACACTCCCGCGTGTTTACTACCTTTCTAGAGCCTTTATTGGTAACACAGAAAATGTCCATGGGTCTTTGGCTGTATATTAAATCATACAGCTTTCGACATCTTGAGCTCTGGAACTGTCAGAGGGAAGTGAGGCTGTAAACGCGTCATACAGACTCTCTTGGCCTGTTAGATTTCTTCCCTCACATCTCATCAAATCTTTTTGGGGTGATGATTTCCCAAGTGGCTTTCCATATTCCGTGTATCTCCTGACATGAAGGCCAACCACAATCTGATGGTGTCTGCATATTGATTTTTGTTTGTCTGTCTTCTTTCTCATTTCTTGACACAGGGAAACCTAAATGCTTCTAGTCACTGGAACATCCACAATTTAAAAACCATCCCCGTGGTCCTCACCACCACAGCTGGTGTCTGCAGTGAGCAGAGTGAAAAGGATGAGATGCACTTATGAGACAATAGTCTTTGTTCTCTTCCTGATCTGCTCCACTGTGGCTAAAATAAAACTCCACCCATCGTTTTAAAATCATCACAGACTCATGATAGTTTTCTTTTTAGGATAACTTGAAATCGACAATACTGTTCCACCCCTAGTGATTTTACTTTGTGTTTTATTTTATGTAAAACTTAATGAGTTTTAACAGGTAGCCACAATCTGACCATGCAGTATTGTGAGCAGAATCTTGTTTAAATTGATCAGCTGATCTTACATAGTCCTCAGGCATTATGAGCATGATGCTTTTAAAGACAGAAATGAGCACCACTATAATTATCATCCGCTTGTTCAGGTCTTTAATCTTTACTGTATATCCAAAGAAATTGCAGCAGCACTTGGCTCAGGAGCATTGATAAGTACGCTGCTCAGAGTTTTGTGTGTTTATTAGGGAATCTCACAGAAATGCAGTTTCTTTTTTTCCATTAATGAACTATTTTCTTTCCTGCCATGTCATAAAATAGCTCATCAACCTTCATAAACTTTTAGGATAGGCTGTAGGGATTCAAGAGACCAGACCATATGTTTCATCAAAGAAACATCACGAAAAGCAAAGAGGAGAAGTACTTCTTACTAAGAACAACTTTTTTTAATGAATTACAGGATAACCTCATGGTCTGCTCTGCTGGGTGTTGTTCAGTGTGCAAGCTGAAAAAACAGTCTTGCATGCCTAAATGGTAAATGAAGTGCTTCCAACCGAGACACAACATCCTCCCAGCAACTGATAGCAATTGTGCACTGAACTCGGGGCTTGTCTTCTATGGCAGAGTATGAGTAACAGTGTTCTTGTTCAGTCAGGTTTTAAGCAAAGCAAAGACAATGAGATGTGATGTGACACAGCCGAAGTGTAAATAACAATGGCAGAGTTGTCTCTATCATGGAAATAGCTTTTATTCAAATATCCTCTGACATTGACTACAAGGGGGCTCGTCCGAATAGTGTTTCAGACTCACCTTGTCCCTTTCATTTTCCATCTCGGCCTTAATCTGTGTCTCTCACATGCTCTAATCCAGGCCAGAGGAGTGCGCTCGACCGTTCCCTCTCCATCCCTGTTTGGTCAGTCCAGAATCAGAGCTGGCCTTCCTCCGCTGTGTAGCCAGAATACTGCTGCTATGTCTGCTGCCACAAAAGGATGCCAAGTCACATACACTACGCTGCTGCCTCACAGAAGTTATCACTACTAAAGGTACTGCCCATGTGCTTGTTTGTTTGTGCGAGTCCTCTTTATGATTCTGTACTCTTGTTTTATTTTGATATGGTCATCCTTCGATACAGATTTAATTTGATTTGACTCTAGGGACATACCAAAATTCAGCAGGTAGCAGATATTTTAATGTGATAACAGTATTAGAACAAGTTTTATCCATAAACTGTAAACTATATCACAGAGTGAAAAATCAAACATGTTCCACTGAAATTGAAGAGTAGTGGGGCAGAGGAATTTTTTTTCGGGGTTGAAAAGCTTTTCCGCTCACTTATGCGCCCCCTTCCTTCTTCTTGTAAAACATAAAAAAACACATCATGTTAGCTCCTTATCTGTGCAGTCAGTTAACCATCACTGTTAAGGGGTTACCTAGCACAAGATGCTAGCTCTGCGAATACTTTATATGCTACTAGTTATTGTTCATAAACATTTTTTATTCAGTCTCCTGTTTTGAGTTTATTTCCCTTAGAATTTTCTCATTCAGCACATTTTTTGTAAACTAGGCAGCAGGCTAGGCTATAGGGGCCCCTACTCCATTTGAGAAAGGTATATGCCTGCAGTGAATCATGTGAGCAGAGGGGAAAGAGTTGGTCATGAACCATAAAATAAATTAAATTAAATTAATCTTATCTAATCTCATCTCATTTTATCTCATCTCATCTTATCTTATCTCATCTTATTTTATATTATCTTTAATCTGATGATTTACATCTGAACAGTATATCTTTGTTCTTCAATATAAAATTGGACTTCTCTTGAAATTTGGACCCTACTCTGGGCATTTTTTCCCTTTTTCTCACTAAGCATAAAAATAATCTCCATCCTCTCATTTTTTCTCATTCTTGGTCCTAATACTCTTATCCACATCTTGGAGCTGTATCCTTGGAAACACTGTGTTATGGGCTCTTGGAAGACCAACAGCCAGTACCAATGTTTTAGTTGTCAACAGTTTAATAGCACAGAGTGTGAGTGGGAATCCAGCAATCCAAAACTAAAGCAATGAAATGACCATGATGGCTGACAGCCAGTCACAGAAATTGTAACAGAGATTTTTTTTTTAAGATCTTATGTATAACATGACAAATACCCCTAAATATTAGGCAGCACCACATTTCCTGACCTGCATGACCTTGCTAAGTTCATTGAATGTTAATTTTTTTTCACAGTCACTGTGAAAAGAGATGACAGGATTGTGATGACAATCCTGTCATCTCTGCTCTCAGACGATTTTTCCATTTGTTTACCTTTTTTTTTCTTTTTTTCTGCTCAAGTGTTGAAGCCTTTGGTAGAAGTGCTGAGTGACCCCGACTCCATAAATCGGATGCTGTTGTCTCAGCTGGAGCAGAGGGAGCAGCAGGCCGAGCAGCAAAAGAAAGCCTACACCTACGCTGCCTCCTATGAAGACTTCATCAAACTGATTTCAACCTCTGCTGATGTCAATTTCCTCAAACAACTCAGGCATGATATGAGAATTGTTCTTCACCTGCACCACCTGTGCTGACCTGTATATAGCCAGACTTCCTTCAATGGATCATTATACTGTATAGAAACAAAATAATGTGGAGAAGGCTGTTAACCAGTCTTTTTGCTGCTGCAAGGTTACCATGGGAACAGACAGTGTCTGTGCAGAAATGGACTGGATCTAAATGCAGGGTTGATATGATAATGGTGTTTTTGTTGCCTGAATGTGAGACACAGTGGCACAGTCCATGTTTCTGATAACTATAAGCAATCCTACAGTCTAAGACAGATTTGTCTCCTTTGTCAGGCTCTGCCTTATAGTTCAATTTAGCTCTAGAGTCACTTTGCATCATTCACATTCACCATAAACCTCATAATACTCTCTTTACATCTTGGTAATTTCAGTAGTATTCTGTATAATGTTTATCCTTGGGGAATTCATTTTGTTTATTTTCTACATTCTGACAAATGATTGTAACTTTGCATCTCTGTGTTTCCCCATAGGTATCAGATTGTGGTAGAAATTATTCATGCCACCACCATCAGCAGCCTGCCTCAGCTCAAAAAGCAGAAAGGTACAGAGACACTTAAGTTCACCTCATGATAGAAAGGCCAATAGATGAACTCAAAAGAAAACAGAAAGGGGGAGTTTAACCCTCTAGGTGACCAAGTCATTTTCAAATCCATTACAACTTCCACCAAGCCTTCTAGGCTCTCTGCTTTACAACATTTAGGGATGTATTCACTGAGCAACTGTAAAATTCTCATCTGTTTATTGTAACAGCTCTGGAATGGTTAGTAATGTCAGGCCTGACGGGACCTTATTTGCTGTCTTGGTCACAGGCATGATTACCCTCAGGTATTGCGTCCACCCCTCTGTCAAAGTAGGTTACAGCCTGAGATCTGACATTGGGGACTAAACCTGGGAGCTCAAGTGACATTTAACAAGATTTAGATCCTGTGGCCATGCTTGTGGCTCTCTGAAGCAGAGTTACATGCTAATGCTAAAGGAGAGGACGTTTAGTCAGACTGACTCACTTAGGTCTGCAGAGTTAACATTCAGGTAGCACTTCACAAAAAGGTTGATGGGCATGATTGGAAATTTCCAGTTTATTAGAAATTTAGTCATAAACCAGGCTTATGAATAAAAATCGAACTGGTCATAATATTGGGCAAAAATCTGTGGATTTTCAAATTTACCTTTTTTTTAAAAAAATGATCCTCATGGTCCATGTAAGTGTTCAGTGAAAACGGGTTTACACTTAACTTCTATCCACTATTTTTGTTCCTTCCCTTTAGATCGGAAAGGTAAAGAGTCAGCCGCCATGAAGGCAGATCTGCTCAGGGCCAGAGACATGAAACGTTATATCAATCAGCTAACTGTAGCTAAGAAACAATGTGAGAAAAGGATCCGCCTCCTTGGGGGACCAAACTATGAAAATAATGAGGAAGGAGGTGCTGATGACAGTGATGAGCCCCAAAGTCAAAAGGTAACACTCATATCACTTGGACTATAACATCTTAAAAACACAAGCTTATATCTTGAATGAATTTTGTGGCCTGTAATTTGGATTTATCTGCTGAGCACAGCTGATGTTTGTCTGTCGTTCCAGATTCTCCAGTTTGATGACATCCTGTGTAATCCAGGTTACAGGGAGCATTTCAGAGTTTATATGGAAAGAGTTGATAAGAGAGCTCTGATAAGCTTCTGGGAACTAGTGGAAACACTGAAAACTGCCAACAAGGTAAAGTACACAAACACAAGCACACACAGAGTGTTAATGTGCCTTTACATTAGAATGAAAACTTGATGATGTCAATTGTATCTGCAATGCTGAGTGGATTTTTACTCTTACAATATTGGTGTTTAGTGAAGTATGTAAGTAACAGGTTTATTTGTTTGTCCATGTGTTACAGAATGAAGTGCCCCAAATTGTTGGGGAAATCTACCAGAAATTCTTTGCAGAGAGCAGGGAGATCCCAGTGGAAAAGGTTCTTCTGAAGGAGATTCAGCAGAGTCTGGTGGGGAACAGAGGAACACAAGTGTTTGTCAGACTTCAAGAACAGGTGACGCTGTTTTCCTTAACCTCAGAGGTGCAACTGATGTTTTACTGCATCCAAATGATCTCTGGTTACAAAGTATATCTTTTCGTTTTCTTCTTTTTCTCTAGGTGGCGGAGACAATGAGGGAGCGTTACTACCCTTCATTCCTGGTGTCTGACCTCTATGAGAAGCTGATAAGGCGAGACGAGCAGTACAGTCAATCCCAATGTAGCACTGAGGAGAAGGAGGAAGGGGTCGGTCATAGACTGTTATAAAAAAAAAACTAGTTTTCTAAAATAGCCAGAATGCACATTTGAAGTGTGTTGGTCTATAAATCTAAATCACCCTCATTCATTTATTTTTGTCTTCAGTGTCAGGGTCTAGATGTGGGAGAGGAGGTGCGTGATGAAGGAAGTAAAGGAATCAATGAGCAGGCCAGTTATGCAGCCACAAAACTGTGCCAGCTCTACGACAAACTGGAATATAAGCGACAGGCCTTGGGTTCTATCCAGAACGCACCCAAACCTGACAAAAAGGTGAGGTTGCAAGTAAAGGGGAGGCTCTATGTAATCCCAGTCCATTTACTAAAAGTCATATAACCCAATACACTGAGGCCAAAGCAATTTTTGCTCCAAGATCACAGCTTAATGGTCTAGGATATTAAATCTACTTATCTAAGTGCTTCCATCAAGATTCTCTTTTCTGCTAAGTCAAGCTGACGACTCACTGGAGGAGTTACAAAACAGAATTGACCTGCAACAAGAAAATGATCACGTCTATGTCCAATCACTGAGTATTATATGAATAAAAATGGAAGGTTATGGTCTTTCTAACCATTTAAACCTTAAATTTAACTGAATATAGTGCAGACAACACATCAAATGTTGAAACTGGTGAATTTTAGTGTCCTCTGAAAAATACATGCTCATGTAAAATGTGATGCTATCTCTATAGAGATTTCGTCTCCAGGGTTTTTCAGTGACACAATCATCTGTAGATGATACAGTCTGCTAATTCTTCATAATGGTGTGCTGACAAACATGATCCTGAGTTACTGATCTATTTTCTCACACTGTCTCTTAAAAAAGGATGGACTTTTTTCATCTTTACATCTCAGAGACTCTCAGAATGTCCCTCACTAATCTGCTGCAAATTAACCCTTGTAGATCGCAGGTTTTCTGCCAAACTTAATCTGTTTTGAAAGGTGCTGCTGACATCAAATTAAAAATAAGCGTACAATAAATGTATTCAGTGTCACTATAAGGCATGCTGCCATTGCACCATTTTTTAATTGATTTATAAACCATCAGAATCAGTTTTTTTTTAATCACTTTGTCACACAGCGACCCAGCTTTTTTGAAATTGAGTTTGTTTTTGCTATCTTCGTGTTTTTCAGTCTGAGTAACCTGAAAACATCCACAATACTGATTATAAACATTTGACAAGCCTTGAAATATCTTTAAATGAAAATATCCATACTCCTCTTGTTTGATAGGTGTTCACCCATGCATAACCTAGACATTTTACTATTCTTCACATGCCTGTTTAAACTCTTTCATATGTACGTTTGTAGATAGTCAGCAAACTAAAAGAAGAGATTGGAGCCATGGAGAAAGAACACAGTGAACTCCAGCAACACATCACCAGAACTGACCTGTGGTGTGAAAACCTCGGCCACTGGAGGGCAACTATAACTACTGCTGAGGTGCTGTTCAGGTTTTTGTTTCTTTTTCTTCATTGAATTCTTTGCAACTAAAAACAGTTTCATCTAATAGGAAAGTCTCTAGTCATTTGAAAGGAAAACTCCAATATTAGACATAATGTTATAATTTTGTGTTGAAGAACTGATAATACAAAAGTTTATTCAGCTCAAACGTAAAGGGCTCTAACTGAAAGCTTTAATCTGTGACAGTGTCATGAGCCTTGCACTAAAATGTTAAAATGACTGTTTCAGTATGTGGAGTAATTTTGAATCGAAATGTAAGCAAGTAGTGTTTGTTTGTTTTTTTTCTGTTAAATGAGGTAACTGTCTGAAGGAATCATCGCTGTAATGTGTTTGACACGTGAAGTAACAACCTGACCCCCTCAGTGGTCTGTTTCTCACCTGCTGTCTTGGTCAGTCTGCGGTGATGTGTCCCAGGCTTTTTTGTACCTCTGTCTTATTTCAACCAAAAACGTGTAAGGGTAGAACCCATCTGAAAGAAACTTGAACTCTCTTTTTAGTTGTGTCTAAAAACACACATACAGATGTGTTTTTAGCCCTGTATCGTCAAACCTCCAGCCTGATACATTGGATGTGAATGCCATCACATAAGTATGCATTCATTGTTATTGTCAACAGATGTGGAATAAGCTGCTTGTGCTTACTCTTTAAAATAACAGGAAAATGTCTTTGTTTGTATCACAGGCTACGGAGGAAGGTGGTGAGACAGTTGCTTGTTACAGTGTCTGCGTAAGCCTGATAGATGCAGAGGAGACAGGTAACAGTCGCTGGAGCGTTCAGAGAAAACTCACTGAGTTCCAGATGCTGCACCGTAAACTCACCGAGGTAATGCTGAACCCACAACTCTATGAAAGTATGTTTTTTTACAAACTTGTGAGAGCACTCATTACTAAAATTCTTGGTTTTCTACATTAATGTTATCTGAAAAAAAACACACATTTTCTTTGCTTTTCTCACTGTTTTCCCTCCCACTCACAAGGAAATTGTATTTCAATGAATGAGTGCAATAGAAAGGCTGCTAAAAATGGTTTCATGAAATCAATAATGATCTATTTAGATTGCACATGACATGATAAAGACTGAACTCATAGCGCAGGTCATCTCAAGATCTTCCTGACTTCAGGAAGGAGGTGCCTAAAGTGTTCAGGCAATGACTATCCTCCACTGTACATGTCATACTTTCTAGAAGAAGAATGGAAATCTAACATACAACACTCTGTCCCCCCCCCCCCTTTACCCAGTGTTTTCCATCATTGAAGAAACTCCAGCTACCATCAATCAGTAAACTTCCCTTCAAGTCCATCGATCAGAAATTCTTGGACAAGAGCAAAACGCAGCTCAATGCCTTCCTCCAGGTAAATATGTCAGTAGAACCTACTGTAAAGCTATATTACACCATACTCACATTACAGCTGGCTTTGAAAGAACGTAACTCGGGTGCTTTCAGCCTTAACCTGTGTCTGCTTGATACAGCACAAAGCTGTAGAATGTTGATAAAAACAGATCTTGATGATTTGCAAATCATTAAACCCAATTTATGATTGAAAGTCGTGCAAAGACAACAAATCAGATGCTAAACTTGAAAAATGTTATTGTCTTATTGCTTTGTTTCATTCTAAATTCAATGCCAGCAACACATAAAAAAGTCCAGACAGGGACAACAAAACACTGGAAAAGTTGTGCAATGATTAAGAAATGGCTTTGAGGAATATTTCTTCAAAAATAAGGTTAGTTTGCGACAGGTTAGTGAAACAACTGGGTCAAAAGGTCACCCCAGAGAGACTGAGTTTTGAGAAGTAAAGATAGGAAGAGGTTCACCACTCAGAGAGATATCATGAACAAATAGTTCAAAATGTCAGGGTATTATTTCTCAGGGTCCAACTGCAACAAATCATTTATAGTACATAACATTTTAAAAGATTTACAGGATCTGGAGAAACGTCTACAAAAGGGACAAGGACCAAAACCAGTACTGGATGGTTGTTGTCTTTTCACCTCAAGCAGCAAAAAAACCAAACACAATCTGTTGCTGCATCCACAAATTTAGATCAAAACAGAACCATGCAGAGAAGAAACCAGATACAAACATCATTCAGAAATGCCAGTGACTTCCATGGGCAGGGTCTGTTTAAAAAAAACAAACAAAACAGCTGTCCTGTGTAGCCTGATGATGTCAAATATGACATTTGTTTTGGAAATCAAGAATGATGATACCCTCTGCTCAAACAAGGAGAGGGACCACACAGGTCAAAGGCCAGCATTCATGACACTATAGGGAGGCTCAAGTGTCCATGATATGAGTAGTTGCTAAACAATATTTTTGCAGGTTCTGGAACAACATATTCAACTTTTTGAAATGTATTGATGGCGTTAATAATAAAAAGCATTTTTAACAAAATTATTCAGTTTTGCAATATTGATAATTAGTTTTTCTCTCTGATTTTTGCCAGTGAAAAGTTTCAGTTTAAATCACCTGCAAACCATCAAAATATGTTTTTGTTTCACAGGATCTCATTTTGTACATTTTTTTATGTGATGATTATGTGTGTGTGTGTGTGTGTGTGTGTGTGTGTGTGTGTGTGTGTGTGTGTGTGTGTGTGTGTGTGTGTGTGTGTGTGTGTAGCGTCTGCTGGCAGATGAGCGATTGTGCCAGTCAGAGGCTCTCTATGCGTTCCTCAGCCCGTCCCCTGAGCATCTGAAGGTAATTTTGTGTCTGTACTTGAATTTTATGGTAGACAAGTCTCTAATATGTTCTTGCTACAATAGACCACTGAGAAGCTTGAGAAGGTGTCTCAGGTTGTAGATTGGAATAAGGATTTTGTAAATGAAGTTTGGTAGAAAGCCCATTGTTTACAGTCTGGGTTGCTAGTGCTACAGGAGCCCTACAAGTGTTGCCTATTCCTCTTTTATCGACAACAACTAGATTCAAAGTATTATTTAGGGGAACTTCTGCCAGGTGTACAGGGCAATATTGTTATCTGTTCACAGCTTTCTATAAAACACATAGTAAGACTTAAAACTGTTGTATCATTGTTCTATTCTGTGTATTTTAGAGTGACATATATTGGTTCAATTTTTGAAGGTGATGTCAATCCAGAAGAAGTCCTCCTTCTCTCTGGCCTCCTTCTTGGAGAGGCTACCTGGAGATTTCTTCTCACACACGGAGGTACACTGTCATATGTGTTTTTTAAGAGACACAAAGTTGTACATGTATTCCTGATTGGATGGCGGCTGATCTGTGTATGTGCTTGTAACAGGAGGAGGCTGATGAAGACAGCGACTTGTCAGACTATGGTGATGAAGGAGACGGAAGGAAAGATGCCTTGGCTGAACCCTGCTTCATGCTCATAGGAGAGATTTTTGAACTCAGAGGAAGTGAGCAGTTCACAGTTTCTGTTGAATGACTGATTTGACTTTCTGATGTCATGAAAGAGAGAGGTCTGGATATGTAGATAACTGTCTCTATCTCTATGGCTAACAGTTAAGTGTTTTTGTTTTTTTTACCCTTTGTGAATAACCTTATCTCATCAGCTCCCCTCTCCTTCTGTCCTCAGTGTTTAAATGGGTGAGGAAGACTCTTATTGCACTAGTCCAGGTGACATTTGGACGAACTATCAACAAGTAAGTTCAAGCAAGTAGGCATTCAAGGACTGTCAAAGTGAGGGCTCACAGAAAAACTGAAGAGTAGTAAATGGATTCACCATGGTCACTTCCTGAGTCTGTAATTAATAACTTTTAATTTCCCTGAGGTCACCTCCCCAAAAGGATAAATGAAGTTGTATCTAATCAAATCTAATAATGGAGGAACAGAAATATGTGCAGTAGAACTGTAAAAGCTCCTGCTCCTCCAAAGATATTTTTGTATCATTAGTTGAACCTTCCCTTTGACACTCAGAGCAAAGTGAAGAGTTTTTTTCAGGACGAAATATAAGACTATTGTTGCCCTTATCTCCTTAAAAGAAATGATCACACTAAGCTTTTCCGCTCAATGAAAAATGTAAATTTCCCCTGTTACTATGCACGAATACTAAAGTTCCAGCCTTGCAATCGAACTGCTTGATTGAGGGAAAATAATCCTGATTATTTTGATTGATACTGAGATCATGATTGAATACTATAGCAACTAATTTGACGTCTACATTGTATGCTAAACTTAAACATTAACATTCTGAACATTTTGAAAAACCACAAAAAAAAGTAGAAATATAAAGACAAAAACCTTTATTTTGTCTGCCAAAGCCTCACTGTCTGTGTAACTGGACTAATGAGGTAAATAAGACAAGATAAGATACACTTTGATTTGTCCCACTACAAGGACATTTTCTGTGTTTACGGCAGCAAAAGAAAGAATGGTATTGAATAATACAGCAGTAAACCTGATATGAATTTAAAAAAATCATGTTTCAGTACTGGCAGGAACCATTTACTGCATAAATACCTCACTTTAGGAACTTTGACTTAATTTTTGATGATGATAAATTAAACACAAGACTAACTTGTGTAGTATTGTATTCTTACACTGTTATCAAAAAGTAAAGAACCTTAGCTCTTTTACTGCATACACTTTATCATGGGCTGAGATCAAACCTATCATTCAGCCTTTCTAATCCTCTCGTCTTTATAATGTCAAGACTTGAGGTTATATTTTGAGACATTGTTTGCCATTCTGCCTGGTAGTCGTTGTGGGTCTGATAGATTTTGTTGTCCATCAATCTGAGCTCCTAGTCGTGGCATTAAAGTGAGAGCTGGATTAAACTGTAACACTTTAATCTTGATCACTTAGTTTTCCGGACTGTGGTCAGCTGAAATCATAACTGAAATTAAAACCTTATCACTGCCCCAGTCCTTTCTTGAAAGCTGTTGCTTTGTTGACTTGTATTGCAAAGGGTTTACTGTTGACCCAAAAAGCCACAGGTGATGCTAAATTTCTCATGAACCCCAACCCAAATAAGCACTGGAAACAGTCTTTTAAACACTGAAGGTGTGTACCCTAAAACCTTAATATTGGTATGTACCTCTAGTCTTTATCTGGGCATCTATTTCGATGCTTAACTCTACTGGTGCCCATCCCTTTGTGTAGGTGTTTTAGGCTCGAGTATCTGGTAACAACTCTCTGGCTAACTTTTTCATATCTCCAGTACTGTTGAAATATGCTGTATCATTCGTCAAATTTATTTTAAAAATGTGAACGTTAATTTGTATAAAAAAGGGAAAAGGGGAGGGTGAATCTCCAAAAGGGAAGTTGTTATGTTTTCATAACCCGCTCTATAGTGATGAAACTGTTTCTTGTGTTAGTTGTATTGTTCTCTGAGATCAAGTGTTAGACTGACATCTTTCATGCCCTACATCAGACAGATCCGGGACACAGTAAACTGGATCTTCTGTGAGCAGATGTTGGTGTGTTACATTAGTGTGTTCAGGGACACCTTCTGGCCAAACGGGAAGTTGGCACCTCACGTCAAAGTCCGAACTGACTCTGAACGCAGTGAAACCAAGGAACGGGCTCAACAGAAACTACTTGACAATATTCCAGGTAACCATTGAAGAACATTTTTGTGACGTGTTAATCTCTCATTTTTGCTTAACCTGAAATATGGATTGTTAACTTTGTCTCATTCAGACCTCTTTATTTTTTTATCAGATGCACTAGCAAATCTAGTTGGCCAGCAAAATGCTCGCTATGGAATCATCAAGATCTTTAATGCCCTACAGGAGGCTAGTGCAAACAAACATCTTCTTTATGTAAGAATGACAAATACTCATGTAAAAAAACATCTTTGTGAGACACAAAGATTTACAATTTGTAACTACTGCTGGTAATCAAATTATTTTGTCTCTTTGTCCCCCTTCAGGTGTTGATGGAGATGTTACTCAAGGAAGTATGTCCTGAACTCAGAGCAGAGGTGGACAACATCTGAACTCACACACTCGCTCAATACACAGAGTCTTTGGATCCTTTTGGCCTTTCTGTAGCTGATCCATTAAACTGCCAAGCAAGACAGTGTGACGGCCTTTTGGTTTAACCTTAGACAGAAAGCAGCTGGAAGAACTTTGCTGTGAAACGATGAAAAGCTGACCTGACGCCAGGCTGACAGAGGCTGCTGTTTGACTGTGCTGTGGTACTGATCTATTTGTGTCTGTCTGTAGTTCAGAGTCCACATTCACACAGAACCAAACTGAATTTTTGACACTTTGTGACATTGTTACTTCTTTTTCTTATCTTAACACCGGATCTGTACCACAACACCATTAAGAAGAGATCTTTGTTTCTGTGTTAATCATGTGGTCTATAGATTACAGGCAGGGTATGAACTTACAAAAGTAAACACTTGATTGTTTGGTCAACAGTTTCTACAGCTGATAACTCAATGCCCTTGAGTTGATGCAGCACCTATGGTTGAGGTTCAGATTTTTATTGTCCTTCGCAGGCAAGAGGTGTGTCATTGCCCATGGACCTCAGAACATTCCTCCAACACACAACCTGAGCAACAACACTTGTGTTCTCTGTGATTCTTGTTAAGGCTTATAATTGTGCAATATAATGTCAAGTAACAGTCATTGTGATGATTTTATTTATGATTATTATTGATAGATTTTATTTTTACCAAAAATTGTTTAGAGAGCGTTTATATAAGCAATAAAAATATCAAATAAATAAAACCTGATGTGGTATTTCAAATTTATCTTATCTAACTTCAAAAGTTATTAGGATTAAAATAAGTCTGGATATTAAAGATCGATTGTCCTCAAGATGAAAACACCAAATGGTATAAAATAAATCCAGATAAATGTTATTTTTTGTATTGTATTCTACAGTTGATGCTGTAAGAAGAGATAATGGTATAGATGGTTATGAACAGCAGTCTGGATTGAAGGATTTGCTTGGGGAGATGTCTATATAAAAGGAAAGGTTAACTTTTTATGGAAGATGTTACCAGTGTCATCATATTCTGACACTTTTCTTCAAAAAACTATCTCCATGAGTTAACTTCTAGTCTTTTTTTTACGTACTTCTACTTTTCCAGTAAGACATGAACAAGCTGAAATCAAATTTAAAAAAAAAAAAACAAAAACAAAAAAGCAGCTTTTAAAATGGAATAGGAGAAAAAGAATAAAGTAAGCAATTTTGATGGACTTTTCTACAAAAACAAATCTCCTTTTCTGCTGTTACACAGTTCCCAAGTATTAAGTCCAAGTAGACTATGGTTAGATTTTACATTTCTATACAAAAAGTCTGCAGTTGCTGTGAAAACTACACCTTTGTAGCAACTTTCAGGAGTATTTTCATTGCATTGAGACTATATTTAGATAAATAATTTACATTAACATGCCTTGCGATTGGTGTCAGACATTACTGCAAATGGATAGAAAAGTTCATCAGTGAACTAATTTTTAAATCTGCATTTTCCTTTTTAATAAAAATAATCGCGGGGTTTTGTGTAGGGATAGTATTCAGATATTTTCCCCTCTTGCCTGTGAATGGGCCATTTGTTCCCAGAGGTTCGGTGCAGTCACAGAGAGGAAGGGTGTGAGTATGGCTGGTAAACACTGCCACACAGCTGAGCAAGGATGTGACTTAAGTCAGGAGGAAATAAAGCTCTGAATGCAAGAGGAGCACCTTGTCTTCAAAATACGACTTTAAAATGTGTCGTTCTATTTCTTTTAGACATTTCCATGATCAAATTAACAATAGAAAAAAGACAACAGCACAGACAACAAAGAAATACAATCATTGTGCAGGAAAGTGGGATTTTCTTCTGTGCCATAAACGACGGATCCACCAAAAAAACCAGACATTCATATTATCTCGTCCTTCAGCTCTTTCAGTTTTATTTTTTAACTAAAACCCGAAGCAGGGTTATCGAAACATTGCATTGGTTCCTGACGCGGGCTTTTATTTTGAAAGTTCACAGCGGAAATGGCGGTTGCATGATCTACTTGGGAGTGTTTGGGCTCACAGATGATCAGAAAATGACCAAGAAACCCCCACCTGCGTTTTAGTGCTTGTAAATTTTGCCCTGTCCATTTAGGCTCTATCGAAAGGTAGGTTTGTGTTTACAAAAAAGACTGTTAAAGCGACAGTTAAGTGCAAAGACAGCGGTTGCTGGTTGAAAAGCTAGTCATTCTTCGTTTAGCTGTGGCAGTTTTGTGCTTTGCTTTTTCCTTTGTAAGACTAACAAGCTATGAAACGTCAGCTATGAATAACTTTAAGCATTCTTCAGTAATATTATTACACACAGCTTTACTAGCATCTGTGTCGTTGGAAAGACAGCTCATGGTTTTATGAGAGTGATAGCTGTTAAGCTAACACCGTTAAGCGGGTTAACGCCATCTATGAAGAGTATGACGCGCTCGTATTCATTGTGGTTGCCTGGTAACAGCGAAATTAAAGACACAGTAACGTTCTCGAATGTACAGTTAATCAATATGAACCATGATCCAGACATTCTTCACTTCTACTGTGTCACTGTACTTTACAATGATGTCATTACGCTGATTGATACAGATCATTTGAGCTGTCGTGGTGCAGAATTCTACAGCCCTGTTTTCTAGATGGCTGACAACCTTCGTACAATCGAAGTATAAACAGAATGTGAGACTTTTGTAAACTTTGAAACCTCATGAATGAGAAAGACAAAACATGAACTATTTCGACAGAAAAAATGATTATATTGGACTGGAAATGAGAGAGATCCAGCCAGCATATTATAAATGCCAATAGCCAGCTTTGCTAATGGTGTGGTGGTGCACATAGCATAGGTAGCATGCACAGCTGTAAAAGCACCTGTAATGCTGTGAAGTAGATGACTTTTAGTCGAGGTCTTGCTTGTTTTAGCAAGACAATGTAACCTTATACATGGTGTGTGTCTCCCCTTTTTTCGTTGTGACCACCTGAGCCAAGTCATGACAAAACCTACAGCAGAATGTCTCTTATTTTATATTGATATTTGACCATGGATCTGCTGTGACAACAAACCATGTGACAACGCCTGTCTTCTGTGTGTTTTTAGGGTACTCTGCCCCCCCACCTTAGTTAACCCCAATTGGAGGGAGTCAACTCTTCACTGCCGAGCAATTGCTGCCCATCTGCTACTGTCAGTCATTCCTCCTGCTGACTCTGTCCTGTGTTGTAGTGATTACTATGGGATAGCACAGCATCTTCTGTTCTCAGCTGGGTTGTATGACTTAGCCAAAAAGAGATGGATGATGAGCTTGGGAGCTTCATCAAGGAGCGAAAGGCCAGAGTAGCAGAAGATAAAGCCTGTTTGGAGCAAGACCCTCCTTACATGGAAATAAAGGTGTGTTGGGATGATGACTGTTGAGTAAATGAATCTGATCTTGTTTTCTCAGACTTAGGTTAAGGTCCAGGATTGTATATTTTCATGACAAAAAATATCAACTTGATCAGATTCCTGAGCAATCCTGACCTTGTGTTTAACCATACACTTTGTGTGTGTAAATAAAATACACTAAGTTAATGACGCATTTCTTCTGTGTTCTTGTGTCACAAGAGAAAAACATGACAACCATCAAATGTTTGTACTTTGTTTTTAACTTTGCAATTCAAGAAAAATCATTTAAAAAAAACTTTTTGTATGAAAAAACTACAGAGATGATCCTGTTGTGGTGATATTGTTGTGCCTTTTTTGACCTCAGAGGGTGTATGGATCTACTTCAAAGGAGAACATACCTCCCAAGTCAACAGAACAGAGGAGAGGTATGGTACATATTCAAATATCCCTCCTCTAAGTTTTCTAGTACAGTTCCATTTCAGTTTTTTTGGGTTGAATGAGCCAAGATAGGTGAAATCTATCAGTTACCCCTGTCACAGAGCAATGTGTATCACTGTAGTTTTTGATCTTCAAAGTAACAATTTTCCTGTATTGGCATGAAACCCGTCGCCATGTGTTGCTTTTAAAAACTGATGATTGTATTTTGTCAGAGGAGAATTGCAGTTTGGGTCTTCCCCTGGGTGTGGAGTATGAGAGGAAGAAACAGAGGCTGCAGCATGAGCTCCGTATGGACTATAGACGCTACATGGCTCAGGTAACTTCCACATACATAACTGTTTACTTTGTAAAAGGCTGTTGCTGAACTTGATGATCAGTTCAGGGTGTGATCCAGGTTTGTTGTTTTTTTTATGTCACATTATTTCATTTTTTTTTATTAAGCTGGGAAGCCGAGCGCTTGATGTTGTGCCATCCATGACCGCATTGCATCTGTGATCCAGTTCTGTCACCCTAAGAGCACCATTTTCTAGACTGAATGTATTGGATCTCGTTGACGGTGTTTGTCCCGTTTTTTCTCAAGACTTTATTCATATTATTTCATTTTACAAACAAAAACAAATACCCCAATAGCTCACCAGCCCTAATCTTACAAATATGGAAACAGCTAAAATAAATACATGCGTAATTATATTACAGCAAAAGGGAAAAGTGCAAAATAATTTAGCTTACAGCTGTAATTGTAGTGAATATAAATCTATACACATACAGGCAAATACTCATATAATAATAATAATGATAATAATGTCTAAAATGAATAACATTTCTCCTGTTTAAGGAGCAGCTATGGCTCAGTAGAAGAGTTGGTTGTCTCCCATTTGGAATCTCGGAGATTCAATTCCAGGGCTGTCCACATGCTGAAGTGTCCTTGGACAAGACCCCTGCCCCCATGGGTGCAGCCTGTCATTTGTGTGAATGTGGTATGGACTGACATTAGGGTTTATTGTAGTGAGCTTGTCCTGTAAGTTGTGTAATACTTAAAATAAAACAGTCTGATACAAACAGAAATGGTGTGAATGCAGTCCATACAAAGTTGCCAAAACTCCCTAGAGAGTTCAATATTAAGGTCCTGTTGCCATGCCGATATTCTTGTTCCGATGAAGGTAGACTGGTATCTTGGATCATGATGTAGATTTTAGAAATATCTTTTATGTACAGGTTCAAGGCCAGTGTGTGGATGTCTGAAGTGTTAACTCGCAAAGATTTTGATTTATCAAAATCTGAAAAAAAATGTTTTAGGAATATTACACATTATACTTTCTCTTACAGTGGTTTAAATAATACAAATGTGCATTTAACAAAAAATGTCCCCATTGGGATGAACAAAGTTCTTCTTATCTTTGAAAAGAACAAATAAGAACTGTGGTTTCAATTTGGGAAGGGAGAAAAAGATGGTTATTTACCAGGGGTGAAAATAGGGATAACTGATAAACTCTAAACGGAAACAAAATTTTAGAGATTGCTTGAGGACAGGATTATGTATCTGAGGATGTGAAGCCACAGGTACTGAAGAGCACTGTAATGAGACAAGCAAATTGATGGATTGCTTTCTAGTTCAGTGCTAGCCAGATTATTCCCCTGAATGGATACCCATTAAATTTGTATTTGCAGCCCAGTAGTAATAACTTAACTTCAGCGCCTTCAGAAACATTTTCTCATTCTTGAGACAGATTTGCTCCAAACAAAGAAAGTAATCAAATTACTGATCTCCTTGAAGAAGAAAAAGAATGATATAAACAACATACAAGAAACAAGGTAAAGCAGTCATCTTAACCGTATTCACTCTTCCTGCATAAGAAATGGGTAATGATGACCTTCTTGACAGAGCTTGTTTGGTATGTTCTAATAAAGTGTATAATGTAGCCTGAAAATGTCACTTGACTTATGTTTGCAAAGAGTTTACGACTTGAAGTTGGTGTCAGATATGAAACAAGTTTGTGCAGATGTAATGATAAATTATCACAGAATCCAAGAAACAATCACAAAGATTTAGGGGTGATAAAAGGGTAAATTACACTCTTTACAATTAACCAGTAATGTGGTGAAGTTGAAAAGCACAAATTGCTTTGTCATTTTGAAGAACTTTGTCCCCTTTAGTTGAGTCTTGGTCTCTCTGAAGGGTGAGTAATGCAGTGTTATTTTCATTTTATTTTACAGAAGAAGCACTTGGACCCTGCACAGTCTGGGCCATTAATGCACCTTAATAACAGGAGGTCCATCAAGGTAATTGTGTTTTCGCTTGATTAACATTCCCAGTGTAGATCCTCTGAATTTTATGCTTGTTACCTGAGGGTAATATGGAAATGGTTGATGGGGCTGAGGAGAGACACAATTTGTTACAGGTGGAAAAATGTAGAAGTAGTAAACTGTTGAGTACGGTTGCTCGATGTTATGGAGAAATGATTTAAATAGTTTTTATAAAACAGAAAAATAATTAAAATACAATAGTTACTATTTCAAAACAATGTTGAAATTAAATAGTTCAATGAAACAGGAACTGTTACCAATGCCTGTAGTTATCAGTTATGCTTTTAATTATGTCAGGAATAATGTGCAGTTTGCTGGTTCATGAAGGTGTCTCTATGTCAGGACTCTATGACATACTCACTGGCTAACTGTATATTATCATACTAATTACCCACTTACCAAAAAACATGGTGATGCCATGTGTTCTAGAAATAACTTTATCATTTTTATTGTTTTATTGATTTTTAGCTTTTCTGTGACAAAGGTATTTTCAACAGTGAACTTAGAGGCGGTGTCATTCATGGAAACGCTTTATTATGCTCAGTTCTTATAAATCGCACTAAACCATATACTGTATTTATGGCGAAGTCAAAACATCTGCATTAACTGTTGGTATTTTAAGAGATGCAGAAATTAACTGTAACTTCTTTTTGCTCAGCCAGTCCTGTTTACCCACACTGTGCTGTACATTGTTGTTGCTTTGTTTCTGCTTTCTTCAGTTTGGTTGATGTCTCTTCGACTCATCCTCTTGTACGTCTTACCTTCACTTGTTCATTTCTGTGGCGTTCTGCCTCCTCCCTTGTTTTCCTCTGCTGGTGACTGGTCGGTCAGTAAACACCCACTAACACTGTCAGAAAGTAATGTCTTTGTCACATTGGCAACAGGGAGAGGTGAAATCACCAACAGCAGTTATACTAAATGTGCTGTGTGACTTTCCTCATATTGAATAGATGTGTATGACATGTGGGGTTGACCCTAGCGTTTCCTTATGCTTCTAAAAATTAATAACAATTATAGAAGGGTTTTGACCTGTCAGAATTAAGTATTTGCAATAAAGATTGATTTGACAGCTGGGTAATAAAACTGTACATCAGCGGAGGATAAATACTTATTATAATATATAATTATTATGGATGGAGCAGATGGACACAGGTGAAGGGTATGGGCAGGATATGTATTAAGGAAAGATCAATAAAGTGGTCGGCTGATCAATCAGGCATATAATTAGCACTTTGACATAATTGGCATCATAAAGACAACACCAGATATCACCATATCCTTTCCTAACAAACACATTTTCACATTAACAGCATATCAAATCCAAAACTGTCATTCTCAAGGGCTTTAATATTGTTGTATTTTAGAGTATTTAGTATTGACAGCAATACCAGACATGTTTAGTAATCTACAGCATAACCCAATATCTGTGCCTTTCCACTGATTCATTACAAAATCCTTCTAAAACATGTTATTGGCCAAAACAACCATGTGTGTTAGATTATTTTTTTAAAGTTGTAAATATTATTAAATTGCTGTATTTTTGTCAAATGCCAAAAGGAACCAAGCCAAAAATAAAACCAAACAAGAATAAAAAAAACAACATAATATAATATTGACATTATATATCAGCAGTCTGCAAACCTGCTCTCTTATAATCTGTGTCAGCATCAGCACTGAAAAAATTCTAATCGGTTGATCACTGTGTGTGTATTCAAGATAAATGTGTTTGAGAAGTGCACTGCCAACTGGCTTGAATACTGAATATGTGGTCTGTTCTGTAGACCCTTCATTCAGCCTCAGACTAAAATCCTGTCTCTTTCAGCTGAACTTGATTGGAGACCAGACTGATATACTCCCCAGCCAGCAACGCCTCTTAAGAAGAGATGCAGCTACTCTAACAGAAGGAAGTCGAGGGTTGCAAAGGACTTTGCATCTCATAGAGGTCCAGCCCCTCTGCACTGAGAAGGATGAAGAGCAGTCCTCAGTCCCCCTCAGGCTACGTGACAGACTTGGGAAGACAATAGATCAGGAGTCAGAGGAGGATGAATTCTTCAAGGAAGACCTCAAGGGGACTGAGAGTAGACATACACGGGTTGAGGACATTTATGAGAGGGGACGATCCAAAGAGACTGATGGCAGGTACTTGGAGGAAATTTTAACCCTTTGATTAGTTTGTTTAGAGCAAAATTTTTTGTCCTAATATATTCTGCTGCTTCTCTCTGGATTTTCCTAGGGACAAAGGGGAGACTCCAGCAGGTATTACAAAAGGAGGCTGGAGATCCAGAGCACTGAGCAGAAAAGAGGATGCAGAGTTTGCCACTGGCCTTATAATAGGTTGATACACATTTCACAATCTGAGCTGAGTTGTTAGCTTCAAAACTAAAACTCAAACATTTATAAATATGAACTTTTAAGAAGTGCTTATTCTCAAATAAGATTCACCTTGTGTTAATTCTCCCGGCTAGGTGGTGTCTTTTGGAGTACTGGTTTGGTTAAAGTGAAATAAGTGTTTTAAATGATAGCCACAAACTATGAATGATAATCTTGTTTTACTCTCATTTATTTCAGGATTAGCTGACACAAAAGATGCCTTACAGAGGAGGAAGGAGTGCTACAGACAGGAGCTGCAGGAGCAGATAGCTGAGCAACACAGAAACAAAAAGAGGTACTTTAGTACTAATCTCTTTAAGTGGGCAGATCACTTGTTTGCAGGAAGACTAGAAACTATTATCTCACCTATTTGAAGTTAAGGACTTCTACCGTCTTTATCACACATACCTTTCCTCTTAAAATTATAAATGAGCAGGACCCTGAATCTCATTTTTTGAACACCCTTCTTACTGAGTGCGGTACATTTATGCGTAACTCTGTCAAACTTATTGCAGGGAGAAAGATTTGGAGCTCAAAGTTGCTGCAACTGGGGCAAATGATCCTGAGAAACAGGTCAGTGGCTTCTGGAAACAACATTGACTTTAGCTTAAAAGATTGTTGACAGTTTTTATGCTCACAATGGCTGAATACAGAGTCCCACCCAAACTGTCTGACAAGGAATACATAACCATAGCTGCTGGTTATCTATGTTTGCAGTTCAAGTCTGTGAAATGAAAAATAAATAGGCTGATGACATAATTCATAAACTGTGTTTACCTGCAAGCTCAGTATCAGAAGGTGATTTGATGCCATTCACTGCACAGGTTGATATTAGAAGGTGAAGGATCAGAGAGTGTCCGCAGTGTCAGTCTAGAGATATCATTGTATCAGCACATTATGTCCTCATCTGTTGCAGCTTAACCACAGACATATGTTGACTTCATTGATCATGCACAGACCAGACTGACGGGCTAAACAAACACTCTGCAGTATATACAGTTTTGCACGTTGAATATGACAACACCAGGCCTAGAAGTTTGAGTTCAGACTCCAGCAGTCTCTGATTCCTCTGTCCCTCTTCGGTTGAAGTTACACTACCTCCCCTTTTGGATTATTACCATGTGGAGTAAATTGATGTTCTCAGCAGGAGTGAGTGCTGTTTTCCTGAGCTTTATTGTAGCTTTGCAATCCACTGTTTATCTATGAATACAGCAAACATGTCTGAGACTGGGTGTGCTCAAAGTTTTATCCACGTCAACGTTCTTTTTTGAACACTGGACTTAATGTTAGACTTATTTCTAGTCTGGTTTTATTTGAAAGTAACCAGCAAAATAATCTTAAAAAACCTAAAATACAATGGCAGAATCATGATCAGAGTTTTATCACCGATATAAAAGGGTGATTTTGACCTAGTATTTACTTTCCTGTCTTTTAAAGCCAGGTGAAAATCAGTCTCAAAATCTCACTCTGACTTTCTTGATTTTATTTATATTTAACTTTTGTTTTAACCAGGAATGTCCTATTGAGATTAAAAACCTCTTGTTCAAGGGAGTCCTGGCCCTAAGGCAGCAAAAAGTTGAAGTTTCAACACAATTAACATGACATACAAATTAGATCAAACAGTTACACGTTAAGGAGGCTCTCTCAAGTGCTCTCAGTCTGGATTTAAAGTCATTCAATGAGATAAGGTCTTTTAGTTTCCTGTCTTTTTGCAACAGGTTCCATGTAGAAGAGGCAGAGAAGACAAAAGCCTGTTTTTCCCTGCTCAGTGTGAGCAAATAGAACAGTGAGCAACAAATTATTGTTTGAACGCAAACTGTAAGAATCAACACTTCTCTGTGTGATTAAATTACAAATGTATAGGGCAGCAGTCCAAGCATGGCCTTATAAATAAAAGTGTACCAGTGAGCCAACCTCCTGATTGATTTGATTTGATCATTTCAAACAAGGTCAGTCTTGTGCTCCTGCTTTTTTCCCACAACCCACCAGAACACATTTTATTATCATTTAATATTTCATTTCTCTGTTGACCAACCAGCCGGACCGAATCAGACAGTTTGGTATGAGCAGGAGAAAGGATCATCAGGTTGTGGAGCCTTCAGCAACAGGAGAGGAGAAATCCTCATCCAGAGGTCTGTCTTACCATGAAAGGAGATTCGTAAAAGACAGAGAGACTTCTCCCCCTGAGCAGCCCCATGTGGCCTTCCAGTCTCCTTTGCTGGAATACAGTTCTGCCCTGGGACTGGGGGGTGACGGTCTGTCTCCTAACAGCCAGCCCTCTGCCTCCTCCTTCCCCAGAGCCATTGACACTCCCAGGTAAACCTTTACATTTCACTTGAGTGAATGTTCCTTTAAAAAACTTTTTGGATTGTGTTTACTTTGGGGACCTCGTGGAGAGACAGATACTGCTTGCATTTTTGCTGATCTTGTCCTGTACGTCAAAAACTATTGGTTTTCCAAAAAAGACTCTTCCTGCTCTTTTTTGTTGGTCAGATGTTTCAATCATTGACACTCCCTTGCAATGGAGACGGTAAAATCAGGCTGTTTCAGTATTGTACAGTCATTTTCCTTGTCTGACTCTGTGACCCTCCGAAGTGGTTTCAGTCATTGATAACAGAAAAATCAATCCTGTGGCGGGTGGTTTTGTTTGCTCTTGTAGCTTACAAGTTACAATTCTTATGGTTTCTGTTGATGTAGCCTCATAAAGGTCCTCACTCAATAAATGCAATGAATTACATGACAGCGATTTACAGCAGTAAATTTGATGTGTCTCTGATGTATATTAAACTGAAGTAGCTCTGGATTGAATGCAAAATAAGCCATTCATGATGTTGTATTGTGTGTTTCTAGACTTCCCTTGTTCCCTCCTCCTCATCCTCCTTCGACTCTCAGTGAAGCCTACAGGAGCCCATATGGAGAGCCCCATCACTACTATGGCACCAGAAACCTACTTGACCCAAACATGGCCTACTGTAAGCAAGCACCCCCTTTTTTAAATGACAGTTGTTATGTTCTGATGATAATGTAATGAACAATGTAATGATCAGAAGTAGGCTGCACAAGTTATCCTCACAACTCTAAGTCATGTTGTCTGTTTAGATGGTCACCTCTCTGTTCCTGGGGCTGGCCTCCCAATGCCTTACTGGAATGCACCACCAGGGGGAGCTGTTCCCTGTCTGTCTGGTAACCACAGCCCTCACAGCCAGCACAGTGGGAGCAGCTTTCCAGATGCTCCAAGACAGTAAATATCTTCTTTAATTGCAAAGAATGGTCAGACAATGGCTATCAATAGTTCTGAAGTGTCAGTTTAGGTATTTGCTCATCCAGCACACATGCATCTTAACCATCAGGTTAATCAACTTGATACAAATGTCTTTGTGCACAAGCAGATCTCAAAAATGATAACATATAATGTAAGATACTGTCTTCCACTGCCTAACCTAATATTTGCAGGGTTCTGCTTTGATACTTAAATTTCAATTTTGACTTTTTACCATGTTGAAATTGGATCTATAAAATCAAATGCCATTTTAGTGAGATACTGGATTGCACAAAACATCATGGTCAAGTCTGAAATGTGTGTTTCTGTAACTCTCCTCACAGGCCCAGCAGTGAAGCAACCACTGTGGACTCACAAGTCAGAATCTTCCATTCAGAGAAATCCCGATCACCCAGAGACAGAATAATGAGCTACAGAGATGCTTTGAAGCAGCAGGTCGGTGAAGCAGCTTTTTCTTTGACATGTGAAACTGCCTTGAACAGATCAGCCTTTTTCATGCATTCTTGTAAACAAGACATTTCAGTTTAGGGATATAAAGAGAAGAGAAGTTTTGGTCCTGAGATTTTGATCTGGCAGATCTGTCAAAATAAAAAAAGTGACAGGATACATGAATTAAAGAGATATTCTGGCATAAAATGAATTTAGGGTCAAACACACCGTAACACTGAGTTAGACAGCCCCCCTCGAGAGATGAATGTTGTCGACCGCTTGCTTTTCTAGTTATACCAACTTTAGTAACAACCGCAGATAGCAATACACAGCGGTCTGAGGAGCCATAAACAAACCTCAACCAAAAAGCCGCTCTATAGCCACAAATAATACTCAGAACAGCACCTAACTTCATCAACTGTATATATAGCCATAGCACTAGCCATAAAACGTCTTCTTAACTTTGCCTAATTTCTTTAGCAAAGAGACCAAACACAATTTACCTACTCTCTTCCAGCAGCCACTTGTTTGTAGCCAGACCTCGACCAGTCCATTACGGACTACAGTGGGGGGACGCAGTTGAAGGAAGAACATTTATGATCATTTCTTCATGGAAATGCAATCAGACTGAGATGCTAAGGCAGAAGAACTACCGCGTCTGCAGTGCACAATGATTAATATGATGATTATTACTTCAATGAAATGGCGGAGAAATGATCTTAAATGTTCTTCCTTGAGCTGCGTCAAGTAATGGATTGGCCTCAGGTCTCGCTACAAACAAGCGGTTGCTGGAGGAGAGTGGGTGAGTTGTGTTGAGTCTCTTTGCTAAAGAAATCAGGCAAAACTAAAAAGATGTTTGATAGCTAGTACTATTGCAGGGACCCTACATGTACTGTTGATGAAGTTAGGTGCTGTTCTGAGCATTATTTGTGGCTAGAGAGGCGTTTTGGTTGAGGTTTGTTTATGACTCCTCAGACCACTGTGTATTGCAATCATGCGGTCATTACTACAGTTGGTATAAGTAGAGAAGCAAGCGGTCGGCAACATTCATCTCTGGAGGGGTTGTCTAACTCGGTGTTACAGTGTGTTTGACCCTAACTGAATTTCACGCCGGAATATAGGGAGTGTGTTGATTTAGTATGAAGTGAAATGAAGCCAGAACAATTTACAGAGGTGGTGAAAGATTTTTAAACTCATGCTATTGGATACTTTGAATCTTGTTCATGGGATACAGACACCTGTAACAGCTGAGCATGAGCAGCATCAGCATGGGTAAGAAGATCTGTTTAGTTCAGGCAGAATGAAATTAAGTGGTATCAGGTAACTTCACTGCATCCTGGTATGTGATATTTTGGCAGGATGCTTCCCGGAGATCAAGCAGTGAGTTTCACAACAAGGTAAAATTGATGTAGTTAAGACACAGAGCTAGTGTTGTTCAAGCCCTAAATATTAGTGTCAGAGTCCTTGTCTCACTGCAAACCCTCCACTTCCTTTGCCTCTGCTTTATTGCTCCCATCAGCCTGCAGATTTACGGATCCACCTCTTGTTCCTTCCTTAAAAGGTACAATGTGTAGTATAGCAGCATTTAGCGGAAAATACCTTAATAGAAGTGGACTGGAGTATTCATTGTATGTTTAAATTAGGCTCCAATCACCTAAATTCAAAAATGAATTACACTACCATGTTTCTACAGCACAGACAAACTAGCAGCCTGTGCTTGTTTGTGTTTGGTGAGTGGCTCAGTGAGATGCACTGCTTGGAAGACTGAAAAGAGGAAGAGGAGAGCAAATGTTGTGTAAAAGAATTTATGTTGATCATGTTGGTTAAAATCTGACAAATGGAGGACTACACTTATCATGCATCACAGGAGCTTGTTCCTGAAGGCCACTGCAGCTTCGCCCATGGGGAGGGGTGAGCAAGAGAGCATTTCAGTCTAGAATCTGACTACTAGATATTGCTGAATATCCTCATTTCTACACACTGTACCTTTAAGGCATGCCCCTGTTTTACTCCTCTGGGTTTTGGAGAGTATGTTTTAACACTAATGGCTCATGAGTTGTATTCACAACCTTTATCTGCAGATATGTGTTATGTTTGAATTCAAATCTGAAAATTAACTTATTACATATGATTATTCTGTATGAAATAAAATGTGTGTTTTTGTCCAGACACACACTTGGATTTAGTTTTATACAAACCAGTGAAGTTTGGATTTTTTTGTAAAACATGAATAAAAAAGAAAACAATGATTTCAGAACTTTTTCCACCTAAATTCACCTGAATACTCTACAAAGATATTCAATGTTCAAACTGATCAACTTAAATGTTTTTCTGTAGATATTCACTCATTTTGAATTTGATTTACTAACTCGTTCCTAAAAAGCTGGTTCAGGGTCACTGCAGATGATCTCTAGTCTGGGGTCTCTGTTGTCATATTTTGCGCTTCATAATGCTCCACACATGTTCAGTGGGAGACAGGTCAGTGGGAGATTGTATAATGTTTTTATTTACTTTTAACACAACGTCCCAACTTGTAGGGTTTGTATTATATTTTTGGTTTTACTCAGTATTTTGATTAATTGTAATTTTGTGGTAAAATTTACTTGAATGTAGAGATAGGGATCTATAACCATTAGATACCTTATATAGCATTTTTCAAAATTCGAAAACAAAATCAAAAGGCCCATGAGGTTTTGCTGTACATAGAGTTAAGTCACCTTGTGTCAAGTAGATTGTTGGTGCACACACATCGATACTTTCTTATCAAGTGTCTGAACCGTGAACAGGTGTAAAAGTACATGACAAAGAATTTTAGTGGTCAGGACAATGGCTGAACATGGGAGCAGGTCGATTCCACCAAAGCTGAAGACAGAGACGAAACAAAATTTTATTTATGTTTGAAAATGATTTCTTATGAGGGGGAAACAAAACCTCAGTGACCAAGCACGTCAACACCGAGCATCAAACCAAGACAAAAAAAACACAGAACCTTTGACTGTCTGAAGCTTTGACCAACTCCATCAGCTGCTGCTGCTGTAAAAATCATCATCCAGTGTTGAAGTCAACATTGAAATCCAGGTTGATTCAGCAGGATAAAAGCCAGTTAGCTAACTAACCCAAGTGATATAAGATTACATTTTGAGAGTTTCAGGGTCGGGTCGGTGAAAAGAGAATTATGTATAAAGTAAATAATACATTATCATCATGTCTTTAAATGTCAGGTCCAGAAAAAAAAGGTTTTTGGTGAAATATTTGTGTAAGTACTATAGTTTGAATGGAAACAAAAATAGAAAAGACTCAACAGTGGTATTGATAAGGACTCAGAAGAGTCTTGTCATCTATACAAATGAATGATCCCCATCCCTACGTTAAAGTGATGAGCTTACCTTGCCGCACTCAGCTAGTGTGAGATAATGACACTCACACCTAAAAGCAGACAAGAGGTCAGAGAGTATTTCTCAGCGTTCAAAGTTAACTTATGGGGTTTAAGGACTGTGATATAAGCTTGAAAATACTGTACCACAGATCCAGGAGCAACAGGAGCAGAGGCGTAAGGAGAGAGAAGAGGCAGAACGGTATGAAGCCCAACTGGAAATGGACATGAAGAACCACCAGCCCTGGGGTCGAGGAGGAGGAGGAGCCCCTCTTCGAGACAGCACTGGAAACCTCATTGGTAGATCAGAGAGCATCAGAGATGCTCTTTCTTAAAGTTGTACACCATGAATATTTCTGACTTATTATCATTCAACCTGATGTTTGTTTCCCCAGCTGACCTAAACCAGATGCACAAGCTGAACGAGGAGGCTTACATTAACCCAGAGCAGTGGCAGAGAAGAGCCACAGCCACCACCACGGCCCGCCGGGTGGAGCTCCCTGACCCTAATGAGAGGGTCTCAGGTACTGTACCAGACATAAGTCACAGAATCAGGGACTTTCCTTACACTTGAAAACGTCACAGTTTGTCCCACTGTGTAATGAGGAAAATTGAACCTAGTCGAGTAACATCTTTGGTTCTTTCAGTGAAAGTTTCAGAGAAGGCTCCTTGCACACCACAGGCTGTCTTATTGATGGACCTTTGAATCTTTACAAGTCACACAGATTCTGTAATCATCATTTTATCAGTCAGAAAAGGGTATTTGGTTAAACTCACAGCAGAATTTCTTTTCTCCCCCTCCTGTGATAGGTTTCGCCCACGTCCAAACCCCCCTGTTTGCCAGGGGCAATGTCTTTGCCAACCAGCCCTCCCAGCAACAGCTCCAGGAGCAGGACAAGTACAAAGCTTACCTCAAACAGCAGGTACAGCTTTTAACAGCTGGTGGTCCAGTCAGCTGCTGTGGCTTTTATTGAGCTTCGCATTTGCTGCCAGGCAGTCATTAGGTATTTAGACCTCTAAAAATGTAGCAAGCTGCTTTTAGAATAACACAGATAAATTTGTTTACAGCAGCACAAGCCAGAAAGAGGTTTTATTTGTGCCCTAGTTCAACAGCCTGAAATTAAAAGTGATTCAGGCTTCTTGAGTTGTGGTATTTGGTTGATGCTGTCTCATTAACTGGAGTTTGTGAACAGATCGATGAGAAAATGCGCAAAAAGGCAGAGGAGCGAGAACGGACGAGACTAGAGGAAGAGAAAGAAGAGAGGAGGTTGGCAGAGCAGAGGGCCCGCATTCAGAAGGAGTACGAAGAGGAGCAAGAGAGAAAAAAACGAAAGGAGATGGAAGTACGGATCCACAAAACTGAGAGTTCACTGTCTGTTCTCTGTCTGGTTCTCTTCAGTTATTTTTTTTTCGTCTTCTCGCACCTCTTTCCATTTGTCTTACTCTTTGTCTCTCAGCAAAAAGCCAAGAATGAAGAACTGATTCAGCTTGCTGAACAGAAGAGGAAGGATGCAGAGAGGAAGAAAAAGGAGGCAGAAGAGAAAGAGAACGCAGAACTGAGGAGGCAGTACGAGAGAGAGAGGCAGGCTCGAGTGGAAGAGGTTTGTACAGAGTTCTATTTCTCCTGCTTTAATATTTTGTACTGATCATTTCAAGGTGAGATTCATCTCTCAGCCTCGGTTTAGGATGCAGAAGCAGTCGGTGGCGGCGGATTGACCCATATGAGCAAATGAAAAGTTGATCAAACTTCTTGAATCAATTTTGATGATGTAGTCCTCCCTCGATCTCTGAAGAGAATTACATTCACATGAGAAACTACACTTCATTATATCAACCATTTTCAAACCTTATGAAGTAAACTGCTGGCTGTGTGCTGTAGGTCTACAGGGAGCCCTCACCCCCCATCCCCACTTTACAGAGGAAACATGGGCTACACCAGTACACCCCCAGGCCCCCCACTGTGGACAGCCTGCGTTCTCCTGCCCCCCTTTCTGTGAGTGTTTTTCACACACACACAGACACATTTTTCCAAACAGTATTGATTCAAAGAGACTATTTTCTCTGCAGCTCTTTCACGGTTAAGTCGAGTCATCAGTGCAATCTCATTTCCTCTGGGTTACCTTTTTTTACACCTTTAATGTTTTCCTGTTTCTCTGTCAGGAGCGCTCTTTGTCTGGTCTCCAGTCCCCCCCTGTTCCTGCTTGTAGGAATCAGCTCCGAGCTGCAGGTACTGTAGAGGCTGTGTGGTTGTGTTTAAATATTTCAGCAGGTTGCAGAATCTGTTCCATAATTTGTGACCAGCCTCTCAGTTATAAAACAGTCCTTATTAAAGGTGAACAAATGCCAAATACCTGGAAATAGCTTGTTCAGTGCAAATATACAGAGAATATATTAGAGATAGAAAAAAAAATACAATAGATAAAAGTATAATACAGCAGAGGAGTGGTACATATGTACACATCTACCTTCTGTGCCTATTGTGTCTATGTATAAACACACTCACATACACATGCATACCCAACAACCAGAAAGATGATTGTGCTGTTCATATTAACACACGACCTAAAGGGCAGGTGGTGGTCACAATCTGCACTATTTTATTTATGTAAAGAGCATTTGATGAGTCAGCATTCGTGTAAACAAAAATACTCTGCACATACTTTGTGTCCAGTCAGGGTTGAGAGGGGGTTCAGAGTCCAGTGTTTTGGGGGGTAGAGGGGGGAAGTGACAGAGAAGGGAGAGAGTTTGGCTTTCTGACAGCCTGGTGGGTGAAGCTTCTCATAAGTCTGGGAGAGTGGGCCTGGAGGCTCTAGTACCTTCTCCTTTGAAGGTTCAGATTTTTATATTGCTGGCAGTCAAGTGTCACCCCCCCCTCTATGACACTATAAGGGTTAAGGGTAGTTGTTTGTAATGTTTGTTTGGGAACTTTCAGGCCCTTATAAATGAGGCCCACTTATGCCAATGAGGCACCCGTCTGTGGTTTAGCCTGTGTGTATTTGTATTTGTTTTTAGGAGACCAGCACAATGTGTTCAGTGAGCTTTCTGCACTTCGACGGCAGCTCCGCAGTGAACAGAAGCGCCTTGAGGGTCATCTTCAACAGGGTGACTGGGAAGAACTGGACTCTCCTCTGAGTGACAGGTCTGACCCTGACAGATGCATCAGTTTAGCCTCAGTATATCACTTACATGTTTTTAATGTGAAATTCAGTGTTTGCTGGACTTAGTCAAATAGAACATAAAATCATCAGTATGGATGGATTCACTTGAGTTCAAATGGGATCAGTCTCTGAGTTTTACTCGTGGATATTATTCCAGTTTGAATAACCAAACAGTTTAACCTTAATCCAAATATATAATTCTGTAGTTGCTTTTGGTGACATTGAGAGATTTGAGAACAGCTGATATTTGATATTTATGATTTTGGAATGAATTGTTCAAACACACTATCAGACAGACGCTCACTTTATCCAGCTAATTGTTTTTAAGTCTGCTTTGTCAGTATTTTTTAAAACGAAAACACTCAGTGTTAAATCAGATTAATCAGCCGTCCATAGTACAGTGGGTTGCCAGGTGATGAAGTCATAAAGAGACAATCAACATCCTGTAAAAAAACAAAAACTGGTCAGCTGTTTTTCTCCTCCTAGCCGTAAAAATGATAAAAGTCAAGAGTGTGAATGAGTGTCTTTGGTGCTTCATCAGTTTTGGTTTTTGACATCAGTGTGTATTTTGGTCAATACTTGTCCAGATTCCGGGGCCGTACCCCAGTTGATGTGTTTGATATGGCCAGGCTGAAACTCCAGGCGCCTGTCCGAAGACCAACCTCCAGAAATGCTGAGCCCAGAAACCTGCTGCGGATCCATGATTCCCTCCAGCTAAAATATACAGGTAAAACACTCGCCATAAATTCTCTGTAGTCTTCTATTTCAGACCAATGTTACCAGCTGGGACTGCTTTTTTTGGGTTTTGTGAGTCAGATGGTGAATCCAGGCTGGGGTTTAGTGATGTTCCCAAACTGGGAGGAGTGGGTACAGCCAACAGGAGGCGGCAAGACTTTGGGGATCCTCACCACCAGTTCACCAGCCAGAGGTCTACAGTCCAAGATGGTAAAAGCTGAAGGCAACATTTTCATCCTATCGTTTTATCTAATCAATCTAATCATGACTTGTGATCCACTTCAGACCTGTGCAGGGAACCAGTCTGGATATGGGATCAGGATATGATTAATATGCACAACAGTGATGCAGTTTAAACTCTAGACAAATTTAACAGCACATCAACCTGCCAGAATGAAAGCTCAAATCCCTCAAATATTTATTTGGATAGAGAAATTTTGCCTACTGAAAAACTGATGCCATTGACTGTTCTTGGGTTCGTTGGCCCCTCTTCCTCTCAAGCTCTGTAGGAACACCTTTGCAAACATTGGGTCTCACTCACAAAAGAATGAATTTGTTGATTGTGAGCAGAATGGAAACTTCAGCCAAACCACCATTCATCTATGTTTCAGTAGGTCTGGTTTGTTTGTAGCTACTCACAATATCTACAGTTTGACAAAGTTTGACAAAGGGAAGTGAAGAACCGCTTGTTTTTATCAGAAATTCATCTGCTATGTTCACGATAGGCGGATACCTTTGAAACATGTCATTTAGATGTGATTTAAAAAATCCACATAAAACACGTTTTGCTTCAGATAAGGTTAAAGTTGTTTTCACATGTGTTTTCTGTGTGTTCACTGATAATCAAATATTAATTAGTCAGTGCTGTGGCTCTGTGAGCTGACTAACTGACAAACTCTCTAACTCTCTGAGAGACGGCTGGTTTATCTCTAAGAATATCACCTGTTTACATCCCTGCATGTTTACAGAGCCCTCAGGTGTCAGATCAAGAAAAACAGCCACGTGCAGATTCATGCATGTGCATTCACAAGTCCACGTGCACAGGTTGTTATCCATACACACAGATTTGTTGGTAGCTATTTTTTCTTTTGCTTGGCACCTCGAGGATCTGTACATGTGCTTTATCTGGAGGTCTAGCCTATCCATAGGAGACAGGGTTACCCACTGAAGCCGAGGCCTTTGACTCCTCTGACCCACCACACACACACACAGCAGGAGCTGTTTTTAATGACACCCAATACAGACTCAGACTGTTGGAGCTCCAGCAGAGATCTGAAGGAGAGTATCACACCTCCACTCACAGGAGAAAATGATTATTTTTCTCTTAATCCCACTTCTCCCAAAATAACTTTTTTTTTTTCCTCCTTCTGAAAGTTTGTGTCTCTTTCTTCTCTGCTTCGTTTCCGCAGGAAATACACATGCACATTTCCTTATATAGTATTCGTTGTCTATTCATGGGCTGACATTTATGCTGATTAGTGGCTATCGGGAGCGCACTGTCACTTTATGATTGATGGGCATTCATGAACGTACTCACATGTCTATGATTAAGTCAGGATTTTCAGCAGCCTTCAGTATTTTAGTGTCAATGACAGTTATGTGTTGATCTACTCATAAATGTTTCATGAGTGAGATCTGTGATGATTACATCTCACCTCTCATATTAGTCAAGACTCCACACATTATGACAAACAAAGACGCCTTTAGCAGTTTGGCTCCTGTAGTATGTGGCGTGCAGAGATGTTTAGGATGTCCACAGGGGCCTTGAATAGTTTGAAAGCCGTTAAATCAATTAAGTGAAAATGAAATTCCACTTTTTTTTTGTCACTTCTGCAATGTTAGTTATTTAATGAAAAGATTGAAATTTGTCACATTTTGTTAGTTTTTAATTTAGTTTGACATGATTGTCGTCAATCAAGTCTTCTCAGATTTGTACCTGGTAATATCCTGATTCATCATCTGAAGAGGTCAAACATTAACGCGCCTTTAAGTATACACTGCTGTCAGCTTTGTCAAGAAGTGAATTCTCAAAAACACAAAATGATGTGAGAAGCTGGAGGACAATGAATATAAACCTGTCACTGGAAAATAACTGTTAGGCAACCTGAATATAATTCTGGCGATTGTGTGACGGGATGAGTAGAGTGAGAGCAGCACCAGTCTGCATTTCAGTTTCACTTTTCTACAACGTACCTGGCATATTATTAACATTACATACACATAATAACAAAACATTAAAATCATAGCAATATTTTACTGCGTGTCTTTACAAATAAAGCTGGACATAAGCCGTTGGGTAAGTGTGTTGGTGTTAAATGTAGGTTTGGATGAATGAGGCCATTCGGGGCTTCTGTCTGATCATTCTCATGGTCAGAATTTCATGCACATTGCAAGAAAAAGTGTTCCATATAGTTGTGGAGATAAAGGTTTAAGGCAAATAATTTTCCCTGGGGTTTTTAATAATTGAGTTACTAGATTTACTTCAGGAACTGGTTCAGCCCTACAAGTCACTCCTTGGATCCGGTTTTTGACTGGGTCCCAGGCTTCAGTTCGTCTGAGGTATTAAGTTTAACGCTGTCGGTCTTTGTTTTTAGATTATTTGGATCTGTCTCCACCACGGCAAAACAATTTTGCGGTAAGTGAGAGGAAACATGGATTTGGTTTCATCTGTTCTTCAGCTGCAAACTGTTGAAAGAAACTGTGAGTTATTTGTGTCTGTTACAGAGGTCATCACGAGGTTCTCTGCTGGAGTCCGAGAGCGCTTTTATTGGTGAGCCGCCATGGTTTTTAAACATTGTGTAGTGTTGTGCGTATTCTGAAACGTTGTATAGCTGAGTTGAATGGGACTCATCTCTTATGTGTTGTTTTCTGTTGTTTTTGAAGACCCCCTGGGAGATACCTTTCCAGTACCCTGCACACCAGAGCTTGAGAAAACCCCTCTGTTGTCGGCCAGGGAGAGGAGGAGGGTGGCGAGAGAGACACAGCGCCCCCTGGTACACACACCTGACAGCACACAGACTTTTCAGATTTTTGGCACAGTGAGGTTCAAACAACAAAAAGCAAGCGTGTAACGGGATTCCCACTGATTCTTAAAAAATAAGGCTTCTGATTATCTTGAATTTACGGAGAAGTTGCTGTGGGTATTAAATTTCAAGATCGTGTTTCAGGCTAATGAGGAGATTGTTGTGTGGTAGCCAAGCATTACTCAGACAGACTATGAGCAGAAATTAAACTGTTTGGCTGCATAATCCATTCATTTGGGGAGTTGGATCCAGACCCAGATGGAACCGAGTACTCTAACCACTTTCTCTCACTTCTACGTTAGTGAAATTAGCAGCCTAGGAAACCACTGCCTTTGGCATGATGATGCTGCTCAGCCAATCAAAGCTTTAACACAGATCAGCATTAAGGCTGGACTCAGTATTATGAAGCTAACTGAGGAGACACCTGAGAGCAGAGCTGACACAGCAGGAGAAACCAAGTGAGCCAGGGAAAAGTAAAGTGGAAGAAGACATGGCGTGCTCTGAAGTGAGAAATGTGAACAGTGAAACAGAAACAGATTCTTCCTGTGCACTGTGGATTTCCTTAACAGAAATTATAACAATAAACCACCTTTATCCATGACAAACTAAAATACACCTCCAATAACAAAACATCAGAGCACTCTTTAAAATCACTCATATTTTTCCCACTGTGGATCGAACCTATTTCCTTTTAAAGCAATAATGCATTCTTGTAATAAGCAGAGTTATGTGAGGCTCGCAGTGTTCATTGTGTGCTCCATAATCCTCTTTCTCCTCCTGCTTTGACGTTTTTATAAACTTTTCCAGCAGCATTTTTATGAAAGTGCTACCAAACACTAGCTTAACCTCAGTTTAGATGCGAGTTTCTTTGTTCACACTGTTAACAGCTCTGAGTTTAAACCTGTCACGTAACAGAGAAAATTTAACAAGACGTTTTATAGCGATGACAAACATTAAACATTGAAGATGAGGATGCAGCTAGGAGCAGTGAACTGAGTGTCTGTTCAGGGGTGTTTTTGGACTTCCGGACAACAGAGGCTGAGTTTCAGTTTAAACTGTTAAAGCTACATCTCACTCAACAGCAGAAACTGTGACAGCAGGGTATGAGAGATCACTTAAAACTGTTTGACTCTTCATGTTTTAAGAGTGCTCATAATACAACTTAACATGTTTCATTTATATCACTGTGATATTAAAGTACCCTCTAGTACTAGTGGACCTTCTCAGCAACTCGACTACTGCAGTTCAGAATAACCTGGCCACTCCAACATTGTGATGTTCATTACCTTGGCTCGTGGAAATTCTCTCTGACTTTAAAGTTATTCTGATTCCTCTAAGACAACAGAATGTGGATTTGGACTTGATAGTGACCACATTTTATTGTAATTGCCCAATGAGGTAGAGAGGAGCTGAAGCAGAGCGTCACGCTCTCTCTGCTGATCAGTGGGTCTCACATGGACAGAAGTTGGATGAGTTTGTTCAGCAGGAACACAGAGAGCACTGAGACTGAGCCCAGCTGAAGGTTGTTGATGGCTTCATGCTGTGGCACATACAGAGACTTCTACCAAAGAGATTTTGATGCTCTGAAAGTCTTAAATTAGATTTTTTTAAGGGTCTTAATAAGGTCTTAAATTTGAACCTTTGGACAGCTTTAGCGCCATAATTGGCTAAAGCTTTTTGGTATTCATCAGGTCTGTATTGGTTTCTCTTTGGTTGGTTCAGGATCAAGGTCTCTCCTGCCAGCCCTTTGGAAAACAAGATGACTACAGAGGCAATAGACGGAAACAAGAGGCCGAGCCCGGCATGGAGGGGAGAAGTCAGTACAGGACAAGAGGTCAGAGAAATCTCAGTTGTTGTGGCAGCATTACCAGTATGACCTAAAGAAGTCGATCTGCTGGTTGTTATGTGTAATTTTAATTTGATCACTTTCTTTAATGACATTGAATGTAATCAAAGCACCAGAGTGTTTTGTCAATGATGTCTCAACCTTAAAGCTACATATGGGTTTCTATTGCTCTCATGCCAAAACCACATAAGAAAGCCTGCTGGATGATGCAGCAGGTACCTTGGTTTAGTATTGACCTCTCAGAGTGTTTTTCTCTCTGCTCCTGTCCTCCAGAACCAGCAGATCCCTCTGATGAGAATCCCTCCCCTCCCCGATTCTCCTTCCACAAATTAAACCATCAACGCTCGTCAGAAACTGCTGCGATGGATCCCTGGACGCTGCCAGGAACATCAGACACCGGGCGTGTGATGACATAGAAATGTGTCCCCTCTAATGGGAGGTGCCTTCCTCTTCACACAGACGACACCTCTCTTTAAATCATGAGATAATAGTTTGTTTTTTTTGGTCAAATATGAAGTACCTGTTTCATATTCTTGATTTCAGAGTCTCAGTATGACACGCCTCAGTTTGTTTATGAGCTTTTCTATTTCATGAATTATTAAATTATGACATGAATAAATTATATTTTAACTAAACCGTATAAGTGGATTATTTGAGAAAGCCTTTAATATAAGCTCTAAACTAACGTAGTTAGTACACCACAATAGGCCCATTCTTTTGAGCAGGTATTTATTTACTTATTCTCTGGTTTAACAGAGAGACTTTTCTATTAGTTTCGATTTTTCTTTAATTTTTGGAGTATTATGAATACTCTGCTCAAAAAAAGCAAGTTTATATACTCAAGTCAACCTGAGAGGGAAAACATGAAGAGACATTCATCGGATGTGAGCAATCATTTTTGGAGAAAAAGCACGAGAAATATGAATACTATTGATTTTATATCAAAGACTGAGCAAAGAAGTTATTATTTTCATCAGTTATTTGAGAGAGTTAAAATGTAACTTAGCTGTCATTCAATGCAAAAGTCCTTAATTATCCCTGGGGGCTTAGAGCAGTGCTGTGAAGAGAAACCACAGTATAAAATAAAAACAACAGTAAGAAAATAGAGAAGAGGAGTTAAAGCAGTAAAAGCAGAGAGCCAGGCCGACTAAAGACATGATATTCAAATCAGAGAAAACTGTTGAATAGATGCAGAGAGCCAATGAACATACAAACAAGGAAAAACACATTTGATGGACTCATTACATTCATGCTAAAATATTTGAACTGTTCATAATGTTCATAACTCGAAATATACAAATAATTGATTTTAAGATTCTTTTAGGTTCTTTTAAATTGTTTTACAAGAAAACTGAATTCATGACCCAAAGAGAGCTTCCTGAGGAGTGACTGGTGTCAGTACAGATGTCTGCAGGACAGAGACTACAGCTGCACTCCCAACATGGCGACGCTCTTGAACCAGTGTCAGAGGAGTCTCAGCTGGGCTATGGAAAACAAGATTTGGGCCAAAGTCCCGTTTTCAGATCAAAGTCAATTCAGCATTTTATTTGGAAATCAAGGTCCCAGACTCCGGAGGGAGACTGCAGAGGCCCAGAATCAAAGGCACTTGTGGGTTTGTGGTTCCATGTCATCTGCTGCTGCTAGCCTGCTGTGTTATATCAAGTCCAGAGTCAACGCTACCTCAAGTCCACCAGGCGGTTTTAGAGACCTTCATGCTTGATTTTCTGAGGTACTACACGACTGAGTTGATTTCCTTTTTGGCCCATGGCACCAAAACTACAAATGGTTTGTTGACTAGCCTGACCTGAACCCCATTAATATTGTACTAGGACCTTAGACCTGAGCAGGTTAGCACAGGTGAAACACATAGACTGTACATAGAATGGACGCCATCTGCCTCCTTGCTGGGTGAAACCACCGTGAGAACAGCACCGGTCATAAATCCCACCTCCTCCTGCAATCCCTATGGAGCTGTGGACAAACTTCACAAATTTATTACATAGAATATCAATTGTTCAATTTCATCAATTGCTTGTGATGTTGACATGTAGTTATTGTAAGACTGGTTTGTGCTCAAGTCCTCTCTTTTCTTTTCAGCTCCATTTTTAAAAGTTATTAGAGGGTTCATGTTTTCTATGGTTGACACTTGATACAGCCTTTGGGTGTACGAAGATTGTGTGGCTCACCAGGGGGATACGCTGTTTGAGCCAAGCGTCATCACAGCGACTCTCGGCAACTCTCCCGCCGAATGCGTACAACACTACAGCGCAATGTTGGTTTCGAGAAGTGGAGGAAAAACGCAGAATTACCGAGAGCTTTTTGGCTTCAAATCCTTATACTGGCGTACCGCGGAACCAAGGTGTCCATAGTATATACAGTCTATGGAGAAACATTGTCACGCCCTGCCACATGAACGCAGTAATTCACAGGAGGCAGGGCCCAACAGGTATTCAGAGTGAACATAAAAAAGATAATTCCTAAGATTTTTAATGATTTTTTTAATCAGTTGATCTGAGGAAATGACTCGAGGAAAGAATGTGTGCTCTGTGGTGATATTCAGATTTTTCACATGTGCCTGTAGACCAGGTACTGGCTCAAGAGTGTGAAACTATTATTGGAGTAATAGCATTGGAAAAAAAAGGTGAAGTCTGTATATTTTAGGCCTTCATACACAAACACATGTACTGCCTGTTCTCTATCATTCACTGTGGATTTGAAATATGGAAAAAGACTTTTCGAAATAGCAAGAAAACAGAAGTAAAAAATCCTCTCATTCACCAAAGTCGAAGAAACAGGATATGTGAAACCATTCCAGGTTGGATGTTTGATCTCTGTGGAGAGCCCATGAGAGCCCATCTGCCTCCTCCACTAAACCTGAACAAACTAAAAACAAGACATCAAAACGCTGCAAAGCTGGGAGCTGTTTATCTTCCGTCCTCTGGGGTTGACTCCTGAAAATACACTGCATGAAAGCAGAGCTGTTGGTCCAGTTCCTGATGTGGATTTCTCGCTCTCGAACATTAATGCATCTCCACAAACAAGGGTCAGAGCTGAAAAACCATGGACCACTGAAAACATGAGAATTTCTCATAATCCCGCCAACTTCCATCATCAAGTCCCTCCTGTTTATATGTCAGTGTTGGTGTAATCATGAGTGTTTCACTGAATCATCTGTCCTTCAATGTTAAACACTTGACACAGTGCAGTGAAGCTAGGCAGCATGTGACTTTATTTCAAACGTTACAGAAAAAGGTGGTCAGGTTGGAGGCCATGGTTGTAGAGTCACACATACACACATCAACTTTCCACCTCTGTTCAATCATTCCTCATCCTCCATCGCTTTGTCCCTCTCAGTGCTATCATTTTGTTCTCAGTCTCATTCATGCTCTCTTGCTTGTGTATACACACACACACACACACACACACACACACACACACACACACACACACAGTCTCTCTCTCTCTCTCTTCCTTGCCTGGATGAGCACTGTCGCCTGCTTTCCCCTCTCTCTGGCTCTGTCTCCCTCCGTCTTTATGAGTGATGACCTTCCCCAGCATTGGATAGGAAGGAGGATAGAAGCCATCTAAACTCTGCTACGCCCCCATTACTCAACCAGACACCCCAGTGTCAATATGCCTGTGCGCGCCTACACACGCGCACACGCACACACACTGAGTCCCAGTCAGCATTACATTGACTCAGGATGACCACAGCAGCATAGCACGGCTAGCAACTTCATCCAAAAATTGATTGTCCTGGCAAAAATCCCTTCAGTTCCATGATTGCTCCAAACTAATTTTATGGTCTTTAACTTTCTCGAAGCCTGACCCAAAACACAAAAGAGGCTACAGAGGGACACAACCCTTCCTCAGCTTGTTGCAGGCAACCTCAGACGTTCACCTTCCATGACTGCAGCTCAAAAGAGTTTGAAATAAAATCTGAAACTGCCATGTTTTACGGGGAACTGAGCCTTTCAAAACAGTTAAAGTACTGTCCTTCAAAGTTCTGTTTCTTTGGGAAGAGGAGCCCAGCTTTTTATACCAGAAAATACCGAGTTGTAAAAATCCCTTCATTTTTGAGCTGTGATTTGATCTAGGTGTTTGGGTTCTACTTTCTACTTACATGACTGACATGTGACACGTGGCCACATCAACCAGCTGTTTTTCCTGCCCAGCTTACCTACTCAAGTTTTACAAACTTACAAAGATACTTGAACTGGAATAAAGTCATAAATCAAAGTAGGGGAGACCGGGGCCTGTTGTCACACGGGTAAGTTGTCACATTGCAATTATCTTTGCCACCAGAGGGCGCAACTAAAAAGTGGAATACTAGTTTTCTTCCTTTGCATGGTCAGGGGCCGTGTGCTGTCTGAGAAGAGAAGAGCACAAATTAACCATTTCACACAACCCAAAGTAAAAAAAAATTAACCTTATATATTTTAAAATAAGCTTCTTCCAGACAAAAATCCTAGCAGTGATACATGTGGACTTGTTAGAGGAGAGATTAAGACATCCTGTCATACCTCAGTCATTGTTCTGTTTTAAGCTAACTTTAAGACGGAGCTTTAATTAGCAGACATGTCTCAGTCATTTTGGGGTTAGTTGTCACATGTTTAAAAGGGATTAAATTTAACACAGAGAGTCTGCTTATCAGCAGTTGTTATATTGAAATTTTGGATTTATCTTGGTGGTTTAGAGGAGAGGAGAAAGTGAGAAGACATGGTCAGGATTTACAAAAGAAAAACAGAACATAGCAGTGCAGTTCCTGACGTGGTGCTGAGAGCAGGCAGACAGGAAACCCTAGCTAATAAATCAATCTGGAGTACAATAAAGGACTTTAATGTCAACTACCATACCTTGGCTAGATACGGTAAAACATTCACCCCAGCCGAAATACAGAGTCAGACAGATCTCCAAACTCTAGTGCATGTTGCGTAATATTTTATGTTAAAATTTTTTCAATGACTTTTTCTAGCTCAATGATAAACATTTTCTGTGCCTGACTTTGATGTGCACTTTCATGTAAAAAAAAATGAGAACAACAATAATTTTGTCCTTGTTTTATTAGCTGCAAAATCCACTGTGACATCTTACCCCATGTAGTGACACAACATGTCACATGTTCACACTCTCTATTTGATTGCTTATAACTCTGATCTGACACAAGATATTAAAATGACATGCATACAAAATATATACCTGAGACTTTGGTCTGTCATTCAGTACACATTCCGTTTACATATGATGTATTGATTCCAAGAAAATATGAGCGTAAAACGTGTGACAACAAGCCCTGGTCTCCCCTATGTACGTATCTTTCACTGCAGTTGATTTTTTTCTGAATTATGTCACAAAGTGGCTTCAGTAAGAAATGATGACTGCTGTCATCTCATCACTGTACTGCTATGAATCCTGATAAACTCTCAGTATGTTTACGAAGTGTTCAAGGAAAAAAAAACCTTTATAGGATTAATGAAGGAACCACAGTAGACAGAGCAGCAGTAAGACCTTCATCAGTGTCTCATCCCAGTTGATAATGTCTTCTTTTTCCTTCTTTTTCTTTCTCTCTTTCTTTTCTCTTTATCCCTCTTTTCATCTTTTTTCCTCTCTCTCTTTCTCCTTTTTTCTCTCTTTT